TACAAAGGAGCTTCCAGCTAGTCCCTGACTTCCAGAGACCAATACTCACCAAGCCATCATGGAAAAGGCCCCCAGTCCGTAAGGGCAAAGACAAAAAAACAGAGCTCTTCAAGCAATGGCTATGGGAGAGAAACGTGAACACTGACCTTGTCATATTAGATGGATCACAGTTAGATTGTCACAGAATAGCAATTGACCACCACACCAATTGGCTAAGCTCCCCACAAAAGGATGTGGAATATTCAGGATGGCAACTGAATATTCTATGGTGGTAGATATACCTGACGTTCCATGGGCTCCAGGGCTCTGTCTCATTCGGACATACCTGTACCGTATTGGAACGTCACATAGATGACCAAGGCACAACTCACACTGGATGGGGTTATATCATCAGGAAAGGCGGCATTACACAAGAAATATATCGGGGAAAAGGCAGACTTCTTTAAGCAGAAGTAGTAGATGCTGAAGTTTATGGCGTTCTCTAAGGTCTTGCAGCAGCCAGGGCAATTAGACATAGAAAACAGCTATATGTCTGCATGGACAACACGTCAGTGGTAGATGGGCTCAATGGGACTCTACCTGAGACATCACAGAACATTTTTCTATGATTCCAAGAACTTGCCATGGCACACACTCCTGGAGTGACCACCAAGTGGATTCCTGGACATAGAGATATTGATGGCAACAAAGCTGCCGACACACTAGCAAAAGAGGGTGTCATACTAGAAATGGACATAACAAACCTTCTTATAATCTCTTGGGTAAAAAGAGATCTTAAAAAGAAAAACAAGAGAGAATTCAATCAATGGTAGAAAAGACCAATCAGAACCAAGATACCAAGAAATATACTCATATATAGTAACTCAAAGGTACCTTATATCTTTTGAAAGGAACACTCTACACAGATTTCTAGCGGCCAGATCTGGACATAGCGACTTTGCTAGATATCACAAACGTTTTGGGCATACAGACTTGAATAACCACTGCAGCTGCGGTGAAAAGAAAATACCATAACACATTTTCTTTTGTAAGAGGCTTGAGAAAAACAGACTGCTGCCTAGGTACTCGCCTAGGACAGCCTGTTTACAATACTTGGGGGAGAGGAGCGCGGAATAGGCAAGATTTGTTGAGAAGAGCAAATTCTTTTCATCAATCTGCCCCCGATAGATAGCTGTTCTTGAAGGACCAGATGGATGACCCCAAAGTCATACAGCCGCAACAACGGGAATGGGCTCGGGAGCGGGACTGACTGTACTTATTATCTTGATACCTCCACAACCCTGTGATACAGAGGCTCTGGGAGGCGTGGTTTGCACTACTGAGGAGCGATCCCCCACGTTAAATACAATCAATCAATCAATCAATCAAAGGGCCGTTACTCAATAGTTGCATTCCGTGGCTAGTGTGTGCTGGAAAAAAGCACGGCAAGATTTTGACAAAATAACACTGCATCATAAATTCATTCTTTTCTATAGTCAGTTGTTATTTAAATTGAAATAATCAAACAATCAGTGAATAAAATAGAAAAAATTGGTGTACGTATGGAGGCATGGCTACTATGGCCATCTAGGATCAAAAGGACTGGTTCCCACTGCTCCTGGCCACGAATTTCATCCACTTATAGTATGAAAACGTGCTCAAGCCACTGGCAAGTGTGACGGCCTGCACGGACCTTCCCACATGACAAGCCGATACTTCCCAATAAGGGAAAGATCTGACCATAGTATCCTCTTAAAGGGGCAACCTCCCGCTGTACCTATCTCTCTCTCTCTTCCTTTCCTCTCTAGTCTTAATATTCTCGTCAATAGAGTAATAGCTGCTTGCTGCCGGCCATGTCCCAGCTCCTCAGTACGCTCGCCGTAACAGCAAGCGATATCGTTACTGGTCCAGCCGTTTTCCAATGTTATATAGTATCAGTCAGCTATCTTCTGGGATTCCTTGAGGAACCACTGCACTTAGAGATCTTTTCCATTAAAAATCAAGCCTGGTTTGACTACTTTACCGGTAACTGAAATGGTTTCGATGAAAGATGTCCACAAGCGGCCCTAGGGACTTTTTGGGAAAGCTTTCCTTGTCTCAGAACTTCTGAGAACTAGGGAATCGATGCCTATAAGGGTAGTTAGTTGACTGTGAGGATAGGGGACTCAAAAGAGTTACCAAAACCCGACATAATGCCGCCCTTATTGACATTGTACGTATTTTCTGGCTTCACCCAGCCGTAGTCCTCCAAGATGTTGAAGAACCAGTTCACAGATTTAGGGGTAAACCCCTTAAACCGAACAGATTCTATTCGCTTGCCGATTTTAGTCTGAATGATAGGGTTGCATCGTTTAAGCTGTCCATATAGTGGTTCCTAAGTAGTGCGAAATCCTCTTTTCTTTTTAGGAATTCTATCACAATTTCCCTGACGGCTGAGTGAGAGGGGACAAGCCCCAAAGTCTCCTGGCGCAATATCCAGGCTGTTACCTTGCTTTCTTACCTGGGAGAAATTCTCTGCTCGGTGGTGTGAGCCTCTGTTTTAGTCCCTATCCCCCTTATGCGTGCTGACAGCGTGCTGGCCGGGACGCCGTATTTTTGGCTGGATTTTCTTATAGATATGCCATTATCTGTGACGTCTAGGTAGGTATCCACCACATCATCCTCTGTATACGTTGGCTGAGGCATTGTAGCTGGCTTCAGGATGCTGTGGTGCATGAGGGATAGGGGCTCACAGAGAGAATTCTATAACAAATTTATATTTAAGGGCAGGGCACAGAGGCTGCTAAATGCTGATACCGATGACCCAGCAATTAAATAATCTACATTCCGCTAAACACCAAGAAAAAGGCTATCTAACCATCTAAAGAATGTCTAGATACCCTCAAAAGGGGCTGTAATCCGTGTAAGTGACTAAGGGGACTTTTGGTGGTGGTTGTGGGGTTTGGCTGTGCCGGTTGGGGGGGTGTGCCGGTTCGGGGGGTCGGATGGTACAGCAAACGATTGCGTCTTCAATAGGCAGCCGTAGAAGAGATGCCCAATTCTCAAATAGAGCATAGATGGTTCATATGGATGATGTTTGTATATTTTGTGCTGATCTTGATGAGTCTGTTGTTGTGAAGTCTCTGTTGGTGGTTACCGTAGCCCAACATTTAAAATGCCCTAATGACCCTTGTTCAGTGCACTGCCACTTCCCTGACGCCACTGTGGCTTGCGTGCCATTCTACAATAGGCTGTCTCCTATGTACCTAGCTCATCTGTCTTGTTAGTACCGCATTTTCTAAGCAACTTTTCTACAGCGCGCTCTTACCACCTGTTCGCCAAGCCAGTCTTCTACCACCCTCATTGGCTTCAGAATCCGGGCAAGCCCGCTATTACGCAGATTTATCGTTAGCACGATAAGGATTGGGGTGTAAATTGTCTGGCTTGGCGAACAGGTGGTACGAGCACGCCATAGAAGAGTTCCTTCAAAAGATACGGGTAGAGTGTGAAGTTGCAATGCGTCGGACTGTGTATAGACAATATCCATGTGATCCACCTAGACATAAAACACGGGCCATAATTCGCCTGTGACCCTACACTCTGGAGCCATCTCGTCATCAAAGAGTCGAGATCTGGCCTCAGTGAGTTACCCTCGGGCACCACTCGTGACATGATGACACCCCCTGATGACACTCCATGAGACCACCTCACTATGTTGGAAAAATAGGATGTTTGAACCGGGAATATTAGCGAACTCGGCAACCTTTCTCTGAATATCGCTTGAGTGCCCCTCCTCTTCGACCCGATGGTGGTAGTAAGGACGAGCGCGTCATGCTACCCCGAACGCTGCTATATTCCGTACTGGTTCATACCCGATTTCAACAATTTATTCCCTTCCAGTGTTATATAGCTAGGTAGTCGTCTATGTGTCAAGGTCATATACTGAAGGGCGCGCCTAGTTGTTGCAGGCAGGGGTTTGGAGTGGGGTGAGCAGGGACTTGTCAAGCTAGGCTGTTCGTATAGCCTACCATTCCCAATCTCCGTACTGGATTCAAGTATGTTTATGAAGGGGTTTGGTCAATGCATAGGGGCTACACGCCGACTACATTGTAACCCCGGTGCACATGGAAAGAGCCGGGTTTCAGCCCACTGACAAGGAAGTCGCAAGTGAGGCAAAGACCGGCCTTCATCTACTGACGCCTGGGGTTTCAATGTTCTTTGACGATATCTACTCCTAGATATCTGCGAATGACGTCCTCGGCGGGATAACGCGGGGGAAACAATCCTGGCCCTTAAACATCCAAGGAAAACTCCTGCGCTCAGTTTTGACACATGCAGCGGTTGGCGATGCATACACTGGACCATCATAAATCTCCCTACACCACCCATCTAGCTACCAACGGTTTATTCATCGAATCGGAATAAGCATACTGGAATAAGAATCAGAAGTGGCGTATCAAACTAGAGCTGCTTATTCCTGTCTGCTTATGTCAGTTTTTCTAATGTTCCTATGTGATCTGATTCCTTTCAAAATGGCGCGTACGGAGACTTATGAGGGCTGAGTGTATCTAAGATACACCCCATCTTACCTCAACGTTAGCCAGCACACGAGAAGCATGTTGAGGATGCGCCAAGCTGACACATGGTGGTGACTTTACCTTACTCCACGATAACTCCTCTACTTGAGTAGGAGCCCGATTCAGGCTTGCACCCAGCATCCCCACTCGAAAGTCCCCATCACATCTCCTCAAGCGAATTGTCCTCCAGGCGACTCCCAATTTGTGACAGCTCGAGAACGTGGGAGTCGAACGAAATACCTATCATTCAAGGCAATTGCAGGTTCGCGAGACCACAGTGAGGCCTTGCGGTGTCTGTGACTGAAATCTCCCCTCGTGCGACCGACCCGAACCGCGATTGCCTGCTCATCTGCAACGTGCATTCTTCAACAACACTCTGCTCGATTACACTAGGGTGGAATAAACGCCTTGATATTTGAGCATTTCATCCCCCACAATCAAACCGCCCATTCGATCGATCATACAATGTCCGACATGAATAAGAAGCGCAAGTTGGAGAATGCGCAGCATCCCTCATTCGGTATGCCCGAGCCGAAGCATATCAAAAAAGAGGCCACCGGCCGTGGCAAGCCTTCCGAAGTGATCGTCATCGACGATGACGACGACTCCGAGACGAAGCCGATGCTTCATAACAACCAAGACGTCAAGAACTTGAAGACCACAGTTCGACGGCAGGAAGACTCCATCCGCGATGTACGCAACACCAGCGAGAACCTGAGGGACCAAATCACGGAATGGTCTTTACGCGCTCAGCAGCTTGAATCTTCTAACACAGCACTCAACGTCAAGGTTAAGCATTTGGAGGATATTCAAGAGGCTGATGGGATCAAGGATACTGTGACTCGATAGGAACACGAGAGCCTTGCTAAGCGACTGGAGGCCGTGGAGGAGCAGATCAACAAGAGAGACTTCCTTAGCGATGTGTTCGATAAGGACGCTATCGGCATGGGCCGTCAGGATTATCACGACCCTCGAGGCCGATTCCAAGGCCTCGAAAGCAGCGCATCTGAAGACAAGAAACCTGCTGTCTCTAGTGCCGCTGACATGAAGTCTGGCATCACCAGTTCGGGGCTACCAATGGCCATCCAACCATCGATCACACAGCTCGGTCTGGCGGAGGAGCATTACAAGTCGATGCCTACACTTACCAATTGCGGCCTGGAAAAAATCCTCAACAAAGTTGACTTCTTCAACACCGACCATCTGCGAGCCCTCATGGAGCTCGATAAGCGCGAGGAGCTTCGTGACTCCATCCTAATGTGCGACAACCACACATTCCCGAAATTTCGAGTTAACTACATCCTCAAGGGCGGTGAATTAGTGTCAAACATCATGGACCACCCGTCATGTGCTGTGGAAGACAACCTAGCTTGTTGGATTCTGGGCTACTTTAGCCCATCCATAGTCATCCTTCAGGTTAACATCTCCATCTGTGACTCTGTCACATACGTGGCCAATATAAGGCCACGTATCCTTTCCTTTAGTATCTTGGATATATAGGGCCACTCTGGCCGCTCCAGAGTAGCTGGAATTCCTCTCCTTAGATAGAACACTTTGAAATCTCACAGCTAAGCTCGAGGAAAGAGGCTTGGGTAAGCTGAGAGTGCTGGAGCTCGCCATCATTCAGTTCCCGGGCGACCCGGAAGACCAATTTGCGATGAAGAAGCCGGTTCCGCCGCCCAGGTACGTGTACGACCTAGGCCAGCTGTTCCTGCGACGCAAAGGCCTGGACCGATTCGATATCCACGGGACAATGTTTAACATCGTGATCGACATCGCCAAGCCGCAGAAGCCGATCTGGCTGGTGATGAGACCCGAGTACACACCAGGGTCCCAAGTCAGAAAGGACAGGGAAAGCACTTACCCCTTCCAAACCCACACGCATTTCATGAACGGGGTTGCCTTGGCCCGACTCACCGCGAACACATCTGATCTGAGCCTTACGCAAGCCCCTTTCTCGTTTGGATCGGAAAGCGCATTCTACCAGGCGCAGCATTCGGTGACGAATACGTCGTATAAAGGCCAGCTCCGTTTCCGGACTCCTGTTTACGATGAGATGATGCAGGTGATTGCGACTGGCTGGTCCAAGAAGTAGGCCAGATTGTTGCACAAACCCAGCTGTGTTCGCGGGATTTCATAGCAATAATGCGTAGAGTTCTTACAATGAAAAATTGAATGAGCACCCTGAAATAAGGGTTGTTAATGCAAAAAGCCATCTTTGATGCTTATTCCAGTGTGATTATCCCATTACAATCAATATATCCCTCGCTTGCAGACTTCTGACAGTTCAGTGTATCTAACGTGCCAGCCTTTGCTCCAATTGATCCAGATGATGAATACTTTACGAATTCACGCCTTGCTGCTTGAGACGCGGCATTGTATGTTGAACGCCTGATGACTTTGCTATACATTGAACCCATAAGTGTTAGATTTCAAAGTGTTCTATTAAGGAGAGGAATTCCAGCTACTCTGGAGCGGCCAGAATGGCCCTATATATATCCAAGATACTAAAGGAAAGGATACGTGGCCTTATATTGGCCATGTATGTGACAGAGTCACAAATGGGGATGGTGATCCTGAAGGATGACTATGGATGGGCTAACGTAGCCCAGAATCCAACACGCCCTCTCAGACTGAGGGAATTAACATAACCAGAATATCACCCCTTTACATGAACCAGTCCTAGCAACCCCAGAAACTTGAAGAACCTTACCTTTCTCAAAGCTTTGGTGAGACCGTCTACAGGCATTTCATTGGTTCCAAGGAAAGAGAGCCGTATATGGCCTTCCAAGATCTCCTGACGAATGTAGTGTTCCCTGACTCGAATATGCTTAGTTCGACGATGGAATTCAGCGTTCTGAGCCAAGTGAATAGCTCCAGCACTGTCTGAATGGATGTTGATAACATTTAGAATGAATCCAAGTTCTAGCATCAGTTCTCGCAGCCAGGCAGCCTCTTTTACGGCTTCAGAGAGTGCGTAGTACTCTGATTCCACAGTAGATTGAGCCACAACAGTCTGCAGCTTGGATACCCAGGAGACAGCGCCCCCAGCAAACGTGAACAGGTAGCCTGAGGTGGACTTGGCGCTGGTTTTGATGCTTCCAGCATAGCTGGCATCACAGTAACCAATCAGCAGATCCGGAATCATCTCAAGAACCTCTTGGGGGGTCTTCCCGACATATTCGGGACCTCCAAATTTGATCCCAAGATCTTGAGAGTGCCATAAATAACAAAGTAGGCCCAGAGCGGCCTTATATTGGGCTGAACCAGGATTGTGGAGGTATCGCGAGAGAACACCCATAGAGTATGCAATATCTGGTCTTGTATATGACGCAGGGAAATTCTCAGAACCGATCAGGGACTGGTAGGTCTGAATAGGACATGCATCGATCTCAAGGTCGTTATTCAGGGACTCCATCTGTTCCACTGCTTGAGGAGATATCGGCACGTTCATCTTGCCAGTGTTCTGATGGTTGAATGCCTCTGCGGTCCTTCTCACATACGTCTGTTGAGAGAGATATAATGTCCTCTCAGCTCGGTTTCTGACAATATGGACTCCTAGGAAGTGTTCAGCAGCTCCCATGTCCTTCATCTCAAATGTAGAACCTAGTTCTTTTTTGAAGGCAGCGATCTCGTCACGATTAGCCCCCAAAATGAGGAAATTATCGACATAGCTGATCACTATAATGCCACGGCTGATATTGACATAGACTGCGTTGTCAGAGACCAGAGGGTCGAATCCGAGGTCCTTCAGAGCGCTGCGAATGCGCTTCTGCCACTGCCTGGGGCTCTGCTTGAGCCCATATAGCGGTTTCGCAAGCTTCATAATTATGCCAGGTCTCCAGTTGATGGTATTCTCATCTGGATACATCTCAAAGAAGTCAGAGAGACCATCAGGTGTCTCCATGAAGATCTCTTCATCCAGTTCTCCCATTAGAAAGGCAGATACAGCATCCATCTGGTCAATTTCCCAGTCCAGAACGGCAGCAATGGCTAGAAGGAGCCTCCAGGTGGTAGTACGAGCGCCTGAGGCCTGGGTTTCGAAATAGTCGAGGCCATGGCGTTGCATGAAGCCTCGTACAACCACCCTAGCCTTGTACTGAGAGGTATTGCCGTCAGAGTCCCTCTTCTGCCTATAGACATTGCGGCTAGAGAGAGTTTTATGCCCAGCAGGCAGATCAGACCTCCACAAAGGAATGAAGGTATTATTGCGCAGTAACGCCCGTATCTCTGTATGAGTGCCATCCAGCCATTGAGGTGCCTTGGCAGACTCCATGGCTTCCTTGTAGTTAGAAGGCTCGTCATTACGGGGAAGTGCCTGATCAGGGTCAGAAGACGGCCAATTGGCATAAGATGCCTCGATCGTAACATGTGGAGATATGCCAGGGGTGGAAGACTCGGCCACGTAGTGGTTGTGAGTCCTCCGAGTGCGCCCTCCGGAGAGTACATTCTCTGGGTTGAGCTCTGATTGGATTCTTGACTTCGGAGCAGCCGTTGGGGCTACTTCTTGACGAGGTGGTTCAGATGATAGAAGAATCGAGTCAGCTAGAGCAGTACTAGGCTCAGGGTTGCTATATCCAGAGTCAGAATAATGACTATCATCATTATCAGAAACGTCAGGGGACCCAAGAGGGGTCCCTAACGTGACAACTGGTTGGGGTGAATCATCTCTACCATCCCTTCCGTTATCTGACTCGATATATATATGCTGAGGATTGTGAGCGCCCTCTGGTAAAGACGGTGCTGGCAGATCTTTAGCATTGGGTCTGGTTGTCTCATAGTCATCGAGTGTACCACAGAAGTTTGGAAAGATGTGGATCAAATCCCTTAAAAGTACATACCCATCCAAAATCTCAAGATGGACAGTAACCACAACCTTTCTCAGGTGTGTAAGATACACCTGGTACTGGTTGGAACCAAGGGAACGAAGAATACGACCTCTCCTTGCGTGTGGAGTGGTCTTGTCTCCCTTAGGGCGGCGCTGCTGCGGCAAATGGACCACAGCGGCCTGCCCAATTGACAGTAAATTCGTCAAATCAGGCTTGTTATCCTTTCCAGGGTTCAGATCGTCAAAGAAAACTTCAAAGGGAGTCTTCTTAACGCCCTGGAGGAAAGATGTATAGCTCACATTGAGCCTATCACATACGGCAGGTCCAACAACCGGCCAAAGGGCTTCAGGTAGCCCGGAATCCTTCATAATACTGCGAATGAGAGCGTGTATAACGCCAAAGGATCTCTCAGCCACTCCGTTCTGCTCGGGAGTGTATGGAGCGCTGACTTCAAACAGGATACCACGTTTAGCTCCCCATTGCTTGAATCTCGTGTATTCAGAACCACCATCCATTCGGAATCGCTTTGGATAACGCCCGTACTGGGTGTGAGCGTATTCACAGTAGCGAATGGCTTGGTCGGAAGCTTCCCCTTTCTTCTCATGAGGGCAGTACTCCTTCAAACGAGACTTGCCATCCACAAATACGGTGGCATAGAGAGAACCATCATAGCCTTGGACAGAGTGCTTGGCTGTATCCATATGGACCAGGTCTAAAGCATGATCTGGATGTTCCTGCTCAACTCGAGAGACTAGGCGACGTAGATTGGACTCCAGACATTCCAGACAGGTGAATTCTTTTGCTAGCTCTTGTACATTCGGCGGCAATTCAATCCCTTTGGTGATACTGGCTGTCTTGATCAGGTCACCAATAGATCGGTGGCCAAGTCTTGTATGCCAGCGGTGGAGTAGTCTCAGCGCCACAGATTTGGCTTGAGAGGTTAGTTCCTGGGAAGAATCCTCGGATACCATATTGGTGAACACGTTCGGGGCTTGATTGATCCCGTATACGTCCTTCTGGACACTAAGGATCTCTGTCTGAACGTACATTCCCTGGTGGAATGATGCCACCCATGTCCCATGGGGGTCAAACAGATCGCAGATCATCAAATACCATCCTTGGCGATACATCTAGTCTCCCGAGAGAATATTGATTGGAAAGGAAGGCACAAATAGTACTCCAGAGATTGTCCGAGTGACGGTATCACCGTTGGAGGTAATGAATGGTATCTCCACGTCGCCAACACCTTGAGGAGTAACAGGGCCTCCTCCAGTGTTAAAGGGGACCAGGTCAGGGTCCATTCGAAAGCGAGTAAACCACTTCTTGCTATTGCAAATAGGAACGGTAGAGCCTGTGTCAAACAGCCATGAGTCTGTGCTTGTCGTGGCATGAACGATGTCGATCAGATTGGTACTCGCTCCCTGGTTGGCGCTATGTGGTCCTTGAGTGAGGACAGATTGACTGGAGATGGCTTTATCGGCATAATTGCACCATTGAGCGGCGTCAGAAGCGCCAGTACGTCCACTCTGGTGAGTGGGAGCGCTGCTTGAAGGCCTTCCATCTTTCCTAGCCTTCTCAGAGGCCTGGATGATCTGGCTGAGGATGCGTTTGTTGCATCCAAGGTGGCCCTTCTTCTTGTCAAGCTCTCTGCACTCATAGCACCAGATAGGATCCGTGGTATTGCTGTTGGAAGAGCCCTGGTTGACTCTAGGGGTTCTGGGGCCATCAAGAGATAGGCAATTACTGCCTTTCCCCTTGTTCTTCCATTTGCTCTTGCCTTTACTAGGCGTAACAGGCTTGTCAAAGTTGGTGGCAAAGGTCTCATCTTGAGCCTTGCGAATCTGTATCTCCTCCTGGAGCCGGTACAAGAGATTCTCGGTCGTAGGGAAGATTCCACGGTTATAATCTTTCGAGATTTCGTGGTGAAGGGTTGGAAAAGCCGTCCGAATAGCAGCCAGGAAATTGGCAATACGAATATTCGGAGGATATGTGATATTTTGTCGCAGGACCTTGTCCATTAGTCTGCGGTAGTTGCCCACGAACTTGTCTCCATGGTCAGGGAATCGAATGGCAGCCAGTTCATCTACAACGGATGAAACTGCGTCAATTCTCGTGCCTGAATATGCCTGTCGCAAGGCTATCCAGATCTGACCAGGGTCAAATAAACCCGTGATACGAGAATCAGGGTCAGACTTGATGTTCTGGGTGATAGCGAGGTATAATTTTGACCTCTTGATGCTCAGACTAGCATCCAATTCAGGGGGCTTGGAAGAGGCTCCCGCGGAAGGTGTGGCTGGGGCGTCGACAGCTCCAGTTGTGGCCTTATATGGTTCCTTCTCGTCTGCCTTAATGACTTCAAGGATAAGAGACCAGAGCCTGAGAGTAGTGAGCAAATGCTCCATCGTTTGGGCCCAGACCTCCCAGTTCTCCTTGCCGACGAGCTTCTGATGGTCTTGGAGGCGAGGGATAGAGGTGGATGTAAAGGCGAGGGCCGTCTCTGGGGTGGATTCAGACATAATGTAAGAAGGATAATACGTCGTAAGGCTAGCCTACAAATAAGGCAAAATATAAGCCAAGGAGCGACCTCTTTCTGTATAAAAAGAACAGTTACGACGGAGAAACACTTGAAGGCTTGCGACAACAAGGGTAGCTAGTCCTAGAGGCGCGCAAGCAGAAAAAGGGTGATCAGAATGAATCAGACCAGTAGAAAAAGCTTAAAAGGTAAGGGCTGCTGGAGGTCGTGATCGATCAGAGATGCTACCATGTTAGATTTCAAAGTGTTCTATTAAGGAAAGGAATTCCAGCTACTCTGGAGCGGCCAGAATGGCCCTATATATATCCAAGATACTAAAGGAAAGGATACGTGGCCTTATATTGGCCACGTATGTGACAGAGTCACAAATGGGGATGGTGATCCTGAAGGATGACTATGGATGGGCTAACGTAGCCCAGAATCCAACAATAAGTCGCCGTACACCACCTATCTTAGTAAGTAACGGCATACGTATCGAATTTGGATAAGCACACTGGAATAAGCATTAATGATGGTATGTCAGACTGAAGCTGCTTATTCCGGTACGCTTATTCCAATATTTCAAAACATTCACGTGTGATCTAAATCCCTCCCAACATGGTGCACACGGAGACGATTGTTGACTGGGTGTACTACAACGAATCGAGGAACCCAGCAGCTCGCTCCTCCTCTAGTATAAGATATATTCCGACCACTCTCAAATGTCGCGGTCGGAGGAGACTGGCAATCAGGAACTACTGGCGCGGCACCAAGGCATGACGCACAAGATTGCATTACACTACAGAACACCATTGTCGTATGCAGCGGGGGCCGCTTATTCCTGCGCGTGAGCTGTCTGTCGTGCGGCCCGCATACATGATCTGAGCATGACACGGCACGGAACCCTGGGCCTTCGGCAGGAGACCGGATAAGCAGATCATATGACTGGATGGAGGGAGCGCGTTCCGGCGGCGCGAATATACCGTTCTTATCTCTCTCTGATCGAAAGAACATTCGGCATCGGAGAATGGGGCAATCGAGTCGACTTTGAGAACTCGCTAGTCTTGGACTGCGGGATGCGCATGGAAAGGGGGGGGGGATTCCGCGTTGTCATGGGTTTCAAATTTATTGTCTGGTCCCCTGGAGCGGTACATGTACATGGATGGAGTGCTGACTCGTGGGATTTGCTGGGTCGATGTGACGATGACAGCATTGGAAGGCTAGAACGAGATTTGGAGACGCCTCTTTTTTTCGTGCCTTGGAAGCTTTCGCATGACTCCCAAGTCGCGGGACGCGCCTGAATGGGAAAGAGATGCGTTCGCTAGCTTTCGCGCTCAGTCTAGCGTAGCTTACGCAATCTGGTATTCCAACAAACCGAGGGCTTCCAACTTCCAAGCCCAGCCATGTCCTAGTCCTACGTCTTACGCCCTGCCACCATGTCAGCGTAGAGAAGAGTCGGTGGGGCGGGCACCCATGCGTTGTGGCTTCGGAGGATTTCCGAGGCTCGCTGGGATGATCGTGGGGAATGAGACAGGGCGAGGGCCCAGATCGATCAGCGTTATCAAATCAGAATGGGATGACAGAAACCACACATAGGAAGGTTCGCTTCAGAGACTGATCTTATGCCGCATGTTCGATTCCATAGTACGATTGATGGCGTAAATCGATAGTTCAACCGCTTGCCCTGGAGAAAAAGCTTCGAGGGATGTCTATGGGGAGAGCTTTCTCATGCGCACGACACAATGCGAGGAGTTGGTTCTTCGAAGGTTAGCTTTATTCATTAAAATGCTAGACGAAATGCCGCCCTTCATATATCCGCATCGTCGCTAATGGTGCTAGTACCGCCGCCTTCGGCCTCAGCGATGATCTGCGTGTTGACCACCTGGCCCCAGGGTTTGACATAGATGTTCGCCATGATCTGCAGGCCCGCGAAGGGCGTGTACTTGTAGCCCAGCTCGAGCTCCGTGCTTCCATTCATCGTGATGGACCGGTTGTGGCCGGTAAAGGTCATGTCGCGGCTGTATGAGCCCACGACCCGGCGCCCGTGCTCGTTGCCGTCGTTGTCGAGGTACTGGTCGTAGATGCTGCCGTTCTGCGCCAGGATGCGGTTCGTGTGCTTCTCGCCCGAGTAGTTGTTCACCGAGTAGAGGATGTTGTGCTTCATGTTGTAGTCCTGCAGCTCGCGCCTCGTGTTGGTCGCGGAGGCTGATGTCGCGGCCAATGAGGTGGTCGAGCTTGTGCTTCCCAGATCGTCTGTGACGTTGCCCACGATGCTGTTGACCGAGTTTCCTAACGTTGCGACGATGGGGTTCAGGTCGATGACGTTCAGGACGTCTCCGATCATCTGCACGACATTCCCCAGCCGGGCCTCCAGCAGGACCTTGGCCGAGACGTTCTGGATTTGCAGCGAGACCCTGTCGATCGAGGCGTCCACGCCAGCGGTGAAATGCAGCAAGTTGAGAACCTTGGCGTCCAAATTTAATTTTGCGGTGATGTTCTCGACCGTGATATCGATCTCGCCGACCGACACGGAGGCATTCAGGTACACATCGGGTTCCTCGGGGAGCACAACACCAGGCGTGTCGGCCGTCTCGTAGATGACGGACTCGGGGTCGCCGCGCTTATGCAGCTCGTAGCCGATGTAGCCGTTGTCGCTCTGGGCCAAGACGAGGGAAAAGAGCGACAAGAATAGGAAGGCATACGCCTTGGAAAGGAACGGACTCATGATGATGTTGGACGGGAGAAGCGACTATGAGATGCTGAATCCTTGCACGACGAGACAGTGGACTGGACTGGACGAGTCACCGGCAGCAGGCGAGGGGAGCGGAATATCTAAAAGGACGAGCTCGAGAATGCCGCATTGATCACCGTGTCAAGCCAGGCGATACGCGGTGGAGGGGGGCGGCACCGTCTGAAATGAGGAGGACAGCCATGCGCTCATTCACGACAGCTTCCATGCAGAACGCAGGGGCCTGGTTGGGCATGCCAACTTCATTTGAGGCTTCTGATATATGCCGGGATAAGTGTACATATATATTGAGAACCAGACTCCAGGAGGAATTGTTAGACAGGGAAAATGGCGGAGATAATACCGATAATGCCGGTGCAACACCTATTTGGGTATTTGGGGACGAGCTCCGCGCATGAGCATGGGGCGGTAGGGCTTCAGGGGTTGCAAGTTCGGTACTGCGCGAGACCTTACATGGCCGCAATTTCTCTGGAACTTGGAACAACAAGTTTCTTGCCCGCTGGGCGCATTCTTATGCATATCGGTACGATCCAGGCGGCGTCAGGAAGTTGGCGCAAGCCCAGTGGGCATTGTCACCGATCTTATGCGATATAAATGACCGAAGGGGTGTCATCGTGGAGGTCAGGGGTGGGAAATACCCGAGGGCTTTGACGCTTGCGACCTGCCCCCCAGAAGAAGCGCGTCGACTTTATATCATCCATGTGCCAGTTGTAGTCGGCATTGGTGTCTCACGAGGTCCATTGTGTGTCGTCGCTCCTTCATTCACTCGTTCATTACCAAAGATGCGCAATCATATCCTCCTCTCGTGGCTTTGCGGCTTCCTGCTGCTGGTCTTGGGTGCAGCGCAGACTGCCTCGTCGACCGCAGATACGACTCCAACAGACTCGGCGACGGAGACCACGGCGGCCTCGTCAACTGCCGACGCGAGTACGGCAGACTCGACGACGGAGACGACGGCGGCATCGTCGACATCGACGTCTGAGCCGGCAGTGACGGCGACGGGCTCGTCTTCGAGCGACACGGTTTCGTCGCCGTCGGGAACCACCTCCACTGAGGGTGGAGGAAGCAGCACTACGAGCTCCGCTGCCTCTTATGGTTCAAATCCTCCCGATGTCTACTTGAACGTTCCCGAACTGCACGTTGGACGGATCGAGCTCGATGTCGACAACCTGAGCGTCGATCTGAACCTCGCCGCGCAGGTATGTGGAATTCCCCAAACCCTCCCCTTCACGCTGCCACCAGGCACACGTCTAGCGCCACTTGATCCAACACCACGCATCATTGCATAGGCAAAGTACTGATGAGCGTCCGTGGAACAGGTAGCCTCCCTGGTCGAAATCAACGCCGGAGTCCAAGTCAGCATCACCACGGTCAACATCACCATCGCCGACGTCGACGCCGAGCTCGAGCTAGTCGTCCGCCTGGGTAACCTGGTCGACATTGTGAACCGGACCCTTGACTCGCTCAACCTCAACCCGCTGCTTATCAACGTGCTCAACGACGTCACGGACGTCATCGACTCGGTGGTCGGCGCCGTTGACGGGCTGCTTGGGTCGATCGTGTCGGGAGACTCAACGCTAAATTTCATCGTCGACAACTTGGGCAACATTGTGCAGGAGGTAGATGGCGCTGCCGGGGACGTCCTGAGCTCCATCGTCGGCAACTACCAGCAGAACATGACTTACACGGGCGCTCAGACGATCTTAGATGGTGGTTTGATACAGAAGACGTATCTGTACAGTGCTCTGAACTCGCTGGTAAACATTGTTACCAATTCGGCGGGACAAGTCGTGCAGGCGGTCGTGGTTGGGAGCTCGAGCTCCTCGTCTAGCTCGCCTGCGGCTACGGCGACCACTGCATCGAGTACAGGCTCAGCGACAAGTGTGACCACGACGGGTTGACTTGGTGGGTACCTATAGAGCCAAACCAATACAAGAAAAATAGTGCCAAGCTGTCAAGCCATATGATCTGCAAGAAGTGTTGTGAGCTGCTAGAGGTCATTGCGCGAGCCGAGGGAAGCGTGCCGAATAACTCAGACCCGCCCCCACCCATGAAAGCCTCACATGCTAGTGCAGGCTAGGGTTAGGGTTAGGGTTGGGGTTTCAGTCCACTGTTTAACTCAACGCGTCACTGCAGTGTCACAACATGGATGATATTATCACGTGCAGGAAAAGATTATGATGCCTGAACCTCGGAGGTTGTTATTGCATTAGGCTATAAGGTCTCGATTTCATATGATGCCAGCATGAAGGGCCCGACTCCCTTAAAATCGTTTGATGCCAGCGGTACGGATATGTAGTACTGCAGGCCGTCAGCTTTTGTGAATTCAAGAAACAACTTGTAACTTGTACTTACCTCGAAGGTGGCGTTGCTACCCAACGAGCCTACCGAAACAGTGCCCTCCCAGTTCAGAGTCCCGTCGTCGTTCTCGACGACGAACTCATCGGTCAAGAGGTTATAGCCCTTCTGAGCGGCCGCCAGATAGTCGCCTTCAGCGAGCAAACCCAACTTGATCCCTTTCAGAAATCCATAGGTGAACATGGCCGAGCCGCTGCTCTCGATGTAGTTCCCCTCGGCGCCGGGGTAGGGCTCGCTCATGATCAGCCACCAGCCACCGGCCTCATCCTGGGCCTCGAGTAGCCCAGCGGCGAGCGTTATGAAGTACTCCACCAGTCGGGCGTGGCCCGCGTGGGACTCGGGGAATACCTGGATAACCTCGAGCAGCGATAGGAAGTACCAACCGTCGGCCCGATCCCACACCAGGGGCGAAGCGCCCGTGACGGGGTCGGCCCACACAGCCACCTTGCTCTCGTCGTAGCCATGCACCAGAAGGCCAGTTGTTTTGTTGCGCGTGTGCGCGTCGATGTTGTCGTACTGCACCATGATGTCGTCCCACGCGGTCGCGTTGTCGCTGTCGAACAGGCTCGTCCACTTGGTGTAGAACGAGTCTGCCATGAAGATGCCATCGAGCCACATCTGGTTCGGATAGGTCGGACTCCGATGCCAGAAGCCGCCTGTCGCCGTCCGCGGGTGTCTGTTGAGCTGCTCGCGGATGATGCCCGCCGCCGCCTTGTACTTTTCCTCCCCGGTGTGCTCGTACCACCAGAGGATGTTGTTGCCGATGCGGTAATTGTCCAGAGAGTAGAAGGTGTAGTTCCAGTCCTTGATCGTGCCGTTATCCTGCACGACGGCGTCGTCGATCTGCCCGCGGTACCAGGCGAGGTACGTCTCGTTCTGCGTCAGGTTGTACGCTGCTTGGTAGCCCAGATAGAGTGTCGCTTGCGTGTAGTCGAAGTTGGCCTCGACTCCGCGCTCGATGAACGAGTCGGCCGTCCACGCTAGATATGGCGTGGCAGCAGCCGCTCTGGCAGCGAACAGCAGCATCGACTTCATCTTGGCAGTTGGCGTTGTCGATCACGGAAGGTCAACGCCTTGCACCTTACACCTGCGGCAGATGCTCGTTCTTATAATGGCTCAGCGCGAGCCCTTGTGAACCGGAAAATTCGTGTCGTAGGGGTTCAATTCCTCCGCATACTTCAGTTCAAAGGGTAGTATACCAGGCCTGAGTACATTCGGTCCCTAACGCATTCACACGTGGAGGACCCGATAGCTTGTTACTCCGCAGGTATCGATATGTGGGCGTCGCATATGCTCCTGTCTAACGGGTGGAAAATTGGAGAATCTCAACCCTGCATCCCGAGTAACCCCCGCAGTCAGCGTCTTGGTTTGCCACTGTTCAGACGTGCTGACGTGCAAGTGGGGGAGCCTTCCTGAAAATGCGACATGTTCTGCCTAGGTAAGTAGTACTCGGTATACGGGTTGCTATCAGCAACTGGACGATGCGGATGCGAATCACCAAGTTACCAGGATGAAGCCATGAGTTTCTCGACCGTCCCATCAAAGAGCTCATTGGTGGACTTTCAGACCGCTGGAACTTCGCTTATATGTCGCGTTGGCAGAAAATATGCAGACACCGGTGAACTCGGCCAATTTTTGTGTTGATGCTGCAAAGATTGGCTGGGATTATCTGTTCTCTTAGTTGAAATCCTCCGTTGGGCGCCCAATACTTCGCTGGGTCCAATTCGCGATGTTCTTCTACTGAGGACATGATAGGACAAGCTGCGGATGGCTACAAATGTCTCGGAGTACAACGCGCTTAGCAAGGGTATTATTGAGTGTATCTGATATGAGTGTTACGCTATTACATAATACCTCCACATATTTACGTACATATATACCCCAAGCTTCCCCGTTCTCTTCAGACCTTGCCTCTTCTTCCTTAGATATCGTTGAATCTAGATATTTCATCTCATCAGCCCTGACCAGCGCAGCTGCAGGCCTGATTGTCACAATGAGAAGCATTTCACTAAATATAGAATTCGAAAGAGTGCCTGGCCGTTGCTCTCACATGGATGTCAGGAGTGAACGTGGTATTACTATGGTCGGTTCTCGACAGTAAGTTTATTTATTTCAGGTTTTAGAATGACTCGTACTGTTAAGTCTATTAGGATAGGTGTTCGAAGAACGCAAACAACTATCAGGGAAAATGCACATGAGTAATACCATCTAGCCTGCTAGAAAGCAAATATGCATGGCAAACTAGCACTTGCTAAGTTGCTTACCTATCGCTTGGAGCTCGAATGAGTTCCGGCACGACATTGTAGCTACTCCACCCAAAAGAAAGGGGCTGGACGTGTGAGCTGACGCCCAGTCTATGCGTTACTGACGCACGTAGCTAGGGATTACTCCATTGGAACTACCCAGAAGTGACTGTGAAAACCAGAATGGTATAGGAGCTTCGGAATCGAATTGTGGACTGAGAACCCCTGCGAGCCTCGAGGACGAACACACCACACTTGTGGCTTCTTATTCATGTCTTCATGTTGGCATATACGTTGCCTTCACTTCTTTGACGGGCCAGCGCCGTTGTTGGAAGTAGCGCTTCAGCTTTGCTTCCACTTGGAGCTCTGAGAAGGCTGAGGCATCTCCGGCGGCTCGAAGAGCAACTTGTTCATCAGTTGCTCCATGGCTTCGTCGGTCTCGGCCGCCTCGTTGTCCTTTACATTGTACGCGTCGGCAGTGCGCGCGGCGCTCTCCTGCGTGAAAGCGAGCATCTTCTAGGCTGGGCCGCTCCCGCCGCTCGTCAGCCAGACTGTAGGCCAGTAAGTCCACTAGGTCCGGGTCAAGGCTTGGATAGGCGTCCCCGTTGCCGTGGGGAGCAGGGAGAATCTCAAACGCCTTTGTCTTGGTTACGCCCTTGTACGGGACGTGCTTTCCCACGTGGATTTCGCTGTGCTCTATCAAGTCAAGCATGATCTGGTTTGATATGTATTAGCAGGGCCAAAAGTGGGCAGTTTGGTGATTAAGATGGAAGGTACCGGTATGCGGATTGCCTTAACGTAATGAACGAGATACGCTAGGATGGTCAAGGGGCAATGGGAGGGATGTTGGGCAAGCAATAGAACGGAACCGTCCATAAAACAAAAAAGAGTGTCTCGCTGACTTACCTCCGCACACTGGTATGGGTCCATGTTCTCCTCGTCCGGCTCTAAAGCTTTCGAATAGCCGAAGTCGATGAACTTGATTGAAGGGATCAGATTATGTTCCGAGCACCCATCGCCGCGGTTGCATACCATTACTGTACCAAATATTTTAGCCAAGTACTCACAAGCCGTCCCATGAGGGTGAAACATAAGAGTCCAAAAATGTACCATTAGAGAGGTGTAAATCGTTATGGGTGAAGCTGGGCTCGCCTGGGGCTACTGGTCTTGTGGTCTCCAACTGAATGGGCGTATCGTTATTGCCATTAGGCGGGCATGCCATCGCGACACAGGCTTTTACCACCAAAGCACATTAGTTCCAATGTTAGCAAAACCCTCGAAAATATAGATAGCCTTGCCATGGGGGATGGGTAGCAGGTTTATTCCAGACTTACTGCACAGATAGAAAGCCCACAACACACGATTGGGCAGAATTATCTTCTCATCCACAACCCTATCGAACAGATCTCCCAGGTCCCGTTCTCTAGATATTCCATCACGAGTATGGGACCCTCAAAGCCTTGTAAGTAGTCGACTTGTTCTTCGCCGACCCCCCGGTTGCCCCAGACGAAGCTGCCCAGTTGCTGTATCGCTGTACTCCCAGCAGGTCTTGGTGTCCTATTGCCGCCTTTTGATGCAACGTACTTGACGATGTCGTCCGCTCCCGTGTACGATGTTCTGCATAAATCGTGACTGAACATCAAGCATGTTAAACCTGTGGTAGGTGATGACCCGGACACTGCAAGCCTCCCAAGACTAAGGCTTTAGGGGCAACCAGATCGGCGAGGGTTTGACTGGCTAATGGCAGCAGTGCTTTTGGAAGTGCTATGCTCAACTCACTGCAATGTTTCCGCAATGTTTCCCTCGCAGTCTGCTTTGAATCCGACTTTGACGCCCTCCCAGCCTCTCGCGGTATTCGCGTCTACTTTTCCCCTCTAGGCGTGTTTCCCGCTACCCCCATTTCGGACCAGGGACATGGTGGGTCCTGAGGTCCCTCGCATTTTAGTGTGCGAACCGCCGTCTTGAAGATCTGGCTCTGATCATCAACAACACATCACTGACATCAGACGCACACGATTGCGCAACTCAGCTGTCTAGTGAACGCGATCTTTTCAAATTGTATCTAGCAGGCATGACGCTTGGCATCCGGCCTGACGCTCGCACCGCAAATTTGCGCTGACTCAACCGACCAACTTCGCCACGCCTTAAGGACACGTCAGGCCAGAAGACCAGGCAGCAAGACATCGCGAAGCATAATAAGCGCCCGGCAGAAGAAGGGGAGAGACCCAGTTCTCCCGAACTCCCCTGTACATTCCGCCTTGCAAGCAGCTGCTTGCATCTCGGATTAAATACAACTACGATGAGCACTCGCCAGGGCTGGTTCTCGTGGACGCGAGAATGGCTCCTCACCAAGGGCACCATCACATCAAAAACTGCAGTCAGCCGCACCTTCGACCAGGTCTCAGCGCGAATCCTCATCACGGGCCTCGACGCAGCTGGCAAGACCACGCTTCTAGAACGGCACTTGTCGCAAGATCTGGGCAGAGATATCGGCATCTCTAACCCGGCCACCGGGTTCAACGTCGAAGAGCTTCGCTACGGCAAGGTTGATTATGAAGCGATTGATGTTGGGGGCGATTGTAAGAAATTGATTAAAGACCTGGAGAGAAGCAAGTTCCATGAGAGCGATGCGGTTATTTGGATCATCGACTCCAATGATACCGAACGATTCGTAGAGGCGGAGGAGGAGCTGCAGCGGATGCTTCGTTTGGACGATGACAGGCACAAGCCTCTCCTGGTTTTGGCGAACAAACAGGATCTCAAAGACTGTTCAGAGGTGTGAGACGTGTCATTTGCGCTTTGAAACTAGGCTGATGAGTCCAGAATTTCAAGTCTCTAGACGACATACAAGATAGCTTTGATCGCCACCTTCGAGAATCCCTCTGCGATCGTCCATGGGTAAGTTGACTATATTGAAAGACTCCATATTGACGAATTAGGCTGATGCACCAATCCAGCGGCTCGCAGGCACTGACATGCTCACGGGGGAAGGCTTGCTTCCGGCTTTCGAATGGCTGAGTGCCCGATTGACGAGTCAAGAAATGGTAGAGACAAGAAAGATGTGACACCAATCTGAGGACAAGTGCCGATTGACGTGAAGCTCCGAGATGCTTGCGAGCTCGGTCGTGGGCTCTTCAGAGTTTGGCTTGACTTGGTGACGAAGATGACCCCGACCGCTGCACTGACAACGAGGTCGGTCTGGCCACTGATAGCATTTGCTTGGTAGAAGAGGCCTCCTACACCAACTGCCGTAATAGTGAAAGACATTCATGATGATACTGCCGGGGAATTATCATTGCTGGTAGCTTTATGAGGTGTTAGCATGGGACCGTCTATCATTCAGCTTGGTGAAGTTGTCCTGAAGTATGATGTGCATCGGTCACCACACGATCCGCAGTCAGCCGTGGCTGGAGGTTCGGCTGCCAGGTCATTGAATGGGATCGTGATTCGCGAGGGCCATTCATTGCGCCGTCTTCGTCAGTGGGCAGAACATCACAGCCCATGATCAAGAGGCCATTGAGAGTCCTTGTCGGGTGCTTTGCTCCCTGAAGGGCTGCTTGGCAATTGAGAGAAGGAGGGCCCCTCCGGTGATTTTTACCAGCAACCACGGTCCACCTGCAGTTTCAGATGTGCATGCCAGTTGCTAGCCGCTCTGCCGCTCTGCCGGTCCGCCCTTCGAGCTGTCGGCCCGAGACCTACCTGCAGTCTAAATCACGTCAACGCCCTAACGTCTCAAGTTGCCATTGGAACTCAGAAAAGACCTAATCTTTGTCTTGCTCCCGTCTTAACCACCAAGGCTTCTAGACGTCTCATGATGGACAGTCCATATTCCAAAGAACTGCACGTCGCTATCGGGGCCATTCAATCGGCAGCCAAAATCAGCCAGTCCGTTATTTCAGCCGAAGACAAAGGCACAATCAAGAAAGACGACCTCAGTCCAGTCACCGTAGCTGATTTCGCGATCCAGGCGCTGCTGACAGCCACTATCCACCATGCATTTCCCGCCGACAAGTTCGTGGGGGAGGAGTCCGCGGCCGATCTAAGAGACAGTCAGACTCTACGTGACCGCGTGTGGGATCTTCTCAGACGGCTCGAGGAGGATGAGAAGCAATCGCTATGCAAGCTTCCCGAGTCACCTGACCAGATGTGCGAGATGATCGACTGGTGCGGCTTCGGCGAGCCTGGGGGACCTGGTGCTGGGCGAGTCTGGGTGTTCGATCCCATCGATGGCACAAAGACGTTTGTGCAGCGCGAGGCATATGCCATCAACGTTGCCCTCTTGGAGGCTAGCAAGCAAGTCCTCAGCATCGTGGGCTGCCCGACGCTCCCGGTCGATGCCGAGGCACCTGTCTCAAACACCACGGTTGACCCATCAGGCCAAGGTTGCATAGCTTTTGCCGCCAAGGGGTACGGCACGTATGTGCGCACCCTGACTGAATCCCTCGGCAGCACTCAAGTCCGGAAGATCGAGCCTCTACCTGAGACTGCGATGCCTCAAGACCTGCGCGCCGTTTCGTGCTACCACATGCTAGACTCTGGGGTTGACGATGCTCACCAAGCCATCATGGAAAGGCTCGGCATCAGTTCCCGTGGTTGCGACTTCCTTGCCTGGGTATTACGCTGGGTGAGCTTGGGACTGGGACTTGCCAACATGACGGTTTGGGTCTACAAACGACGGGACCGAGGTGGGAACGTATGGGATCACGCAGGAGCGATGCTCCTATTTGAAGAGATTGGTGGCAAGATCACGGACATTGATGGAAAGGACATCGACTTGAGTGTAGGACGGAAGCTGACGTCCAATCATGGGTTCGTCGCCGCCCCAAGGGCCATCCACGCCATGGTCCTGCAGACTGTGCATGAAGTCTTGCAGGCGCAAGGGAGAGTGCATCTTCTTGCTTAGGTGCGCTTTCTACCTAAACAGATCGCTGCGCACGAATTCATGGTACCTTTGTGTTCCAGCGGGAGATCGTCCTAGTCAAAGCTTGGACTGAAGCAGAAGCCGATAAACATAGAAATCGAGGGACTAGGGTCCAGTATATCCCCAACTACTTATCATCCGGTGGTGGCTTACGATTCCTCTCTCAATTCTCTTAGGGTGTTTGCGTGGGCAACATTTTTTATGAAGCAGCGCGGTCAGCGGTGATCACGTCATGACCGAAACGAGTCTGGTTCCTGACAACGGACAAGGCCAACAGATTGTGTATCCAGGGCGACTTCGATATCGCGACTCAGACCTTACAGCCTGCAATACGCGCCTGCGTGATTGCATACGGCAGTCGCAGCCAGGCAGCGACTCAGAGGAAGATACCTGGGGCAGTCATGTCTCGCTAGCTGTTGACGGGTCCTTCCAGTTCGCTGCATTGTCACTTGCCAATCCACTCTCTTTTCACCAAGCGATTGGAGAGCGCAACACCACGCCCATGACAAATTATCCAGCACACAACAGCTGTCAAATCGCACAGAAAACACACACGCATGTGTCGCAATCCAGCGTGAAGCAAAGCGCCGCATCCAGAAAGCAGCGGAAGAACCGCGCAAGGACAAGCCGAAAGCCAGAAGTGCCACATCCTTTCTCGCAATCACCTATGTCGGCAACCGATTCACCCGTCATAGTCGATCCGGGAATGGCACACCCCCAACCTCCGATCTGGGGTTTTCATTCCTCAGCTCCAAAGGTGGCCCATTTCGCAGCGCCTCCAGTTGCCACTCCCGCAGCGCCTCCAGTATCACACTTCTCGGACCCCTCAGTATACCCCTTTACAGCTCCTCCGGTCTTTCATTCTCAGCAGTTCATGGCGCCGGCTCCAGTATCACACTTCTCAGGCTCCTCAGTATACACCTCTACAGCTCCTCCGGTCTTCCATCCTCAGCAATCTATGCCGCCGCCCCCAACGTACAGCCATCCCGCCCCTCCGCTACGATATCTACAGCAGCCCGTGCCTCGGATGCCATATGTCCCGATGCTGGTACAACCGATTGGAAATGTCTTCATGAATGCCACCATCGCGGGAGCTGCACCGGTAAGTAAAATTACGGCATAGCGCCGGGATGAGCACAAAAACAAGGATATTGAGCAAGACACTGACTGCTTATGTCACTAGCCTGTGCCTCAGACTGCCAAGCATGCTCATTATGGTACCCTGCATGCGGGTACACTACACGCACCGCGGCCCTTGACTCTACTCAACAGCGCGCCTCCTCCCAGTGTCCAAACTGTTACGGATTCGGCGAGGGTGAAACGCAAGAAACGACAGCTTGAGAAGATGAGAAACGCATGAACGAATCGAGTTCAAGGGGTTAGGCGTTTCCTGTGTTCGTCACGGCGGGTTGGCGCTCCACCGCCTTGAAAGGGGGTTCGCCGGTGTAGTAGATCTTCTTTCTATGGCGAGCTGGGAAACGGCCCCGTCTTCACCGGATCTCTCTACACACACACACCCGCAAAGGCCGCAAGAGTTGTGCTCTGGACCTGCGATAGGTCATACCAGAAGGCCTGGGTCTGAGGTGGAGGAAACATTTGGTCTCGCAATCCACTCACGATCGGGCCGGGCTGGGCTGGAGATGGCGCTATGGCAAGGCCAATGTGAAATCGCGCAGTTCCCGCCCCAAGGGGCCAGACAGCAAAGCGTTCAGCGCCGGAGACGATACCCCATTCATAGGTTCACATATGTCTGCTGCTCTCCTCTTCTCCGACATCACTCATTGCAAGGCTCCTGTGAGTACATGGTACTGTTGGGCAAGTTAGATTGAGGCGCAAGAAAGCACTGCAATATTAGGGGCGACCAGTCCTGCAGGGGAGACACCGCAGCCCAAACAAAAGAAACTGATTCAAAATGAGAGTGAAGGCCAGATATCCAGCGAAAACAAGTGCCATCTTGGAGGAAATGTGGAAAAGCAAAAGACCACACAAAGAGACAAAAAGAAACCGAAAAGCAAAAGACCACCCAGAGACAACAAGAAAACCCCATCACCAATGAGCCTAGTCAGCATACCCGGCTGCCCGGCCACTAGCCCTTTTTGGTCACGTCGCCGTGTGACTGATATAGGTCTCCAGCTTGGGCAAACGCGTCAACTCCATCTTGTTATACCCAGCTTCGCCCAACTCAACCCCGAGGATCCGCTTCATCCAGCCCAGGCCGTCTCGCACCGCCTGTATGGAGATTTCGGCATTGGGCACCGCAGCGAAGAACCCGTGGAAGGCACCCCTCCAGATACGAGCCTCGACATCGACATTTGCTTCCTCCAGAAGGCGCGCCATCCTCTTATTCTCATCGCAGAGCGGATCGGCTGAGCCGACGAACATATAGGTTGGTGGCATCCGCCGAAGATCATCGGCCTCGGCATGGGCTGGAGCTTCCCAGTGCTTGACATCTGATTCTTTTAGTTTTCCTGCACGATCTTCTCCGAGCGCAGCAGCCCAACCCAGGTGCTTGAGGGTGCAGTTGAACATTGGGGTATTCTTGAATTGCTTGCAGGATGCCGTGTTGTCCCTGTCGTCCAGCATGCCTGCCTCGATGAAGAGACCGCGCAGGGCTTGATTAGGCTGTTCATTCTTCCACTTGATAGCGAGTGAAAGAGCGAGCCCACCACCAGCAGAGGCGCCGTACACGATGACCTTATTCACATCGACGTTCTCGAACGGTGCCGCGCCCCGCTTGATTTGTGCGAAGACGTGCCGCAGAGCATCGTAGCAGTTGTCCAGCTGCTCCGTGGCTTTCTTATCCGGAGCTAGGCCGTACTCGACGCTGACCGTCATGGCGTTGAGCCACTTCGCCCACTTCGAGCCCTCTCTTTCGAGACCGACGAAGCGGTTCGACCCGATTCGAATGCCGCCGTGGATGAAGAAGATGCATGGGATCCGCGGGCCAGCTTCAGCGCCCTTTGGCTTGACGGTGGCGAGGTCGATGTTGCCTCGGTCTGGGTGTCGCTTGACGACGTCAGGGACGTACCGGAAGGCGTCGCTTTTCTCCACGGACTTCTGTTGATTTCTGGCGCCGTCCTCCCTTATCCAGCACTGGTACTCTACGGTATTCCAATCGTTGCCGGCCGCGACCTCGGCGCGATGGCCCTCGAGGACTGCCGGCCGCAGGTCTTCGTCATAGTCGTCGAGGGGGCGCTGTTGAGCGCTCATCTTGGGATATGGTGGTGGTGGGATCGGTGATGAAGAGGCGGCTTCTTGGATGGTTTGGTGCTGCATCTGCGTCTGCACGATATAGACGGAGCCATCTTTGTCCCCCGTCATGATGTTGGTGTCACTTGGGCGAGGAGGCACATGATCACCAACTCGGAGATGTTGCCGCCATTGGGGCCTTCCTGTTGGCAGAGTTGTGACTGTACCTACAACTGTGGTGAGTCGACTTCATCCTAGGTCCTATAAGTACTGATGGGAAGACCAGTTGGTGATCTGAAGGCGTCCATGCTAGCGAAGGTGTGTCTGTAAGCCTGTTGGCGCAGATGAGTGTCTTGGAAAAAGGAGGTTTGATGCCATCTTGTCCGGATCCGGTGGAATATGGTACAGTCGTTGGCTTTCCGAGCTTTGAGCCTGGAGTGTTGGTTCCGATGATGGTCATCGACCTCTAGCCATGTGATGTGGAAGGTCGACGTTGTCTCCCTCCTGGATATGATTTCTTTGTGCTAGGCTCTGTTAGAAGTTTCTGCATGATCGGGTTGGCAGACCTCGTTGGGAGAAGCTTCGATGGGACGGAGTTTTCTCTTTCTTCTTTGAGGAATGAAGGGAGTGTTGGTCTTCATATGGATAGCGTCACTCACAGGGTTTCCCTGGTTTTCGACTATACGCTTCTAGCCTAGCACCTTGGATCGGAATGTGCTTGAAGAGTCGCTTTTGTGATAACTCATATTCCAGTACGCTCTGCCTGTTGGTCTTGTCTCCGTTCATAATACCAACGCAAGGGATGATAGCGCCCACGCGAAAACTGCGCTCGGAGGGTCCAAATGTAGACTAGATGGTGCCGGTGGCACGGCGCCGGGCCTTAAGTGTGGTCTATCGGCAAGCCCAAGAGCATCGACAAGCGAGAAAGTAAAGTCGAACAGGACTTCGAAATGGAACAATCCTAACTGCTTGGAAGTAACGTTGATATATGAAATCGTGCGACTTAAACTGGAAAACTTGATAGGCCTAGAACTTGAGGCCCGACATTGCGTCACCCCTTGATTCCCTGTCTAGTGTATGGGCAACCCGGCATCCCGGCATCACTGTACGAGCGGATACTACGGCCGTCGCAATGAGCATGGGCGGCCACATGGCTTAGACGCGAACAGGAAGGACGCGAGGCCGAATGCTGAGATATCTGCCCGGCACTCTCAGCTAGTGTGAAATGATCGATAAGTGAAGAGGCCTATGATGAGGCAGTGATGGGAGTCCGGAGTGGCTGCTGCGAGGGATGCCCAACGCCGACGCCCCCGGAAAAGAACGATAAACAGAGGCCTTATGTTGCCAACCACTCCGTCAGATGCAAGTTATAGCAGCGTAGGATGCTCCCGTTTCATTATCTGCCCAATAGATATGCTGCAACCATGCTGGGAAGACAATGGGCAGCACCGTCGGGATGCTTGGCCCCGACTCGGGCAAGCACCCGGAGTGAGGCACTCGGATCACCGCAGTTGAGGGCAAACCAGTCCGAAGAAGCATGGTCATACTCAACATGGGCCATTGGCTCATTGCGCGGAAATAGAGCACGGATATAGCAAGATTTATAAGCACTGACTGTCGAGCTGACAGCTTACCCTCCCGAAAAGGAGTACCCCAAGGCGCCGACGGCGACGAAAATACTACCCCCTTTTCCGGGTGTACATGAAGATGGTAGATTACTGGACGATGTGTAGAATTGGATCGGCCATGAGCATAGTCGAGTTTGAACAAGAGAGACTCATTGGCGCATGGGTTGGTGGTGGTGGGAGACGACTCCAATACCTTAAGAGGCAATCCGGGGTAAGGGGGCCTAGCGAATACCCCTAAGACGTTCGAAGACGTCCGGAAAAGGGGCATGCATGGAGCAATGCAATGGAACCTGCCAAGCATGGGGAATGCACGAAGCTCGTGCTCATCACTGGCGGGCCGCATCCGAGACTGGACGTGATCCGATCTGTGGTGGATTTGGAGATAGAAGCTCGGAGGCTGCTTCCAATAGGACATTGCAGGCTTGAAATGTTACATTGTGTGAGCAGTATCCATCTGTATATGTAAGCGGTATGTGGGGATCAGCCACGCTGTCGGGTCGTACAGGGACCCACAGGGCATCTAAGTGTATTCTACCACCAACAAACAGTCCATAGACCTTTTCCTGAATACAACAACGCTGTCACGCTCATACTGCACTTATCGTTTCACGGATAATGCTCTCACATTGTACTATTTTTACTTTAGGCTTCGTTATGAAGGCTCGACGCCTGCTGTTGTTTGAATTTCATCCATGATCAAGTCCTGTCTGGCGGAGATGGCTAGAGGGAGGCCATAGCTAATCTGCCCCTTCGAACAGCCTATCGCAAGTATACCTGGGCATGAAACATACGAAAGGTATCGGCAGTTGACCTTTGGTCTTGTATGGCATGATAATTTGACTTATACTCCTGCGGAATACAGTCTGCAGGCAGAGCAACTCATCCTCAATGTGACATCGTAAATAGACGTGAAAATCAAGTCGGGCGGGTAGCGTCCTCTTATACCAACCGCCGCGGTATTCGCATCATATCAGTATGGTATGCTCACCCCAGTATCAAAGATTACACCCACACTGTAGAAGCAGGTATCCTCAACTTCACCTCCCAACCTGCCAATGGGAGAAAGCCATTGTAAGGGGGGTAGCTACAGCTGGCGTAGCTTCATGGGGCCCAATGGCCCAGCAACCCGACCACCGGTATCCCCAAGGATTCCTGATGGGAAATTGGCCTGCAGTCGGTCGTAAGATGTGTTGGTTGGACCAGGAGAGACAGGATGCTCACTCCCTTCGCATTGAAGATTCCGATGCCACAACGGACCGCGGATGACTTGTAGTGTAGCAGGAAGAGAGTGCCACTAGAAAAGACCCAAGTGGCTATAGGTCAACCCAAGAAAAGACACGAGATGCCTGGCACCATTCTCAATACGGGGACCACCGGCCTGATCGGCTTCCGTATTCTCTCCTGGTCGCTTTTGAGGCCGGCCACAACGTGCACTGCCCGGTGAGATCAAAAGAGAAAACCCAGCAAGTCCTCTTGAACCCAGCTGTACGGAAACTCCAGCCCGGTGAGCGCCTCTCCCTGGCCATTGTCCTCGACTTCACCGTCGACGGCGGCTTCGAATCGGCCCTCGAGGGCGTCACCCACATCATCCACGCCGGCTCGCCGGTGCCGTTGCCAGCCTGCGATTCCACGGCCTAACCCTGCGCTGTCAACATTCAGTGAGGTTCCTGAGGGCTACGCCATGGACAAGATAGTCGAACTGCACAACCCAGACGAGTTCATCAAGATGCAGAACCCCCACTTCACTTTGTCACACGTGGGGCCGACGTTCGTTTTCGGGGAGCGGAGGAGTGCCTGCGTTGCTGCCATTAAGACCGCCTATTCCGTCGGCCTTCACGTAAATGATAAGAGGGTCAGATATGGCACATGGAAGGAGCTTTTTGGGAAAGCCGGGGAGACTTAGATGGAAGGTTTCCATGGCAGCGACGACGCTGGATATGGCGCGCAGAAGACCAAAATGGTAGTAAAGAATGGACGGAGTAAGAGTGATGCTGTCAAGGAAGGACCCATGGACCGCCATGTCAAGAAGCTGAAGGCACCTGCACGATGATGGAAATCTGAAACGACGAGACAGCGTTCTTGGGGGAAGCTTCGACCATCGATTCAAACCCATCGTTATATGCAACAAACCAATCAACGCTACAGATTTATCTTGGGATAAGATGGGCTGCTTCGAGTTCGACGTGACTCCTTGAGAGAAGATGTAACCTTGGAACATATCCTGCCCACTCTCGAACATACCATGACGCTCACTGCTGCCGACCTGACTCATGCAATAACCACCAGTTTTCCAATTGCGCAGACTGAAGTCACGGGGACGTTCATGTTTGTTTGTTTGTTTTGTATTTAACGTGGGGGTAGCTCCTCAGTAGTGCAAACCACGCCTCCCAGAGCCTCTGCATCGCAGGGTTGTGGAGGTCTCAAGATAATAAGTACAGTCAGACCCGCTCACGGGCCCATCCCCGTTGTTGCGGCGGTATGACCTTGGGGTCATCCATCTGGTCCTTCAAGGAAGGCTATCTATCAGGGGCAGATTGTTGAAAAGAACTTGCTCTTCTCCACGAATTTTGCCCATTCTGTGCTCCTCTCCCCTAAGTATTGTAAACAAGCTGCCCTAGGCGAATGCCTAGGCAGTAGCCGATTTTTCCCCAGCCTCTTACAAAAGAAAATGTGTTGTGGTGTTTTCTTCTCACCACAGCTGCAGTGATCATTTGAATCTGTGTGCCCAAAGCGTTCATGGTATCTGGCAAAGTCGCCATGTCCAGATCTGGCCGCTAGAAGTCTGTGTAAAGTACTCCTCTTAAAAGATATAAGGTCTCTTTCAGTTACTGCATATGAGTATACTTCTTGATACCTAGATTCTAATTGGTCTTTCCACCATTGGTTGAACTCTTTCTTGCCCTGTCTTTTGAGATCTCTCTTGACCCAAGAGATTGTAGGAAGATTTGTTGTGTCTGTTTCTAGCATGGCACCCTCTTTTGCTAGTGTGTCGGCAGCTTCGTTGCCATCAATATCTCTGTGTCCAGGAATCCATTTGACGGTCACTCCAGGAATGTGTGCTGTGGCAAGTTCTTGAAATCGTAGAAAAATGTTTTGTGATGTCTCGGGTGGAGTCCCATTGAGCCCATCTACCACTGACGTGTTGTCCAGGCAGACATATAGCTGTTTTCCGTGTCCAATTGCCCTGGCTGCTGCAAGACCTTGGAGAGCACCATGGACTTCAGCATCTACTACTTCTGCTTGTAGAAGTCTGCCCCTTCCCCGGTATACTTCTTGTGTAGTGCCGCCTTTCCTGATGGTATAACCCCATCCAGTGCGGATTGTGCCTTGGTCATCCAACTGTGATCCATCTGAGTAGAGGGGACGTTCATGGGTGAATGTCTGCGCTGGATCTTTGATTTCTCCGGGTACGCTCAAGGGCTGTCGTGACTTCTGCATAAAGTCATAACCACGATGCGGTTCCTCCTCTCGCATTCTAAACTCAAGATGCAGGCCGTAGCTCTTGGAAGCGAATGCAGAAACGACGACCATGACGTACACTACCCCAGCCCGTTCCTTCGCCAGGACGTGCGAAATCCAGGCCCGTCCTCCCGATCACACCTCGCTTTGTATTGATTATCAACTCAGTCCAACTACATCTCCGACACCATGGCTCAGTTTATTCCGAGAAGAGTCAGTAGCAGAGAACGACTATGAATAAGCATCGAGTTCGACGTACTATTTATACCAACTCAACCTCGCCCGCCCCAGGTCCTGCTCCCTTTTCTCTCGGTATCATACGACTACCGGCAATCAGAAGAATCATCACAACCACTACTGCTGTACGTGAGCATTACTCCCGGCTATATTGTGGTATATCCATCTCACGATGCGGACAATACAGGGCGCCCCCAAGCCAACGAGCCTCTCGTACACTGTCCGAACAGCACACACGTCAGCTCGCAACCTCAGAAATAGCCTCAACGACCACCTGGTAGACCAAGATCAAGCCCAAGACCAGAACCAAGCACACACAACCATGGGGCTCACAACATCCACCATACAAGCCGACCAGGAGCGAAGCACGACGATATCTTCGCCAACCGCCAACTCCATCTCACGTAACTTCCCGACCAACAACCAGCACCACACAGCATCATACGGTCTCTACCCTCTCCCCCGTTCGGCGAGCCACGTGGAGATCCTTGGCGTGGCACTAGGCACCTGCTTTCTGACCCTGCTGCTGTGCTGGCTGCTCTGGACGGCGCTCCGCACGGCGATCGCCCCTGGCCACGCAGCAGCCAGAGACACGCGACAGCGACACTCAGACTATCGCCCACCACACAATGACGCAAGTGACGACACAAGCACGACAAGCACAGGCACAACAAGCACAGGCACAACAAGCAACGGAACCCTCAAGTACCGCTCCAGGTCCCACGACCAAGAGGCGCAAGCTCCCGCCGGGGCGCCCGAGCCGCAGCAACAGCAGTTGATGCGGACCTTTGCGAACCTGGCGCGGATCCGGAACGAATCGCCGTCGGCTGGGGACCTGATGGGCACCGTGCGCCGCACCAGCACCGACGTCGCCGCCAGCGTCGCGCGCGAGGTGGGCGAGATCGGGCGGGCCCTGCTCGGGACTGCCGCTGACGCTGATGCTGAGGCACAACACGGCCATGGCCATGGCCACGGGCCCGACGACATCCCCCTTGTGGTTCGGCGCGACAACGGAACGCGAGAATCCGTGGACGTGGAGGAGGGACTGGGCCGCCGTCTGCCGCCTCGGCCCGCCGCTGTCTCTGTTTCTGCTTCCGCCTCGGCCTTTGTTGTACACGACCGTGGACACAGGTCTCCGGAGCGTAAGAGGGATAGGGGCAAGGGACAAGAAAAGGGCAGAAGAAAGCCCGGCGGTCGCGCACACGATGCTGAAGAAAAAGACGAATCTAGCGCTTTTTTAAGAGGCGCCTCCACGGATGCAGATGCGACGAGTGTAGGCAGATGAGGAAGGGCATTTCGGGCTTTTCCTTCTGGCCCCTGGGTTACTTGGCTGCGATGATGCCGGACTGGGATACCGGGAACGAGGCCTGGGATCGGTGGTCTAATTGAGTTTCCATCACTGTCTGGCATTGTCGACCCCAAGGACACGAAACTTGTATGTAACCACTTATCGATGGGATGGGTGTATCGGCTGGTACTGGCGTCGTAGGTCACAGCTGGCGTCTGGGTTAGCATTGGCGGGCTTTCTCTCATTCGTTCGTTCCTGGCTCCTAGGGTTCTGTTTTCTGTCAAGGGGCAATGATATGGAAACGGGACGGATTATGTCTTTGGAAGCAAGCTGTTCTGTTGGTATAGGTTACCGGGCATTCCCAGAATACCACATTCAGATTTTCCAATCTTCTTGAACGCGCACACTCCACTGCATGTCCCCTTGGAACCACATTTCTGGCTGACCTCTTCACGTCTGATCTGGTTCAAGATAGACAGACTTGGTGTTTCCGGGCTCGTGTTAAAGGGTGTTGATGTCTTCTTTGTCTATCGGGGTTGCATGCTGTTATACAGGTTGTATTACTTTTTTTTCTCGCTCGCCCTCGCCAACAATTCGCTGCAGGTCTTGTCTTGCCTTGCCTTGCTCGGGGAACAAACAGGTCCAGGTCGACGTCCAGGCTCGAGCTCCGTCCTCCCCTACCACTCCATCCATCCCATGTAAACCACACAGGACCTGCAACCCTCCCTGCCATATCGCGCTCGCTCGCTCGTCCAACCCTGTAGTCGGCCTGTCTCCCAATGTAGCCAGCCGCACGTCGTGTAGTTTCCATGCCTTTGTACAGGATAGGTACCATTGATCGATTTAGGTCGCCTTCTTCTTGAGGTCCCTCGACGCCTGCTTCAGGCTGTAGTTGCACTCCTCGTAGGCGCGGCCGGCACCGAAGCCCACGCCGACAAATGCCGGCCACGCGCGCCGGCGGAACAGCAGCACCGAGAAGACGACGCCGAAGCCCAGGCCCAGCGACGATTTTATGAGCATGTTCGAGAGGCAGCGGTCCCACTGTTGCCGGCGATTGCGCCGTTGCGGTTAGCCATTCGTTCACTCGCGTGTTTACTGTGGAGGTGCTGTCGTCGTGGTACGTAGGTAGGGAGGCGGAGGTGAATGGGCGAGAAGAAGCTGTTGTGGGCTGGTTGTTTGGGAGGAACCTACCTTCTCGTTCAAAAGTGCCTCGCTCACGGGGCGCGAGACGGTGCTCGGCGGCGCTGGAACCGACGTCTCTGGCATGGTGGCAAGCACTGCGGATAACCTTGTCAGAGTCAATTGGCCTCTCGGCGGCTTCGGGATCGCGTACCTGGCGTAGCGAACGGTTGAGGGGCGTCGATGGTGGAGTTGTCGTCGGGTTTTCGAAGGGAGGCCTTCTTGAGTTTGGTATTCGATGCAGGTTATTTGGAGCTCTCTGCCGTCCGCCGTCTGACGCCTGGTGAGACGCGGAGGCGGTGAGCGGTGCTGTGGATCTTTTTCGGCGTTAGAAGTTAGCGTGGCTGGCAGAATCGGGGATTTTGGAGATTGGAGATCGTGGGGAGCTTCAGCAGAAAAAAGTTACCTTTTGCGGAAGTCCAGAACTCGACAATTCAGTTTAGCGAGCTGTATGATGCCAATGCGCTTCGAGAACCACAATGGATGCAATGGATGTGGATGAAGGTGGTCCGGTGAGTTCATGCATCACTCAATCAATGTTGCTGCAGGCAAGCTAATGCTCTGTGTCTAGTCTCGGCGCCTTGCTCTCATACGGACCGTCAGGACACTCGACGACGACAAAGAGCTGCCACTGCCGGACAAAATCCACAAGCTATGGCTGCTACTTTCCGAGACGAAGCACACTCGATTGCATGGCGTCGAAGAGAGCATACTGCGATGGCTTCTCAAGCAGATGAACGGCAACTCGGAAACTGCTGAACTGGCCCGACGATACCCTCTCACTTGGACCATCCTAGGCCATGTGTTCCCTAAGGTTCCCGCGCAGACACTGGGACGGTCCCTTACCTACCTCAAATTCGTATCCATCCTGAAGAAGACGTTGGATGAGGTCACCGCAGCTACAACAGAGGTACAGGCTAATGGAGTCGCCTCAGATGGCGAGGGAGCGGGTTCAGCGAAGAAGCGAAAGAGAGACAATGCGATACCATCCAGTATCGAGGAGCTTCGTACTCCGGAAGGCTGTGTCAAGTCGGCGATGGGCATCTTCGGCGCCCTCGCAAACCTTCTCGAACAGGGTACCTCCTTTTCCAGTGCACTTGCTCCGGAGAAGAGGGTTGGGGCTGAGCATATCAAGTCCCTCTTCTCATCCTCCAGCGACGAGACCCGCGATATCACTGTGAGGCTTCTCTTGATATGCGACCATTCAATAAGCTTTGTTGAGCAGGGGTTTGTCCGAGATCACGAGTCCTGGATCGATATTTTGACAACGATTTGGAACCTTCGCCCCCACAACAAGGAGGACAATACCGAGTTTGCTAGACTCCTCTATGCTCCAACTTGTTCAATACTTGCAAAGTTGAAGGGCATTTCTGGAGCCGCACCAGAGCTCACCAATAGCACTGTGAGGGATCTCTGGGTTCGACAACTCGAGAAATTCCTGAGCACATTCTCCATTCGTCCTGCGAGACAACGATTCGCAGTCGACGCGAATGTGGACACGTTGAGCATAGCCTTGGCCTTTGCGAAGAGGGATCCGGTTGCTTCCACTACGGTTATGTGGGATGTTGCTGCCAGGACTCCCAGGGATACGAATGAGCCGAAATCCAGGATGGAGCATACTTCATGGGCTGAAGCTGTTTTCGAGCTATTGTTAGGTGCCCTCGACTCGTTGCAGCCTGCGGAACGGAACCAGGTCGTTTCGCGGCTGCTAGATACCGCTCTTGAAACCGGGTCAATTCCGAACACTCCCACGCTTCGTACCTTGTGCAAGGCGCACGCGCTGGTTTCAGACGACCCTGATTGGACACTTGTCTCCAAGATCACTGCTTGCGACGCTGACGTCTTTCTCATGGACAATTCGCTAAGTGAAGACATCTTCGATAGAATCAGTGCCGCTTCAAGCCGAGACTCCGAGACAAGAGACAAGATTATCACCAAGGTTACTCTTCCATTGCAGCGTGCTTTTGCGAATGCCCGAGATCTTGCAGGGTTTGTCACACGATGGTATGGTTGTCTTTGCAAATATGCCACTGCACCGGGCAGCTCTATGGATCAAGCGATATGGTTCGACTCGAGAATTCGACAAGTACTCGCTTCCATGTTGCAAAGTGCGCTGTCAAGCACTCAACTACTACGTCTGTTAGAGCGTCTGGACTCACCAGGCGCCAACAGCGGGGCGCTCTTGGTCATCCTTGATGGCGTTTGCGCAGGACTCACGGACGAAAGCTTTATCTCCAGTGCCGATTCAAAGATCTTCTCTATGACTTTCCCAGGGAAAAGCTATGATAATGTCTCTTCACAGGTCCTCTCGTTAAGGTGGCGCGTTGCTGGTTACATGGCGTCTTGGGAGACCTCCGAGGAATGCTACCAGCTCTGGGCCGAGATCAAGCCAGTTCTCAAAAAAATCCTCAAAAAGGGCTCATTCGACGGCGCTGAAACTTTTGAGGCATTTGCTTGCTGTTATAAGCTCTGTCTCGCCAATCATATTGGTGGCAAGTACGAAGAAGAGCTTGTCAAGTTGACATGCTCGTTTCTCGAAAGACTGATTACGGCGGTCAAGACTAGCGACAGCCCACTAGAATTCAGACATTTTCTGGACTTCGTGTTCTGTCACCTACCGAAGCTAGCTGAGCAGCCGAAGCAAGAAGTCAACACCCTATCTGATCTCATCGTGGGCTTGTTCTGGTACACCAGTCAGCAGCTGGCCGCCAAAGATGATTCGCAGCTTCGCGCAGTCATTCGACCGCTCCTCCAAAACTTTGATGTTGAGGATGAAGAGCCATTCCTCGATGCACTTATGGCGCAACCTCTAGATGCACTTGACAGTGCTGAAGTTCAATGTGGATGGGCACAGCCACATAGTCTCTCGGTGATACTGGTCCTGCTTGAGTTTCCACGTGAGGCGTGGACTAAAGGACGTCGGAAGCGCATCATGTCGTCCTGTAAGAAATGGAAGCTGGCAATCGACACCCATGCATCTCAGAACCGTGTATATGGAGCGTCCGTACTCAGATTGCTTGTCAAGATAATGCAGCAGCCAACCTTTTATGAGGTTTGTCTCTCTCCCCTTCCTCCCACCACCCCCACCTTCACCCTTTGAACCCGTGCTGATGCTGCCTGTAGGGCATGGACTTCAACGATCTCGTTGATATCTGTTCCCAAATACCAAGTCAGGACTATGGTCTTCTAGCTCTAGTCGAGCGGCTCATCGAGTTAACGCTGAGGTCAGTGCCTATCTCATTTCTCCCTCGACATCCGACTGACGCTTTGCAGACAAATGGTAGTCAATGCCGAGGACGCCTCGATGGCCTACCTCCGTGATGCGTCAAGATACGTTGGTGACCTGTATACGAAGACAGCATCGGGAGAAACAGCTCAGATACTTCTTGTCATAAAATTGGTGTCTGTACTGAGCAACAGCCCATCCACCAAATCGTACAGCACCGCCGTCGACCTTGGGAAAATCAGACGAAAACTTGTGGAATTGGTACAATACGGACTCTCCGATTTTGCAAAAGAGAGCGAAGCGCTTTCAACTGCTACCAAGGAAGACCCGAAATTGGTGCCACTCTCGGTGATCTTGGCCGCCGCAGCAACTCTCACTGAAATCCGAGAAGGCAGCACTATCGAGCTGTCGGACAAAGTCACCCGAAAGCTGGAGACTGCAAGCTTAACTTTTGTATCGCGCGGTGTTGATATTTGCTGGAAACTGAGGGCGTTCCTGGTCAGACGTTTCCCGAATCGATATGACAATACGTCCTTCTGCTCGCAGTTAGAGCAAGGGACCAGTGCAGTCGACGAAGACTTGGTATATGACTTCGTTGATGCGTTCGTCAAAGGAAAAGGTCAGGCTGCCCACAATCTGTTATTCGGCGAATTGACCAGCAATGGTAGGCTGGCTACCGGGCCCATCGGCCCTTTGCTAGCTGCTAAGAAGCTTCTTGAGCTTCATCAAGGTGTGTAAACCGCAGAGATCTCCCCGCCCATGAGTCTAGTCTAACAATAACCAGGGGCCAGCACGTCACAGTCCCAAAGCGATAAAGGCTTGGACCTCGGAGCAGTGCATGCGCAATTCGCCTCGCTGCTCAGTCGGGTTGAATCTCTTCGCCATTTCAAGCAGGTATCGGAGATACTGTTGTTCCTACTGGACAAGCATGCCAACTCGATGACGCAGTTCAATATAGAGGTGACGCTCAGCAGCGTTGCCGATGTGTGCTCATTGAAGGGCCCATGCATCCAGGGGCCGAGGGCAGCCGGTGAGATATACGAGTTTCTCTACAAACTGGTGGCCCTCGTGATCAAGCGGCACAGACTTCGGCTGCGAGGACATTTCCCCATCCTCATCGCCGCACTGCGGGCGCTCTTGTACACGCTTCTAGCCGACCCTGGCTCCCACGCAATTGGTCGACGTTCTCTGCCAACGCATCCTCCATGGCTCGGATCGCGCCTCGAAGCCCGGCACGCGGAGCGGTTCGCACGGCTTCTGACGCTCATCTGCGAGCCAAGCGCGGCATCGGTTGCACGCGGAAGATCGAGCGAGCTTGACTCGGCGACGGACGCGGCGAAGCGCGCCGCCGGCCAGGACATGTTCATCGTGGTGGAGTTGTACATCAAGCTACAGCTCGAGGGCGCGGGCGTGCCCCACGACATGCGCAAGGTGGTGGAGAGAGGCATCTACTCGGTTCTCGACGTCACGCCCACCGGCGCCAGGAGGGTGCTCAACGAGTCGCTGGACGCGGGCGGGCGCGCCGTCTTCAGGCTGCTGTTTGCTGATTACAAGAAGTTTGGCAAGTGGAGTGGTGTATGATGTGTCTTGCCAAGGTTGGACTTTCTCGATATGTATATACTGGCTTGGTCGCTTATGATACCCTTCTGACTGTCTGTCTATCGAGTAGTAGTGAAATAGGTGGAGCCGTAGGAGACCGTATATCGAGTAGGCTGATGAGGCACGCACCCGGGCTGCTTCACCGCGAGCCGCCGGACACCCAAGGAAGTCGGAACCGGTATCTCCGAGCGCCCAAATAATAACCTCGGTATAGGCGGATAGACCTTCCTGCTGTGTAACCAGATTAGGGTCCGGTATACCCCGGGATCTACTGCGGTTCCAAACACGTGGTAGGAAGCTCCGGCTCCAGTAGGGCTGTAGGGGTGGCCTTGCTGAAGATGGAACGTTGCAGATGCCGATCCAGATCCAGATACCGAAGATCCTCCCGTCATCTCCTTCTCAGATAAACTTCATCAGCGAGACTATTATACAGTATATTAACCCACGTGGTTCATTCGGTGCTGGTACGTAAGAAACAGCACCAGGCAGCACACATCATATTGAGTGAAAACAAGTGAGATCAAGTGAGAATCCATCACCGAATACGCCTGCTCACCGAGGAGAAAACCCGCTCGGCCGTATCTCCTCGGCGGTTCGCCATCGGTGCGGCTTGCGTCGGTGTCAAAAAATGTCACGTCTAGCAATGGATCTGAGGTTGGCGAGCGCCGGCTTGTTTCGGTCCACTCCGTCGCACATCCATGCCTCCTGGTGCATCCTACACGAGATCTCGGTCAGCACTCTGGGCTTAGACCGATCCCTCGGCGTCTCTCGACCGCGGCGTGGGCCAGCTACGGTGTCCATTTGGCCGACTGGCTGTCCACCACCGCATTGCTTTCTCAGATCATCAATGCCTGATCATCGGTGATGCCGAGTCGCGGGCGGGTGCGCCGGTAAGCTTGGCTTGGGAGTGAGGGATCAATGTGTTATTAGATAGATGCCGATGTAATTAGTCACAGGAGAAGACTCTGCGCAACCGTCCGATATCAAAAGCAACCGGTCTGGCCGTGTAAACCGAGCGGCGAGTTTTTCCTCATGTCGCCAATAATACCACAATGCCCGTCACAATCAGGCCGTCGGACCACGGCTCCAGATCCTGGGCCGGCCGCAGATACAGGCACGCCTCGTCGCCTGACGTCCTGCTGCACTACACGCTGACGGACGACTCGCGGACGAGCCCGCCGCGCGCCAGACACGTGGTCCAGAGCTCCTTCGCTGGGCTCGAGAGGAAGGACAACGTGTTCGCGGCGAAGAATGGGTTCGTATATTCATGTATGGAGGCGTACAACGAGCACCACCGCCTCATCATACGCCCCGAGGACGTATGGTTCGCCATCCTAACCCAATTCAGCGCCTACGTCAACGGTCACGCCGAAGAACTGCGCGGCCTCTTCTGCGCCCACGACGCGCAGCGGGAGCTGCACATCGACGTCGACCTGAACGGCGTCGTCGTCGACCACGGCAGGCTGGCCTTCGCGATGGCGAGGCTGATGCAGGGGAACATCCGAGACGAGGGCCTGCGCCAGTGGATCATGCCGGCGTTCACGACGACGACCAAGACGGATCAGGCCGTCGCCAGCGTGGTCTTCATGGGCGCGATGCAGAAGTTCTTCACGTACAGCTGGGGCACGCGCTGCGGGATCCCGGCCGTGACGCTGCTGGGCGAGCGCAGCGACTGGGTCGAGATCCGCCGGCGCGCGGAGCGCCTCGCGACGTACGGCGCCGAGCCCGCGCGCTGGCTGCGGGTTTTGGCGCCCGTGCTGGACGGGTTCGTGGACGGGTTCGCGGACCCCGCGGGCGAGGCGGCGAGGCGGTTCTGGCGCGGCGTCTGCGACGAACATGTGCCTAATGGCAGCGGCTCGACGACGTACTCCGGGTGGATCACGGCGTTCTGCTTCTGGGACGAGGGTGGTAGATGTTTGCACGGATCGAAGGACGGTGACGAGGTCAGGCTGACGAGGAGCCAGCTGCCGAGCGGTTTCACGAAGGTGCCGGTTACGCTGCTTGATGACGGCGTCGCTATTCCCACGGAAATGGTCGCTGGGTCGGTGGCGATCAAGGCGAGCAGGCCGGAGGAGACACTACGTGCCGAAAGGGGCGGCGGGAATGATACGATACAGCCTGAAATCGGATGGTTTATGTACAAGACATAAGGATGTCACGACCCGAGGATGGCTGAGACGAGCTTGCAACACCATCTACCAAGGGGTAATGGTAAGTCGCCCGCTCATACGAAGATCCATCCCGTCGAAGTCTGTTCGCTTACCACTTGGCCAGAACACCCACGACTGCTCTTCCAGCTCAGGCAGACGCGTCCTCTTGACGGCAAAGCCCACCCACCCACCACCATACATCGTCTCGCGTATCTTCCCCTCGTGCACTTGACTGCATACCGAACCCCAAACGTCCCATCGGCCATGCTGACGCCGAGACGCCTTCGGGAGGCCCTCTGGGTCTGTCTAGTCCCCTAGGCTACCTCGCGCTCGTCGCAACACTGGGCATTTTCCTGCCTCTTAGGTGGATGACCCAGGTGGAACTTGCAGGCGGCAACAGGACTGTCGTAGGCGCAGTTTCCGTGGTTTCGGCTTGGGGGCCGATGGAGCGACGGTGCCAGCGATGATTCGAACATTCCGCCGTGGTACTTGAGGCACATTAGGCACTTAGATAATACGCGCTTCGCGGTCACGAGACTCAGGTGCGGGATCCAACCTAGGCGTGTTGGTGCATGACGGGGGAAAGCTCGCACTTGGCAGTTGGATCAGGTTTAGGGTCGACTTGGTTGACGTCTTGGCTAGGAGCGAGGCACGCTGGGAGGAGGGTGCTGGCGGCGCGCACTATAAAATGACGACTTGTAAGGTTTGGACGATGGTGGTGTTACTCCTAGCTTCAAGAGTTGATGATTGAGTTGATCTTTGAGCCTGCATTAGGCATGATTATGAGATTAGAAGCTGAGATCTCGGCGCGAACTGGGAGAAAACTCGTTATGATCGAGGCTATAACTTCCGTCATACGGCATGACAAGAGAGCTATTGCCTACCACAAAGTTACAGTTGTCTATTGTGCTTAATATAATCAGGTACCCAATAGACTTCTGCATTCTAGTGTAGACCGCGACTACTCTTTGCCTAGATCAATATGCCGCAGAAGAGTTATTTGCGGGCTTGGATTTGGGACTCAGCGACTCTTTTGGTCGTTTACAAGTAAGCAGGGGAGGCTTTTCTCTGCCCTAACTGGTGCCAGCAGCGTCTGTGACGATCAGGCCTACAGTACAACTGATCAGGACTGATGGATAGATAACGCTAGATTCAACGATCTATGAAGAAGGAAGAAGGAAGAAGGCAGGCCGCTTCAGGTGAGAGGTGGGCCTCCTATATATATAGGTACATGTCCGTCCACCTAACCGCTCAAGAGCCACTCCACCAGTTCCTGCACCCTGCCGGCAGGATGCCGAGAAGACCACAAGGCAGCATCGCTAGATAGACAACCAACCAACGATAAAATTCAAGACCGGCAAGACCACAAGGCAGTATCCCTAGAGATACACCCAACCAACGATAAAATCCAAGACCCGCAAGACCTCATCATCATCATTCTTCAATCGCTTCGGTCACGAGAGCCCGGACGATCCTCCTGCCCTCCTCGCGATCCTCGTCCTTGTAGATGCTGAGGAGAGGTCGGCAGGAACTTGTACACGGACTTGTAGTGCTGGCCCAGCCAGGCCTTCTCGGCCGCGGTGTAGGCGAGGGCGTCTGTGCCCGTTGTAGTGGTGGTGGTGGTCGGCGCAGTGGCTTCCATGGTGTAATGTAAGTGGTGGTTTGGTGGTACGGGTATCATGTCTCTTGTCACATAGGAGTTAGCAGATGACTTTCGTGACTGCATCAAACTTTGCAGCATCGCTACTCCATGCGCAAAAGCCGATTCGTCGCTGTACACGACTACCATCCTGGACATTCCTAAAAACGTTTGTAATCATTCCCAGATACGCCTCTTGTTCATGGACTCTGAATTTCCCCATGACAAGTACTTGGCGCCCGTGTCTTTTATCTATCAACCGATAGATTTCCTTTAGCGGGTCAGCCTTCGCTCAGTTGAGAGGGTCCCGGGCCATTGGAGTAAAGGGGTCTGGGCCATCGTGATCGCCTTTATCCAAGTACACCGAGCATCCCGGAGAATTCACATATTCTCCGTGTAGGTCCTGGTAAATGGCGGTATCCTTTTCGCAGACTTGAGTCTGGCCACGTGGGTAAGCTGTTCGAGGCGGCGCTGAGCGGACAGTAGGTCGCGAGCCCTCCAGCAACGACACAACGGCCTTCAACTTGATCGCATTACCCTTGAAACCCATATTGCCTTCATCGTCCAATTCAATGGTCGGCCGGCTGGCCCACTCAATTTCTTCTATGGCGTAGAAGTCCGCGGGCACCATCTTGGTTCGATCGAAGGGAGACCTGACAGAGTGCCCAGCAACCCAAGGCCGGCCAACATCAAAGCTTTTGAATGTTGGAATACTGATCTGCCAGGATGGCTCGGCACCTGCGAGCTGATGGGTGAAAGCTTGGCTGATAACGGGAGATTTTTGGACTATCTGCCTGCCGAACTCGATTTTTAGGCGTTCCAAGCCCAGGCTAGGGTCTAGACGGATCCCGTACACCTGCATAATGCCGCAGATCTGATCGACGGGCCGGCTGACCGTGCGGTGAGAGACGACGCCCAGGAGTACAAGTGGATTCCTAGAGCTCAAGGTTTCAATGCCACTGTAACGAAACCTCTCGTAGAACGTCTGACTGCCGCGGTGTATGATGTCGTGGGAAAGGTTCAGGACAGTTGCAAGCGTTGCAGGTGACGTGGTGGATGGACAATGTACGGTGTCGCCACTTTTGGACAGGAGGATAGCGTCAGGACGCAGATACGCTTCCTGGAGGGTCCACAACGAAGTGAACCAAGGATCACGGAAGAGCAGACGCGCGGCACCCTCCCAATCGTTGTTGTAGAGACTTTGCAGGCCGTCGTTAAGTTGAACAGTTGATAGTCCGTGAAGCCAGATGAAAGCTCGGCGCGCTCTGTTGAATATCCCGGCTTGGTGTCCGACCTCATCCCCATCCTCTGGTTGTATGTCTTCTTTTGCACCATCCTGTGGAATGCACACTTCCGCCGCAACAACGGGGATGGGCCCGTGAGCGGGACTGACTGTACTTATTATCTTGAGACCTCCACAACCCTGCGATACAGAGGCTCTGGGAGGCGTGGTTTGCACTACTGAGGAGCTACCCCCCACGTTAAATACAATCAATCAATCAATCAATCAATCTGTGGAATGCACGCAACGTCAACCCATACAAATGGTGCATCATACCCGACTTTTGTCAAAACACGACTGAAATCTCCACTATTGAAACCACCCTGTGCTAGACCATGCCCTTCTTTCTGGCTGTTCTTACCCGGCCGGCCTCTCGTGGTCACGGGTTTGACTCTTGGGATGTCCCACGGAACTCCATGGATCTCGATTGCACTCCCGTCCCTATCGCTAGCTCTGTATCTACCCCATGTGTATGAGATGATGTTGTAGTCTGGGCTGGACACGGAATCGTATTGGACTGTACCGTCAGTCATGATACTGCGAGGGTAGGACGTCAGGTTATCGATGCAGAGGAGTCTTCGAGGCCAATAATCCTCGACGGCCTGCAGGCTAAACGCCCGTGTCTGGTTCGATTCCATGTCGTCCTAGAGGCTAACCAGAGCTGCCTGTCCAACCAACCAACCAACAACCAACCACTTTCCATACGGCGTAGAACGATAGCCGACAGCTAGAAGAAAACAAGCCACCATTTAACAGCTGACATAACACAGTAGAATTGTTGCCGGAGTTTCGGCATCAAGCCCCTTCGCATCCACTAGGAGAGCTCCAAAGGTTTTACCTCACTTCTTCTATCCTAACGTCATGTAAATAACTATACATAACTATGACGCTTGATCCAGCATTGGGTTACTAGGGTAAAGACTTTGATCGTGATTCTCATGTTTCTCGGTTAATCTTCTAGTCTCGAAGTTGGGTTCAAGGATGTCTGACGAGGGCATTGCCCCCACTAATAGAGTCAAAGTTCATTCGGGATGTTGCACGGTCAGAAAATATTCTCTGGGACCACTTGAAGTCTACTGAAGAGGGATGCCCGCGGAATGTCTTCATGCTTCTATTGGGAGGCATAAGACCGCTCAGGGAAGGCGACATGTCTTCTCCAAGTATCACAGCACTAGACAGCCCCACTAGGTCAACCCCTATATATACAGGACTACGTCTTCTAGCTAGCTTCATAGTTTCCTTTCCTCTTCACGTACAATAACAAAGTCATTTCTGGAGTCACCAGCAGGTCGAAATGCGACACCGAGGAAGAGTAGAAACTGCGACCAAGGCATTACATTCATGCGAGGCCGCGAAAGCGAAGCTTACGAGACTATGTCCAAGAGGCTGGGAATTCTCCACTGGAGCTTTTGGAAACTGAGGTAGTGGAAGAGGCAAAGTCCGCTGGAGTGAGACGACGTTCCAGACGAGTCAATATTTGAACGAGGACGGTGGACACTGCATACAGGAAAAGGTGTACCATGGCCGAAGGCATCTGCAGTAGAGGATATATAGTTACTAAAGTTGTAATATTTACGCACGTGAATATAGGCGGAGAAAGTCGGCAAGTCGTAGAATTGTCGCAGGACTACTAGTGATCGATATATGACGGCCTATGCAAGATATATATAAGTTACCGGACAGATTATAAATCTCCTTGGAACCGCCGGGCCCATTCAGTCCAAGGAAACATCATGGTGTTGAATGGCGCGCAAGCCACCGTGGCGTTCAGGGAGGTGGCAGTGCACCAACAAGGCCAATAGGGCATTTTTGGGCCACTTAGCCCACAGAAGGATTTTCACACAGATACAACAAGAACACGGATTACACCAGAATATACGTTTTCACCCATCTAAAAGCTCCAACGCTCTGTTTGACACATGGAACTTGTGCGTCCACTCAACGACGCCCTCTGTTCGACCACCCGACCCGACCAACCCATCCTTGGGTTTTGGGAACAGTACAAAAGAAGTCCGAGAGCATATCCCACCGGCGAGGATAGCTTGGAGGCACCTGCCCTGGTTCTCACTACTGGTCTCGATCATACTTCTCAAAAAGCACGGGAAAACTTGGTCTTGTTCAAGTCGAACTTCGTTGCGTACTTGTGTCGATTATTGGAAGCACTGGACACGACTCTGGGGCCTACAGTCAGCTCAAAAGACAGGAGAGTTAGGTAGCTGGTACGACTACGACCAGGTGGTCAGAAGCAAATGCCGCAACCGGTCTTTGTTCCGTACTGAGCAAACCTACCTTGGACTCGGTGCGGACCAATGTCAGGTGGGCTACGTGGTATGTATATTTTCTTGGTGGTGAGGTCCCATTCATCCTTCGACCAAGGGATGGTCACTTTCAGCTCATTGGAGATGCCTATGTACATGGTGTCATGGATGGGGAGACAAAACGAAATCCTGGGATTGCAAAAGAGACGCGGTTTGACACACATTAGATAAAGTCCATACTCCTAAAACGATCATACCATGTCCTCACCACCCACCAACCAACACGCGAGCAGACCTACCAAACACTATCGGACCTTACGTCCCTACCTTCCCCCCTGAAGCCACAAGCCGACACGTCGACAGGCGCGCGTGACAAACGCACCGGTGCATGCCATGGCTGCACGTTGTCGCCAATCTTCGTCCTGAAAGTTGTTTGCCTGTGATGAACCTGCGAAGGACGCATGCAGATTGCACACAGTATGATATGGACTGCCCTGATCCTCGTGTACACACTGGGGTCCTGAAATCGTAGGTAGCCAACCTGGTCTCCAAAAGAAAAGAAAAATCACCTCCACACACCTCCATTGGCAACAGGGATGAGTGCTTGATGAAAGAAGGTAGTCATTGAGGCAATGCTGGGCTAGTATCTAGCCCTCCCCATGCAAGAATAACCAAGACGGTCTGCAACGAGATACCCCCCCCACGAGGCCAATAGAGTCGAGCCATCGCACGACGACCTATTACATGTTGAAGTTACTCTTCGCGAGCCAGACCAGTCCCATGCACCCTAGGCTATGCAACGCCGCAACCCCATAATGCAATACTCGTGCAGGCCTTCACCAGGCTTACACGTAAGGATATCGAAAATGAATACAAGAAAGCCTCGGTGCCAAATAGGTTGGAGGCGTCGTCACCTTGTTTAGTAATCGTGCTCCCTTTCCTCGAGCTCGCGCATGTACTTGACGAATCTCTTCTTGTGCGTCTAGGGCCATGTCAGTATCATCCATTTGGTAACAAACATTCAGACGTACCATGCCAGCATAGCGTCCATCTTTCAGAACGCAAATATACCGCAAACCAAGCTTAGCGAATACTTCATACACCAGATCCATCGGAGACTTGATATCCAGACAAACCGGAGCCGGGTCAATGTACCGCGTGAAATCCGTCGGGTCTTGGTCGTCCTCATCCTCGTCATCAATGCTGGGCACATCCGCCATGAGGCAGAGATTGGAGGCTTCGTCCTCGAGATTATCCAAGGCATACTCAAGGTCTGGGGCAGGGATCAGTCCAACTAGGACGTCACCCCTCAGTATGGGCAGTCCCCCATCAAGCTCGCCAGCTTTGTGGAGCAGTTCCAGCTTGTCACGAAGTGTAGTGGCCGGGACGAGAGGAGAGCTGGTGATATCGATGACGCGCGCACGACGAACGCGAGGGATGATCTCTGCCAGCTCGCCGGTGAATACAGGCTTATGTTTGTTGTCCAGGTAAGGGTAGGAGTTCATGTTGGTAAGCAGGTCGTAGATACTGAGCGGCTCCAATGCATCGGCGGTCCATTTGGCAACAAGAATTGCCAGGGAGAAAGGCAGCACGTAGTCCAAGCTTCCAGTCAGTTCGAATAGGATGACAGCTAAGGTGACGGAGAGCCTCGTTACTCCGCACATTGTCGACCCGGCCGCGATAAGAGCGTAGACCCCCGGTTGGACGCAGGTAGACTCCTGAAGGAGAGGGCATGAGCCCCATATAGCCCAGTGGGGGAATCGGAGGACTATCCACTGGACAAGATGGCCAATTATCCTGCCCATGAGGCCACCAACAACCATGGATGGGACGTATATACCCGCAGGAACTTTAATGCCGAACGTGATGGTGGTCAAGAACCCCTTGATAACGAAAGCTGCGAGAAGCGTACGAATGATGCCCGGTATCTCATCGATGTTCGATGGGCAGAGCCCTAGCCCGTGGTCTTTGGTGTCGTCCTCGCAGGGAGCTGCCAGATTCAGAAGTAGCTTAGCGACAGGGAGCTTGGTAAGGGGGTTCCAGTAACCAATCAGCCCAGTCACTAGAGCCACCAGAACGACTTCAAATAGCGGATATTTCTTGATGACAGAAATCTTCCGGAAACTCAATGCCCAGCGGCGCGATGCCTTGATGAAGAAGGCACCGGCAGCTCCACCCAGAATCCCTACAAGGATGAAGCCTACCATTTCGAACCATTCCCAATCAATCTTGTAGCGGACTTCGAACATGACGATCTTGTGTGTCCCATACGGATTGAGAAACTTCAGGGACAGAGCTGCAATGATGCAGCAGAAAAAGGTGCGGAAAAGCGTCTTTGCCGGGAAGAAGTAGGCCACTTCCTCGAGGCCGAAAAGGACACCACCCAAGGGGGCTCCGAAGGCAACAACGACACCTGCTGCTGCGGCGGCAGACAAGACCTCACGCCTCTTGCCATCATTACGATCGTACTTAGTGAAAAGCCGGCAGCAGATGTTGCCGATACAAGTCGCTATGTGAACGTATGGGCCCTCTTTGCCGAGGCTGAGGCCAGACGCCACACTCATGACCAACCCTACCGATTTGATGACAAGAGTTTTGAAGCCGAGGAAACCGTGGAGAACGAAGCCACTGAGTATGACTCGGACTTCGGCTACACCACTGCCTGCTGCAGAATAGTAAATCATCGGTGGAGAGACAACCTGCTGAGGAGCAGACTGTCTCGGACTCACGGAACCGCCGTCCTCGTCGTTATCGTTGTCATCTGGAACCCGCGAGTGCTCGGCAGCTAGATTTTCGTCCAAAGTTGACATCCGATAGGCTGAAGGGACCACCGTCTTGGTCGTGAGAGTCAGCAGGCAGGCTATGACAGAGAAAAGGACAACTGCAATGAGGTAAATCCCAAAGTCGGTCCAAGCCTCCCCAAGCGGATGGCCGCCCATAACTTCAGACCACGACCGCCAGTCCGTACACGGCCCATGGGGGCAACATCTCTGTCATGGCCCAGTTAGCCCAGGGATGCATGTGAAGGAGTGTTCAAGGGCCTGGCAGTGAGGGGACTTTACCTTCTCCCTAAGATACCAGGCCTTTGCACAGTAGCCATCCTTGAAGTCGAACATGGTCGTCTCCGCCACATCCACGCAATAAGCAAGCACGGCTACAAGAAAGCCGACCACAGCGCTCAATATCCAACCCTGGGCGCCATCGAACAGGACAACCAGCCTGCCCCACCAGTCCTTACGATGTCGAAGCTGTCTGACCCGGTATGCGTCGGCGATGCTGTCGTGCACCCAGTCGGTGGAAGTGAACTGATCGTACCATATGCGTTCGTCAGGGGCGATGGAGTGCTTGGACTCGGTCATGGATTCCTGGCGGTGGTCTGAGATAGCTTGTACCAGGCGTTGGCCCCAGGACTCGTGTCGAATGTGATGTCTAGTCGATCCATAGTAAGCGCTTCCTGCACGACGATAGAGCAAGTCAGTAAGGGGATTCAGACATGTTGTACGGAGCAGACATGGGCTAAGATACGGACCAGAGAAGCTGTGGTTTCTCGACAGAAAGCCCGGGGTCTCGAGGGGGCTTTGGATGCGCACATGGGAGGCTGAAGGGCGCAACAAGGCGGTACTCTCGTCGGGGTGTTCGGGCATGGAGTTTCGTCTGGTTCTTCTTCTCGACTGGCGGCGGCGGGTTAAAGGAGATGAGGGAACGGAGAGGTGAGACTCCTGCGATGGGAGCACACCGTCGTCCGCAGGGCTTTCGACCATTGTGGGCAATGGCGAGCGCGGAAGCTCGCGATTGGAGGTCACTTGGCCAGAGGGAAGAGCACTGAGTTACGATGGTGGCTACGTTGCGGCTACGAGGGCGACGGCGACGGCGACGGCAATCGGACGAGGTGTTGTCGTGGACGGCATGAGAGCAGAAAGAGAGAGGTGGCCTGTGGTGCGTGCCGTTGGTGACGTTGTGGCACTGGATGCTCGAGATGCGCTGACGTTATGCCCAGGGCCGGGCAGGTCGCAGGTAGGTCGAAGGAAGCTCCCACTCTCGATCCCACGTCCAGTGTGTGCTACCTGTCAGCACATGACAGTCGAGTCAGAGGCGCAGAGGCGGCAACAGGTGAAACAACGAAGGACTCAAGACAGATGATAGTCAGGCGGGGTTGCCGCGTTCCCAACCGAAGCCAAGGGATATTTTGGGAGTCGATGCGGATGTTGGTCAAGAGACCCCGAGACCCTCCTTTACGATGTGATGGAGCCAGTACTTTGCCTCTATTCGCAACACGAAAAACACCAAAGCGATGGCGTAATCAGGGTGTATGGAGACACATGCGCGCCCGCAGTCCTGGTAGGCCCTCTAAATGCCCTAATGCGAGCGCGACAAAGACCCTGAAAACCGGATGCCACAGAAGGGCTAGCCGGCAGACTCGTAGTGGCTGTTGGGCGATTCAAGGTTGGCACCTGCAGATTGACAGGTGACCACCTCAACCACTAACCTTAAACTCTAGTGCAGCTGACAACATTGAAGGAGGCCCCACATAACCTTGAAAGCCTGCAGGTGCCGGAGTGCTTCCAAGCTGCAAGCCGCCCAATGTGCATCTCACCATCCACCTATCACTGATCAGGGCATTCACTGATGATTCCCATCCATCCATCCAGCCATCCATCCCTAGACGCTGTAACCGACGGCATGTCAGATCTGTCGGCTCTATAGATCTTCCGACCAGCTTCGTCCTTACGAGGTAGTGGCGGTCCATCAGTCGCCAACCGCCGTCAGGACTCAGACGACCTCCCGGCATAGGTCCGAGGCTAGTCACCAATAACTGGCCGTCATCAGGTATTGCTGAGAATGGGTCGCATTCACCGCTATCATGCCATCTCATAAGGAGGGGAAGAGACCCCCCGTGCCCAAATTCTCCTCCTTCAAGCCGAAGCTTGCTAGCCCCCCTCCCAACCGGAGGGTGGAGACGGGCGGCGAGTCGAGCCAAGTCGGACGTGATGAGCATCCGATCGCCAACAGGAGCCACTCGCGTGCGCGAGATCGCCGTCGCCCAGCTGCAGATGCATCTCACAAGCCTGATACGAGCCAGCTTGACGTTCCACACAGACCAACTCCGCAGCAGCCCGAGTTGAGTGACTTGTACGTCGTCGATAAGCGAGGTGACTCCTTAATCAGAAGGTATGGCAGCAACGATCGCCGTCGTGTGCCTGAATACAGGCGCTTTGGATCCGGCCGCATCCTTGGAGCTGTGGGATTCATGAGAGTCGACAGGTCAGGGAACCAAGAAGAGTTCTTCTTTCGGGGCTACTCCGACACTGGCTCGCTGCTCAGCAGCGACAGGAAAACCCTCCTGGCAAGAGGCATTCGCCCAAAGTCGCAACCTATCAGAGTAAGGCGGGAGCAGTCGCAGACAGCCGCCGAGACAGAGGACTATCTCCCTTTACGGAATTCGAGAAAACGGAAGCGGGATGGCAACGCCTCAGAGTCATCAGGCGAAGAAGGGCCCTCCTACAGATCCATACATGGGAGAAGCCGGCATCACGAACATTCCGACAGCGATGAACTGTATGGCAGTGACTCGTCAGCAGATGAGATGGACCGTAGTGCGGATGACCCAATCACCATGAGATCTGTCGACCTATCTAGGAAAGTACGGGAACATCCAGAAAATATTGATTCTTGGTTTGAACTGGTTGATCACCAGGACACCCTCCTTCAAGTCCAGAGCAGTGGTCGTAGCCCGACTGTTGCTGAGATCAAAAGTTATGCTGATATTAAGCTGTCCTTGCTCCAGCAAGCTCTGTCACAAGCCAAGGACGATTCGCTACGCGAGAAGTTGAGCTTGAAAATAATGCGTGAGGGCGCTCAAATCTGGGATCCCAAGACGACGTCAAAGCGTTGGGAAGACGCTATGTTGAAATATCCAAAGAGCTTCAACATATGGAAGGCATACGTGAACTTTCGGCAGACATCGCTGTCAACGTTTCACTACGACGGCATAAAGCAGCTCTACGTTGACCGGATGCGAGTTTTAGGCAAAGACATATCAGAGCTTCCACCGACTGCGGATAATACCCAGCCTTGCGAGGACATCATCTATGTCTTCCTGAGACTGACACGCTTCATCGCAGATGCCGGCTTCGCCGAACTAGCAACGGCAGCATGGCAAGCTTCGCTGGAGCTTAGCTTTGCGCGGCCTCCCGGTTTATCACAACCCCTGGCATGTGAAGCACCTTCCAATTTTCAGGGGTTCTGGGAAAGCGAGGTCCCGCGAATAGGGGAAGATCAGGCTCAGGGATGGGCTACCTTCGAGAGGAACGGCGGTGTTCAAGATCCGCCTGACCCTAAAACTGCTGGTGTAACTGTATCTCCTGCTACTCGAGACGGATACAAAGCATGGTCCATGGTAGAGCAGCAACACGCTCGAAATGCCACGATACCCGCTCGTACTTTGGATGACGGGGCTGAAGATGACCCTTTTCGCGTGGTCATGTTCGCAGACATACAGGAGATCCTATTATGTCTTCCGTTCGGAACTGTTCCCAGAATTCAACGGCAATTACTGGATGCATTCCTTATTTTTTGCCAGCTGCCACCTGCATACTGCACTGACAATGTCATTCACGAGATGATCAATGACGGTTTCCTTGTCCGCAGTCCGGTCGGGAATCTGATCCCAGAGGTGTCTCCCGAAAAAGAAGCACTTGACTCAATCTCCGATCAGCAGGTGAGAAAGCCACCGGAGTTTTTGTTCAACTACCAGTGCATGAGCAAAACACCAGATGTGTTATTTTCATCCTCTCCATGGTTCAGATACCTGCGACAAATCCAAGGGACCATTCCCTCCGACCAGTACCTATGGATCTTAACCACGTTGAAGCAACTGAGTCGCACCTTTGGGGTCAAAGAACTCGGCCCGTATGTCCTAGCCTTCGAGTCTATCAACGAACCTGGAAACGAGAAGAAAAGTGCGAAACTACTCCTCAAGCAGGATTCTACGAATATCGATCTGTACCTGGGATATTCCATTCTCGAACGGGGCAAGGACAACAAAGCCGCTGCTCGCAACGTTGTTTCAGCCGCCATGGGGCTGTCAGCCATCTCGAGTCACGATCGGTTCCGCTTAGGCATATTCGCGGCATGGCTGGAACTCGAGGATCGCGAGTTGGTCAGAAGCACCTTACGCGTATGCCTCCTAGCTGAAGAGAACTTCTCGACAACATCTATACCGGAAGGTACAGTTGTCTCTTCAGCTCAGATACTGAAGGCAAGGCAAGTGCTAGCTTCAAATCAGGATTATTTGGTGTCCTCGGGTGATCTAGCGAACGCTGTTGTATACGCGGAGGGTCTAGCCTTGCTCGAATATTTGACCGGACAAAGCGGCAAAGAACCCATTTCAGGAAGTCAGGGGGATATCTGGTCGGCCATGTCCAGCGTCTCAAACTGCTCGAGCGGCTTCGTATCTCGTGGTCATGGGAGCACTGGAGAGCACGAAAAGTTACTCCAATTCGCGGCACGGTTGCTCTACTACCACGCCAGTCATGGGTAAGTTGTCGTCCTCATTTTTCAGAGTGGACACTTGAGCTAATCGGCATTGTAGCCCTTTCAGGTCGGGCTTCCTCCGTGAACAGCTGACACAGTATATCAACTTCTTCCCGCAGAACACCATCTTCCTCAGCCTCTTTGCATGGAGGGAAGAGCGCCTTAGTATAGACGACAGGGTCCGGTCCCTGCTGAACAAGGTGGTCCTCGTCGAATCGCACGCATGTATCGGCAGCCACGCGTTCGCCATCCGCCACGAGTTGCAGACAGGAAACGCACATTCCACCCGCGCAGCCTTCGAACACGCCGTTGCCAGTAAGGCGTGCAAGAACCATCCTGGCCTGTGGATATCGTACATCCGCTTCTGCCATGACCGGAAGGAGTTGAGAGAAAAGGCGAAAAGCGTGTTCTACCGCGCCATCCAGAGCTGTCCGTGGTCGAAGGATGTCTTCATGGAGGCCTTTGTCACACTGGAACGGGACATGGACTCGGCGGAGTTGAGATCGGTTTACAACATGCTCTGCGAGAAGGGGCTGCGAGTCCACGTGGAGATGGAGGAGTTTGTGGAAAAGTGGCGGAGGGACCTGAAGGAGAAGGGCAGTGGAAGATGACGAGCCCTGGAAATCGAGGAATCTATTGGATGCCAGATGGATGTGTTGCCCTCTAGGGTAAGAGAATAAAGGGGAAGCTGAGCACTGAGATTGGAACTTTAGAAGTGCTTCTTTCTGCTTGAACTACCATTCCCGCTCTCTGAGATACCCGGGAAAGCGGCGTGCGATGTTGCCCCTTGCTCAGAGGCATGTGGGATGATCGTACATTCACTGCCGGTGAGAGCTACCTGGTCTAGGAGAATCTATCGCGTGATCCGGATCTCTACGCTGTTATTGCAGGTACCCGTCCGCAAAGTCCAGAGCATAATGGAAGCACCATCGCTTCACTCGGGGCAATCGAGTGACAATTTTCCCCAGAAGGCTGCTTCTGACACTCTGAACCGGTTTTCGACATGCGAAATCTCCTCAATTCAGAGCACACAGACTCGTGGTTCGTTCCCAACGAGATCACAGTCGTCTTAGGACAAGAAGAACCAGCCCATAGTTCAGAAATAGCCTCAAGGTCTCAGAACGACCCCATTGTCCCGAGAGAATCTAGTTGTCAGGCGACAAACCCAGTGTTCATGAACACAGGCACATTATCCAAAAACAAGCCCCGCATCTTCCCTATCTCACGCGGAATACATAAGGGCATACTCAATCCCATCACAAAGCTCGCCCAGCTCTCTCTCTCTCTCTTCCTTCTTCTTCGTCAGCCAAACAAAGCAGCGGCTCCCCATTGTCGTCCCCCTTGAAGTAGAACGACAACCACTAACGACTAACGACAAAGCATCCACCCAAACAGAAGAAAGAAAGAAATATCCCCGCAAGGATGTTTCTCAGCATCAACGCGGGCCGCGACTGCGTCGCCGAGAACCGCGAGGCCTGGCTGTCGCTGCTCCTGCTCGGCCGCCGCGTCGAGGCCTGCGGCTTCTGCGACGGCTGCGTTCGGCGCGCCGTGCAGGCAGGCGTACTTTGGCCCGCCGCGGCGCCGGTCGGGCGTGCCGCTGGCGCTGGACTCCCTTTCCTTACTCGTCGGCTGGGTGCTCTTCGTGGCCGTGCTCTTCGTGGCCGCTTAGCGGGTGCACTCGGCTTGGGGTGGTACGTAGGGGCGGTGAGGAGGGGGGGGGACGGGGGTTGAGGTTTGGGTGAGGTCGAGTGGTGGGTAGTTAGTTCTTGGGGGGGGTCAGCCGGCGTAGGAGTCAATGGAACTTTTGTTTCTGTTTTAAGGATTATCTATTTTAGTTCTAGTCAGCCGGCGTAGGAGTGTATGGAACTTTGGTTTTGTTTCAAGGATTATCTCATTGGGCAACAACCAGCTTCCCTCTGCGCAGCTGGCGGAGCTGGCTTCCTTCCTGCCGTACCCGTTGGTCCATACGGAGACTTTTTACCTAGTAGCTTAGGAACCGGTTCAAGTCGGACCATGGGATACAACTTCCTCATAGACAGTCCTTCATATAATATACGAAAAACTTTTTGTTTGCTCAGGGTACAATGCCTGCTGTGAGGAAAACTCTACGTCAGAGACTCAACGTTAAATACTTATCAGTATTATTTTGAAGCCGCCGCCGGGGTCAGACCATTCGGACAGACCAAACAGTACATGTCCGACTGCACATGATGCGTTGTGGTCCATCGCTGCCCATCGCATTCAACGGCTTAGCAGTGACCGGGATTCTAGTGTAGATTGTGGTTGTGGCGATAAGTAGGTTGACAGCCTTGGTACACTTTTGACTTCTCGTAGAGGAAAAGTGAGGGGCAATCGTCTTCAGTATAGGAGGCTGGGTCGACGAGGTCTTAGTCTGCATGTCGTGTAGTGCTCTTTAAGCCAAGCATAAGAAGCATGGAGGCGAGGAAGATGTATGGAGAATATATGCCGCTGTATATGTGGAAGCTTGTGCCATGGTTGTCAACAGATAGGGCAGATAGATGGTCAACGCGAAAAGCGGACGTCGCCTGAGGCCGGCGCCTCCGCTTGGCATCTCCGCAGACCGTGTACAAACCCGGGTTAAACCACATCCTCAGAAAGGCTTATGTTCCGTGACGGTATCATCCATGATTGCGGTAGTCTAGAGTGGATACCTTAATGAGGCCGGATCGAACAAAGCCATTTCGCAGGGGTGCTGGAAACTTGCAAGGAAGAAGGAGAGACCTCCTAGATTTTGTCGGTGAATATAGTGCCGCATCTTTTGCCCATTCAAGAAGTTGGGTTATGATTTCAGCCAATCAAAAAATGCGGCGTTGGTAGTGTAGGGGTTATCATTCTAGCCTTCCATTGTGATGTGAGCTTGAGACCGGGGTTCGAATCCCCGCCAACGCAAATTTACTTTTTGCAATCATTCCAATTTGCCTCATTGGGTTCGCTAGGTCCATATGTTTTTGATGTGATCGAAGATGCATCATAGTTCTCAATTTCACACCATCAACTTTTTGAGACTTAGATAGATTGATCAGGGCCGCGCAGTTCATAACAGGTATGCCGGTTTTAGTGACTGGGCTCGCTGTCGCGTTCGTCGGGATATGCACGTTGCCGCTCAAGAACCAGGCCGCGAGACCCGCGCGAGCATCTATAGCCCGTCCGTGGCCGTCCCGGTGCCCATCTGTGCTGCGGGATCTCGTTACCGAACACCAGGTCACGCTGCGGGGCGAAGACATCGCTCCAGGCGGGTGCCGGGATGCTGTTGCCGGTCTATGCGGCTTGCGCTTCGTCGTAGGCGGATATGTTCTGCGAGACGCTGGCGGAGACGCCTGGATGTCATCTTCCGATAGCATGTGGCGAGTGCGACCCAGACAAAGGGGTAAGAGCTGTCGGTAAGTGAAGACGATGTTCGCATTGTCCTGCGGACTCTCACCGATACCAGGGAGATCGACGACAACAACGATACTATGCTCGCCCAGGATCCTGCACAAGTATGTCAGGGGAGTGAAATATACAGCAGATGGACGATCTCACTCTTTGCGGCCAATTTCAGACAGTTTGAGCCGCATGGGCAATTTGATGCACCGCGCTAAGCACGACTTCCCGCCGGGCCTCGATATTCTGCGTCGTGCCCTTTGCGGTTCCACTCCACTTACGAGTCACCGTGGCATAGCATCTTCGCCACTCGCAGATCACAGGATACCGCTGACCTCGGTGTTGGTGAGGACCTTGAGATTAGACCGCGACTCCCTGGTCGGGAAGTAGTAGGCGCGGGTAGAGTCTTGCCTCACTTTGGTTGTGGCATTCACCTCTGACGGGGTGTTGACAAGGCCGACCATGTGTCCGCCGCCGGCATCAGATAGGTAGCCGACTCCGAGACCAACAAAGGTCTCGTTCAGGATATGTTCAAGAACACCTTCGTTGTTTGGGCTTACTATCCAGCCCAGCGGCAATGGGCCGTCGGCTATGTACAGCTCAGGGGCCCACGTTACGCCGCCCACAGATAATACTGGACAGCTGGAACAATGGAATACATGTACTATTGACAATGCAAATCTGTCACTTGACAGCTGGAGGCGGAGAGTATGGTGTCTTTGTCTTGACCAGAAGCTCGCTGACCTTGGCAGAGATCCTCGCATTGTCAATGCGCTCAACTCCTTTCTCTCGTAACAATGTCATTGTATCACATAATTGCACCAAGCAGTTGCATCTCTATAACCTAGAACACGCCTTTTTAGTACGAACGGTACTTGATAATAGATAACTATATAAGCAGGAGCTGCTTCCTACCTTGAGCCGTTTTCCCTTCTCATCATCACCCACCACCCAGCATCACTCACCACCAAGGTTCAAACCCAACCAAAACCAACCAAACCAAACAACTACCCTCTTACTATCAACGCTTTCGACAAGATGGCAGTTTTCGATTCCTTCGTCTCCACCCCTATCGTCTCCGGTCGCGGCTCGTACGACACCACCGGAACTAAGCCCCCGCCCCCCAAGCCAAAGTCCACGATGTCGGACGAGGAGGTCGTCGGCATTAACTTTGGCAGAGGCTCATACGACACTACGGGTACTGAGAAGCCCAAGCCCACAAAGTCAAGTAAGTAGGGCAGACGTCGCGTAGATACACGTCTTGGTAGTGTCAGATGCTACAGGGTCGTGCAGCTGGCCTGGGCAACATGCTCACAGCTATGCATCCAGTAGTCGAGGAGTCTAGAAGTAGGTTACTATCTTCTTGAATTTGTAATAAAATTGTAATACTATGGTTAGAAGCCCCAATATGACTTGACATGAATTGCAATAGTGGTAGCATATGTAAGCGGTCTAAAGCGTGATGTCTGTCTGATCATCCTCTAGCATTCCGCCGATAACGCAAATGTAAAACCACATGTAAATAGATACATTAACATGCCCTCAAGGTCTACTTCAGTGCCAACGCCAACAAAGGTCCTCTACTCAACATGCATCATGGGAAGGGTGTGATCTTCCAGATAGGGACCATATGCTTCTTGGGGATGGGATTGGTGGCATGCTTCGATCGAATGTCTTTGATGACTACGTTGGTCAAGTATTCTGACCGAAGCTTGAGATGACCCCGAGGTCGGCATGGAACGGTGTAGCCAAGTGTGTTTGCACTTGGTGTTCTCCACTGCAATCTCTGGAAGTGCGATTGTTATTGTATATAGCTATGTATCTACGTTTGTCACATGAAACTGCCCACGGGCGCGCCTCCTTGATGGCCTGCTCGTCTTCACTGTTGCGGTTCCTCTGCCATGCCTCGTTAGAGCACCTCTAATACTCAGTCGATGCGTTATTCATTGCCAGGAACGCGCGCAAGGCTGGTGTTTGTGACCAATAGATAGAAGACCAGTTCACCTCGCACGTGTTAATACATGTAGGCTGGCTTGACGCTGGCGTTGTGGCTGATAACCTTGATATCGATGAAGAATCGATGAAGAACCGACGAACTCTCCTATCACACCGGACTACAGGTGGTGGAACTCAAAGTACACGCGGTGGGATACGCGACACGCCACCAGTCTGTAAATTCTCTCTCATATGCCGATGCGCGCCGTGTTGTTGTCTAGACAATGGCATTATGGTGCGTTGGCGTCTCGACAATTTGAAAAACAGCTCTGGAATACGCTTTTACCATCTGATGTTGGTGCTTACCCCGTCGTAAAACATTGTTTTCATTCAACTCAACAAACTGTCTTTTGGTGAATGGGTACCCGAACCTGGTTTCCTCATTCACATGCACTGGAACATTCACATAAATACGTCTCTACCCACCATCAGCCATCAAGATTCGTCTTCTCCCACGCATACCACATACTCGTTACCTTACTTCACATCACCGTCACCGATCTCTGGTAATCCCTAGGTAATACGCACAGAGAGCGCGATACAGTCCATCGCCTGCTTCGCAGCTGAAGAAACATCGCTCCAGTCCACCTAAGATGAAGCTCCATCGTGCCTTGGCTGGCGTCTTCACCATCGCCTCTGCTGTCGGATTTCCATCCGTCAACGCCCTGCGCGACGTCATGTACTTGGACCAGTGAATCAACAGCCCCAGTGTACAGCATCTTCCATTTGATCCATCCTGACAGTCCTTTAGGTGGCACTCGAGCTTCCTCGAAACGCCGGGTATATTCACGAAGGAGGACTTTCGGGGGATCACCCATGTGATCCTGGCGTTCATGGATCCAGCCAACTTCACCCAAGACGCCACGGCTATTCAGCCTTGCATCAAGGCCTCGGAACTTCGCCCCCACTTCGATAATGACACCCAGATCGGAGTCTCGCTTGGTGGTTGGGGTGATTACTCGACCAGTTTCAGTCAGGTGTCGACCGAAGGCACCCGAGCAGCCTTTGCTACCCATCTTTCGAATTGGCTGGCTATGGAAGACCTCGACTTCGTCGGTGAGCTATTTCCCGTCGGCGCTCAGCCTCATTCCGCTCTGGTACTGGTTCGTCTCTCCGCTTTTGCTCCAGGACTAACCTGTCTACCTAGATATCGATTGGGAATACCCAGGTGGAAATGGCGCCGATTATCTGGTGACCCCGAATGACAAGAAGACCAAAGAGATCACTGACTTCCCGCTCTTCCTCCAAGCCATCAAGAAGCAGATCGGCACCAAGAGCCTCAGTATTGCCGTGGGCGGCACTGCTACTGGCATGCTCGCGTTCCCGAACAAGGCCCAGTCCAAAGCGGTCTGGGACATTGTCGACTTTGTGAACATCATGGCGTATGACTTCGTCAACCGACGCTCCAACGCAACTGCGTACCACACGGACGTCAACACTACGATGAGCGCAGTGCAGAGCTGGATGGCCCTTGGTCTTCCTCCCCAGAAGGTCAATCTCGGCTTTGGCTTCTACGCCAAGTACTTCGAGCTGGGCATCTCAGCTGGTCCCTGCCCGCTTCCGTGGATCGGCTGTCTTATTGCCGAGAGCGAAGACCCGGTTACTGGCGCGGACAACTTCAACAGCGGCATCCTGACTTTCGAGCAGAGCGTCCTCTCCCCCAACCGGACCCTTTACCACGGTCTCACCCCCGACGGTTCCTGCGGTGTCCTGAACGGCGCTACTACAGGCTTCTCGTGTAATCCCGGCACCTGCTGCGGTGCGAGCGGCTGGTGTGGCAGTTCAGCCGAGCACTGTAGGGCTGGCTGCCAGACGGCTTGGGGAGGTTGCCAGGGCCCCGACACGGTAGCTTCTCTGCAGAATGCACTCAAATACGGCCAGACTGACTGGAGCATCGGCGGCCAGTCCTACTTGGATACTACCACAACTCCAAATCTGTTCTGGACCTTCGAGACGGTGGAACTGATGCAGCAGAAGTACGACAGAATCGTCGCGGGGCTGGGGCTGGGCGGTGTCATGGGATGGTCGTTGGGCGAGGATAGCTATGATTGGGCTTTTGTCAAGGCGATGCAGAACATGACTGTTACCTGGGCTCAGAGGGATTGGAACATGACCGTCTCCGCTAAGAGATATCACGCTTAAATGGATCGCGAGACACGGGGGGAGCCAGGAGGTGCACGCACCGCCGACCACCCATTTTCCCCCTTTTAACAGCCGATTGTAGTTGGCTGGGGTGTAGTTGACGAACATTTCATCATGTATCAGAGATCTTGAGGTTCTATCAGTGCCGACTCTTCCACGTAGCAGATGCTCCACTCGAAGACAGGTCACAGCGGTCACTCGGTGCTTATGTCCAGATAATGGGTGAGCTCTCATCTAATGAATTTGTATGCGATCCCTGGTCGCTGCGTACTCTATCCTACAAGCTCTGCATATCTTACAAATTTTGCCTAACGCCCAGACCGTGTACCCTTCGTGATGACTCGATGCACCTTCCAGAGCTCTGCACCCGCTCAAGAAGGCTCAAAGTAAGAGGGCCCCCATCCATCACCATACGCCTTCTCAATCGCTTCTGCCCTGGTGTCTCTTTCCTTCTTGGCCCTGGCAAGGAAGTTCTTGATGTCCTCCTCCCTGACCTTTTGGTCCGTTGGCTGCTTCTGCTTCCACAATTTGAACGTGGCATCGAACCAGTCTGCATCCACCCACTCATGAATTGGCTTATTCGATATGTCCTTTACACCCTTAAACTTCTCTTCCTTGGGCTTCTGGAAGGTGGCGGTCCACCACGGGAATGGGGGCAACCCGTTCATACCGGTGGTGATTTGGTTGACGGTGTGTTTCTTAAGGTTGTATTCCACGACTGAAGGCGCCCTGGGTGTCCAGAGGTCGCCCCCCATACCTTGGAGCTTTACGTCGTCGTCCCAGTTCTCTGTATTGTACTTGACAGCGGTGTTGAGCATATACGTCTTGTCATCGTCTTTGACGTCCGAGTCGCCTTTGAGTACGTGGTAATGTGAACCGGGGGCATCTGCAGAAAGCGCGAGTCAGTATTCACTTTTCAAACATACCTGAGCGAGAAGGAGGAGTCTGGAGTCTGGATCCGCGTCCGGGGAGCATAAAGTCAGAGAGAAGCCCCGGAGAGCCAGACCGGCTTCCCACACTGCGGTGGAGGGGGGGATTGATGCGACAGAAGCACTTACGGAGATGCCCACAGACGACGAGTTGCACCTTGTTCTCAAGGATCGCCTCTGTAAGAAGCGCTGGTCCTCCCGCCTTGCCGATATTGTCCCGATCCAAAACATATTCATCATTTGTATCGAGTCGGGTCATGTCGTCCTTCGGGCACTGGTGGCTAATCACGATATCTGTCCCCTTCTCGATTTTCTCCCAGAGGGCGGTATCGTCCTCCTTGTACGTGAAACCGCTGGTGGGAATTCTCCGCCCCTGGCTGAATGGCGTGCCGAAGATCTTGAGCTTCTCGCCGTTGACCTCTACCGTCACGGTCTCATGCAGTAGAAGAATCCATTGCGTATCTTTCCCATCAACTTTAACTCTCTGAGTTTTGTACGCGTCCCTGATATCCTTGCGAAGCTTGTCGAACTCGGAGCCGTTGGCGAATAGGTTGCGGACCTCCGGCTTCCCTAATACGTTGTTGTTCCATATCTTGTCGCCCAGGTTCTTTTTCCACAGGTCATTCATGACTTCGTCCACGAAAATGTCATGGTTGCCCGGCACGAAGATCTTGATCGGATGGGGTAGCTGCTGCGTGTGCTTGATGGCCTTGAGAGCTCGTTCCATCTCTTTTTGGGCATGGTTCTTCTTCCTCAGTTCCATCGCTTCTTGGGTCTCTTTTGCGGGAGCATCGTCCTGAGCGATCTGGACGGCGTCGCCGGCGAAAATGAAGATGTCTCCCTTTGGAATCTCATCCGGCAGGAACTCCCTGCCGTGCGTGTCCGACACAGCGATGATACGTATGTCGCCGTTGTCTCTGACGATGACCCGGGAGCTAATCAGTACTAGGTGCAACGAGAGCACCAGGAGAGCGACCCGTAGAACCGAAAACACAGCCATGGCTGCTTCGAGAAGGTTTGAAGTATGGAGGAATGAGCTTTGGCTTCTTTGGAAGGCTTGAAGTAAGTTGAAGTGGTTTATATGGTGAACCTGAACGTCAACCCAAGAGCCACCGCGGCTAAGGGCCAGTTACGCAATAAGGTTCTATCGGCGAGGCCGTTTCTCATGAGAGTGGTTCATGGAGGGTATGGAAGTCCACCCAGGAGGCACTGGGAGAGGCGCGCCATACTTGATGAGCTCATAGTGGCAAACTTTTTACAGCTTACAGGGGCAATTATACGGTCAGACGCAGAGCATCGTTATTCGTACTTCATTGATAGGGCATCATAAACGATGCTAAACGCCATTTCATGGGATAGGCAGGACTAGACATCCACCTGGGGGCAACTCGCCACTATTATAAGAACAGATATGTAGTAACAATGATGATTGACGGGAGCCCGGTATACAGTACATAGGATCGGTGTAGACGGCTCCGTCCGCCGGAGGCAAAGGAGTAAAATGCCTACCATGCACCGCAACAACTCACGGGCATTACGATCGTGATCGCGTTCGCCGTTAGGATCTCGGTCGACGTCAGGGTCTCTTGGTCACGTTGAGGAACTCAGTAGCTGCTAGGACTACGGTCCTAGGATTACGTTGAAGTCTTTTTTCTAAAGTTCGTCCAAACGGCTAGCTGTCACGGTTGGCTTACGACAAGCGGCATCAATAGACGTTGACTGACAGGATTGACTCGAATTGATGGACGCAGTCAGTGCCCGCCGTGCCTCTCGGGCTCTCCAGATTTTCAAGGAGTGACACTTCTCTCCTAAGGCTCACTTCACCCACCCCATAATGGCAGATGACAGATCGCTACTTAGCCACGTTGGTAGCTCAGTTAGGAGATCGATACTTAGCCACATTGGCAGCTGAGTTAGACCCCGATGCCCTCATCAGGAGCAACATTCACAGCCTTGAGGCCTTCTTCGGGACGATCGGTGGAAGAATCCAAGCATGCAGCCGGCATGCACATATGCTCCCCAGGTCAGGCTGCGCAAGCCATTGCAATCATGTCCGCAACTCAACCATTACGCAAACGCCCTCAGGTTCTGTTATAATGGCCGACCTGCAGGTCGGCGAAAGCATCTACCGGTACGCAGGTCGCGGGAAGTCCGTCGAGGGGATCATATCATCTTCCTCGCCTCGACAAGGCGGCTCTTCCCGCCGGGGAGTGTCCCGTGTAGGCAACAACCGACCACATCGCCAGGATCAGTATTGCCACCCCGCGTAGCATCGCCGCCGGTTGCCTGAAAGCCCCATGGTCCATGTTTGGGAGGTAACACGATGGTCGATTGCGTGCCGCAGAACAAGGCTGCTGGTGGAGGGTTCCAGCGCATTAGCTCTCCATACGTACTCCAAGTCAGCCTCGACGACGTGAGTGGTGCTGCCCTGCTGCGTCATGTTTCGGTCCCGGTAGACGGAAGGGCTTCAGCCAGAAGCGGTCATGTGCATTGCGGCGGCGGGATCTCGTTGCCTTGGTTCGCCCGGTTTGCCTTGCTCCATGCGACCAATCTTGTGGTGGGTGGGTGGTACAGAGATCATGCAATATGCACTGGTGCGTTGTCCATGACTCCATGATGCAGTCTATATGTCTGTCTGCACGGAAAGATAAGGCGGCCGCCGCCTCTCGCAACCTCATTTGCTCAGTCTGCATATGTTGAAGAGTCGGTGAGGCTTACGATACGTGCTTCCTGGTATAGGACTTCAATCCAGAAGCCATGGACGCCTTTGGGGGAGGGGACTATTCATCCCCAAGGCCGCCCGTGCCTGGATGGGCGTCTCTGACTATAAGTACTGCACGGAGAAGACCTCGCTTTGGACATCTGCAGCCTACGAAGGACCCAGAACCATCCACCAAGCTCCACACAGTCACAGACAGAGGGCCGCGACGATAATGACAGGAACGGCGGAATCGTATTGCGCCAACTTCATCGCCAACTTGGAGGGATGGAAGGGCATCGAGCTCCCTAAGGACGATGGGTTACTGGCGACCCTGGAAGCCCTCGATAGACGCATGAGAGCGCTCGAGGCCATGGACAGAATCACGCCGCCGCCACCGATGCTCGAGCCGTCGTGGGACTCGCTCACATGGCGCGTTTGCCGTCTGGCAAACCGATGGCCCGGCCGCCCGATAAACACGGTCACGCCTCCGTTCATTCAGCCCTCGCTGCCACTCCTCAAGAGCGCGATCGCGGGTATTGTCGGTCCTAAGCCTATGTCGTGGCCCGAGAAGGAGGACCTGGAGGAGAAGGAGGTGATCAGCCGGGCAACGCAGTGGCTTTGTCACACGGCCGGAGGTCGGGTCATCAAAGCCTGTACCTCGTTTAATCTCGCCGGCGCCTGCGCACTAGCCCTGGACCTGTCGCTCGAGGTCGAGGCCAGGCCTGGAATGCCGCTTGTCCGTCGACCACCCGGCCCCGTTGGCCCGCCTATCCGTCCGCCGATCATCAAGGGACCGAAGAAAAGCTGCTGTGGCTGCTGCGTCTGCTCCTGTCATGGCAAGGAGCAGAAGAAGACCGATTCCAAGCGCGTTTCCGCCTGGTTGACGGGTAATAGCAAGTCGAAGAAATCCCACGGGAGTTGCGGAAGCTCGCGAGTGGCGGGCTGGTTCAAGAAGCTGGCGTTTTGGCGACGCACAAGCCGGTGTTACGACACTGACAGCGACAGCGGCAGCGAAATATCTTCGCTGTCTTCGGCTACCATGATTGTGTAGCTTGTTTGCTTTCTTGGCCTGGGGTCCAGAAGTGAAGGACCACATGAAGGCTAGTGCACCTGTACTTGCACGATCACACTGGGCATGCAGAACGATATACGTCCCTCCTGCCCCATCACCCCAAATAATGGTAGTCATAGACACAATACTAGTGAGCGTTGATGAACGGCTTCCTCTTCGCAAGAGAAACGGCATGTAATCAAGAGCATCGTGCTAGACCATGCTTGCAAGGTACGCTGCCCAGGGTCAGATGCCATATCGATGTTTCCAGATGAGATACTAGGGAGTCAGTACCTAGAAATGAAAGACCAAACAAACTCTTGTTTGATCAACGGGCGGCTGGAATTTGCATGCAGTGCCGATAATCAAGGTCTGGTGTCCTATAGACGAGACTTGCGGACTCTCCCTGATCTTCACCACAAATGCTGACGGGTCGGAGGTGATTGAGCGCCAGTCAGCCGGCTTGACACCTGAATGGCGCCCGTGCAGCTCTGGTAGAAAGCCCGAGTACAATGCACCTTGTTGAACTTGTCGGGGTTCTGACTACCGTCCTGCCTACCGTCCTGCCAAAGCAGTCTTGTCGTTACGGCTGCGTCGAAGACTCGCGATGGGCAAATCATGCTTGTAAGGTCCGCAGGTGTAAGCGCGAGTGGTGCTGCTCCTATGATGGCGGAGTATGGCGAGTAAGCTGATCCGAAGCCTAGCTTCATGCTATAGGTTTACTTCCATGTATAATCGTGCCAGATCCCAGGGTCAGTTGAAGTTTTAATGACGCCCCCTACGCCACATCCCTCGTTACATGCACGAACTTCACGGACAACAGCGACGACGACGTGGTCTCTCCAGATTGAGCCCTTACGGAAAGTCCCAAAGGCTCAGGTGCTGACGAAGTTGGAAGCGGCACTCGAACATGGACAGGTGCACCGTACAGCTGCGGCGAGACTCCGATACGAGGCGTGAACGGCCGAGGCGGCTCCCGTTGGATATAAGATTTTAACGATATTCAAGAGTTGACTTATTAAAGTAAATGTACCTATTCAGTCAGTCAGTCAGTCAGTCACCTGCATGCAGGCTGCAGGTGCGGTCAGTGGACCAATTAGTGAACTACCTAGGTAGGTAGTTAGGTGGCTGGTGGGTGGCAGCCGGCGCCAACGAACCCGGCAGCTGAACCAGGAAGCAGGCAGCTGCAAGAGCCCGAAACCATAACTTAGGTAGGCAGAGAGCCCAAACAGTGTCCAACACATCCCTTAAGGTTGTGCTCACCCGAGGCAAACATCATCATCACCGTCATCCACATCGTCTTCTTCTTCTTCGTCGTCGTCGTCGCAAGACTTGGCAGCATGGTCACTGCTACGGGATACTTCGACGGATCGCCCACAAAAGCCGGGAATCGGAACTTTGCAAGTTTGCAGAGATCCTTGATCCCCAGTATCCTGGGGTTCCATTTTTAGACGTGGTTGTGGAGCAGCAATTTCAAGGATTTCACAGCCTCCCGTCCCAGGCTCCCAGCCGACAGCCAACTGCATGTGTGTGAGCCAGACCAGAGGAAGCCGGCCTTCCAAGTGGAGAGTTCTGATGCAGAGTTGCCGTACGGGCGGCCGCCCAGCAGCCATAGCCATGCCCCATGATCCATGGACCATTAGCGGATCGACGAAGAAGAGCTGAGCACAAGTTGGTTGTTTGTGTGGATGGGGACCAGCCAGAACAGCCAGGGCTAATTCATTGAAGACGGCGCCAGCTGATGAGTTGTGGTTGTGTTGCCTTGCCTTCATTGCCTCGCCTTGCCTACCTCTCCTCTCCCCGACGAGTGTGATCATTGATGCCGACGGAATTACGAAATCCCCAGTACCACCACACGCAAACACACGCCTACCAACTAATAAAACCTCCTGCAGGCCGATGCACTAATACAGCGTGCCAAACGCTACCCTAAGCAAGCCTCGCGATTCATGTAAAGGAGAGACACAGGGTTGCAATTGCAACGTCGAAACCGACAACACACGTCGAAACCGACAACACACGATCGAGGACCGAGAACACTTACCAACCCGTACCATAGCCGGGGGTGCGACCCGACCACACCGACACACCACCAGCCATGCGACCACTCCTACTACCGCCCTCCCTCCTCGTCGCCCTCCTCCTGCAGACCGCCCCAGCGCACGGCATCGACAACGACTTCTCCGCCTACCCGGAGGGGTCGCAGCAGTGCCTCTACGATGCGGCCGACAGCAGCCAGTGTACGGGCAGCACCGGCCAGGAGCTGAACCAGTGCCTGTGCACGAACCAGGGCAACTTCATCTACAACACGGCGGACTGCGTAGCGAAGGCCTCGCCAGCGGACCTCGAGGCCGTCTACTCGACGCTCGAGAACAACTGCGCCGGCACCGGCGTCACCATCGCCGTGTCCAAGGAGGCCTTTCTGAGCTCGGCCGCTGCGGCCACGTCGTCGACGTCAAGCACGAGTACGGCGATTTCGACTTCGACGACCTCCTCCTCAGACGGCACAACGGCCACAACTTCATATTCTACCTCCACCACTTCCACCTCATCTACCTCCTCCTCACCCACAAACACCGGCACCGCGACCCCCGACGACACAGGGTCCCTCACGACAGGCGCCAAGATCGGCGTCGGCGTCGGCGTAGCCTTCGGCGCCATCGTCGCCGCCCTAGCCGCGTGGTTCATCTGGGCGTACTCGCGGCGGAAGCGCAACTACACGCACCACAGCCAGCTGCAGGACCTAAACCTCAACAGCGACGACTCCAACCCCTCCAACACTAACGGGCTCGGATTCGCCCCCAGTAGTAACCCGTACAACACCGAGTTCGCGCAGCACAACCCACAACACGAGGCAGCCGAACTGGCACCCGTCGAGTGGAAGCCCGGCGGGTACTACAGCCCCACTAAGGACGGCGCCGGGGAGCAGGGGGCCAAGGCGAGCGAGCCGCTGCTGGCGGAGCTGGGAGGCGACGACCATCACGGCCGCGACGTGGTCGAGATGGGCGAGAGCGCGCCGGTCGAATTGCCCGCCGACGAGGCGTATCTGGGGTACACAGACCACAGCCCCAACCCCAACTCCAGCCCCAGTCATGGGGCAGCGGCCGGCGATAGGACGACGAGGAGTGTCTCGATGATGTCGTCGCAGCTGGACGGCGGGCTCTCCCCGGCGGGTTACTCGCAGGGCGCGCCCGCCGCCGGCGATGTGTCGCCGTTTTCGTCGCGGCACTCGGGGACGACGGGGACGGGGACGGGGGTAGGGACGGGGACGTACTGACCCCGGTAGATTGTCAGGCTTGCAGAAGGTTTGCAGTTGCATGCATATATGATATATAACATGTCTGCGTATAGAGAGAATAATGGTTAGGGCATACAGGCGGTGTTTGGGCGGCGCGATACAGCACCTCGCAGGATACGCGGAATTGTTGACTTTTGGATGTTTACATGAGGCGAGCCCATACCAGGACATGGAATTTAATGCAATTAATGATCAATCGGCTTGGGGAATTGCCAATCTGCCTGAACCATCGGATTGTGGCCATGTCAGTTGTCGCGACGTCTTTTGTGATCATCACTACCTTCAATGTTCCATGCTACAGTTCAGGGATGTGGTGAGCACGGCAGCATAAAGCGCATGATTTCTGTTTAAATCTGGCACAATGTCGTTACGGGGTGATCCACATAGAATAACCAAAAACGTGCCACTTGTAGAGTAGGGTTGAACGAAGCGTATGATTCGTTCGCGAAGTAGTATTTACTGTGTCAGGGGGTATATAATGTGCCCTGATCCGCAACCCGGCCGGTCCCTTGACCTTATCTAGCTCTGACATGACTCAAATGCAGGAACGCATACGCCGACAATGATGGAGGAACAGGTGGTCGAGCCGTGATCCAAAAGGAGGAATCGGTGCCCAGCCAAAACAACAAGCTCGTGCTTTGCCACCCACGTGGAGCCGGTAACTCCATCCATGAAACTTACGTGAGTGCCAGCGTAGTTTCCAGTCGTCGATCCCTTGACAACATATGAAATAGACCATTCCATCCGAGACGTGTGTGGAGCGTATAATCATGACAGAGTTTGACGTGCTGAAGTTGATACGAGTGTATCATACAGCAACAGTAAAAGTGCGCAGGTGGATGGAAGTAGACAGAGATGTGATTGTCGGAACGTTGGAGGATTGTGAATGAAGGATGGACTAATGGTTTTCATCCGAATGGTTGCCATTCAGGCCGTTGGGCAGCAGTTTTTCGGGGGACCCTTGAGCACTCCTAACCCCATTGACTTGTATGGTACGGGGTGAAATGCTCGTTGGTGATAGGTCACCGCCAGCGTAGCCTGTATGGTCGTTCGAAGCCATACTTCTTGGCGTCAGATGAGCACCGTTCAGCACAGATTGTTTCTGTTGCTCAGTGAGAAGGTGGGCGAGATTCTGCTCGATACACAGACGGGCATAGTCAGGTTCATCAGGCGAGACTGCGATAAGACCACCCCTTCTGGGAACACGGTTCTCCGCGAATGGTTCTCTGCTTGGCTTATACGGCTGAGGCTTATCCTCGCCGACGAGTTGCCCGTTGATGTAGTGCTTGTATCTTGGTGCAAACGACCCACGGCTCTCGGCACCTGGATCCTGTTTCCACTTCGCGGGAGCACTCCAGGTTAAGAGAGCCGATTCATGTTCCGGAAGTTCGCGGTAGCAGATCGAGAGTTTGACGTTGCGAAGGTGAGGAATCGTTGGTACGATGTAGAGGAAATCCGACTCCTGTGGCACGGTCAATATTGCGTTGCATGTGGAACAGGGGTACAGGTTCATTTACCTTGACAAAGAACATGTCTGTCTCGAAGAAACGCTCCGCTGCCAACCCACGAAGTTGTTCAAGTCTCTTATAGCCAACGGTATGTGGATCGCCACCATAGTAGTCCGAAAGTTGGTCACCCAAATGATAGAGTCTACCCTCGGTCAAGGCATACCGGTCTTGCTCCAGTCGCCAGATGACGCGCTTAGCGATGCGCGAAACGGGGATGTGCTCCCAAGCGGTGTCTATCGCCCTGTCAGCTCTTGAGTCGCAATCGACACGAGATGGATGCCACTTACATCTCGACAGCGTAAGATCCTTTTCCCCAAGGAGTAGAGCGACCTGAGTATTAAGGAGCCACTGCTCGCGACCATCCGGAAGACCGGTAGCTGATGGCCTGATAGTGTCGTACCGAACTCCTTGTGCTTTGGCAAAGAGCTCGACCACCTCCTTCTGTTTCGAATCTTGACAACCATCGAGCCAGCGTAGAAGTGGAGGCAATTTGGAAAGACGGAGTCTTTCTTGCTCTTCCTGACGGGCTCGCATCAACTCGAGTTCGCGTGCAGCTCGCTCAGCTCGTTTGCGCTCCCGTTCCCTGCGCTCCTCCTCCTCTCGAAGGCGCCGGACTTCCTCCGCCGCTTCTTTCTCGCGACGGATCCTATCCTCTTCTTCTCGCTGCTTCCTTTCTTCCTCTTCCTTGCGTCTCTGTTCTTCCTCTTCCTGCTGTCGTTTCTCTTCTTCCCGTTGCCGTTTCTCCTCCTCCTCTCTCAGTTTCCGTTCCTCCTCGAGCCGAGCCTTTTCCGCCTCTTGCTTGCGCTTCAACTCTTCTCGTTCAAGCCTAGCACGTTCCTCTTCTTCGAGGCGCTTCTGTTCGGCCTCCTGTTCCTTTCGCTTTGCCTCTGCTTCTTGTTTCTTTCTCTCCTCTTCCTGGCGCTGGCGTTCGGTCTCTTTTCCCTTGGCATCTTCGACCGCGGCTGCGGCTGCAGCTGCTTCTGCTTCCGCTTGCCGTTTCTTTGCCTCTTGGCGCTCACGTTCAGCTTGCCGCTGACTGTCTTCGGAAGAAACTGCCGGTGGTGCATCGCGCATTTCTACGTCGGGTTCGGAAGCCACAGTGATACTGTTCTTGTCTGAGCTATGCGACTTTATGATCTTCTTGACCTTTTCTGGCTCCTTGCGCTCGTTTTCGGAAGGACGCTGTCGCTTTGCAGACTCACGGGATGAATTCCGCTTGCGTTGTCGGTCATCAGGCACATTAAGCTGTGATTGACGTCTTTCCCGCCCATCGGAATCAACGAGCTTCCTTCTCTTAACAGGCGCCTCAACGTCATCCTTGTCTCCAGACCCATGCCGCGAGGGACTAACACTGGAGCGGCTTCTCTTGCTGGAGTTGTCACCGCCGGATGGCTTGTCGATGGAGTCGTCACGCTTCAATGCTTTCGTCCGGTCGTGATACTTCTCGGAAAGTCGGTCAGGCCGAGTCTTCTCTGGTGCGTCATCGTTCTTCGTATCCACCCGGTCAGTAGAGTTGTTCGATGCCATGCTTGCGCGGCGCTGCTTCTCCTGCTTCTCCCGCTGCCGTTCTTTACCGGAGATGAGCTTACGCCGCGGTTTCACCGCTTCGCCATCGGAAGATCCAGCAGCGCCCTCTGATTCGGGCATTCTGGATTTCGCGGGGGGCTTTGATGCCGCAGGAGATGCTTCGGGGTCAGAGGAGCCAGTATTCGCTGCTCGTTCTTCCCTTTTGGGTCGACCTGGTCCACGTTTCGGCGAGGTTTGTTCGTCGTGGGCACTAAAGGAGAGCGAACGCCTCTTTTGCTTAGGGCTGTTGGGAACCTTGGTGGCAGGGCGTTTTTTGGCGTCGGCCTCACGAGACGGACTCAAAGGCCGGCGCTTGGAAGACTGAGCACGTTTAGATCCGGGTTCCAAATCCTGCTCACGCCTATTAGGAGAAGACTTCGGCTTTGAAGAACCCTTCGACTTCTTGCGCTCATCGTAGGCAATCTTCAGAATATGTTCCTCATCTTTCCAATTAGGCCCTTCTCGGCGTCTAGCAATCTCATAATAGGTCTGCCCCTTATAGCGACGTGTTGGATCAAAGCCGTTAGCGTTGACGAGAAGTTTGACAACATCGAGGTTCTCTTGGCCAATGGCGGCGAGCATTGGCGTTCCAAATTCGACCGGAAGGTTTGCGACTGGGCGCGGGTCTGGATTGGCGCCTCCTAGAGCCAAAAGAAGTTCTACGACAAGTTTGTGACCTCCACGAGCCGCGTTGACCAGAGCCTCCGGGTCATCACAGCGCTCCTTGACCTGTAACACGCGCGTCACGGTTTCATTATCACCACGCGCCGCGGCCTGCCGGAGGGTTTTGTCATCGAGGTTCATGTATAACAGGTGGTTACTTGTCTTGGTCGATCGTACAGTTCCACCCCGCCTTTGCGCCGCCAGAATGCTGCTTGCAGAAGCTGCTGGGGAGCGGCGCGGACTATCAGCTCCATGCGATGAAAGAGCATCGTGTGAATCCTGGGGTTGGTGATCCTCCGAAGTTCGCCGCAATTCGCCTACCCTTTCTTTCGCTTCCCGGAGTGCGGCGCGTATCTCGTCAGCGTTATCCACGTCGTCTGGGACCTTCTCCAGTGGTTCGTGGCCAGAGGCATCCGCTTTGCGAGGATTGACGCCTGCTTTCAACAGTATCTTGATGACACCGAGATGGCCATTCTCCACGGCATCCAGTAACGGGGTCTCCTTGTCGCCGTTGCGACAGTCCAGATTGCACCCTGCATCGACCAAAAGCTGAACGATGCCTTCGTGGCCGTGCAAAGCGGCGACTTGCAGCGGCGTGTTCCCTGCATAATCGGCAAAGTTCAGGTCTTCGGGTCTTTCGGCTAGTCGTTTCTTCGCAGTCTCGTATTCGCCTCTGGCGCAAGCCTTGGCAAGCCACGTTTGTCCGTGGTTGTCAACGTGTTTCTTGTGTGCGGGCAGCTTCGCTGGAGACATGGTCGAATCGCCTGTGAGAGGCGTAGCGATGCTTCTCAACTTGGAGCTCCGTGGGTGCGGGCTTCCACTCGCTGAGGAATCATCAGATTGGTAGTCGGTGGTGTGGAGAGGCGCGGGGATACGTCGTTTCTTGGTGCTCAACCCATTGGAGGTTTGAGAAGGAAGCTGGGTCGAGAGACTTCGTCGGTGCGCACGACCATGCGGAGAGAGAGATCGGTTTCGGGAGGTGGATTGTCTATCGGGTTGCCGGAGAGGCGGTTGTCTGTGGTCCCTTTCTCTCGCAGCTGATGCATCGAGTGTGGTGTCCGAAATGCGCGGTCGACGGGCCTTGCGAGACTCCCCCTCGTCGTCAGATTCGGTCTTGAGAGGCTTACGTTTAGCGGAAACGTGCCTGTCTACAGGTTTGGACTTGTCCTTCTGGGGGAGCTTGTGCGATCGCGATTTGGAGGATTCTGAGTCTGATTCCGAATGGGCGTCATCGGGTCTGTGGCGTGGATGGGAGGAATCGTGGTTGTTGCGACGATGACCAGGTGGAGATGCAGGCGCGGAGCTGAGACCACTGGAACCGTCTTTTCCTCGCTGTTGCTTCTCTTTCTCGAAAGGCCGTGTTTTCTTTCCCAACAAGGAAGCCGCAGCAACGGTATCAGCAGAGTGGACCCCATTGCGATCGCCATCCCTACTATCCCTCAATGGTTTTCTCGGCGGAGGCAGTACATCATCTATCTCTCCCTCGCTCCTATCTTCGTGCTTGATGACCTTTCTGGGTTTCAACGGAGAAATTCCATCCTTCCCAGGCAAGACAATCGTTTCGGCATCGGAATTCTGGTCGGGTGCGGCATCATCTTCCTGCGCGTTTGACGAGGTGGCCGGCGGCTTTGGGTCCTTGGGAGCAGACAATGTGGGCTTGGAGGTTATAGGGGATTTGACGATGTTCGCGGCGGGACTGGCGGTCGGCCTCGATGTGGGAAGGCCAGACTCTGTGTCTCCCCGCCTGGGAGAAGCAGGCTGCTTCGTGTTTGAGGACTCGACAACATTCTGCGCATCCATAGCATTCAATTCGGAGACCACGGTGATATGCAGTACACCATCATGGCCACTCGCGGGTGACTGCTGAAACGGTTGACAAATCGCGGTGCGTTTGGGCGTCGGCAGGGAAACTTGGGAGAGCGTGTAGCAGGACGAAGAGAAGACGGTCGGGTCGCAACGGTCCAACGGGTAAAAACGATGACTCTAACTTGAATGGGAGCTAGCACTGGAGTTTAAAGGGGTTCTGGACAACAAAGGTATTGTATTGCTACCGAAGAAGTGAAGCGGTGGGAATGAGATATGTCCGGGTAAACGCGATCGAAGGGATTTTCGGTGAAGGACTTGACAGCATGGAAAAGTGTTGAAGATCAGGCGAGCAGGCAAGTGGCAAGCAGGCAGCAAACAAGAGGTAGCGAAGAATTGCAGAAGGAACAAGCAGGCAAGCGATGCGGGTTGCGGACAGGCAGGAAGCACTGAGCAGTGCAGTGGAGGTGAGCAGTGAGCAGGAGCAGTGGTGCTGTCGGGTGGTGCTGCGGTGGTAGTCGCAGCCCACGCAGCCCACGCCGAGCCCACGCAGCGACGGATCTTGATTGGACTGATTGACTGACTGATGGCGGCAGGCGGGCTCTGCTGGCTGCTGGCCTGCTGCTACTGCAGTCTGTCAGGCCGGACCTGGCTGGTCGAGACACTGGCGGTCCCACCAGGCCAACTGGTCTAAAGATGGCAGCGCCATGTCCGCAGCGTATTAGCGTGCTGGCTCCAGGGTGGTACAGCAGGCACAGCAGCGGACCAAGGTGTCTAGGGTCGGTGGCTAGCGTGTCGCACTGGTAGCACTGTCTCTTCTCGTTGCCTCCAAAGCCTCTTGATCAAGTTGAGGATGCGTCGAATTCGAGATCAGACAGTGGCCGCCGCCTGCTGTGATTGGCGACATTGTCGTTGGTGGACCGGGCTGACTGGGTACATGTAGGTCGTGGCCGGTATTGCCGTGAAATGCAACCTTGGAAGTTGGAACTCCTCGCCCCCCTGCCCCCTCATCCCCCTGTCCCTCCAAATTGGCCCAACAGTCGGTCCAACCATGCAACTCATCTCCCACTGCCCACCCACCTGCAGTCATGCACCACTTTCTTTTCCAACATTTCCTTCCTTCGCCTCTCCGGCTCACTCATCAATCCAATCTGCCAATCTATCATTCATCGCGCACAGCAGCCAATTTCGTCCCGCAGGCTGGCAGGGCAGCTGATAAGCAGATTCTTTTCTCTTCATGCAAAGCTGGCCCGTTTGTCGTGTGCCTTGTCCTTGCTTCTGCTGTTGCTATTCCACTTCCACAGCAGCTTCACGCGGCGCATCTCGAATGTCCCAGCGTCCCATCTGCCTTGTCCGCCGTCTACAGGCTACCACTCATTTCCAACCTGAGAAAGCCTGCGCTGATCACTTAATCCGAAATCTGTATCTCCTCCCCCCGAGATATCTGACATCGTCCATCCCAAAGCACTGCGCCCCCCTATTCAGAACCGGTTCCCGTCGACCTTGGAAGTAGTGCATGGTCATTATTCCCGCAGACAAGCCATAACTATCATCGACACATTCGACAACCAGGAAGACTAATCACTGCCACACACGTGTTTCGAGCAGCAGACCAATACCTGGCAGGAAGCTCAAGCACTGTAGATCACCCGCATCATTCGGCTTCTCGCATCCGTCGCTAGGACTGTCGATCTCTCCCTCCTCAACTACAGGACTACGACGACATCTCAAAAGCCACGCTCGGGAAAAAGATAACTTCCACAGGTATGACTACCGATATGCCTAATCATGTTTCACTGCCGGATTCCCTGGAGAGCCTACGGATTATGGGCTTGCCACCAGCAGCCTACTACATTTCGGATTTCATCACCTCAGACGAGGAACAGATGATCCTTGATAGAATAGCGTCGGCGCCCAAACCTCGCTGGAAGCAGCTCACCCATCGACGATTACAGACCTGGCCATCCGACCTGGTGAACAATAAGTTGATTGATGCGCCGTTGCCGGCATGGCTGGAGGAGCCTATCGTATCACGTCTGACATCCCTACGTCTTGGGCCCGCCTCCGAATCGTCCAATATATTCGGCCACAGTCCTCATTTGAAGCCGAACCATGTTCTAATAAACGAGTACCCAGCTGGAGTCGGCATCATGCCACACAAGGACGGGGCTGCGTATCATCCTGTCGTCTGTACTGTAAGCCTCGGAGCAAGCATCTGCCTCGATATTCACAAGACCAAGGATGACGGGACTCTGGACCAGGCACCCGCTTGGAGAATTCTGCAAGAACCTAGAAGTCTACTCATTACCACGTCAGATCTTTACACTGGGTATCTCCACGGTATTGCTGATATCACAGAGGACGTCGAGCTTTCGGACGACACTGTTGCCAATTGGACGTTACTGCGCTCAGGCGCCAGCTTTCAAGAAGGAAGAAACGTACGGCAAACACGGACCAGCTTGACGTATCGGGATGTGATGAACGTCTCCAAATTAGGAAGCAAGCTCGGAATGTTCCGGAAGAAGTGAGACATCATCTTGCGATGGCCTCAGAATACATAGGGTATCATCTTCCACTTCTCCTGAAATCCGTGGCCAAACCGCTCAATATACCATTTGTATGTGCCGTTGGCGGTGACACCGAGGTTGACCGAGACAAAGAGGACCGCGCAAACCAGCGTTCTGTTGTACAATTGGCCTTCGGGAGCTGCCACTAATGCCAGTGAGAGGTACAGCAGGCATTCACAAGTGTAATGTGGGCAGACCAGGTACCGAAATAAGCCGTCTAACGGAAGCGAGTACTTTTTCAGGTTCGATAGGTATCGGTGGCATTTGTATTGCATAACAAATGCGAACAGGAATCCAGCTGCGCCAAGGATGACCTTCAATGGTGGAATGACGGTGCTGACCATTCGGTCAGAATACGAGATCGAGCCTGCGAAGGTGTCAACATCAGGTGAGATATCACAGAATGCATTCACCTACTAGACCCTTCCACCCATACGGCCATGCTTGTGCATAGGTAAAACGCATTTCCCAGGAGCCAATGGACTACCCACATGCGTGAAGATGATGGTTGGAGGACAGCCAGATACTCGAACAGGCGTCGAGCGCCTTGCAAGCCCATAAGGAACCACACGAGCACGACTTGGCCCAAGGTCATCGATGCAGTCGTGCTGGAGGCTTGTTTCCTCATAATGAGTTCGAGTAGGGTCCCATGGCACACATACTGGACCGCCCAGAAGACGGAGCAAGATAGAGACAGGATATAGAAATGAATGAACCACGAGTGAGGGACTTTGCCCACCGATGTGATCCAGCCAGCGACGTCCGTGACGACCCCTTCGCTCGTGCCCCGCTTGCTGGTCTTCTCTTGTGATGAAGAAGATGTTGATGATGATGCGTCGCCCGAGCTGCGGGCCCCGTACTGCGTCAGGAGCCGCTGCGCCGAGTCGGGGGTTGCCGCGATGGCCAGCACGGCCGCGGCGCTGAGGACGTAGAAGAGCTGGCAGAAGGTCGCGGGGCTCAGGTCGGCGACGTAGTCGAGCATGGCGACTGCTGACGACATCTTCCTGTCATGGGATAAGGTATGGGTCTTGTCCGTGGGAGCGCGACTCAGGGGGTTGTCCGCCGATTCATGGTTTTGTGTCAGTGGTCCAGTCTGGCTTGCTGCTTGCTGGAAGTCTTTGGTTGAAAATCTTCTAGTTTCGCGGTTAAAGGGGGAGCTTGGATATCGTAGCTTGGCTGGTGCTGATTGGTGCATGTTTTTCATTAAGCGTGTTGGGCTTCTAGCGGGGCTCTAGAGCTAGCTCGCCCATGGGCTATCAGCGACACCCCTCCCCCTTTTCGCTTCGGCGGGCTTCGTTCAGCTGTTCAGGGGAACAACGAAGTCTTATGACTAAATATACTATCCAGCAAGCGGTTGTGGTAGCATTCGCGATCCTCCTGCAGTCCGAAAGCCTATGCTGATACCATGGACCCACAAGAAGCGTGTGTGTGGCCACCGAAGAGAAATCCAAAATCCAAACACATGGGAACTCTCACTTCCATCGAGATGTCAGAGGTGGGAATTTGGGAATTCAGCCTCATACGCCGGTCTGTATTGCTCCATGATAAGTGCTCCGTTCCTCTGATCGGACTTCTTAGAAGTCGGTCCAATCGAGACTCGGGCGCGACATTACAGCATCACCGACAAATAAGACGCCTGCTTATGCACAAGCTATATCGGTATGCGCTGGCTACGAGTTTGGAAATCGTACATAGTACATAAAGTATATGATGTCTTATGCTGGCGCTATGTGCTTATGCATACCGCTCTCTGCTGGTGGAAGATGCTTACACTGAACCCTTAGAAGTCTATGTACACCATCAGCCCAGCAGTAACGGTATAACAATCATAATTAGAACAAGCATACTGACATAAGTGTTGAAAATCATATGTGATAATAGAGATGCTTATTTTAATACTTCAATTCTTTACGGGTGCGCCAAAGTCTATGAACGTGCGCGTACAGATACTTATGAGGGCTGAGTGTACCTGCTATATAACAGAATAACTTGGGACCAAACACGTGACTGTCACAGGAAGCATATGAACTGAACAAGCCCGGTCGTGATTGATGTAGAAATAGTATTCATCCCATCAAACAGTCACAGCACGGTAATGAAACGCATGAATCGAGGCGTCAGAGACTGTTCCGTGCCAGAAGCTCAAGTCCTCCCCAGGATAACATCCGCTGTCCTTCCCGCGACTGAATAAAGCATCGACATGGTATGGCTCGTGATTGGAACTGGAAGTATACCCGCATCAACGATGCGTAGCTTCTTTGTACCGTAGACCCTTTTCTCCCCTTGTCAGCCTGCTTCACGATTTCCCTGACGCCAACGTCGATAGTCCATCTAAGGGTCCTGGAGTAGCGGGAGAAACGACACAACTCACTTCAAATTGGAGTCGACGACCCCGCCTAGGTCTCTAGGCATCATAGCCGTGCTTCCAATCCAGTGACTGGCACCGTATGCTGTCGACTTATACCACTCGAGGTACTCGGCATCTGTACCGTTGGGCCCGATTGGGGGGTCGTAGTAGGCATTCTCCACCACGTATTCGAACACGTCGCTCGCGAACAGCGCCCTCGACCGCCTTGCAATAGCCACGGCGATCTCTTGATCAAAGGAGTCTGTCAAGAGCCGTGGTGTTATGACAGGCGTCGAGAAGGGGTAGGAGTCGTTGATGTGCACGTGCCCCCTAGATAGGGGCATGGAGGGCCAGAAGGCAGCGAAGAGGATCGTGGGGTAGGACTCCCCGATGAACTCAGCAACGGGCTCTATGCGTATGGTTAATTCGGGGCTGCATCTTTTTCTGAAGAACCTCGCCTTGACTTACGGTCAGAGTTGACGATCAGGTCAATAGTGGTATTGAGGATGTGTTTGGCGCCCTCAATGTTCGCGGCGGCACCGACACTGACAAGCGCCTGCGCCCTTGATTCAAGTCCTTCTATCGAGGTGAGGGCCGACGTGTAAGACGTGGCATCGGCTCCCCAGACCTCGTCGAGACCCACGAGGGAAATCTCGGGCGCGAAGAGAATCCGGTCATCGATGATACCGGTATTATTCCAGTATGCCTCCCTCACCAAGGCAGAAGTTCCCGTTCCGGGCTGGTCATTCAGGTTTGCGCCGACCCCTGGCAAGTCCACGAGCTGCTGGATGCCGGCTCTCTCGAGCACTGCCTTGCTACCTATGCCGGATCTCTCTAGTACTGGCGCACTCTGCAGAGCACCCGCAGCAAGGATGACCTCTTTGATGGCATGCACGACGCTGGGTGGGCGTTCCGGACCGGCTGAGAAGGCCACACCGGTTGCTGCCAGTTTCTTGTCGAATATGACCCTGTCTACCCTGTGGTTGGTGAGTACTGTAAGTCTCTCCCTCCACTGGTCTTCGGCCCACAGCAGTCCGTCTGCGGCCGAAGAACGCCGGTTCTTTCCGGAGGCCGGGTCGTACCAAATCGTCCAGGAGCTTGAGGCTGAGACTGTGGGGCTACGGTTGGACAGGTCGTTGCCGATGGTTAGGCCAGGGAAGATCCGAGGCAGGGCGGCTTTGAAGCGCGACTGGACTGTAGGAATGCGCATCGGCGTCTGACGGGGTTTAGTACGCAAGGGATGCTAGGTTTTGGGAGGCTGACCGTACGGGAAACGAGACGTTGATAGCACCACTGTACCCGTGTCGAGAAGGATCATAGCCAGCACCCTGCGCGATCTGGATATCATCGGGCGGATGGTTGCGTTCGGCGGCGATCATATACTGCGTGACAGGCTCAATGATCTAACACCGATCATGTAGTCGGGGACGCACTCACGGGTTCGAGGCTCTCCCAATTCCACCCTGGGTTTCCCAGTGTCTCCAACTTGTTCAGCTCTGCCTCTGTCGGTCTATACCACATCAGACCGTTGACTGCATCGCCATCAATCAGCATCCAGATTACCCGCAGATAACTCACGCGACAACTCACTCGAAGTACCACCTCCAATACACATGCCACTGTCGATGGTCCAGTCAAGCGTGTTGCCCTCGTCGTCGTAGGCGGGGTACTGCCAATTGCAATACCCATCCAAGTTACCCCTTTCTTCGGCATTATAGACGGCGGGGTTCCATCTCGGATCCGGTCCGGCCTCGATGATGAGCACCGAGTTTCCGGCACCACTGAGCTACAGAGGAATGTTCAGCGAACCGTACGGAGTAGAGGTGGAGGGGACATGGACAGAGCCACACCTTGTTTCCCACAGTGATACCAGCCAGCCCGGCTCCGACTATCACGTAGTCGAACGTCTGATTTGTCGCTACGGAAGTGTCATTCGTCACGATGGTGGCACACGTCGGGCTGAGGAATAGAAGGGCAGCGGCCACAGAGCAGACCAGAGTTGCATAGAACATGTTGATAACTATGAGCTGCGTGGCGGGTGTGTACCGAAAATCAAGGCTTGATTAGGTAAATGAGAAGCTTATCCGCCAAAGGAGGAGGAAATAAGTGAGTTCGGTATCCCTCAGCAGAAGACGGAAACCTGCGACCCCGTCAAGTTATATCTCAGATACGTTACTGACGCCACCAGCAGAGCTCCGCATGCTTGGGTGCATGTTCCCTGCCATCGACCTGCCATCGGCCTGCCGTTCAGCCCCGCTTTTCTATCGTCGACTATTCGGGGTTACAAAGCTCCCTTGCAGTTCTGCTGTGCGACCAGACAATGGCCCAGGAAGGGCTGGTGAAGTCTTGTATCTATCTTAACGACGAAGACAGCCGTGAGATATCAACTTGACACGTGACAATATCCATCCTCGGGAGCGTATTCCGTGGGATATATTGTCATACTGACAGGGGTTAGTTGACATGTTCCGCTGCAAGGTCGACCCCGATACAGCATGGCGTGGGAGTCTCGTGCAAGACTGAATCGGTAGGCCTGCCCGAAAAGGGAGTCAGTGAAGCCCGCTCCGTCCGTAGAACGTGACAACCTGGTGTTTGCTGATTGGTGAGTAGTCCCCAGCGGTCCCTTGCCAGATGTGGTATACTGACATGTTTCCCGAAGCCCCCCTGACTCATCGCCCGGGCGTGTGACGACCTCCAGGCAACAACGAAAGTAACGGGGAATTAGCAAATGGTCATGGCAAATGACGCGAATTTTTTTCCCGGAGTTAGTTGGTCTTAGCCTTGGGCTGTACTCGTGGGGAATGACGAGAGCTGGCGGGCACGACGTTGCTTTCTCTTTCACGGCGAGAGGCTGGGTATACCGCATTCATCACATCAAAGCGTCCAGCACCACAGCCGGTATGGTCCGGGACTTCAGCAACGCCCGGACTAGGGGTGCCAGAGTCCATATAAAATAACTCTTTGCTGTCATTTTACGTCGTAATAAGGGTCACCTCCGACCCCAAGTACCAAGTGCTAAAAAGAGTACCCCTGAGAAACCCCAATTCACCTCATATTGTTAGCAATGAGTCATGTTCAACTCTAGTTGCTTCAGTGCAAGCTGAGTCGCGGGTGGTTTGAGACATCTAGGGCTTCAGAGCTTTTCCCTTTCATGACACGTACTATACGGCGTATGGTGTGTTGATCGTAGCCACCAGGTAGCCAATATAAAGGGCATCGTCGGGCCTGGAGAGGGTTTCCTGGCATATGGTTTGTATGTTTTGTGTTTCCGTGGTGTTTGGATCGTAAACCTAGCGATATTGCAAACCTCGTTGAGCTCCAGTACCTTGAGGGTGTCCCATGGAGTCATTACACGTTAGGTAGCCTCTCTACAGATATAGAAGGACAGGTAATTAGGACATGGTATGGCAGAATGGCGATCTCAGGTGGATCGGACCACTCGCATATCAAATATAGGCTGCCCGGAAGTACATGGCAGTTGTTTATGGTGCAATGTGTATATATATGTTTGACCTGTCCTTCAACGCAGAGCTCCTTGCTATTCGCCGCATGGCCTGCGTCTGTAAGATAAAAGTGCACGGCAACCAAATGCCCAATATATCCCGTAGTAAAGGCGAAGGGCGGGCCTGGTACTTTGCACGTATCCAGTTGTTCGCACAGCACCTTCCAAGGCACATGCCCTTCATTCGTTGCCGGGAACAACAATCATGAGCTGTGCTGAACCCACCATCCACAGCCCACCAGAAATAGCCAACCCGGGCTGCACCCTTTGCCGCCGTCTTAGAACGCCGAACTGTTTATTTGCCGTCGACATCAAAGATCCACGCCGCTGCCAGGAGCACACCTCTTCACTCCCATCTAGAACTCACACATCCATCGCTGTCGACATACACTGCCATCCATCATGTTTAACGACCGTGAGATCCAGTCACAGCAGTCGATCTTAGACAGCAATGTCTGGGGGCATGCCCCGGCTCACGAGACCGCACTGCAAAAGCTCTGCCGCCAAGAGTTCCTCAAACCGGATGATGTGCAGCGAATACGCGAATTGATGACGGGTATGTAACCCTCGATGGTGTTTTTACCCAAGAGCGGCCTAGTTTGAACGAACACTGGCTCTTACGCTACCACAAAGCTCGCAGCCCACCTGAAGATGAGGCCATGGGCATTGGCAACGCGCTGACGGGTTCCAACGAAGACGCTGGAGGTTTGGAGAATGAGATCATGAGCATCATTGACGAGGCCACTCATGTTGTCGACGCCTACAACAGCAACAATAAAAGCAATAACCAAGCATCCGGCAATGACAACAGCGACGACGCAACGGCTGAAACTTCCGAGCCCCGGTATTACGCGCGCAGGATCTGCGGTGCGCTTAAGAACACCAAAAACAGTCGTTATGACCACGAACGCGGCGTCCATGTCGGCACGATCTGCCTGTTTCCTGGCTGTGGTGCTATGGAAGCTACAGAGGGCGCCATGGCAGCTCATCTTCGCGAGGTCCACCGCTACAGCGAGGTGCAGCTGGAAGGACAAACCAAGTTTCAGTGTGGTTGGCCTGGTTGCAGCAAGATCTTTCCCGCTGACCGGAGTGCGGGACGTTGCGTACAATGGCACCAGACTGCTGTGCTGAGAAACACAGACCAAGACGAGTAGGGGATATTTGCCACGACGTGGATCGGGGGGAATGCCATGGTGTATGGATACATCAATCCCGCTGATTAATCCCTAAAGAGACGATTCCAGTGTGGTGGTCTTTGAGCTCCCTGTGTAGAGAACTCAACCAGCCATAACTCCAAACATATCGATAGCTTCCGTGCTTGTATGGAATGATATCAGACATTTGAGAGTCAAATGCTTTTTTCTTTCGGTTCAAGAGTCTTCTGTGTGCATGTCTAGGTAGACCAACGTTCTCGATTTACATCATGGCCGGGCTTATACATACAGGCTCTGTACCGTTAGGCTGAGGCTCAATCCAGCAAATACAGACTCGGTGCTACCAGTAGGGGAGCTCATATCTATAGCCTCGCCCAGGGTCAGATGCTGATCTCGTACTTCGACCATCAGAACGATCCCAGCTCATAGGTAACCACGCATGGCGAGTGGAACACCCGTCACTACACACCAAATGGGTAGGTCACGAAGACAGAAGCGCCACCTTGATGACATATGTCGAGCATGACAGGCTTGTTGACATTCAAAGGAAGGCGCCTCGGCGGCGCGGCATATCCCATTACCTGAGGACCTCAGGGCAAAAGGCTCATGCTTCCTGATCTGTTCTCAGGGATACTATCTCTTAACGTTTGAATTTGTGCTTCGAAGCAGTCTGAGCGGTGCAGCCTATCTGAATGATCAGGTGAGAGTATGTGACAAGCACCCCTTATGATGCTATATCCCGCAATTGCATGTCAGATTGATTGCATATCGGGTCGATCGGCTAATCTGCGGCCCATGGTGGGGGTTGACATCACTGCTGAGAATTGCTAACAAAATTTGCCCCACTACATTTCACGAGGGCAAATTCCCCAATCAACCTCACCCTGCGCAGACCTCACCAGCAAGACTCGACTAGGCTGAGAGACAGACAAATAACCATCAAGCAACAGCAGTTCCTGGAACACATCAGTCAACATGGCGACTACAGTGGACAAGGTGAGTGCGAAGCAGAAAGGCAGAAAGGCAGATCGGACCCGGCTAACCGTTTCGCAGATCAAAGACATTGAGGCCGAAGTAAGTCTTCTCCGTTGCGACCTATGGTCTGTTGGGAATGGACTCGCTAAGCTCGTGCTCGACAGATGGCCAAAACCCAAAAGAACAAGGCGACCTCGTTCCATCTGGGCCAACTGAAGGCCAAGTTGGCGAAACTGAAGCGAGAGCTCCTGACACCCTCGAGCAGTGGAGGAGGCGGTGGTGCTGGCTTCGACGTCGCCAGAACAGGGGTTGCCAGTGTTGGCTTCATCGGCTTCCCATCCGTGGGCAAGAGTACTCTGATGAGTAGGCTGACTGGCCAACACTCCGAGGTAGCAGCGTACGAGTTCACAACCTTAACGTCTGTACCCGGACAGGTCATGTACAATGGTATAGTTGTCACCAACCCCAACCCCAACACCTACCCGCATCCGTGGCCCGTTACCCTGTGTATCAACTGTTTGCATCACAGCCGTTGACTCTCCGGTCCTAACCTGATTGGTACAGGTGCTCCCCTGCAGATGATCGATCTCCCTGGTATTATAGAGGGTGCCAAGGACGGAAGAGGACGCGGTCGTCAAGTCATTGCTGTTGCTAAGACTTGCCACCTGATCTTCATCGTGTTGGATGTGAACAAACCTCTGACCGACAAGAGAGTCATCGAAACGGAACTCGAGGGATTTGGAATTCGCATCAACAAAGGTCCACCCAACATCACCTTCAAAAAGAAGGACAAGGGTGGGCTCAACATCACCAACACCGTGCCATTGAGTCACATTGACCATGATGAAATCAAGGCTGTGATGAATGAGTATCGCATCAACTCGGCAGATATCGCCATCCGCTGTGATGCCACTATTGACGATCTAATCGACGTGTTGGAGGCCAAGAGTCGCAGCTACATCCCTGTCATTTACGTCCTCAACAAGATCGACGCAATCAGCATCGAGGAGCTGGATCTACTATACCGGATCCCCAACGCGGTGCCCATCAGTTCCGAGCATGGATGGAACATTGACGAATTAATGGAGGCAATGTATGTCTTGGTTCCTTCTGGGACTTGCTTTGTGGGAGGACATTGCTAATCTCCTCTACAGGTGGGATAAGTTGCAGTTGGTCCGGGTTTACACAAAGCCAAAAGGGAGATTGCCAGACTACTCTGCACCCGTGGTGCTGCGTTCTACAAGGTGTACGGTCGAGGATTTCGTAAGTGTACCTATCGGGAATATTGGATGTTGATAGGGCTGTCTTGTTGACCGAGTCTGCTGCAGTGCAACGCAATCCATCGAAGCATTCTCGAGCAGTTCAAGAATGCAATAGTCTACGGGAAGTCGGTGAAGCACCAACCGCAGCGTGTGGGGCTCGCCCATGAGTTGGCCGATGAAGATATAGGTAATGCCCAACACCTGCGCCATGGTGTCTCGAGAGTATGTTCCATGCTAATCTTGTGTGCAACGCAGTCACAATCATGAAGAGGTGATTGGAGTGCTTAGTAAAGGGTGTCTTTGGCATCCTCGACCAGCACCTTGGAAGGGCGGTTGGTCTCGACCACCTCTGTCTTTCACGTACTCCCGTGATACAATTCGATGCCGAGCTCCCGGATCACTCCCAACGGCATATCACATCCCAGTGGTACAGCCGCCAACTGCGCCTACCTACACAATGCGTTCATCTGTACAAGGCTGGTGGGCGGCTGCATGAACAGGGTCTTGCGCTTGTTTGCCGGTAAGCGGGTCAGGGACGAAGCCGGGATAGAATTGTCATTTGATCACTGGGATAGACCCGGCCATGCACCTAACGGTACGTCTGGGCGTTTTGATAGTTGACAAGCCAGGAGTTGTCAACAAGCCGCTCCTGGTTCACGAAATGCAGCCAAGTTGAGTTGAGTTATCACAAGCATCGTCACGTTTTGCGGGGATTGCAGCGTCCGGATCCCCCACGTAACAAGCCGCATCTTGGAATCGTCAGTGATCGAGCAGGAAAAGCTGCAACCATCTACCATCTACACCTGCATAGGCGGGCCTCACTCGATGCGGCCGCATTTCCGATGAGGCGTGGGGATGCAGTCGTCTGCAGAAGCCTGCGTTAGTGCACAGGAGCAACCGTTGAGAGATGGTATACGAGTTGCAAGAGCACGCCACACGAGTGAGACCATCGATATGACCGGTGGATGTCTTAGCCCTGGGTTCTGTTGTTGCACCTCGATAGTCGGGACATTAACAGCCACTCAAGCCAGTCAACATAAAGGCTGTCCCTCCCAAGAATGGGCGAACGGCAGATTGGTCCCTGTCTCCAACCTTTCACAGCGCGTCTGTAGCCGCTGGCCATGCCCGCAGTCTTGTCTCACGGTTCCGTCGTGGAGAAAGGCCCCATATGAATTTGCGGTTATGGGGCTACCTGGTTTGATTCCTACCCAACGGACAGTTGCGCCTGGTGCTTGACGATCTAACTAACTTCAACCATCCTTCTGTCAGCATTCATGCCGAAATGAGTCGTTGTCTGACGACACATGGTAGGATTGATTATCATCTCTGCCAGATTGAGACCACGGCAACACAACGCGAAGGGCAGCCAGCCATCGGAAACCCCAATCGAGTATGGACCTACCTAGATAGTACCTACAGCTACCTACTAACGCAGTATAGCTACCCGGGCCCCGGCGCTGACTGGCAGCCTGCAGGGGCCCCTGCGCCTGGGCATTGATCATCAAGGTGAATTGCGAGGATGCTGACATACGCACTGCTCACTGCTCAGCACAGACAATGCGGAGCTATCCTTGGAGATTGTCAGATTGATGATCCCTGACGGGCCTCGAGCCCTCGAATCGGCTCTCCGCAGTCGATGACCCGCCCCATTGCTCCACGAAATGCCTCCCGCAAGTGGATGACCGTGGACCCCATTGCCTCACCCTGTCCGCCTGTCAGGCGATCCAATTCCAGATGAATCTCGGTTTGAACCTGGTCTCCAGCATAAACCATTTGGCGATTGTGGCAGTTACGGATAATACAGGTCGACCCCTGAAATAATGTACCGTGGGTCGGTTTCAACATGGGGCCTTATCAAGTACCAGTATATAAGGACGGATACTCCCCGACCGAGAAAATACTTCAGATTTCTTCGATTCTCTTCTCAACTTATGCGGTTTTAAGCGTTTTAAACAAGTAACTAATGGTTTCCACCGGTACATAGTTTCTCCCTTGCCGGTACTTGTGCAAGGAACATTATTTCAGGGGTTGACCTGTAGGCACCCGCATGGACGTCGCTCCGCTTGAGCCTCGTTTCGTACCAAAGACACAGAGACGAGGGCCAGTGGGAGGCCAGTGTGCTGGTGGTAGAGCATTCGGGACAGGCAAACAACGTCGGAGCTCGGGCAGGTGCGCGGTGTAACTTGTCGAGGATGCCAGGGCCGCTGGAGCATGACGTTTCGTACGCGACCTCTGCGCCGTATGCGACTCTACATGGTCGATGTCGCCGCTACACACAGCCAAGCTCCAAGGGAAGCGTACGACGGGCAATTTCTGCAATTGAAAGGCCTCACTATGAGATCATACCATTAGGGGAAGAGTTGCCGACTTCGGCTGCGATGGGAGAGGAAGCCTTGCATAAGCGGAACGCTGCACAGCCGCCTGGCGTTTGTAACACAATCTCGGCCTCCTCGCTCTTTACATACGCTAGACTCGAACTGGCTTGTGCCTCCCAGGATCGCTCAAGCCTCTTGAAAGTTGGGCATTGATAGGCAAGGATTCAGCTGGAGCTGACCAACTGGAAGACAGCTCGGCGCACGGAATCCAATCGGTCTCGCTCGCTTGGACCTCCTGACCATTTCTGCCCAATCGCCCAATGGTAATCGGTGAGGGCTTTCGCGTCTGACCCGGAGATGATGTCCAATTGGCAAGCTGGTCGTGTTTCAACGGGGTGCTGTTGGTTGCTTCGGGAGAGTCGTCGAGACCAACAGCGTTGGTCCTCGTCGTCGTCTTCACATGCCGCGTGTTGGTTTGGATCAGGCGCGCTGAAGAACAACGGTTGACGGCGGCAAGAGAAGTGGGCACGAGGGCCGTCCCTTTCTTTAGCCAGATCTACAATCTAGCGGACGTTGGAGAAAGGCGGAAGCGGCGAGGGCTAGGATGACGGTATGTTGGTTGGTTCTATGCGATATATTCCCAGCCACCAGTGACTTGATGGCCTGGATGCTACACGAGCTTGCCGCGACCCGCGACGACTCGATGGAAGAGCTGTGGCCCCAACAAGCAGGCACCTAGGCCGTACCCATGGGATGGAGAAACGAGGTTTGCTTTTCAAGGCTGACAGGCTGTCGCATTAACCGCACTTTGACAAGCTTAAGATCGCCAGAAAGTTGAAACGATAGCTTATCGGATGCTCGGACCCCCATGGCTTGACGCTTTATTTTTGGATATATCAGTCTTCAGACTTCATCTTTCTCAACGTCAAACTGGAATGAGGCGTAAATGTATCCCAAGCTCCGACCCCTCGAAGTCGAGGCGAGGCTTTCAGCATTGAACGGTGGTCGATCGTCGACGGATGTGGAGCAGCAGAGCGCCGAAGCGTCAGGGGATTTATTAACAAATTCGGCCTGCCGAACCCCCCGCCCCCTGCTGTTATGCAATCATCGCTTCTCGCTTCACGGGGGACCAGGGACCCCGGGCAAGCTGCTCATCTCGTTTTCACCTGGTCAACGTTGTCTTACAGAACGGAAATAATGGTTGTGGGAGTTGCGACAAGACCTGCTCGGGGGCCACAGGGACGTCCATACCCCTCCTTTGTCCGATTGTGCCCTGGGATGATCCGATAATGGCCGAGTTGGTGATTCTAGCCAGAAAGCCAGACACGATACCCTACGATGTCACGCACTCCCCACAACCGGGGGCAAAGGGTCTCGAGGGTCCCCAAAGGATCGAGGGACTGACGAGTGCAATTTCTGTAATACGAATCCAGCTGCTGACCAGGTGCGATGAGTGGATGTGTTTCTCAACTATCGTCGAAGGTGAGGGGCTCCGACGACGTTGTCGCGGCGTCGGTGGTTATGGCTCGCTGGCGACCGTCAAATAGAAAGTCAGAAGCCAGGCTGACGATGGACATGGAGTCGATGGACGGCAACGGGTGGCATAGAGTGGCCCATGTTGGCCCATGTTGGCCCTATGAGAGGACGATGCGGTCCGTCTTCTATATGGGGAGGTGGACCAAGGACATGCATGATGCCTCCTCCCAGCCCCTGCTAGTCAGCCCGTCGAGTTTCAACGAGTCCACAAGGCCTCTGTGGACTCGGCCTCCAGTGGAGCAAGATGAAGCCAAGCTCTTCAGGATCCTCACGAAATACCTCGTCCAGCGTCCAGCGTCCTCATTCGAACAGCTTGACCGAGGCAGACGTTGCGATAGCCGCGATAGAGTGGCTGCTGACTCTATCAGCCCGACCCAAGCCCCCAACGCTCTCTTCATCAGGATTCGAACGGGTGTCGTGACGACTCCTAGGGCCTATCAGGTCTTGAACCGAGTCCCCGCAGGGCCTCTATTCGCTGTGGTCTCTCGACCTCCTCTCCCATCGCCTTCTCCCACTGCTGGGGTGTGGTACTATTGATACCGACTTCTCATTAATGACAGAGATGACAGAAGCAGGATAGATTTTGTTTTTTGGCCGACTTCAAGTGGCGTATCAGGCCTCGTAATAAGCAACTGCTAGGGTCTGATATCGTTCCCACGATGTCACGGTCGAGTCGTAATGTATTGCATTTGTCTATTATTCTTGTTGGTTCCGATTTGCTTTTCATCCTTCTTGCGCCCCATTCCAACACTCGGGACTTTCCAGCACCCGCCCTCTAGTAAGATCCAGTCCGTGCCATCCCGCAGCATCGAACATCCTTTCTCAGAAGCACAGATCGGGGTTTCGGGGGCAGCGGCCGGCCAGTCGATGATAGTCTGGGAGGAAAGAGCTTATACAATGGCATCTACTGAGTTTCTGCAACCTACCCGACCTACTGGTCTCCCACATCCGCAACTCGTCTACGGCATGCCGAACGCCCGTGGCTTTCGCTTGCTTTTTTCCGAACTAGCCTTGCCAATCCTATCTGATAAAGGCTATGATCAAGGATCTGGCTCGCTACATTGGGTTGTGCTTTCCCCTCCGCTCACCAGGGCCATGTACAACCGCACCCCAGTCGAGCCTGGCAGCCCTCTCTAGACGACATCCACGCCTACCTTAATTCATCTTTCCCCTGGAGCCAGCCCTTGTCCTGCCAGGGCTTGTCATGCCACATCTATCCTTCAAAGGTTACCACCACCCCCCTCTAGGTATGTATCTCGTCTGTCATACAAGGCCCCCAGGATTCGTAGGGACACACACATCCCTGTTGCTGCATACAAACACACTTGCCCTACATATGTAGCTCATGTATGGTTTCCTCCACATGTCTGTGTCTACCACCTGCGGCCTTGTCTTTCGTTTTGCGTCTGATATTCCAAGCTCGACAACCTAGCAGCCAGACTGCGTTACGTCGTCGCCTCCATCTTCTGTCTGATCATCATCGATGGCAGAACCAGTAAAAGTCGACTCAATCCCACAGATATTGTTTGTTACACGATTGCCCGTCCGTCGATACTGCGGCGGTCACCATATACAACAGGCCAAGCTCCTAGTCCTCGATGCGCCGATAGAGAAATACGTTCCCTGTTAGGGAAATTCGGAAAAGAGCCCCCAAGGATCGACCTAGCCGTCTGGAGAGTGAGAGTTGGGCCAAATTGACAGAGACCGGAAGGCCAATCCCGGATGTTTGTTGGTTGGTGATTCCTAGGACTCGGCCGTCTCCTCCCGCATATTGGTGGTATACACGAGCATACGCAGTTTACCATCTGTACTTGAGTCAACACCTGCGTCTCCTCGCCATTCTCGTTTCGGAGCCTAGGTGTGCCAAGCTTCTTCTCCCAGACCGCCAACGTTACTGCAGCTCTCAACCGCGCACGAGTGCTTCCGACTACACGGCATACCAGTGCACACCACCTCCATCGAACCAATTGGTTGGCTGAGCCTGCATGTCGTCTCCCGCTTGTAAACCTCAAGTCGCCAGATACAAGCCGGCAGATCCCTACGGGTCGTCAGAACCAGCCCTCCCGCGCTAGTAGGCACTCGCCGTGGTCTGGTGCAGACCTACATCACAGCGGCAGCGCATCTCAGACCATACCGTGACCATCAGTCGATGCGGCTTCTGGTCACGCCCACCTCCAAGGACCTCGTCAAAGCGGCTCAACCGGGCGGACCATGCATGACACCATGATCAGCTCCACTGGCATAGACCAGGAAAACCACATGGCTCATGACGACTCGTACTCGAACGGACAATGGGTTGACATGAGCCACTATACACACATGGGCATGGCGGGCTACCCAAGCGACTACTTCGTACCGGGGCCATCCCATGGACTGCCATCAGACTCCATCGGGGGGCACATGGGGCCACCGCCGGTTCCTCAGCCATTGCATCCAAATTATGGGAACCAACTTCCTCATCCCATAATAATACCCAATCAAGCACCTGCCCATGTCCCATGGCCCAGTCTCCGTACGAACCCATCCCACAATTATTCAGCGCCTCCAGTGGCCATTCCTCCTGTCTCTGCGCCCATGAGGCAGCAGCCGAGGCTGCCTACCATCAACACTTCGCAGCCGCGGAGGACTCTAACAGATGAGGACAGGAGGAACATGTGTAAGTTTCACGAAGAAAACCCCCACATCAAACAGACGGAGATAGGACTGAAGTTTGGTGTCGAGCGAAGGTAAGGTCAACGGTGCGCCGACGTCCATGTTCCTGCGCTGACATAGCTTCAGTACGGTATCGAAGGTCTTGCGAAAGAAAGACCAGTATCTGAATCAGGATGACCGCAGTGAGTCCCCAATCAAAAGGAACAAGGGCAAGTCTCCTCCAGACATAGAGCGAGCGCTTGCGAACTGGGTCAGGGGGCAGCAGAAAAAGGGGTTGGTCGTGAGCGACTACGACATGCAAGAGAAGGCGAAAGTCTTCTGCACTGGCTCCGACAGCCCGCTCAAGACCATCACTGCCTCCTGGCTGGAGAAGTTCAAGCAGAAGCATGGAATTGGCCCAGGCAAGCTGATACGCAGGGCATCGGAGACTGCAATCCCAGACGGCTCTCGACTGGACAGGTTGGATACGGAATCACCATTGATGTCTGCCTCGCAGACTCCTGGCGGCGTCTCACCTGCCTCGCCAGCCGGCCAGGCCTCGTCACCACAAGTCACTTCGGCGAACGTGAAGGACGAAGAAAAGGACACCGCCTCTGGCTTTATGGATTTTGAGAACAGCGCATACGCTCATGCTAATTCGCTCGAACCACCGTCCGCTTCCAGCACCAGGACTGACCCGCCAAGCTCGACTTTCTCGGGCGGAGCCTTTAGCCCGACATTCTCCTACTCGCCAGACATCAACACGGGAGTGTTCGGTCAACAGGCAAACTCGAATTTTCAAAGGCCGCGGAGCCAGACCGTCCCCAACATTGAGCCGTCGCTTGAGTACATCAACCAACCGCAGGGCAGCGAGCCCCTGACGCCGAAATACAGCGCTTCCGGTACTGCGCCGTCCTCTGCTCTCGAGTCTCCCGCACATGAGATGGGCGCTTCCTCATTTGGACTCGACGCGGCCATGTCTCCGCACGCGCTTCACCGTACAAGCAGCAACAGTAGCCTCGCAGGAAGGTCCGCCACCTCCGGGGCAGTTTCGGGAACGATGGGATCATCCACACCGAACTCGCCGACACAGGAGGACGCCCGTCGAGCGGCGGACACCCTCCTGAGCTTCATGCAGAACCAATCCACAAGCTGGGTCGATCCGAGCGACTACGTTGTTTTCGTTCGACTGACTGAGAAGCTGGGACTGAACCAGCACCAGCTCGGAGGAGCTCCCAAGGGCATGTCGGCAGCCCACGGGCTCGGCGGACTGTGGAGAATACCCGAGGGCGACACGGAGATGTCCAACTCCATTTCGCCGTCGAGCAAGCACGGGACGGCTATGAGTGGGTGAAACGCTCTGGACTGTCTCTCTTGCGACGTCTGTCCACGTGGCTTCTCTGTCTCAGCCCTACGACTCAGTTCGGCTTAGGCTTAGACGCAGCCGCCACTGCTATGAAGCATGGGAGACGACGAGCACTCATCATTGCGCTGCTACCAGAGTGCGCATTCATTTTTCCAAACTCGACATATTGCACACCACAAACAGGGGAAGTCGACCCATGACCAACCGACTATAGATCAAGTCTCGCGACACCTTCAGGATACTGTTTACTCTTCCTGCCACCTCCTTCCACCTTCCAGATCGGCCGAGCCCACTGCGACCTCGAGCCGACGCACGCTACACCATACACAATCCGAAAGAGTCCCACGACGCCCCGGAAACGGAATCCATCATCACCAACTCCAGGGAAGCTCCCCAAGCACGCAGGACAGGCCCAGAATCATCGGCCTTCACTCAGCTAGAGAACAAGCCCCATCCACCCATTGACCATCTGCCAATCCACCTACCCATCTATATACATATACCCACGGTTCTCACGAAGCCATTCATCCCCATATAAACAATACCCCGCCGGCGCCCACGCGTCACGCACAGCACACCACAGCCGACCCAACATCGGAATCGAGCAATCGAAAACACGGGAAAAGGAAATCACTACTTCTATCTATTCTCTTCATACCATCGAAAAGACTTGTCCCCGCTCACGCGATCTGCTTTTGAAGAACATCATATTTGCATATACCCTATACCCACCGCGCGCTCGCGCGACCTTTTCGCCGTCGCTGACTCCTCCGTTCATCCCGATTATCAGATCACACACTTGGGGAAGAAGGAAGAACACATACATCACACTCATTCAAGCGCGCAAGAGTTTTTTGCTTTGCTGCTCAGTTGGAACGGGAGGAGTCAGGGGAAAGGGGGCGGGGGGCGCGGGACGGAAAGGGGAAGGGAAGGGGAGTTCATTTCAGCATAAGGCGTTTTCCTCGATTTTCTGGTTTGTTGATTCTTGCTATTTATCTGCTTTCTGTTTATGTTTCTGGCTTTGGCTTCTTCACATCTATGTTTGCAAATTCTGCCTTTTTCGCATCATGGCCATCGTTCATTAATAATCACCATCGCTTGATTTCAAGAAGTTCCAATGGCAAGTCAAGTCAGTCAGCCAGCCATCATCAGAGTTAAGACAGACCTAATAATAGTCTGTATGCCTTATGTTTTGTATTCATCCACCAAAGGAGGAAGACCGAGCGCGCAAGCAATATTGGAGACGAGCAGCGGTCGTTTAGTTCTGCTTTTTCATGGCGCTGCAGAGCAACAAAAGCAACACAGCGAAAACCCCATAATCAATACCAACACGTTGGTTTAGGAGGGGGCGCCGTCTGATTTCCCGGAAGCCCCCCTCTTCACGACCTCCGCCTTCTACTTTTCTCCTCGCTGATTGATTGGCAAGTGAAACATGTCGCAGTGACTTAAAATAGAACGCGAGATATGATCACCGCGACGCGAAGCACCGGTTGAAACTCTTCAAAACTTTCTCGTTTCGTTCATCTATCATCTGACGCAGACTAATTAATCTCTTGGGTATCAAACATTATTCACTTCATAGGCATGACCCTGCCTGGGTCGCTTAACTCAACCTCTCCTCCCATAAGTCGTCAATGCCTCTCTCGGCCAGCTCGGGAATGAGACGCACAAGTACCAACTCCAGGATCCCGTACACCAAGTGCTTATTGCAGTAGGCATCCGAGAAGACGTCGAGAACGCCTGTCTCAATCTCGGATAGGATCCTGTCCTCATCCTCGTCTTCGTGACACATGTCAGCCTGATAATCGTCACCGGCCTCGTCCGGCCGCTCACCGGTCTCCGGAAATTGTCGGTTCGGATCTGATGTCAACGTTGTATCCTTTCGCTTGCCAGGCTTACCCTCATCAGTAAACCGCACGCGTGGAACTTCCTCTCCGGTACTACTGATATCATCTGCAGTGCGATTGCTGGTGTTGCTCTCCAGCGGTCCGGACCGCGAGTTATCTCTGCTTTGCGGTTCACTGCTAGCCTTTGAGCCAGACCATGGCCAAGTGGTGCTACCATAATAAAGTCTGCCCACCCTCTTCGGAACAAGGGCCAAAAGTGCGCTAGCGCATCTGCGACGCAAGACGGCCAGCTGCTCGTCGGATGAGGGGGCCATCAGGCTGGATGAACCTGGCGCATTGTTGGGGAAAACGGCGGCACGGATCGCTCGAAGGAGCGGGGGTAGTTGAGCGGCATCGAGAACATAGACGTGGATATAGTGTGAGAGGAGTCTGCGCAAAGTCAGTATTGTGTCACCATTAGTCCGGTAGGCCATTAACGATGGGCTCCTAAGAAGACATGGCATGAGATGACGTGGGGGGTCAGTTATGATCTGGGTAATAGTGGTATCGCGTAGGGGGTGAGACTGGAGGGGGATGCATATGAAGTTGCAAGGCGTCTGCCAAACTGCGATTCCCAGGAGCACCGGAATTCCCGAGGTAGGATATCTGTGTTGCTTTGCAGAGTCGTTCTGCAACCATGGCTTCATGGTTAATAACGGGCATTTCGCCGACCAATCGTCACCACACTCGTAGTGATTGACAGTGCGTAGCCCCAAATGCAGGAGTTAAACGGAATGACCAGACGATTTCAAAGCTTCGATATCGCACACAGCTTTGAAAGCTTGGGACAAGACAGCGGGAGCTCGCGAGAGCTCTTGAAGCACTGACCCATCCTGGGGAAGCTCACGCAGGGGTCAGGTAGATGCTCGACTTCTTGTGCCACGCAAAGTCGTGCTGGTGTAGGATACCTGGGTCAGTCGATGCTAGGGTCTTCTGGCTCGAGGTGTGAAAGTTATATCACGCACCCCTGGGGAACCCACGCAAGCCAATGGCATGCCCGAGCCGACAAATTCCACAGCATCGAAGAGCTGGGTTTGTCTGACCAGCCCAGATACCATTGCACCTCGGTCCACCACATGAGCGACACGCAGGGTGACAATGTCCGGGTTGAATAAGAGGGGTTGCTAAGATGACCAGGCCTGGAAGCTCTGGCCCAAGCGGATCGAAGGTAGTGTACTTTCGTACGTACCAAAGACTCGGGGACGGGAGCGTGATGCTTGTGCGTACAGGGGCGGCAGGGCAAGTCGAGCCTGACTGACCTGACGGCAGAAGCCGGTGCGAAGCGGAAGTGAAATGTACCGGATGATGAAGTGACTGACAGAATCCATGGTTAAGGGGCGAGATCCTTGACAGGTTCCAGTTGGGCGCGTAGACAAGGCTTGCGGATGGCTGGTCCGGGTCAGCCCCGCGTGGTTTATCGTGCAATCGGACGAATAATGTCCAGGGTGACGAGGCCATTGGTCAATGGGAATGGCCCTCAGACCGGGGTCTGTGCAGGAGGGTGATGTACATAAGCTTATGGAGTATGGTGTTCACTCCCTCTCGCAAAGAATGAAGGATTGGATGGTCGCACAGCGTCGTCCTCGTTGTGCCTTGATCGATCTGGTCCTTCCTCCGCCTGCAGCCTCCTCATATGTCGGCGGCAGAACTTGCCAAGCCCAGCCGTGGGCCACATGATGCCGGAGATTGATATGGTGATGGGGAATTCATGCCTGCCATTCACACTTGCGAAACAGGCTGGCTCTCGATTGTGAATGGAGGGTTTTCAGTCCAGTGACCTGAAATGTATGCGGTGTGATGGGTCAGGTGCCATCCAGGTAAGGAGGCAAGGAGAATGATTCGCCTACCTGTCGAGGGTCCCATCGAGCCCGGCAATTTTCCCTGGCCCTCTCATGGCTCCCCATTGCAGCATAGACAAGGCTCCGCGCAGCCAAGGCATGCGTGCTTCCATTTCGAGCAGGTTTCCAATGCACGGCCATATTCGGAAGTCGATGATGGGAGCTTTGATCGGTGTTGCGACGGTCTCAGACGCCGCCGAAGCTTGAAGCTTCTCGCCGCCTTCATGGGTAGTCGTATCCATTGGGCGCGCCGAACTAGGAGGTAACCTCCGAGGCAACGATCCCGAGAGAACCATGGTGCTGACAATGAGGCGCATCGAGCTTACCGCAAGAAACACCCATTGGACCATAGCCCAGAATTTCCGTTGGAGAGACCAGGTCTGGTTGCCTACAGATGTTCGGGTTTCGCTGAAGTCCGTACCTTGCGTGACACGAGCTCCGGTGGACTTGGGATCAGTGGTCTCTACTGTGCTTCTTTTGCGTACTAGTCTTGTGACCATGATCAGAATCTCCCATATAAGCCATGGCTCCGATACTTTGTTGGCCACGAGGGTGCCGATGATCATCTCCGAGAATAGTTGTCCAACCAGAGATGTAAGACACTCATTTTCGAGATCCTCAGTGGGGAGTAGCACGGCGAGAACACCCTGCACCAGAAGTTGGCGATACGCGCTCTCATTGTCTGCTTGAGCCTGAACACTCTCCGGGTCGCCAGACTTGGGGACTGGCGACAGCGCGGGTAGAGGACAAAGGGAATGATATATTTCGCGTGAGTTCACTTTGATCGGAGGCCGGGCGGCTGAACTCTTCGCAGTCCTATATGCTGTGTGATAGGTCTGGTCAGTTCGTTTCTGTTTCATACAATGTGACAGAGAAGTGTTGAGTCGCAGGATAGACGGATACACGGATAGACGGACAGAGGATACGGACCCCGAATATGTGCATCGAATAGCTCTGGCAGCTCATCAAACAACAAGCTCTCTAGGTCGATCTTCCGCAACCTTTGTTCCAAAGCGCGAGTGCAGTGGGCGATGATTTGTATGACCTCGGCGACAAACGTCTCGTCCGGTGTGATGCGCGCGTACCAATTCTGAACAAACTCCCTGATGATGATGGAGATAAGAGCATAGAGCTGCAGATCCACATCGTTCCGACTTGTCAGAGGAGGCAACAGCTCTTGTACGGGTGCGGGGGTGTTCCTCCCTCTGTCAGCAAGGTGTTGGGCGCAGAGGGTTCGCCGGATCATGGCAGCAGTGGCCTTGTCGGAGAGGAAGTCGGAGGACAAAGGACGCGCGACCCGACGGTGCGGCAAAGGAGCAGGCGATGCCAGACGGACGCCAGAAGATGTGACGGACTCGGAGGTGGTGCTCGAGCTCGCGGGCGCCTTCAGCCTGGCCGGACCGGGGCTGCCTATTCGTGCTGCGGCCATGGCCCCTAGACGTTGCGAGGAGCTAGGTGACCGAGGATCATGATCTGTTGTTGGCAGTACCGTTGCGGTACGCAGCGGGTTGACGGAGGGAGGTCTGTGACTAGAGCGAATGCCTCGAGAGCATAGAACTCGCAAGTTGCAAGCCGACCTCGTGAAGCTGAAGATGCCTCGCAGTTCAATCAGTTCAATGTTGTGCCAGGTGTAGGTCGGACGTCACTACTCCATGTCGCGTTACCGGGCAGCCGGGCTTCGGGCAGTGGGGCCGTTTCTGCTGCAGACGGTAGACCGCAGTGGAGATGAATTGAGGCGGGCCGGTGCACCTGCGGCCCAGCACTGCCACCTGCATCGGCACTGCGACACATGCAGAGAGCTCCCCCCTTTACATATATGTACCGAAAGGGAGACAATGGAATCGAGTCCGCGTAGCTACATACTCAGTAGCTTACTGCAGCGCAGTTTCGATCCATTCGGCTATGCATCTAGGTCAGGGTTATCATGTTTGGCCTTTTTGAGCCTCATGCGGGTCGATTTATATAATCACGCTTGGGGTTCGACGCCCATGCATGCCGGCCGGCCTGAGATAGTTATCCCAATCCAGTTCTACATGTATAACTCAAGGGTACGTGTAAAGCTCCGAGTATCGCGCAATTCGCTTGGTTGTAACCTTTTTGGCGTTTCTTATACATACAATGTACTTCATACATAGCAGACTGCACAACTTGAGTAGCGTATTATACCTGCCATGTGGGCCAGCATCTTTATGTACAGCGTCTATACACGTCCCACCTTTATTCGTCGCCTTTGTGTGTTGCTTCATACCTGTATTGTGTGTTAAAGGAGTGAATTTTGTGTCAAAAAATGCGAAGAATGCGTACCTCTTTCCTCGGAAGCCCCATACTCCCCAATTGCCGCAAGAGACGTCTTGCGGGTCAAGGTCGTTGAGATCCCATCGAAGACTTCTGAAAGTATTCTCACCCGGCTCCACAAGCATGTCGAACTCGCCACGGCACGTCTTGTTGACCCACTCGATGTCCCTTTCCATATCATACTGAGTATAGCCCGTGACTAAGATAGGAGCCTTAGTCTCGAGCAGAAGCGGTACCGTCTCGGCCCACTCATGAGAGCTCGCTGGGTGTCCCATGCCCGGATGAAACAAAACGAACATATCGAAATAAGGATCATATGGGTAAAACTGGCCGGTCTTGTGCAGAGTGTGGTAGTAGTCAACAATGGTGCTAATCTTCATCGTCGGCCATACCCGGTCTTCTACGATAGCACCGAATGGGTTTGATGAGGTTCGCGGCGGTAACGGGAATTCGTCGTCTCGATTAGCCATGCTCTCGGGACCAATGAAGACTAGATGGAACTTTCCCCTGGGGAAGAGGTGAGCCAGCTGAACCCAGACATTCCTCGGAAGGGACGATTCAGCGCGAGCACCCAGGATGAATATCCTGACGGGTGGTGCCTCGGGCCGCAAGCCCTTGATATCGATACCACCACCAGTTCGAGGTGGATGCAGGGTATACCGCAAAGCACTCAAGCTCTTGAGGCCTTCAGCTGTGAGTCTGCCACCTTTCCTGATGTTGTATGGACTGAGTTCATGGAGAATGCTGCCGATCGTCAATGGGTAGGTCAATAGTCGAGTGACCTGCCGCATGCTCCGGTCTGAATTGATGGCTTCAAATTGCCTGGTGTAGAGAAAGGTATCCCAATTTGTCATATTGATCGCGGCTTCTTCCATTTGCGGTCCCGCGTACTCGAATTCGGGGAAGAACCTTCCGGACCGAAGATCATGGTCATCCTCATTGATTTGCCTCAAAGTGTCGCAAACCTGCAGATGGGCTTCGTAGTCCTCTGCCCAGTGTCGTTCGCTGCAATATACTGGGATACCACAGTCTGGGCATTCGAAATTGACATGAGCAGGAGCTTGGTTACCCGAACTTTGAGCAGCAGGCAACGCATTGGGATTCGCGGGCATTCGTGTGGGACGGTGGTCTGGGTGCGGGCAATGCGCATGCTGTCTGATGAAAGCAGTACGCTGCCGGATCTCAGGAATCGGCGACGTCGAGTAGGGGTGGAAAAGGTCGTCGGGTTGGAGCACCGGTGGTCGCGGAGGCTCATTGGCTGGCGTTGCCGCACCGAATTGGACAGAGGAGGTTTCGGCTGACTTTGTCTGCTGACCGAATAATGAGATCGCTCTTCTTGCATCGTGTGCTGTCTGCGCCGGCTGGGCAGCGGCTCTCGTCCGGAAAATAGACTTGGGTTGGCGTGGCCTCGATATTGCGTGGGCTGATGCGGCTTGGGAGAAGGGTCTCGCTATGCGCGGCTGCGACGCCGTGGTCAACGAGGTCCTCGAGCACCTCCGGCATGCACTAGAAGCTGCTTGACGTATTGAAGGCTCCATCTCGGGCGTTTCGCGACCTCGAATCCGGGACTTCGAGTTATAGCCAGAGGTAATGCGCCGTGCTGGTATTGGACGTGATCCGAGACAGCTCGATCTCCTGATCTGGAAATTTACATGCTTGTAAGACCCGTACATGGCACAGCCACAGCCACAGCTTGCACCTGCACAAGCCACTGGCCCTAGCGGCACGGAGCTCCAGTCTCGTGCTGAGGCGCGGGTCCACCCACTGCTTTGGAAAAGCTCGGATCCACTTGTCAGGTAAGAGCTCTCCAGACTCCATCTGCGAAACAAAAATTCACGAGATTCGAGGACGGACCTACCTGACTCCTGACTCCCTACCACGTCCTCGGCACCGGCCACCTCCCACCTCATAACATTGCAAGCAAAAGACAAGAATAAGCCAGGGCAGCCGCGCAGGCTTTCTGCGCAACTCCCGCAGCAATGGCGACCACCTCCAACATGTTCCTCTACTCCCTCACGATCCAACCTCCCACCACCATGAACCAGGCTCTCCTGGGTCAGTTCTCCGGCACCAAAGAGCAGCAGATTATCGCCGCTTCGGGATCGCGCCTCACCCTGCTACGACCCGATCCTTCGCAGGGAAAGGTCATTACACTGCTGTCCCATGAAGTCTTTGGTATCATCCGATCAATTGCCGCCTTTCGTCTGGCTGGAAGCAACAAGGGTAAGTTCGCATCCTCCCACTTTTGAGGCTTCACTTAGTGATTTTGAAGCTGGCTTGGTAGAAGCACTCGATCCGCCGTCTTGATTCGTGGTGCGACCTCAAATCAGATACGAAACCCTCTGTCGCGCTCGATTATGCTAACGCCTTCTCCCACAGACTATGTCATTCTCGCTACCGACTCAGGGCGCATTGCGATTGTGGAGTACATACCTCAGCAGAATCGCTTCAAACAGCAAAAGCTCGAGACCTTTGGCAAGTCCGGTGTGCGCCGGAACATCCCCGGTCAATATCTAGCCTGCGATCCCAAGGGACGAGCATGTCTCATTGCGGCTATAGAGAAGAACAAGCTGGTCTATGTGCTGAACCGGAATTCCCAAGCGGAACTCACCATCTCTTCGCCGCTGGAAGCGCACAAGCCGGGAACTATTGTGTTGGCCATGGTTGCTCTGGATGTCGGCTATGCAAATCCAGTTTTCGCGGCACTCGAAGTAGATTACTCGGAGTCGGATCAGGACCCCACCGGCGAAGCCCTTGGGGAAGTTGAGACACAGCTTGTGTACTACGAGCTTGACCTGGGACTGAACCACGTTGTCCGAAGATGGCATGAGGCAGTCGATCATACTGCATCTATGCTCTTCCAAGTGCCCGGCGGGAATGACGGACCCAGTGGCGTCCTGGTATGTGGAGAAGAGAATATTACCTATCGACACTCGAACCAAGAAGCATTCCGTGTCCCTATTCCGAGACGAAAAGGCGCAACAGAAGATCCTCAACGGAAACGTTCAATCGTATCGGGCGTCATGCACAAGCTGAAGGGAAACGTCGGCGCATTTTTCTTCCTTTTGCAAACTGAAGATGGTGATCTGTTCAAGGTCACTATCGACATGGCAGAAGACGATGAGGGTAATGCAACCGGGGAGGTTCGAAGGCTGAAGATCAAGTACTTCGACACGGCTCCGGTGTCAATGAGTCTCTGCATCCTGAAGAGCGGCTTCCTGTTCGTTTCGAGCGAGTTCGGCAACCATCATTTCTACCAGTTTGAAAAGCTCGGAGATGATGACGAAGAATTAGAATTCTCCAGTGACGACTTCCCGACCGATCCTCAGGCGTCTTACAAACCCGCCTATTTCTATCCGAGACCAGCTGAGAATCTGAGTTTAGTGGAGAGCATCGATTCGATGAACCCCCTTGTTGACTGCAAGGTAGCAAACTTGACCGGTGACGATGCGCCCCAGATATACTCAATTTGCGGAAACGGCGCAAGGAGTACTTTCAGGATCCTGAAACATGGCCTGGAGGTGAACGAGATTGTGGCTTCAGAGCTTCCTGGAGTTCCGTCAGCGGTCTGGACCACAAAGCTTCGCCGGGATGATCAGTATGACGCCTATATTGTTCTAACTTTCACCAATGGAACCTTGGTGCTCAGCATCGGTGAGACTGTTGAGGAGGTGTCAGACACCGGCTTTCTCACCTCGGTGCCAACACTTGCCGTTCAACAACTGGGCGATGATGGTCTACTTCAAGTTCACCCAAAAGGCATCAGACACATCATCAACGGGCAGGTCAACGAGTGGGCAGCACCTCAGCATCGCTCTATCGTTGCAGCCTCGACGAACGCGCGCCAAGTAGCAGTGGCCCTAAGCTCAGGAGAGATTGTCTACTTCGAGATGGATGCTGATGGATCCTTGGCGGAGTACGACGAGAAGAAAGAGATGTTTGGAACTGTCACCTGCCTAAGTCTAGGTGAAGTCCCCGAGGGTCGTTTACGAAGCTCGTTCCTCGCCGTAGGGTGCGACGACTGTACAGTTCGGGTTCTCAGCCTAGACCCCGAATCCACTTTGGAGAGCAAGTCCGTACAGGCCTTGACAGCCGCTCCGTCGGCCTTGTCAATCATGTCTATGGAAGACTCATCTTTCGGTGGATCGACTCTGTACCTGCATATTGGTCTCCATTCCGGTGTCTATCTGAGGACAGTTCTCGACGAGATCACGGGCGAGTTGACAGACACGCGACAGAAGTTCCTGGGTCCGAAGTTGGTGCGACTATTCCAAGTGTCTATTCAAGGACGCACCTGTGTCTTGGCACTCAGCTCGAGGACATGGCTTGGGTATCCAGACCCGATCATGAAGGGGTTCATGATGACGCCGCTCGACTACACCGACTTGGAATGGGGATGGAACTTCAGCAGTGAGCAATGCGAGGAGGGTATGGTTGGCATTCAAGGGCAAAACCTCAAGTAAGTGGATTTCTTTTTGCTGCTAAAACACGTGGAGTGATGAGAAATAAGGGATCCTACGCCACAGGCTATGAGGATTTTATATTACAACCACTTGTTCCTACTGACCACTGAGATATCCTACAACGATACGGTAAACCCCTGAGAAGAGAGTCAGATTGGCTGACTGCACATAGGATTTTCTCCATCGACAAATTAACAGACACCCTGCTTCAACAATCTATACCCCTCACCTATACCCCCAAACGTCTCGCGAAGCACCCTGACCAACCCTACTTTTATACTATTGAGTCCGAAAACAACACGTTACCACCTGAGCTCCGCGCACAATTACTGGCCGATCCTGCCGCCGTTAATGGCGATGCGGCTCTACTACCAGCTGAAGAATTCGGATACCCTAAAGGGCGTGGCCGCTGGGCGTCTTGCATCAGTGTCGTTGATCCACTCAACGAGAAGCGAGTTCTCCAAACCCTTGATCTCGGCGAGAATGAAGCTGCTGTCAGTATGGCAACTGTGTCTTTCGCCAGCCAGGACAATGAGACTTTCCTCGTAGTTGGTACGGGCAAGGATATGATTCTCAGCCCTCGTCAATTCAGTGCGGGATTCATACATGTCTACAGATTCCGTGACGACGGCAGGGAGATCGAGTTCATCCATAAGACGAAGGTAGAAGAGCCACCCATGGCGCTTGTCCAGTTCCAAGGCCGCCTGCTGGCAGGAATCGGCAAGACGCTTCTTTCCTACGACCTCGGTTTACGCCAGCTACTTCGAAAATCGCAGGCCGATGTTGCTCCACAGCTCATTGTCTCGTTGCAGACGCAAGGTTCCCGTATCGTCGTGGGCGACGTGCAACAGGGCGTGACTTATGTCGTCTACAAATACGAGAGTAATAAGCTGATTCCTTTCGCCGACGACACTACGCCTCGCTGGACCAATTGTACGACCATGGTGGACTACGAATCGGCGGCCGGCGGTGACAAGTTTGGGAACATATGGATCGTACGATGCCCCCAGAAGGCGAGCGAAGAGGCGGACGAAGAGGGGAGCGGGGCGCACCTCCAACACGCCAGGGAGTATTTGCATGGATCCAACCATCGTGTGAGCCTGATGACGCACTTCTATGCTCAGGATGTTCCGACTAGCATAAGCAAAACAAACCTTGTGGTGGGAGGACAGGACGTGCTTCTCTGGAGTGGGATCCAAGGTACAATTGGTGTCTTCATTCCCTTCGTCAGCCGCGAAGATGCCGATTTCTTCCAGAGCCTGGAGTCACACATGCGGAGTGAGGACCCTCCACTAGCCGGAAGGGATCACCTAATATATAGGAGCTACTACGCCCCCGTCAAGGGTGTCATTGACGGTGATCTCTGCGAGAGGTTTGCTTTGTTACCCAATGACAAGAAGCAGATGATTGCGGGAGAATTGGATCGCTCGGTTAGAGAAATCGAGAGAAAGATTTCGGTGAGTTCTACCGAAACTGACTCACATGGAAGTGCACAGAGCTAACATGATGTCAGGATGTACGGACCAGATCGGCATTCTAATAGGATATTCAACATGGGCGCCTGGTGTTACAGCTTTCCTGTATGGAAGCATGTGTGTATTGATTGTACAGAGCTGGGATGTGGTAGTCTGGCGTTAGCATCCGAGACCCAACACGGACTGAGAACTAGATTAGGCTCAGATCACAACCTATGGGGGCCAAAATCTAATTTCCCAACCACGGCGCTGTGTCTATCAATGCATCCACCCGACACTCGATGCAAACGAGGCATTAAGAGAGGGAAAGCGAGATGTTGCTCATGACTCCCTCATCTATCTTCATCTATCTTCTGGGAACCCCTCGCATGCTACTCCTCCCGCCACCCCTCACAATACCCTTACCCCGTCCTGCCGCCTCGACGGGGTGCTTCCGCTCCCATTCTTCATCGGCAAGATAGGCATCCATCGCAGCTTCAAGGTCGTAGTTGGTTTGTTCGAGATACAACACAGCGACGTCGTACTCATGCACCTTGCACGCGACCATCCAACGTCTAACCTTTCCTTTACGCGCCTCCTCCTCCTCGCCTTCGACGGGCCGCGGCGACAAGCTGACCCCGCCCTTACAGTAGGCGCCCGGTATGACTACTGTCCGCCGTCCTAGTATGAGGTGGTCGCTCGTAATATAATTCGCCCTACGAAGCACCGACGCGGGCACACCGTATCGCAGCGACAGGGAGGTGATACTGTCACCCTGCGCGTGATCAAGAAAGTGCAAGACATCTTCTGCGGGCTCCTCATCTTCGGGAAAGGGAACAGACTTTTCGTCGAGCGGGTCGAGAAGTCTATGCTGGGAGGAGGGTGTGTATGGCGGCGGTGGCGCGACGGCGCCCGTCTTGGAAGAACTAGCGGCAGCCGTGGTGTAGGAAGGAGGGTCTTTTAGACCCGGTGGCAGGACCGTGTCCGTCAGACTGATCTGGCAGTAAGGGCAGTAGGTGTTGAAGCGGGAGTTGTTCTATAGCAAGGCAGGCGGCTTGTCAGTCGACTATAAACATATTCCTATTCCCAAGTATCCGGCTACAAGGAGAGCCCTGACGAGTAGACTGGGACTGGTTGACGCACATGTATACATTGCCCACAAATGACCCGTGGGCAGCACTCAAGCCAACGGTCTAGAGGTAAGGGCTTCTCAGACTCGCTGTACTGAGGCACCTCGGAGAGCAGAGTTGCACAGGTGCAGCATGACTCCATCGTGGCCGCTGTGGCTGCCATGGCCTTGGGTTTGGCCACTGTCATGGTGCGGGAACACAGGACGGGACAGACAGGACACAGCTGATTAAAGATAATGCAAAGTCAAAATGGAATCCTAGTAGGCAGAAGTAAATGCCTGTAGGTGCTGGAAATATAGGTGAAATATGAGGAAGGAAACGAAACAGGTGCCCGTACCGTACAGCTGCGAAATTCAATGACCAAAGACGCTGGGTGGCGGCCGAGATTCATGACGTCCACCTTATCTTATCGATAGTCTGCCTCTTAACGCCGAAAATCCGTCTCATGATTGGGGTTCCGGTCTTCAGCTTGTCGGGTTGGCGCCAAACATTGGATGACCGCTGAGCGCTAGGAAACGCAAGCATCGAGCCATCACGATTGTGACAAAGCCGGTCTACTGTTCTGGCCGTTGCTCCATAAACCCGTTGGCCTTTAGTTTTATTAGACAAACACTGAACTCAGATACAGCTCAGCCTCATCGCTGCTTTGTTCAATAGTACCTCCTAGTCCCAGCTGTGCGAAGCTCTACACAACTCGACAGCAGCCCGCGGCTGTTGAGACATCTCTCCATATCTGACTACTCTGACTACCTCCTAATACGAGACTACTCACGTTTACGAATCCCTACGATACGATACCTACTTGCAACAAGCATCCGACCTCATTCAAATGCGCTAATAGCCCGTCGAGCCTGCAGTCAAGAAGATGGCTGACGCTGCCTCTTCTGTGGCCTCTCCGACGCCCGCGAAGCCCCCTGCCGCAACGAAACACCCGAGTCCCTGTATCCCAGTAGCCCTCAATGAAGCCGGTCTCGATTCGCCCTCGTTCCGCGCCACCGCTCTCTTCTTCGCCGACCAGGTTGATGCCATCGAGCGATGGTTGGAGGGGCATGCAAGGACCACTTCCAAACTGTCCCACGACATGCTAGCATTGGAGGAGACCATCAACAACTACCTGTCCAAGATCACACCGCCGCCGGGCATCGTCTCCCTCGATCATGACTACACGGCCCTGGCCTTGAAGAGGGTGGGCGACGGATCCAAGGAGTGGTGGATGCAGGTCTTGAACACGGCCCGAAAGATGGACACATTGTCGGTCGAGCCCATCCGACACTTCCTCCAGGGCGACCTGCGGAACTTCAAGGAGATGAGGCGCGCTCTGGACCATACCCAGAAGAGCTTCGACTCGACCTTGGCTCGGTACGTTGGCCAGTCCAAGGCGAAGGAGCCTTCGTCTTTGCGCGAGGACGCTTTCGCCGTGTACGAGACCCGCAAGTCGTACCTGAAGGCCGCCATGGACTTCTGCTTCTTCGCCCCCCAGCTCCGCCTCAACCTCGACAGGCTGCTTGTGCGCGTGTCGACTGATATGTGGCGGGAGATGAAGAAGTCGCGAGACTCACCTGGAAGCTTTGCAAAGTATACCCACGAGCTGGACCGCGTAAAAGGGTGGTCCAAGGAGATGGAACTGACCGAGGCCATGTTCAAACGTGAACTCTCGGCGGCCAGACGAGATATCGGAGAGATAACGTTGGCCAACTTCAAACCGTCACGGGAGATTGACGACTACAGTGCATCTACCGTCCCGTTTCTTGGGTCGAGAGGACCTATGAACGTCACAGCACAAGGCAAGGCGGCAGCCATCATGGAAAAGCAAGGCTGGCTGTTCCTGCGGACCATCTCTGGGAAGCCGTCAAGGACAAATTGGATACGGCGGTGGTATTACTGCCGCGATGGCATCTTCGGATGGCTCGTCAACGGGCCTCAGGGCGTTCTACAGGGCGATGAGATTGGAGTTCTTCTATGCAATGCCAAGCCTGCTGTCCAGGAGGAGCGTCGTTTCTGCTTCGAAGTCAAGACAAAGAACCAGACTCTGCTACTCCAGGCCGAGACACAGCATCAACTAATGGAATGGCTCGAGGTCTTTGAGGTCGCGAAGAAGCGAGCCTTCGAGGCAAGCGTCGGCAGAGACAACTCTCTATTGCCGGGTGGTATCGATCCAGCCTTCTCCATCACGCCCCCGTCACTGCCAGAATTCTCAGCCAAGTCATTAGACGCTCAAATCGATGAGGCGACTGGCGGCGACCGGTCCGGGAACTTGGGAGTCCCCGGAGCAGAAGGTGGGTTGATGCCTAGACCGAGTGTCGATGTCACCTCAGCTCCTCCGAAGCGCGCGGCCACCTCCCTTGGTCGCGAGGAGGGGGAGAGCGGTCGCGAGCACGCGGCGAGGATTATGCAGAAGCTGGATCTTCACCGCAAGTCCAACTTCGTCTCAGGCGCTGATGCCATGGCTCTACCGTCACCGGGTCCGAGTGGAGGTATAGCTAGCCTCATTTCGGCGAGTCACGGTCTCTTGCCTGGGTACAGTACGCCTGGAATCACTCAGATGCCGACTTCAAAGCCACCTCTGTCACCCATGTTGCTTGGTCCAGAGGCCCAGATCGGCAGCCTCGCACCTCCAACCTTAGCCAAGCCACCGACAATGACTGTCCTTAGTAGGACAGCCGTCGTTTATAGCAGTGAAAGGACGTTCAGCGCCAACCCCACTCAGACGATGCCGACGGCCATAATGGCCAACTACTGGGGAAGCAATGCTTGGGGTCAGGAGTATGCTGTCAAAGCTAGCCGGGCAGATCCGAGCTCGGATGATCCGTTTGGGCCGAACTCCCCATCCATCAAGCTGACTACCTTGAGTGGAAATGAAGATCTGAAGAGCGCCTCGGCCATATCTCTACACAAGAAAGCGATCAGCATGGATGCGAGGATAAACCATCCGAAGATCATACTGCCTGCAGCGGACAAACCGGCCTACGAGAAGTTTCCACCGAACTATCCAACCGAGCTGAAAACGAATTCTGCACAGTTCCGCCTGCTTTTCCCAAGTGCACCTCTGGACGAGAAACTGGTCCTTGTCTTCCGGGCTTCCTGGAACAGCACATCGCCTGATGGTAGCCTGCCCCCTATGGCCGGCAATGGGCGTGTATACATGACCACGGACAACATGTACTTCTACGGCCACCAGATGGGTCTTGTGGTGGCATACACCATCAGTCTTGATGATGTCACTGAGGTCACAGCCGCCCCTGGGAAAGATTGTGACTTCATCTTCCTACATCTAAGCCAAGATTCGGACAGTACGGGGTACACCCGACTCACGATCAAGACCTTCCTTGAGGACTTGGACCTGCTCCATGCGCGACTGAACCTCCTGGTCGATGATTTGCAGGCTGAGGAGCCCATGGAACTGCCCGAACTCATAAGGGCACTCATCAACCTCGAGCATGAAGACTACGAGAAAAGGAGCCCGAGCGCCGATAGCTGGGAGAATGTTTCTGCACACACCCCGATCGATGATGGCACGGCAGCTGGCAGAGCGGCTAGTCCAAGGTCGAATGATTTCGCATTCAGGTCGAGGAAAGCAGCCACCCGCAAGCCGAACCAGAAACTGCAGCTTCCAACTCACCCCGTCCTATACGAACCTGAAGATATGCAGAGGAAGTGTGCAGACCGAATCTTCGAGATCAGTGCTAAGGCTTGTTTCCACGTTTTATTCGGAGACAAGAGCTTCGTGTTTCCCAAGCTTTACTTCGAGCGCAGAGCTCAGGCAATTGCGCAGGGCCCATGGAAGACGAATGAGGCTGGCAATATGCAGAGACTTTTCCGCTTCAAGGTGGACTCCCTCAATAGGCTTGGTCGGTCCCGAGTGGAAGAGGTCACTGATGAGCAGACCATCGAGATATTTAGTGATCACGTCACATACGTGGTCACCCATGTCAAGACTCCATGGCACCTCCCGCATGCGCATGGCTTCAAGCTGGTGACAAAGATTGTCATTACACATGTTGCCAAGTCAAAGTGCAAGCTTGCTATCTTCACGAAGGTCGCATGGTCCAATCCACCAAAGCTTGCCAAGAACCTCGTCGAGCGAGAAGCTCTCAACGATGCTGATCAAGACGCCGAAGAGCTGGCCGAGGTTGTAACAGATCAAGTCCGGAGGCTTGGCCATCACCGCCGGACGAAGAGAGCGATCCAGGTGTACGGGAACATTGGACTGCAAACCCAAGTTATCGTCTTCTCGCCCGGGGAGGCAGAGTCCTCAAGGAAACCTCACATCAACCCTCGCACCCTCGGCTCCATGCTCTTGGAAACCATCCGATCTTTTGCCGAGAGCGTCGCGTCCACTCTCGTCATGTGGGCTTTCGCGGTGGTCAAGAAGCTTTGGGACGTTGTCACGGCCCAACGCGTCATACTTGCGTTCCTGGGCTTCAGCATCTTGACGAACGTGGTTTTCTCGTCCCAAGGCAGCTTCACGTGGTGGAACGAGCGGCGCGCCGCGAATTTCATGAATCGCGTCGGTGTCAGTCCTAACGTCATGATGAGCAAGGCGATATACCTGACGGACCTGGATGAGGCGGCCAGGAGCTCGGCGATACAGCCATCCTGGCCGCAGGACAGCTATTGGTAAGCATGTGACAGAGCCACGCGCTAGCCCGGAAGCAAAGCTAATGAGATGTCACAGCTACTCGACATTCCAATCCATCGCCAACAGCAGTAATATCGACGCGCCTTATGAGGAATCAGGCTCGACATTATCCTGGGCCTCGAGCCGTGGGACAGCGCGCCGACTCCGCCGCACGCGCCAGAAGCTGGGGTCGTACCGGCATGACCTGCTCGTGGCCATGCGCATGGTCAACAGCGTCGAGACGGAGATGCTCCACTCCGAGTGGGAGAACTGGCTGCTCGACGAGAACGGGCGCTGTGAGCAGGTCGGCGCCGCACTCCGGGCCTGGAACTCCACCTCTACTACTTCTTCCGACGCGTCGGCGCCTGTCCTGAAGGGCGAGGTCGCGCAGAAGCTGCTCGGAGAGAAGGGTGACGGCAGGAAGGACGAGGTGAAGCGTGAGAATCTGCGGAGATGGCACGTGGAGTACTGCGGCAGCTGCGGCGCTGACCACGAGGCGCTGATGCGCGAGCGGGAGGAGGCTTCTATGGCTCCGTTCTAGGATGTTGAGGCAAGTGCGTAGGTACTGAACAGGGACAGGGACGTTTCTTGGGGTAAATTGGGTTCAGCAGGGTGGTATAGGAGTACGGGCAGGCATGCATGGGCACTTTCAGCAGCGGTGGCATCGCATCATGGTTGACGGCTGGGTATAATACGTTTGAACGCCTGGTGTGTATAGGCAGAGTGGTCTGAGACGGATGCTTGTATTATATGTGCCCTCAAGTGTTTTGATGGCGCACACGACGCGTCCTCTTCCATTTCGGTCGGGCGGCTAGTCGCTTACGGATACCCCCTAAAGTCGTATTTGAATACTGTACATTCCATTGTTTTCCTGCCATCGCTGCTTATGGTGATGTGGTATAATGTGCGGTGTTCATTGCTACTCCAACCCCCTTCCAACATATTGACCACCAAAAGGGAACCTTCGTACATCGACCTGACTTCCACAGTTTGCGCATTCAAGACTTCCATGTCATCGACCTCAAGACATACCTTAGCCATCAAGGCATACAACTCCAAAAGAGAATCAAGCGCAAAAAATGCGAAACATACACCACCGGGGATTCGCTGGTCGTCACCGACCCAACTACTAATCCGGCGGTGATAGGACATGTCTGTTGGAATCATGACCGTTCATCTATGGTTGTATTGAGTTGGAAACCGGTTGCCTCGGGCAGAGCACACAGCACGGACCTCGAGCCAGTTGCATACGGGCGGTTATACCGAGAGAAAAACGGGCACACCTTACATCTTTTACGTTTGCATCCCGTTTCGATCGTGTCCCATTAGCTGCCTAGCTGAAGTGCTGACATGACAAGGATATGACAGGGCATAGGTAAGAGTCCAATCAGCTAGCTACCTTAAGAGCTGATATCCAGGCATGAAACAAGAACTGCTTGGCATGCATGAAAATTCATCTCAGGTGCCTAGGCAAACAGGAAGGGCGCTGAGGTATCGGTTTGTCTGTGATGGGCATGCCTGCGTATGTCTGGTGTCCTTGGTTCAATATCCTTTAGAAGCTATGGGCTTAACCTGGGAAAACCGCCGTTCCTAAACTACCTAAGACTGGATAGGATTGGATAATTAAGAGAGGCCTATTATTAGATGGCCTAAGTTAAAAAAAGCGCGAAAGTGACAGCTTCATATAATATTGTCACAATTCAGGGACCAATATGGGGTCAGAATTGCGTCACCCTGGCTGTACCGGATCACCTGGTGGATCATAGCAACAACAGTGGCGATCCTATAGCAGATGTTAGCATTTAAATAATGGCATTCGTGGCATGAAATAATAATAGCAACAAAATAAAATGTATTAATAAATATAGTGCTCTTTATATCGTTAAGCACTGCGCCTTGTAAACCGGCTTATAAGTCAAAAGGTTAACAAACAGGAAGAGATAAGGTGCTATTATTGCTCATATTGTTTTAAATATCAAGCACGAACAGCTTATAAGCCACTCATTTTAAACACATATTATAATACTTATGTCACAATTCAGGAACCAATATGGGGTCAGAATTGTGGTGAATTGTTTGCGTGATTGTTTATCGGGTCTGAGGACCAAATCTAGTACTAAATACGCACTGAAGTACAAAGATTGGCCTATCCATTAATCTTACAGTCAATAGAGCCTTGCCTGTCACCTCCTGAAAGCCACCACTTCTGGTGCTTTCACCCCTTTCACTCCTTTGACCACTAATTCTGGCCTAATCCTGGCCAGATTCAGCTGCCTGACAGCTGGCACCACACCTGTACAACACTTGTATCCCACACCTTTTTATTTAAGCTAAGAGCACTATTATATTAAAGACGTTCAACTTACTTCAAAAATCGATTACTTTCTTTAAGTTGCACGTATACTTTACCTTGTATATAAAGTAATTATCATTGCACTACGCATTATAAGTTATATGTAAGAAAGACATTTAAAAGATGCGACCCTTACTAAGTAATACAACGTATAATTTCTATTTAAACGATAGTTACAACGACGAATTCGAGTATTACTACTAGTTTTTCTTAATAAAAGCGTAAAAAAGCTTATAAACAAACGCGAAATATATAACTTGACTTTTTTAACTTTTACCTCGACTCAAAAAGGTAATACTAGTATTGATATAGTATTTTAAGCTACTTTTAAACTCCTAAAATCGCGATAACGTAGGTATAATATATAATCGCTTCTTACTCGTTTCAAACCGCTTCCCACGGCTTGAAAAGCTCGACATTTAAAGAAAGGTCGAACTATACAAGCTTAGTTAAGCGCTTTTAATCTATATCAAAAGGCTTTAAATCGAGTTATTAGTCGTTTTACTTGATAATAAAAACTCGGTAACTAATTTTTTACGATGTGTTCTTAGCCTTAAAGAAGTATAAAACCTTCCTACTATATAATATAACACTATTACTATAAGATATTAACTAGCCTTACTTTAACAGATTAAACTTCAAAATCGTTAAACTATTAAGAAAACAGTTTATTTACTCTTTAAATAACATCCTTCACTTTTACATATTTACGTAAGAAATACTATATTAACAATGGATAAGTCGGAAAAAGCGCTTAAGTTTAACTTTAGCTGGTACTTTAATGTTTATATTACGACTATTAAATGTTGATTAAAGCCGAGACAAGACCAAGATAAGAAATACCAGTTTAATAAAAAACGTACTAAGTAATAATAAAGAACTAAGTAATAGTCTTTTTAATAACGAAGTCCCAGATAATAGTTATTAGCGTGTTAAATAAGTATATAGTTAATTTCTCTTCAATCTAAGTATCTCAAATCTTAGTTTATAGTATTTGCTTTTCGTTTATAATACTTGTAAGAATTTTATTCGCTTATAACATTTTATTTATTATAAATAAGTCTTTATAATCCTTTTATAAATTGGCGCGGTTTAATTATATAATAGCGACGCTTTTTTCGGTTTAAAGTGGCGATCTTATCGCTTAGTCTCGTTTAGCTATCACTTTTATCATGCTACTTAAGTCTCACATTGACCTAGGGTTTATGCTTATAAGTCTTGCTTAAGTTTCTATACCGGATAACGCGCACTCTTTATACAAGCTTTAAACCTTAACATAATTACTTATCTTAAAACCCCCTTTAAAGAGATGCTTTAAACATTATAGCTACTTATTTAAAAGTTAAATTAAGCTAGTCAACGTAAAAAGTATATGGATAAATATACTTAGTTTAAGCACTATCGTAAAGTAAGTGTCTAAAGCTGTAAAAAAGCTATAATAAAACAAGGTCTTTTTATAAAGCTAGTTAATATCCGTTTATTTAAGCTGTTCGAGTTTTTTGAAAGCTCGATTTAATTAAAGCGAAACATGGATTATATACAGTGAAAAACACGACTATTATTGTTATTAAAGTAATAAGCTTTTAAAAGCGACGACTTTGTAACTTTAAATACGAGAACTAAGACGTAAAACTAACGTTAAAATTACCTTATTAAACCTTCGGCGTTTTTCCTTCTTACATGTTTTAATAAGGCCAAGTTCTTCGCGAGTGAGCGGGCAAAGCGCGACTAAGTCGCCCGTTGCGAAAAGCCCGAGGGGCGCTGTCTGGCCACTATCACTGTAATCATCGTTACCATGTTGTCTCGTCGGGTGTGATAGAGAAGAGGGAATGAGGAAGGGCGCGAGGGAGGAGCGCCCGCGAGCTGGAGATAAATGTACGCGATGGTGACTGGCATCAAGACCTGCCTGCATGGAGGCCTGCTTCGCCTAATGCACGGCGAGCCAACATCACCGGTACAGTGTGTGTACAATATGAAAGGGGTGTACGGCAGGAGGGTACAGGCACTGAACAACTCACATAGAAGCGAAACAGATTGCGCGACGGTGGGAGCAGACTGGCTGTGAGCGAACTCGACGCCCAGACGAAATGTGGTTTCCAGAATCGGGACGAGCAGCCTTTTCTGGCAGGCACGTCAGTCACGTGGATCTTAGTCAGCGATGGCGACCGTTGTCCGCCCCACCCCAGCAGACGAACCTCCGGTATCTGGCTTATTTAAGGCAGAGCGGACGGGATGCCAAGTTCTCCTGATCCCCCCATGGTCGTATGTGATAGAACTTGTTTGGCAGAGGGCTTATATACCTCGGGCTATAACAAGATGAGCGAGCCTCCACTGGCCTCCAGTCGAAGATGATCCGGTATACGAGGAAGAGGGACCAGTCAGCAACGCCAAAATGAAGGCCAGAGTGTTGTGGGCACTGGGGGCATTGTTTAGTGGGCTGAGACCGTGAAGAATACCGTAGATGGGCTGAATCGATGAACATGATGTTTACGGTGTATGTGTATATCGTCTTGATATCAGAGGTGTGCTGAAGTATTGGTTACTGGTTTTCAAGAAATTCAAGAAATTCAAGAAACGTCGGGCGCTGGACAGGGCGGCAGCCGGCCGAGCGAAACACTTTTTGTCATGGTAGCAAGGAGGCAGTCCTTGTGAAGAGGGGTGGTGTGGTTCTGATGATGCGAATGGCCTCGCTTCAGACAAGAGGAAGGAAGCTCGCTTATACGGCCCAAGTGACTATTGGAGACGAGCGCGGTTGGAATGAGAGCGGTACAATTGATCAAATCACATTAGGTCCAGGGCATCTGAAGACCGTCTCGTGGGTGAGCTCCGGGCACTCTGTTCTGCAAGCAGAGATGTATAGTGCCACGGCTATGATATATGTCCCCTTGAGACCTGGATATGGCCCAGGTCCGTGCCTCGCCTGCCGCCCGCCGCCTACCGTAAATGAATCTCGCTACCTGTTTGTCATGTATCTTGCCTATTGAGAACACGTGCTGTTCGCGTTTTCTCTGTGCATTGGTACCAATAAGTAAGTATTTCTTGGGCTGAATATATGATGAAGTACATTACGATGTTTAATTGAATCTTAACAGCTATAAGCATGAACATCACGGCTTCGAGATTGCATAGCGGCAGCTCACGATCTGATTCGCCCTGAGAAAAAAGCTCAGACATGGGGCATATTCTGGTCTCAAGGGAATAATCGCAGTGGTGACGACGATAGCTGGGTGGACAGGAGAAGGTCGATGACACCAGGATCGAGTAGCTGGATGAGTTTTCGCCGACAGTCCCAACTTGGGCTTTTATTAGCGCTCATAGCTGCCTTGGGCTAGAATGAGTCTGCCGCTAGAACGAATAGTGACGACGCTTAGAAGCTATCACGAGATGATCTAGATTCTACAGCCCGTCGGCATGCAAGGCACCAAGACTAGCGGCAGGGCCCACGGCCAGACTTTCATACTAAAAAACTTTAAAAGAAGCCAAGTCTTGTGTGGAGTCTGGACTAGACATCCTTTCCTTTTCCAGCAAGAGCGAAGAGGCCATTGTACGCGCTATTCCCCATCTTGCTGGAGGCAGAGACACGATGACGATGGAAAGGGCGAAAGGACCTGTACTCCGCATACAGAGCACGGGCCAGGTATCGTCGATGAGGTTGTGCAAGCATCAACGCTGTTAAAACTTGACGTCGGTTGGAGCCGTGCGGTGGTAATATCGGCAGGGCTTGGGTTGACGTCACCTATAGTAAAGCATCTCTGCCGCTTTGTCTTCGCCGACAAGCTCCCTCGGCTCCCATCATCCCATGCCATAAGTCAATCCCCAAGGCTAACCCTGTCAAGCCACGACATGCATTGCTTGCGAAGCTAATAATCCTACATACCCGGTGCCTGCTGCCTGTTCTCCCTATCTCCAACAACCGACGAAGTACATCCTAGCATGGCACTATCAGGTTCATAGCCATTGAACCCGTCTCAGCATCTTTAGATTGTACCACGATATTCGCCATCCCAGTCTTCGCCTGCCGCAAACGGGGACGACACATGTTTAATTGCACCTCCTACTCCTACCCCTACTCCGACTCCGACTCCACGAAATCCATGCGCTCGAGCACTCCAAAAGACCTCCCACCGCCACTTAGTCTATAACAAAGAAGCAGGAAGATGACGGGCACGCATAGCGCCTTTGAGGCACTCGGCCCTGTCACTTGGGACCATGTCGCACAACAAGACCTCAAGGCCTTCCTCACCGACACCTTTGGCGAAGCCCAATGCCTCGTCGACTCCATCCCCGCCTCTCTCTCGGCTGCCGAGCAAGAGAAAGGCAGACCGCGATCCGCCACCAATTCCCGCCTGCCTTCACTGCCGAACAGAACGCGCAATTCTTCCGATCGCGTTGAGAAGCTAAGGAAAGAATGGAAGGAGGTCAAGGTCAACTCGAAGGAGAACCCGCTCGGTGTGCACGTCTACAAATTGTCTGCGAAGGATGGCAAGGGAGCCTGGTTCGCGAGACGTAGTGTCCACGAAGGTCTCACCTTTGAGAAATGGAAGCTGGGCATGCAAAGGGAGTTTGCTGAGAGCATGAAGGTTCAGGGCAAGCCCGGCGACGGCAACATCAGAGGCATTGGAGCCGACAAGCGCGTCGTGGACCAGACTGTAGATGGCTGTGGGAAAATGGAAGGTGAGTTGCGCGACTGGACATCCACCAGGACCCAACCATAGGAACTAAGTCGCTAACCAAGTTCTACATACAGTCTATCAGCTTTCAGCACAGTTTCCCGGCCCTACCACCCCTCGAGACTTTGTCACCCTATTCTTGAGCTCCGATTCAGCCATAGCTTCGCCAACGCAGGACGGCCAAGGCCAACCGAGGTACTTCATGGTCGTGTCCAAGCCGTGCGTCCACTCAGAATGTCCACAACGACAAGGCTTCATTCGGGGCCAGTACGAGTCCGTCGAGTTCATTCGCGAGATCAAGGTAGAGAAACCTTTGAGGAAGGTTCGGTCCTCGGTGAACCTCTCTAATGAGGAGGAGGCTGCGGCGGCTAACAACGTTGGCGACGACATCGGCCAGGAGGCCGCAATAAGGTCGGCCCATCAAGCTGCGGTCACCGGGTCCCCCAACAAAGGCGGAGAGGGCCGACGAAGGGGCAATACCATCTCACATGCAGGCACCGAAAATAGAGAAGAAGCGGTTGAAGACTGCGATACCAAGATTGAGTGGGCGATGGTAACCCGCAGTGACCCTGGTGGTAGTGTGCCACGCTTCATGATCGAGAGAGGGACGCCAGGCGGTATCGCCGGCGATGCGAACAAATTTCTCAAATGGGTTTCATCTAAGAGCCTGGGAGATTTCACCGAATCTGGTCATGACGATACAAAATTGAAGCGCGAGGCGACACACGCTGAGGCTGAAGCCGCCGAAAAGAATGTACCAGCAGCGGATCCGACGTCAAACGTGATCAACGATCCTAGCACTAAACGCCGATCGTCATCAGCTCAAGAGCAGGAAGAAGAGGTCGAGGCTCCCGGTGGATTTTATGGTATGATAGCCGGTGCTCTCGGTGCGGCCGCCTCGGCAGCTGCGGAAGCAGCTGCCTCGCGCTTACCAGTGGCTTTCGGCTCAGTTCTGGGCGGCGACACGGAATCGGGTCTCTCCACTGAACTGTCCGATGATTCCTCATCGATACACAGTTTCCACAGCCTCGAAGGCGCCGAGGACGACATTTCCTCAGCCAAACCGTCGGATAGCGACCACCGGACGCCATCCCCTACGAATGGGGGCGGCACTACAGGATCGACGCATTCGTCCGAATTTACTACAGCACAATCTACATCTTCTCCCTCACAGCACGAGAAGGACCTGCGGAAAGTCGAAAATCGCAAACGCAAGATGGAGGAGAAACTGCAGCGGGCACAGGAGCGGGCACGCTCCAAGCATGGTGGGGACTCGCAGCGCGACGAGACCGCAGTACAAAAGCTACACGAGAAGCACGTGCGAGATATCGCAAAACAAGAAGCAAAGTACCAACGAAATATGCAGAAACTGGAGGCCAAGCGGGCCCACGACGAGAAGAAGGCGGAACAGCGCCGCCGCAAGCAGGCCGAGCGCGAGGAGAAGAACAATCTCTCCATGGAGCTCGAGAAGGCCCACGCCGAGAGGGATCTCGCGCGTAAGCAGATCGACATCCTCAAGGAACAGGTCGGCGAATTGCAGAGCCAGAATACGATGCTGGTTGCGAGACTGGGGCGCGAGGGCATCAGTGTTGATGGGGGCTTGAGTGATGGTAGCAGTACCAAGTCGGCCTTTGGCGGTCCCAAGAGGGTTAATACGGAGCCGGTGAACGGGGTCAAGGCGTGAGCAATCGGGGGACCGACCATTCAGGAGGGTGAGACCCAGACCATGTGGAGGCGAGCGAGCTCACGAAATTCAAACGCGAATGATACCATTGCTGCGGCTAAAAGCATCCTTTATCAACATACCTACAATCCGACCCCGTCTTGTTTGGCACTTGTACAATATAATACCACCGCACGGATCTGTTGTCTTTATTCCTTTGGTAGGAAGGCCGGGATCTGCGAAGGCGTTTCAGGGGCGATGTGCTACGACGTGATGGGATAATTTTCAAGGCCCCGCTTTCCCTCTTCCTCAGAGGAATGGAGTCTATCTAGCATCTGTCAATATAGCAGGAAGGAAGTAGAAAACGAGATTATGATCAATTTAACAAACAAGTAATCAACTAGTAATCAACAGCTTTTCTCCTTCCTCCCCATCTTCGTCAAACATCTACCACACATCCCAGTGCCGCCTGACTATGCAAGTTCAATCCAGTTCAACGCAGTCAGCTCACTTCAACCCCCCTTAAACCCCGTCGTTCGTCACACATCGCAAGCAGCAGCCCATGGACTCCCACTCCCTGCCCCAGCTCCCGAAACCGCCGCAGCTCGTCCCGAACCTCGAAATTTCCCCGCACGGCCAGCGCCGACGCGCTGGTCACGACGCGCGCGCAGATCGCGAATACCTGCGGCTTCGACGTCCAGCCCAGCGGCCCGTTGTTGTCGTCGGCCCCGGAGGAGCGCGCTAGGCGGTTCAGCGCGGTGAGGCCGGCGAGTGTCCATTGGGCCAGTTCTTTTGCGGGCGTGTCTGGGGCAGCAGGGGATGAAGGGGAGGAGGGGAGAGAAGACGCTGACGGGAGAGACAAGAACACGTCGGCCCAGCGCCGCACCTCGCGCACCTCGTCGACGTACAAGTTCTGCTCCTCGACGACGAAGAGGGCGTCGTCGAAGCGCATCGCGGACTGCAGCTGGGTCTGTGCTGGGACCCAGTAGTTTTGGTCTTTCCAGGTCTCTGGTAAGTTGGTGGTGTGAGGGGGAACGGCGGAGAAGGAGAAGTCGTGCCCGACCATGCGTCCCGCGACGTGCGTGCGGAACGCGGGCTCGTGGCCGTACTGCTTCCCTAGCCAGCGCAGGAGGCGCGCGCCGGCCTCGATGGACACGAGGTTTGCGTCTAGGACGGGGCTTGCGGCCGAGGCGGCGGCGGAGCGGATCTCGTCGTCGTCGTCGTTCAGGGCGTCGTACAGCGCGAGTAGCCAGGGGAGGTGAGCTGGGTTGCTTTTGTCGTTGCTGGATAGGTGGGTGGTTGATGAGAGGGAGTTGATGGCTTGGACGGCGGCGAGTCGGGTGTCGAAGGGCTGGGTTTCTCGGTTAGCTACCTATATGGCTGCCATTGAGGGATAAAGGGGGTAAAAGGGGGGGGCGGAAGGGTCGGTTGGTTTGGCTGGACTTACTCTATCTGCTACACCTGCATCGCTCATCATGGCGCCCCCACTTCGTAGCCTTTTCTCAAGGCCATCGTCGATCATGCCCTTCTTGCGCAAGACAGATATTGCCACGATTGGGCCGCTGACGCGGATTATGGCGTCGGAAAGACTTGGATTCATTGGCTTCTGGTGCAGATCTGTCCAGAGTTGGGATAAAACCTCCTCGGATGGGAGGTTTTTCAACCCGTCATCCGACCGCTGGCGTAATATTACGTCCATCAAAGACGCCAGGCTCTCCAGCGTAATCGTTCGCGGCTCTGGTACGTCAGTCTCGAAGCACACCAGCAGATATGCATCAACGAGACTAGGCCAATGTCTTTCTGCGTTCGACAAGTCAAGCTTCGACAAAGACTCGAGCATGGAGCACGCAGTATCGAGGTCAGTTGCCAAGGCGGTCTTGAGGTTCTGACTCAATGAATCGCCTGATTCTTCAGCAGACCTGCGTAGTGAGTCTTGCACCACGGCGTCGCCTAACCTGATGGTCAACAAAGCTAGCGGCGCTTGACGCTGGTCATGCTGATCATTGAGCACTGACGAATTCTCATCTTCCCGTCCTGGACGAAGACGGGAATATTCGAGTACAGTAGCGGCTCCCGTTGGGCTTCTATCGGGATTCACTTTGGCCAGGAATGTCAGGATGTCAGCATAGACTGCCCTAGCTTCTGTGCATGTATTGAGACAACTGCCCGCTATTGGCAGTTGCTGTAGGAAGCCGAAGAGGGTATCAATGTTGGATTCTATAGACAATGAATTAGCTTGGATATCAGCGAAACGATGCGATTGACTCACCTGATAGCTGGTCGGGCATGACCTCAAGCAGCTTCTCAAGCAGGAACTTGAGAGTCAACAGCGCTCCATGCAGCTTATTCGCTACATGTTTCGAGTCCACGATAAGAGAATCGATGGAGGTAAACCACCCAGGTTTCAGAAGAAAAGAACAGAGACTACGTGCTGCAATCTCTCGTACATGCCAAATTGGGCTGCCAAGGTACCATGCAATGGTGTCATAGAGCTTGTCGCGAAACGCCTCTGGCGGCCCGGCGCGACGGATGATGTCCAATGCAGGGAAGACTGATTCCGCTGTCTGTGCGCCCATCAATACACCTGATGATTCCATGCCCGACTCCAGGAGGGAAGCGAGGAGGGCGGGAAGGGCCTTGTATTTGTGATATGGAAGCCTGGTTGATCGCCCATCCCAACCAGCCTCCATCGATGTTTTGCTCTCGCTCGTGCCGAAAAGGTTGTCGATGAGGCTGCGTAAGAGTAGCAAGCCACAATTCCGTATTGCCCATCTATTATTGTTATTAGCTGGTGACAGAACGGATACGGGACGATGCATACACTTCAGATTTGAGGCTGTTGGCCGCCAACTGTAAGCAGTTCGCTAGGTATGAGTGAGCACCGTTGCTCAGGAAAGACGTCTTGAAGATGTCCTTGATGCAGTTGAGAGCATGAACTTGAGGCAAATTTGATCCATCTGACTCTGACATATAGGCAGGCTTTCTAGCGAATTCTTGCAGCTTATAGATGACGGTTTCGAATGACGGGCGGTCAGCTTTTGACGAAAGAATCCCGACGATGATAGCAGGTAATCCTGCTGATCTCCGGGTTGTTGAAGCTTGCATGTATATACATTTCAGAGCTCCCTAGGCTGCTTCAGCATTGCGTTCAGCAATTCATAGGAGTATGTGAGTACTGACCTCATACCATTCGTCCAACAATCCGTCTTCCTCTACAGCTGCGTTGGGGTAATACTTCACTTGTTGACAACAAGATGTGAATGTTTGAGAAACTGTTGAGAACGCCCCACGGTGTCTCAGATTCGATAACTCGTCGAATGTTAACCTTCCGATGGTTTCGAAATCCCCTCGAGAAGGGGCTATGCTTCCGGCGTCTCGGCTATAGCGAGCATTTATTCCGATGACTCGCAGCAGATTGCTGGACACTGTCAGTGAGGGGCAGTTGTCTATCAGTTTTGGTGCTTACCTGGACTCGTGTATTGCTCGAAAGCTATAACTCAGAAGGTCCTTGGTATCAAGTCCGTCTACTTCTTGCAGCTCTTCAGGCAGATGACCTTCTGGGGAATCATCGCACAGAATATGCCGAACGGCTTGCCATATTCTCTGACAGCAGGCAATTGCGCGTGACTGAAGCCCATGAAGGATCTTGAAGTCTTCATTGGAGTAATGAGACCCAGAGAGTGATCCCCAAATGTAGCTGGAACCGTTAGCGCAACCCATGATGGTACAAAGGTTCGGAGTTCCTACCGAAGAGATGCAAAGTCGCCGTGTATAGGGGCTTGAAGCACCGCAGTGGCTAGGTCTTGCTCAGCGACTAGCAGCTTTGCTTCAAGATTTAGAAGTACTTCTGTTGGCACCATCACGGCCCCCTCGAAGTTCTTACTCCAGCGGAATAAGAGTTCTTGTGATCTAGCAGCGCCGTCAGAATGGTCCGCTCGGGCCGTTTGCCGGGAAAGCTCGTCTGCCTTTCGGCAAAACTCCTGAAGCTCTTGCTTTGGGCTGTGCTGTAGCCCTCTGATCTTTTCTGGTGGTGTGGAAGCCGCACTCCCTGACTGAAGGAGCATAATCAAAGCGGCTGCAGCCTCTCTCACATCGTCGAATGGGTCCATGGTGAGATCTAGCACAGCACGGAACCATGTTGCATCAACCAGTGGATTGTTCAGCCACCTGCTAGTTGTCGTTCCATCTCCTTGAAATGGACCCGACCTAAGAAAGAAGCCCATTGCCCTCAAAGCCGTGATATGGCGCTGATATGATGCGGTGGGTACAAGTTCGCTTTTGAGGAAGCCAACGAGCCAGCTGATGAAATCTTCATGATCACGTATAGTGGAGCGCAGCCTCCAGATAACATCGTCCTGTGCATTTGTTTGCTTGTCAGTTTGGGTGCCTCTTGCGCCTTTTGACAGTGCCTGGTTGTCCCTCTTGGCCGGCTCTATTTTGTCGGCCTTCTTCAAGGATCGGTCGAGTTCTTTGCGTAGGGAATCGATGGTGCACTGGAGTCGCTTGACCATATTCCTTGAGTGGCCCAGTACGTCATATCTGAACTTCGCGTCTGTATCCTCGTAGAACGACGGAAGGTGTTTCTTCAGGAGATCTAATGCTTCCGGTGTGTAAGGTTTGGTTGTCGCTGGGGATGCGACGAGAATAGAGACACCCGAAGAGCGGGCCTCGTGAGACTCATGACAGAGTACACTGTCAAGTATTTCTGCTGGCAGTTGGGCGATTGCGCCCATCTTCTGCATCGAGGCTGCGCGGTAATTTAGTGAGTGGTACTGCGGTCAGGCGGTACATGCATTATAACTCACCTGGGCCAGGTTCGCCCACAACTCCCATCTTCTTCCCTGCTTCGAGCATTGCCAGCCATAGCATGCCATTGAGATCCCAGCCTCGGCTATCTCTGCCGGTAAGACTCTGGAGCGAGGACAGGTCATCGAGATAGCGCAGGGATTCAGTTCGGTCGGCCTTGAACAGAGGGACGAAAACGTAGAGCTTAATTGGCTCGAGAAGCTCGAGATTCGACTGCAAGCCACTGTACATAAACCTATGCCAAGCATCGCGGTAGTGTCGAGCTCCTTTATCGGTCTCACACCACGGGTGGCTGAAGATGGTAACAAGGAGTTTTCCAGCTACAGATGACGCATTCTGCTGCTCCATGCACTCGAAGATCCTTCTGATGAGGCCGTCCCACGTATTCTGCCCGTCAGGGGCAATCCCGTGGAGCGTTTGGTAGACTTCCAGGATTTCATGTAGATACACAATCTTTTTCTGTACAAGGTGATCCAAGGTAGTCATAGCAGATTTGATGGATGGTCTTGAAGCTTGCTGGGTGATCATGGAGACGGCGTCGACAGTTAACTTGGCCTTGATGGATGCACCAACCTGTGGGTTGGAGTTGTGGGATATGGAATATGCGAGACAGTCAAGAACGATACGCATGGCTTTGTGGGCATCTTGCTCATTCCATTCAATGAAGAAGTTGAACAGCTCTAGGGCAGTGGATTGCCTGAAGGCGAAGCTTCGCAGCGCGGGTGCGTTGGATTTGGAGCAATGCTCGACAAAGCCACACAGCTTGACACAGGCATTTCCAGATGCTTGCTTCGGTCTCGCAGCATTGTCAAGCAGTTCGCGGAAGACGTTTTCAACCAGCCTGCCAACCTGTGAGCCTCAACACAGATATGCACCTCCTTCGTATGGTTGACTCACGACGATTGTGACTCCTCAGGCTGTTGTGCAACCCAAGCAACAGCAGACTTTTGGTTGAAGGATGTATCCCCGATGTCAGGGAGCCCATCAATTCCCATGGCGGCGGTCGCCTAGCCCTTCCCTGTCAGGTCACCTCAAGTGAGATCTTGTAAGTCTGAATACTCCAATCCGCAATGTCCCTGCAGCGAAACTTCGAGGGGGCATGGTGGGGGCAGTCCTTTCAGATTTCAGAATCCGGCTTGCATGCTCAGGAGACTCGACATGCGCTGAGTACTTAGAGGCAGTAGCCGAGGAATATCGAAGCGGCGAATCGAGGGTATAACTATCCTAATTCTGATTAAGTCATTGGTGGTGGAATTGTGAATTGTGCAGGCCCTGCAAACATTTCAACATGAAAGCTGCTGCTGCTGTGGCGCTAAGACCATTTAGTTCAGTGATTTCGTGAGGACAGGGGCGGTGGCGCACGAGCCACCCAACCTTGGAAGCTTCAATCTAACGGTAAACTTTTTTGATCCTGAGTGGAAGCTCTCCCGAGGTCATCATTTTCCGGCCCAGACTTGCGACTTCGCACCTTGCGCGACGAGACACCACCAGCGCGCGCCACAAACCCCTTTCTTGCTATTCTTTGCGTGTACCGCTACCGCCCATCAATACATCCACATCATGTCGATCTGGGATGCGCTCACCGGACGGAAGTCCTCGTCATCTTCCCAGCAGCAGCAGTCCTCCTCGAGTCCGGCGCCCACCTCCACTCCAACCGACACCTTTACGCCTACACCCTTCGACCCCTCTGAAGCCCAGGGTGTCGATGCCTTCCTGAAGAGCTCCGCTTTTGCCGACCCGTCACAGCTACATCCCCTAGCCGGCCTGAACAAGGAGGGCTTGGAGTACTTAAGTCTCGAGGACTCGGCTCTCTCCGACCTCCCAGGAGCTCAAGCCATCCCGTCTCGTGGCTTTAGTGACGACCTATGTTACGGAACCGGTATCACATATCTATCGGCTCTTTCGGTAGGAGGCGCATGGGGATTACAAGAAGGCCTGAGGAGATCTGCGGGTCAACCGCCCAAGCTGCGGCTGAACTCGGTGCTCAACGCTGTGACGCGGCGAGGGCCCTTCCTCGGTAACTCGGCTGGTGTCGTTGCTATCACCTACAACTGCCTCAACTCGTTTATTGGCTACATCAGAGGAAGACACGACTCGGCCAATACCATCATTGCAGGGGGGCTGAGTGGCATGGTATTTAAGAGCACAAGGGGACTCCGGCCGATGCTGATATCAGGAGGCATTGTTGCTTCTATGGCCGGGGCGTGGGCGGTAAGGAGATCACTGTCAAAGAGACCAGGAGTACATGAAGCTAACATCCAGCAGGTGACGAAAAAGGTTATCATCGGATCAGCGACACCGCAGGGACATGAGCACCAGCACATCTAGATCCAGCACACCCTAATCCCTAATACCGAATCGCCTCCGTCACTCGAGACATGAAAGGGTTTACGAGGAATCTGTGTAGGATACTGGACTCGCATTGAAGTCTGCAACCGTACGACTGCTGCGGTGATTTTGTTAACTATATGTTTCATTCGGCTTGGTTGCCAAGCGATGGACGATCTCTCCTCTGGCTGGGCATGTGTATAAAATAGGTGGTCAAGCGCATTAGAAGCATTCCGCGGCTGTGGATAGGCAGGCGTTCATGTCAAGGGTGGCAATTGAGATATTTGTTCTTTGGATGAGGTTTCCCCATTTGCGTGGCTACCGTTGATCCGTTGCTAGGGGGGGAGTGAAGCTAGGCACGGCTGGGTCACAAGCTCGCTCTTGCCTTGTTTACCAGGCTGTATCTACGTACCTCAATTCACCTACCTGTTCACCTCAGGCACCTCGGGTGTGAAACTTGTCGTCCAAGCAACTCTTAAATCGCGGCGCCCGTTTTGGTATCTCATTGATTCCACGCCGCACAACAGCAACTGCGGTCACCTATCGCCGATCTGACTTCAGGCTGTCCTGCACTGCTTCATTTCAGGATCATTCCGCAGTACAAGAACTGATCGCAAGTTTAGTACAGTATCAATACTCACAATAGACAACACTTCCAGCCCGGCCACAGAGCCGGACGACTCAATACTCGCAATGAACAACACTTCCAGCCCGGGGAAAGCACCGGACACAGTGCCGGACTCAGCGCCAGACTCACGACCAGACTGGGAGCCGGACTGGCAATCGGCGAACCAGATCAAAGAGCGACTCATTGATAACGTTCAGAAGATCTGGCGTGCCCAGGCCGTCCCCATGACCTGGGAGGAGTCCGTCCAGCGACAATTCCGCTTCGGAGGCGAAGAAGACGAAGAAGAACCCATGGAAAGCGGCTCACTTGTTGCCGACAACAACCCCAAGGGATACATCTGGTTTCCTCACAACTCAAGCAATGTCAAGGACCCTGAGCTGCTCAGAGAACGACAAGACATCACGGCAGAACTCCACCGCCAGCCATCACTTGCTGTTCTTGTTGACCGATTGCTGAATAAGGAGATCGAGGACAATGCTCTGCTCGCTTTCGAAACGAATGGCTCACTGGATGACGTCCCCTCTCCGACCAAGCTCACGGCTGGAGCGAAGGTTTGTCGTTCAGGCTATCTTATCATTCAAACCTCATGCTAATTCTTTCCAACTAGATCAAGCTCATAGCCAAGTATCGGATCAGCTCTGACAACTTCGGTTCGAAACGGTCCAGCCCAAGCCCAGAGCCCCAACCAGGTCCAGATCCCCAACCAGGTCCAGATGGTCAGATCAAGATGTACCTATTAAAGGTAACTCAAGAGAAGATGCTCGACTACTGGGATTTCCTCTACCAACGCGGCATCGATCTGAAAGCGTTCCACCGCCTACTCGAGAAGGAATACAAGCCGTGGACCCAGCCTGGTTTCAACGAGTCTGCCCAATATTACGCCTTGCTCGGTACTGGTAAAGATGTGCGGGCGACCGAACGTGAGGAAATACACGACTTTCTGACCCGCGGAGCCCGTGAGAGCTGGTCGTACAGACCGCTCGACTTGTCTGGAGCCACTCCGAGAATACCTAAGAACCCCTGGGAGCTTGTCGACGATGAAGAGCAGTATCAGGCTATGCTTGAACTTCTGAAGGATGGCGACCGTTCTTTCATCTTCATACCGGTATTTTCCCTGGGCGTCGGAGCATGGCAAATTGGAAGCTGACTTGACTACCGTAGACCTGGCTCATCGGGGATGCTACGCTGGTTAGTAAGCAGCAGCATGCAATGCAACAGGGCACATCGAGTTCAGGAGCCGCACAGCAAGCACCCGCGGCTACGGGTCCTACAGAAGGGCAGGAGCAGGACTTGGAGGAGGAGGAGCTGGACTCTGTCGATATGGTATCGACCGGGAATGCATCTCAAGGAACTTGAATCATTCTTCTTGGGTGGTCATTGCTACATGAGCATCTCAAGGAACATGAATCATTCTTCTTGGATGGCCATTGCTACAGGAGTATCAGCAAAGGTTGGATACCTCGATGCGGTATGATTGTCCGCATGGAAAAATCATCGCCTTGGACATTGGCTATCATCTTCTAAGAGAGGCCAGCGGTCGTCTGCAGTTGGAATGTTAGATGAAGCATCATGTTGCTCTGCCACGGCACGGGCTTTTGCAGTCACTAAGCTTCAGCATTTCCTGAAATTGATAGCCTACAAGTCTACAAGGGCTACGTTGTGTGTCCTTGAGGGTGAAGGATGGCGGTCTTCAGCTCTAATTCTTCAGGCTGATCTTTCCGGGAGTACAATGCATGATCTATGATCAGGTGTACTGAGACTGTCACTAACGCACAAGTTGAGCAACATATTGTATTCTGTCTGCAGGAATATTGTCCCCATCACTGAGGTAGCTACCTACATCTAGGCCCTGCCCTTCTAATAGCCTCCAGCCAATTCAAGCAATATGGACAAGATATCATGGTTGGAATATGTGGTAAAAGTCACTGACCGAGACAATACAAGTGTCCCCTTTCCATGCATCTCATCTGCATAAATATTTAGCTTGATGTAAATGTGTTCAATTTCGAATAGTTCTCATTGCCTAGCTACCCATTTTTTTGGGTATTGAGGATCCCGTCTGGTTGACAGCTGTGAACCGCAGCGCTTAAATCGTGCACTTCTCCTAATCGCCGCTCCTGCACTTCTTTCACCCGAACAACAACCTCCCGCACTCGGACTCATCTACACCAATATTATCAAGACAGACGATTACGTTCGACACCTACCTTAATAAGCACACCGTCAAGTTCCCAGTGTCCTATTCCCATCAAGCAGATTCATCATTTTATCTACCCCGCTGTCAAGATGTGGTTCTGCTGTTTCCCGTGCTGGAGAGTGACGGACATTTACCTGGAGGGGGACGAGGAGGATGAGGCGGTAGAGATGGACACCGACAGCGACGCCCAGAGCGTCACCCAGCGTGTCACCTCGAACGACACTAAGAGCAATATCACGGACGCCACCGAGGAGATCAAGAGAGTGCGCTCGTGCGGCATCAGCAACGGCCAGCAGATTATCCAGTCCATCTGGAACGGAAGCGACTGGGTTCAAGATACCGTAAGTAATATATCTTCCGTTTACCTCCTTGCCCCTTCTCCCTGCCCACACCATAGACCCCCCAGGTAGAGAGACTGGTGATCCATACCGCCCATGCCCCGCGGCCGTGCCCCGCTGCCATCGCCGCTATCGCCACCATCGCCGCCATGGTCTGGCCCCTGACTCCAACAGTGACTTCTATAGACATGGTGATTCCCAGCACTGGACCCGTCCTTCGTCAAGCCCCTCGAGCATTGACCCCCGCGCGCCTTGGTCTTGCTGCATTAGAAGCATCCGGCATTTGATGCGACGAGGACTACTCCTGCAGACTGGAAACTTTAAATTTGTACATCCCATTCTCAGCTCCCTGCAGCGCGTCTCCAACGCGTCTCTTCCATCGCCAAACGCGCATCCTCCTCGAAATCTTGGTGCATCTGACCTGCACACCTGCCCAAATCATCACAAGACCCTTTCATCCCATCTTCTCGATCTTGCATTCGCGCAGATTGATTTGCACAGCTCGTTAAACCTTGTGGAGTAATTCCAGCCACATTGACGATTTGAGATCTGGAGCTTGCCCATTGTCCCGTTTCCCCTACAGATCTCCCAAGATGGGTGCCTCAGGCAAGAACGGTGACAATAAACACGTCCACTACCAGGCCACCCGGTCTTCCTCCCACACCCGCACCTCAAACTCCAACCCCAATCGCAATCGCCGTTGTTCACCCATTCCTACCAGCCCTGAAATTCGTCGTCACAATCGCAACATTCGTGTCGAATCTGGTTTGAACACCGTCCTCAATACACCCGAGGGTCTCATCATCAACGGCCAGCTGCAGTCTGACAACGCGTCTGCGCCTGCACTCGGTGTCATTCCCGGCCTCTACCCTACCAACAAGGCTCCCGTCCCCGGCTTCAATCACGTCGGTCCTTCCCCGACCAACTTTCCCTTCGCACCTCAAGGTCCCGGCGGAAACATGTCCTACATCCAGGGAAATCTCAGCAGCGTCGCTGCGGGTGCCTGGCCGAACCCTAACCAGCAACACTTCCAGCCGCAGGTGCCCGACACCACCAACGGACCCCAGGTGCACACTTACATCCCCCGCTTCGATCCCCCGGGCACTCCCCATTACTCGATGGGCCCCTACGGTCCTCAGTTTGTTCAGCCCGACGGCACTCAATTCATGCAACCCATGCAACCCATGCATCCCGGATTTGCCCCCTTTCAGCAGGTAGGGAACTTTGCCGGTCCTCAGCAGCCAATGTTTCCCCAGCAGGGTATTCCTGAGCAAGCCTTTCTTCCTCAGCAGGCGCCTGCTTTTCAAGCGATGCCCGGACCCCAGGTCTACATGCCGAATGCAAGTCGAATTCTAAGGTGTAGCACACGCGCTGTGCGAGTGCCCCACCTGTCTCACAAGACATTCAGAGGAATCACACGTCTCTCGTCCCGCGCAGTCGCGACACTTTTTTCATTTCCTCTCGTCAACTCAGTTTGAACTGACAATTGAGACAAGTATGCTGACTTTTATTACTTTTAGGCACAGTCCGGAATGCCGACCGCACCTATTGGCATGATGCCGCAGGGTCAGCCCCCGATGATGATGCCTCAGATGCCTCAGATGCCTCAGATGGGCTTGCCGCAGCAGGCCATGGGTCCTCCCCCTCCGGCCTTCATGGCAGGCGGTCAAGGAGTTCCTGGAATGGTCCCCGCTGGATACGGCGTCGCAGGTGTAGGAGGTAATCCCGCCCCGTTCCCCGGTGCGCCGGCCCCGTTCCCTGGCAGCGCGCCTGACATCATGGGTATCGGAAAGACCGGTACCGAAGCTGCGGCCGAGCAGGCTGCAAGCGCCGTCAACAGCCAGGCCATGGAGCCTCAAGACATGAAGCCAGGAGACGATGATCCGTCGCGAATGTACTGGTGCCGAGAGCTCGACGGTGCCTGGCTCCTTCGCAGCCGGTTCTCCATCGACCGACTGGAGGACTGTCGATGGTACGTCTGGGAGACTGGTGTCTTTTACGCCGTCCGTATTGCCGACTAGATCATCGCGATCGAGTAAGTTCCTCCTGAAGCCGAACTGTGCGAGCATTAGCTTATATTCCACAGGTACACCACGCCAGTCATGAGATTCTCTCGACTTCAGATTCTCTCGACTTCAGATTCTCTCGACTTCGGACTTTGTCGACTTCGGACTTGCTCGACTCATTCTGAACCCTCTCCCGTACAAGAACATGGACCATACATGAATATTGACCATCATGAGTTTGGACAATACACGGAGTTGGATCACAGAGCTCGTTACCCCGTTCGGCACTTTCCACTTCTTCACCTCCCTCTACCACATGTGTTTCTCTTTCGATACTGGTTCATGCGCTTTTCCTTTTTCCTATGCCGTGCGTAAGATACCCACACAGACCTTCCACCTACCAGTACCTACGACTCCGTAAGTTGACATCCAGAATCCCGCCGTTTGTGTCTCACAGAACCTAACAACCGCAACAAGAAACTGAAAATCGACACTCAACCGGCAATCGAAGCAGTCCAAGAACGAAACTGGAAGCTAAAGACAAATGGAAACCCGGCGAACAATGGTTCGAAGATGGCGAGACGTTGAAGGACTGTTTGAAAAGGTGGAAGGCATGTTCTTTGATCATGATTGTCGACGAGCAAGGCGTTCCGGCGCTCTGGCTCATGGACGAGACTCATGGTCGACGAGACCCCCCAAAAACTGGCGTTGATGATGGCAAAATGATTTCTACCCACTGCACAATCCCCCCCAGTTCTCCACTACACCCAAATGGCTTTTACAGGTAGGCCTTGAAATACAAACCGAAACCTAATCTGTGCGTGCTTTTTGCGTGTGTGAAGTGATGGTGAGGTCGTTGGCAGGTACCTAAAGTCCGATGTTGATTGATGAAGTGACGTTGAGAATGCCGGTGGTGACTCGACGCTAAGACATGTCTTGCAGGACCGCAGAATCGTCGGTAAATCAGGGGGCGTGACCTCGGCGCACGGACTACTCTCGGGCCATAGCTCGCCATACCTACTTTGCAGTGTTGCACTTTACGACAGACGCCAGAGGCCACTTGAGATTCATAGATTCATCCAGGTGGCTCTCATTCGCACTCACTCTCTCGTCATTCCTCAATACCCTCAAAGTGCCGTCTACATGGAACACCAGCGTGAGCAGTCAGGCAGCCAAGCCACCTATCGTGGGCGCCACACCACGAGCTGTCACGTCGCTACATGGTCAATGAACGACCTGCCCGGTTGTCCTCCTATCGGTTACCTGATCAGCCGCAACGACCCCAGGATGGATCTCGCATAACCTTGCTATGATATGATCATGCAGCCTCGTCAAGGAGCTGATCACTGGCGATTCAAGCGATCTGAGACTTCGAATGTGACCACCTGACCAAGTGCTCGGCCTTACTCGACTCGTTCTTCCATTCTTCCAGAAGAAAAGCGACAGTTACCAGTAGGCTTGGTGGGGCACCCCCGCGTTCACTTGCAGACCCCGGTCTTGTCGTCAGCTGTCGTTCTCGGTCCTTTCCTCGGAGGGTGCAGGGCATCGATCACGTCCATCGAGGTCCTTATCGATTGTCTATCGGACGACCTCTCCTGGAATAGGTAAACTGTTCCATGTCGTGGGCCGATTACCTATGGATGGGTGGGCGTGAATTCGCACCGCGGACTAGTTGCAGGCCTGTTGCAGTGTTCCACGACCCCGTCGGCCGCGACTGCATGACGGGGGACCATGTGACACTCACGACAGCCTTCCCTTTTCGGCCATGGGGGCCTCCGGCCTGCGCGTCTCTTACTACCTATGCAAATGACTAACCGTTCACTGATGCCTGTCTATACTTCTTCCACCTGCGGGAGTGAGGGCGATGTCCCGTCGTTTGTTGGTGGGTTCTGGCCGTATACGTTGTTAGTCGCTCTCGGCATCCCGCCAGTCGGGCTGGTCAGCGGGCGTGTCAGCTTCGGGGGCCTCACAAACTGCGCGACAAGGGAGATTGAGGGCCTGGTGTGAGGCGAGCATAGCCTTCCTGATTTGTCCATAGCGCGGCTGACGATCACGTCGCCAATCGCCAATCGCCAACCACTGGCCAGACTACCCCTGGATGCCCTCTCGCGAGTGCAGGCATCGTGGGTCCCACTTCGGGCATATCTTGGCCTGCTGCCCCGTGGTTGAGCGGTGGACTTTTACCCCGGATTGTCCGCTGGGCTTATATCTTGGGTATATCTCGTTCATTGTCTTGCAATTTTGCTTGGTCCCGATGTTGTCTCACTTGGTGCGACCTCCCTGCTATGACGCGCCCGATGGGCTCAGCTTCTACAATAGGTTGACTGATCCTGATTGTGACGGCCACTTCTGTATTACACTGAAGCCACGATCATTTTGTCATGGCGGCAGACGATCGTGGGCCAGAACTGGCTACTATCACTGCTGTCTTCCTCGGTCTGTCGTCGCTCACCGTCTTTCTTCGATGCTATGTCAGGCTCTGTTTGTTGAGGACCTTCCGCATGGAAGACTATCTGGCTTTGGGAACACTGGTACGACAATTTCTACCCGCACTTTGCAATGCCCATGGCTAACGCAAGCAGCTCTGCTTCATAGTCTATTCGACTTTTGTCATGTTCAGCATCCAACACGGAGCTGGAAAGCACCTCGATGAAGTGCCTGCCCATGACATTCCCGAGGCTCTCAAGGTACGACTACTACCAGCTTCTACTCACTGTTTTTGCTTCGACTGACCAGTTTCGTTACATCAGATGCGTTGGGCGGGCGAACTGGCTTACGTCGTGACGTCCCTATTCCTCAAGTTCACCATCGGCATCTTCTTGCTCCGCATATGCTCGCAGAAGTGGCAAAAGGTTACAATCTGGGTCGTGCTCCTAGTCTGCCTTATTTTCAACCTTTTCTACACTTTCGTGGCCGCTTTCCAGTGCCAGCCCGTCTCGTACTACTGGCTGAAGCACACGGACCGCATCACCGGCGCATGCTTAAACGAAGAGGTTATTACGGGCTCGACATACGCCGCCGCCGCGATCAATGCCTGTGCAGATTGGATTCTGGGGTTACTACCGATTGCCCTGGTGTGGAACCTGGACCTCGGAAAGAGGTCCAAGGTTTCCGTTGCCGGCATCCTGGCTCTTGGGTCAATGTATGTTCACCCCTTGCCCATACAGAAAGTTAGACTCAACTGACCGCGCATCCCAAGCGCATCCTCAGCTACCATCGTCCGCATCCCGTACGTGTGGCAGCTAACCCACGACACCGATATCCTGTACGAGTTCACCGACCTTGCGCTATGGTCAACCGTCGAGAACGGCCTTGGGCTCACGGCCTCGTCCATCGCCACCCTTAAGCCCTTGTTTCGCACCTTCTTCGGCAACCCTCCACCGCCGCCGGGGTCGCCTCTCTCGCGGAAGAGGGCGTCGGGGTCCGTCGCGTTCCACTGTCGGGGTGAGAGTGAAGATAGTCGGTACTATGAGATGGATGATTATCCGCAGAGTGTCCGGTAGAGTGAGGCGAGCAGGGGATGTCAGGAGAGCGTGTGAATCTTTCCTTAGGAAAGCGAATTGAATCAAACGAAACATCATATAAGAGTATCCCTGGATCGAGCTTTGGTGACGCTGCGATGAAATCACGCCTCTCCTGTCCCCTGGTCGCTAAGCGCTAAAATGCTCGAAGACATCCATCTCCGTCTCAGGACCTACCGTTTTGTGACAGCCAAGTCCTCCTTCACGCCGGTGAACTCATGGGCAGGTCCAGGGACCAGTCACGTATCATCTATGAACCAACGTTTAACGTACAGTCTGGCCTGGGGACCGCTGAGGGTCATTGCAAGCCAATCTAGCATCACCAGTCTACTGTGCTACGTCGGACGGTGTCAACCGCATCGATCACTGCTTGCTGCTTGTCCGATTTCTCATGCCACCAAGCCGCAACCTGCCACCTTGCGTCGTTCCGGGAGAGGGTGGGGGCCCGACCAACATTTGATATCTCCCAAAGTCCATGGCTTGGGGTTTATGTAGGAATGTATCCATACATATCCGGCCTGCCGCCCACGCCACCCAATGTCATCATCTGCGAACACCCAAGAGTGCCCCGGCTGCGCGATCTGGAAGCGATGATCCGTAGCCACCGACGGGCCAATCCGCTCCTGCCGTGCGCATCATTCGCCGTGGATCACCATATCCAGGGTGGTACTGTAGACGCATCGAAACGGTTTCGCACCATCTCACCAGGTTCGCCCACGTAGCCATTGGGCAGGCTCACAACCATAGACGTCACAGGAACAGAGAGTCGCTCTCTACGGGCTCGTTCATGATGCACGGCCACGGATTCAGCCCGGAATCCACCTATCCGTCCATCCACATATACACAGAATTGACTCACTCTAGGCAAAGTTACCTAACAGCCACGCTGCAAAGCTTATACCCCAGTCCCCCTATTCCACACCCCAACGGCATAGGATATACGACTTTAGCAGGTCAGGTTGGTAGCCGGGTTGGTACGGCCTAGCGGAGTATTCTTACAAAGTATCCTTACAAAGGTATCCTTAGGCACAGCGGTTCGATTTCCCTAGCGGCTGACATTGCATTTTTTTCTTTTTGGCCCTGCCCACCCCTTTCTCTTCTCGTATTGAGTCAAGACAACGCGATAGAGGGTAGTGAATGATCACAGCTGATCAACGCGAATGCGTCTGACTTGGACGCCAGTAGGTAAGCCGCGCAGGATGCGCATGTCATGTCATGTCACCAGCCCAGTCTGGGTACTCGACGGAAAATACGCGTCGGCATAACGTAGCGGACGGGCTTGCTCGGTGAATAAGTAAGTCAGACACCTGATGTTTCACGCGACTATCTATCGATGGCATCGCCTGATCCCTGACTGTCAGCGACTTCGTCCACATTCGATAGATCCTGCACACTACGGCAGGAAAATGAGCTGGCGCCAGCCAGCGGAGCATCACTTTGAGCCATCCTGAATGATCGGCTTCTAGCGATATGGTCCCGGGTACCCGCACTGACTCCTGCCTCTGCTTTCCGGCAGGCGTAACTACGGGCTGAGTGTGCGAGGTGGGCTACTTACACAGCGCCCTCCCAGCACAGAGGTTAACGAGTGTCATGTTTCGCGTGAGGCTGTGCAACTCTTCAAAGAGGCTCAGGCCGATGGCGGCGCCGGCAAAGCCCTGTGCGTCGCCACCCACCCCGTGTCGCAGCAGCGCTGGCTAGCTCTACACCCGAATGATTCTCGGGGCTTAGGGGTGGAAAGCTCGCTCAGGAGAGAGATTGACTGCAGATGCCGGTCTCTAATATCAGGCATATGGCTTGCTGCGAAGCGGAAATTCACCCACGCGAAGATGTCGCAGAGATCCTGGGTCCGGCAAAATCGCGGAACAATGCCGTTATTCTTCCGCATATATGTTCTTCCGCGACTACATTTCCTCCTTCTCTGCTCATCGTGCAGCATGCGACAGTTCTCTTGCTTGGGGCTTGGAGTGATCTTTGAGAGGAAGGAAGAAAAAACTCGAAGCTCAGTATAGGGCCGCCTTGACAGAAAATCTGGCTTGTCAAAGCACGCCGATAGGTAGAGCATAGAGCATCGACTACTTGCGATGTTGTTTGGTGCTCAACTATTGCCCACCCCCATCCTCGCTTCCTGCAGCGATCGCTTAAGTAGATCGTATGATATACATATAAGTCGTGGCCTGAACGCGTCCTGGTGATGATCTACCGGTATGTGGTTTGCAAAGGAGGCAGAAGTGAGGTTCAAAGTGGGGCCGAGCGTTGAGCAGGGACCCCTGAATGTGCCAAGGGTAAATCGCGATTCTTATGACAAGCTTAATGCATCTAAACCATACTCGCCATGAAAATCGACGATTGGTGGGTCTCGATTAAGCTTCAACTCTCAAGCTCATCACCAGATATCAAGCCTTGAAACTTGAAAGCTGCACTCATGCCACAAAGTCTAGTCTTCACGGGGGATACTCGGTAATAACCAGATCTCATCGCACGTGTGACAAACTCTCGAATTCGTTCCACACGTCACAGATTATTACAACTTCGACACTCTATTCGTCCCGCTACAAAAGCCCCGTCACATGAATCAACCTCAACCTTCAACAATATAATGTGACGATGGCCGACACCACCACCACCCCACCGCACCAGCAAGCCCTCGCCAGACTCCAGCCCCTACAGCCCGTCCTCTGGGGCTTCGCGCACCGCAACCGCAACCAGCACCGGTACGGCTTCTGGTGGGGCGCCTTCGGGATGCTGCGGCGGAGCACGGACAAGCTGGTTGACGATCTGCTCTCCTCCCTGCCACCGTCGTCTCGTTCTTCGGTCGCCGCCAATGATAGATCAAGTGCCAAGGCCAAGGTCGGCAAGAAGCGGAAACGCGCCGCCGAGGACGGGACTGGGAAAGCCCGAAAGGGGAACGGGGGAGACGGAGGAGCGTCCGAGGCGGCAACGGACAGGCGCGCAAGCTGGCTGCTAGACGTGCTGGTGCCGCGGTGTTACGCGTGAGTCTCCCGTCCCGTTCCCATTTCTCCAGTCTCTTCCTTCTCTTCCTTTCTCCATCACAAGCGAGCGAGCTCAGCCTCCTCCGTGTCTCGGCAGTGCGGCAAGTTTCCCTCAGTTGTGTGACTAACTGAGTATTTGGTATTTGCTCGCCATAGCGCCTTCTCCCAGCTAACAGCAGACAACCAATTCGCGCCCCTAGGCGTCGTGCTGCTGGCCGCGCTGGCGCAGGTGCGCGCCGCGTGCGTGTGTCTAGTCGGCGAGACCCCAACACCAACCCCACCTCCACAGGAAGACGGCAGGCCTTCCGCAGCGGCCTGCTCCTCCTCCTCCTCCTCCGCCTCAGCAGACGTATCCAAGAAGAGCCGCGAGGGCGCGAAAGCGTCCACGCACTCTGCTGGCGTCACAGGAGTAGGTATGGGAGAAGGAGCTGCTGCGCACAGCACAGGAGGAGCCGGAGGCGGCGCGGCGATCTCGCGCGAGGACGTCGCCCAGGCCGAGAAGCTGCTGCGGCGGAATAGGGAGAAGGAGACGCCGAAAGACCAGGCGGGGGCAGAAGAGCTCTGCCCACTGCCAGCTGAGGTGCGGTCTCGATCGAAAGGGATCAAGTCAAGGAAGGATGGGGAATTCGCTGGTGAGAGCGGTGAGGCATCGTCGAGGAAGAAGGAGTGGAAGGCTGCCCGCACAAAGCCTGATGCGAAGGGGAACTCGGATGAGGAGGCGAGGCCGGCTAAGAAGAAGAAAAAGAAGGCTAAGAAGGGCGATGAGTTCGATGATCTGTTCAAGGGCCTGTTCTGAGAAGTTGGGCAGGACAGGATATTCATCATGACTCGGCTGTATGAATATAATGCTGTATGAACCAATCTCGGCATGATTCTGCATGGCTTGCTACAGTCGGTTCTTTAGGTCGTATGCCCTCTACATGTTCACGATCACATTATCAGGAACGACATTCAGGTTGAGGTAAAGACTTCAAGTTCTACGATATTGGAAAATATTTTGCCTTCTACCGCAAGCCAATAGTAAAGTAGATATCATGAGTGGCCGAGCAAATTCCCCCCTCAAATATCACCACCGTGCCCACCACGACCACGACCTTTGTTTCTATTTAGGTATAGAGCTAACCCATAGGTGGCGCGAAGGGCGAAACAATACAAGAAGGCTCCGTCATACCAATGTTGAGCAGATTAATACGACAAGCAATCGATGATACGGCCGGTCTTGATCGTCTGCCGAGCACACCCGAGAGTGCCCGCCGTGACAGCTATGGGCGATTGCTGAATACCTCACCAGTAGTTGGTGATATCTGGCTCGCAAGACTCGCATCGCAGATAACACACTTTGATCTCAAGGTTCTGATGGCTCTTTAGTAATTACTGCGGCTCCGTTTCAATCTCAAGGTTCTGATGGCTCTTTAGTAATTTACCGGAATTCCGTGGTGGACGGAGACCTACTGCATGCTTCTAGGACATCACACTTCGGTATGACCATATGCGTGCTCTCATGTCACCAGAACCTGTCGCAAAGAACCCACCAGTGGGGCTAGGGGCCACCGATATGACCGAGTTCTTGTGGCCTTGGAGCATAAGTTGAGTGTAGCCGGTCCGAGGATCCCAGAACTGCACACCGCGATCCTTGGAACCGGACATAACCCAGTTAGCATCAGGCGTGAGTGCGACACTGAGCACGAAGTCCTGTGTTTGTTAGCATGTTACTTCGGGCGCAATATCGACGTTTCAAGCTTACTCGGTGACCCTCAAAGGTCTTGACACATCTGCCTCCCTTAGGCCCAGCCTGACTGTTTAGACCTCGGGGGCTGGCAAGCTCCCACATCTTGATAGTCTTATCCAGACTACCACTGACAAGGTCCCTGCCGTTAGGAGAGAAAGCAACAGAGTAGACACTATCCTTGTGGCCATCAGGTCCCTCAAGGCGCTCCAGAAGAAATCCTTGGTTGATGTCCCAGACGCGGACGCTCTTGTCCAGGGAGCCTGCAGCCACGTACTTGGTATCTGGAGAGATGGCAACCGTGGTAACACCGTCCTCAATAGTGAGGGTCAACAGGTTAGTGCCCTGCTCAATGTCCCAGAGTCGCACAGTTCGGTCGCCGCTGCCAGAAGCAATCGTGCGGCCGTCCCGGGCGAAGTCGAGGGAGTAGATGTCCTGCTCGTGGCCAGCGAACGTGTTACGTATTGTTCGGTTGGCAATGTCCCAGACCTAGCAAGATTAGTATCGTCAATGCAGAAAACGATCAATGTGATAAACTTACGCGAATCAGCTTGTCTTCAGCACCGGTAGCAAGGTACTTGCCGTCGGGACTGAAGCACACGCTTCGAATGTAAAGATCGCCAGAGATATCCACATTCTCATCCTGCAGAACACAAACCTTCTCACCCGTGTTTACATCGTAGATCTGAGCGGACCTGTTGCATCCCGTGGCGACGTATTTACCATCGTGGCTGAATCTGACACAGCAAACCACGCTCTCATGAACCAAGGTATGGACCAGATCCACATCCAGCAGACGGGGAACCTGCTGGTTAAAAATGACGAACCAATCGTCGCGGGTCTTCTTGACATGCGCTGGCAGACGCTCGACGTCCAAATCACCCAAGGCGTTGTTGACCAACGTGCCAGGAGGAGGATGCACGGTCACTCCTCGGTGATCCGGTGTGGGATGGTTGGGGACTTGTGGCGATGCGCCAGGGCCCCCGTATGGCATCGGAGTGTTAATCTGAGGAGTAGCCGGTCCAGGAGGTCTACCAATGCCACGCTTATTGGGGCCAGGAGAAGCGGTAGTCTGAGGAGGCCCGCCGGGGAAGCTGTTTGGGCCCGGCCCCTGACCGTAATTCGGCTGGAAGGGCGGAACCTGAGATGGCGGCTGCGGCGGAGGGGGAGGACCCTGAAGACCCGGGGGCGGCTGCGGCATCTGATGCGGAGGTCCAGGCGGCTGCTGCTCCTGAGGGGGCGGCTGCGGCGGCAGGCCACCACCCTGGCCTCCTTGGCCGGTCATAATCCCACTGAAGAGATTGTTTCCGAGACCAATGGCGGGAGGAGGGCCGGTAGAAGGGCCGCCGTGTTGAGGAGGGCCGGGCATGCCTTGCTGAGGAGCCCCGCCGCGAGCAGCATCGATTTGGCGACGGAGCAGAACAATCTCTTCATCGTATCTATAGCGGTCAGTCAGCGATGCGTTTCTTTCGCAGCGGTACAAGCAGAGGATCTGCCAAGCAAAACTTACTTCTGCTTGATGCTCATATGCTGCTGTTCCAGTTGGTAGACCTTCTCTCTAACAAGCTGAGCCTCCTGGACCTGCTGCTGGACTGTTTGAATTTTAGCATATGTCCCCGACTGGACGCTGCAGTGATGTCACGAAGCTTCCACGCCGTGAACAGCGCAACGGAGAGATGAGATTGCGTAAGTCAGACGGAACTCACTTTGTTGTTCGTATCCTTCGTTCAGGCGAACCTGATTGTCAAATTCGGCCCGGATCTGATCAAGCAGCTCGGTGAGGCGAGGCGCGTTGGGCGGCATGCCGCGATGCGGATACATAGACATGGCTGTTGTATTTCTGTGATGATTTCGGGTAATGATGGCGTATCGGTATGTATTTTAAGGAGACCCTGTTCCTCTTCAGGAAGTTGTCTGTGACTCCGACTCGATTTGCGATGCGACGAAGGAGGGGGTGGCTCGTCCGTTGGTCTGGGACTGGTTCGAGGACACGGCTTCAACTCCTACTTGGTTGGTAGCAAGGCGTTCGTTCCTCCCACACAACCCGACTATCGTACGTGACGAGACCTGGCAAGGCGTTGGCGGCAATGTCAAGCCTCGTCAGATGACACTGAGCATGCTCGACTTTTGAGAAAGAAAGGTCGTTATGGTCGACCGCGTCGATGGAAGCAAGGGTCGGGTACGGGTCGAGGAGGGAGGACTCGCGATCACAGGGTTGACAGGGCGCTGTTCAGTGGTGGGTATTTGGATAGGCGATGGTTGAAGGCTGAAGGCTCGAGGGGGAGAAATTTGACCTTTGCGCGCGCAGAAGGAAGAAGAAGGGACGGAGCCGGTAAAGATTGATGAGGAGCCAGGTTGGTTCGGGTTCAGCAGTCCAGCACCACTGCACCACTGCACCACTGCACCAGACTTCCAAGGTTCGTTTGACCCGACTGGCGAGCTGGCAGTGGAGGTGGGCCGTGGGCTGCGTGGGCTGGTCACTGGTGGGCAGGTGCAGGGCCCCACGAGTGAGCGCTTGCTCTGTGTGAAGGCTGGGTACCACCTAAAGTGGTCTAGTGGGTTTGAGCTTCGGGCGATACTAGCGTGCATTTGCTGCATGGTGCCATGGTCAGGCTGCAGGGGGGTGTTAGTCTTGCAGGGACATGGGTGGAGAGTGCACTAGAGCCGAAGTAGATTAGCCAAGATACAGCTGAAGTACATGCACAACTTACACGCACTAGCACTAGGGATATGGTACTCGGGCTGCCTGGCTGCTTGTACCGTATCTCTGCGCTCAAGCACACACACTGCATCATGTCAGCCGGGGACCCATAGAAGAAAGATTGATCACCAAAGGTATTTCTTTGGGGTTAATTATCTGACCAGCAAGAGTATCAAAGAAGAACCAAACTTTAAACTTCATGCCAGAGCACATAGTCGTGTAGATAAGTCCCGCTAATCCTAAGCAGGATTGGAAAGTGCAGAGGTCTAGCAATCAGGTAAGTATGTACCTGTACTCATCACGCAGCAATCAGCAGCCCAGCTTGTCAGCGCAGATCAACCCTGTCTAATATACCGGTACGTACCGCATCTTACCACTCAATCTCACCGCATGGTAATACGTTGTGCCACGCTCCCAAGAGGGATGACGAGCCTGGGGGCTTGTCCTCGGTTGGATGATGCCCATGGTGGCTGTGGCTAGGTGGATCTGGACCGTCGGACGTCAGGAAGACACCCGGCTCGGAAGTATCGACGACGGCGTGGATATATCAACTCCCATTCGGTAGACTGCAGTGAGCTCCTGCCGGGCCTTTTGCCCACATGTGTTTGACCCTTGTCGACGCGGATGGCAGACAGCCCTCCTCTCTGATCATTTCCTGACAGGGCGAGTACCGGTGTACAGTAATCAAGTCACCCAGCCAAAGGTGGTGATATGTGTGCGTATAGAGCTGTGAGCTGACTGCACATGCATCACCAGCGACAGAGGCCGGCCAATCGATCAGGCAAAGACGCCTTCGTCGTTGTCATCTATCACATTCGGTTCCGTGCACGCCACTGGTCTCTCTCGATGTCGGACTTCTCAGGGCAACGGTCTAGTGGCGGGTTGTCGGTGTGCAGCCGAGTGTTGTAATTTGTTTGCTCCTTGTTTTTGCCCTTCCGTTCCGTGGGGTAGAGTTGGCCCTGGCACGCCTGAGTGGTCATGACGGCACCTGTGCAAGGCAGGCTGCACAAAATAGGTGGCAGCACGGGTTCCGGCGTTGCGCGCGCACGCACTCAGCTGATGAATGGTAGCCATGGATAACTGCAGGCCATGTATGCCGGTCACACGCAGAAGATGCAGGAAATGGGCCTGTGAGACGGCCGTGGGACGCCATCGTGGTTATGAACGAGGGCACCAGGCAAGGCGAAATGGGGGTTCCCCCTCCCGGCCGCTAAGCCGCGTTCCCCTTCCCAAATCCTTCTTTTGACTTTCCGCACTGGACCTCGGGAGTCAGTCGCTGTTTCGGAGTTTGTTAAGTCCTACTACCACACCACACGCCGTCGGTTTATCAGAGACAGGATCCTTTTATCGGTCTCCGCCTCTGATAACGCCATTTCCACGATAACGCCATTTCCTCGTAGTTAAGCGGAGATTGAACAAGATTTCATTCGATCCAAACTTACCCACAGAACAACAGGCAAGCAGAAGAACAACAATTGGGACCACGACAACCGTTTGACCACTAGTATTCAACACATCGACAGACAACCTAGACAAACGCCACGGGGCACCCGCGGGGTTGAGGCTATAATATGGACACTCATTGCGCACATGCACCCTAGGTGTAAAGGTGTCTCACTCCCAAACCAACGGCCACATCCATCCCACAATCATGTGGTTTCACAAGGACTATGTCTCCAACCGCTTGCCTGCTACCACGTCGGGGCAGATAGCAATGCACATAGATATATCTTCATTGCGAGTCAATCTTTGGGGCGAGACGGCATGCTTGCCCAAACCCGCATTGGGAACTGACAGCATACACTGCAGCCTACTTCCGCGTGGAGTGTACACAGTAGCTTACAGACGCTGCTAGAGACGACACTGTTCGTATCTACGAGAGCTTGCGGTGGTGCGTTCTGGCATATGTACTGTCGCGCTGCTCATCGCTTGAGCTGCTGCTGGACCACCGGCCTGAAGCTGGAAGGTTTTGCTAACTTCTAGTCCCATGATGCTTACAAGCCATGGTCAGAATGAAATACAGACCGCACACTGGATTCATATTCGAGCACGAGACCGAGGGGTGGTTTGCTCTCCTCGTACTATGGCTACTTCGTCCGACTCCTCCTCCCACCCAGCAATCAAGTGTTCCACCACGGCCAACTCATCCTGGCCCCAGACGAACCCGCCTGCTGGTTTCCAAGTGCCGTTCAGTCCACGATGAAAGACTCGATATGTAGGTACACCACAGAACCCGGCAGCCCTGGCTTCCCCTGTGTTCGCGAAGAGTGTCGCCTTGACATCCGGCAACCGGGCCGTGGCAAGCAGCTGCTCGGCATCGAAGCCTCCCTCGGCAAGTACTGATTGCAGAACACTTTCGTCACTCACATCCAAGTTCAGTGCCCAACAAGCCTTTTCTATCGCGGTGTCAGTCTCATCCTCCACTTAAGCCTCCCCTCGTGGCAGGACGGTCCGGGGTTGGACATACCAAGCAACGGTATGCAATCTGGATTCGCTATTGCGCGTCTCAACATCGTTGGACTCCGAATGGGAAAATTGTCTGGCCAACAGAAGGCAATAGGTCCATACGACTGTCCTTGCTGTGCGTCAACCTGACCCGAGAACTCAGCCCAGTCAAGCAGATCTTGTAAGCCATACTGTCGTTTTTGCTGCGAGATGGCCGCACCCGGCATTTGCGGAGCGCCAATCCTGTACGCAGTCAGGTTAGTCAAGATGCACAGGTCACGGAGCCCACGGAAAGAAAACATACTCCTTGAACAAAGCGCCCAGGAGGATGGGTCGGAGCTCAACCTCGAACTGAGGCCCGAATCTCCTCAAGCTTTCCACTCGAGTCCAATCGAGGTATGCCCAGGGACTGGGGAAGTCGAACCAGAATTCGAGCTTCACCGGCTTGTGAGGTGGCTTCAGCTCCCGACAGCGGGGTATCAGATCCCTCAGCCTGATCTCCTTTTGGGACGACGACGATGACGGACCGGTGCTGAGACGCAGCAAACTGGCCTCGACGAAATGCAGGCGGTCCTGGCCCCAGTATAGGCGGCCCTGCCTAGTCCTCCCGTCAAAATCCCGCCACGTCTCTCCCGCAATCCAGAACCCAGGCACACCAGGCGCGCCTCTCGCCACCGCGTCTGCCGTGGCCAGCTCCCAGCCTTCGCTTTGCTGCTTCATCATCAAATGTAGCCATGTTCAGCGACACCCGGACCTCCGGCATCTTCGCCAGCGCTCTCTGCGCGATGCGGAGCAGCACGTCGCGAGCAGAGACGTCCACACCATCGACCCAGTAAGCCCTGAACAGCGCACGGCTCACGCGCACCCGCGCCCCGTCGGGCAGGAAGTGCAGCAAGCGCAGCGCGTCCACCGTCTTCCGCGGATGCGCCGCCGGCGTATTGACGGGGACGCGCAGCCGCCGCAGGGTGCGCCCGAACGACTGGCGGAAGACGGCGCGCTTGCTCAGGTTCATGGCGTCAGTGGCGTCGCCGTGGGCGCCTTGTATATCGCGCCGAGGAGCACGGGACGCCATAGCACGGTTGCTGACGAGCGGGCTGCCACGGCCTCGATGCGGGTCGAGGCGATGTATGCGAAGGGGCAGACTATCCGTGGGGACAGTCAGTACTCTGCAGTCAAAAGTGATATGTATGGTGTGGTCCTGATACGGTGAGATTGGGGCTGCTTACATCGTAGTAGAACTCGACTGTCGGTGAATGTGCGATGCTGGACATGGCGAAATCTAGATGTTCCTAAATGACATGATGTGATGTTGGCCTTTCGACGACAGATATACCATACTCATCTCAGCATCAGTGCTCCGAGTGAATCCCTCCTATATATCTTGTAGCAAACTACATATTATCTATCCATTGCGCAAAAAATGTCAGTAGATGGCCACGTACCTTTGCCGAGGCATGCATGGTGGTCTGACAGGCTGCCGTCAGCATTGGATATGGGGCGGGGTGGGGTCCATGTGTTCGACCCCTGAAGTCCCGGATCGTCTCTGGCGTCTCCGGAGATCAACGGCCACCGGCACTGCGTTCTCCGTTACAAATATTTAATACAGCATCAAAACAACTATTCGAAATAGGTCAATAGTTCTGCGAGGCTCCAAAACTAGTTCTTGCTCCCTAGAAGTCGTGATAAAGCATTGAAAGGAGATTCACCCGTGTGATTCTTGGAATCTTGGAGGGCACCCGTCTGCTGCGTTCCTATAGTACTGTACGATGTTCCGCACGCCAGTCTTGGCATCATATTGAACACAAGACAATGGGCATGACCGACCGGATCTCGAGTGAGTGACAGTGACCAGTTGGACAGGACTTGACTGTAACTTTAAGTATGTCAATCACTCACGCAGCTGAGCTGACTTACGCCCACCCGAGCTTCACCGTCTTCACCGCACTTCGCATTATGGCATATAGCTCCTTTCCACCACGCCGAAGCGGGCACCTCGCGTCAATCACAAACTTAGGTCAATTGTTGTTCAGGCTCGATAGAGACTCAAATCCCCAGACTGGTTTTAACGTCTAGATCTTCGGGTACAGTACTAGCCCCTTTCCGTGTCGATTTGCATACATTCTTCTACAATCGAAGATAGAGAATGTCAGACAAGAAACCACCTCTATCTTATGCTGGGTAATGGGGTCCCAGGAGCAGACTCTTCTCTCAGTGAAGGGTTACCCGAACGGGGACTTTAACTTCAGGACATTCACAATACGACCCAACGAGAGTACAACATCATCTTATATTCAGCTAGGTACTTCCAATCTCATGAATAAACGAAAGGGACCCAAGAACGATCTCTATGGCTTCCTTCCATCTGCCATCTGGCTGCTATGAATTCAAACAGTAAGTTGACCAACCACCCAATTCAAAAGACGGTTTTCGGGTCTCCGGGGGCTGCAGCGAAGTGTCACATCAAAACATTATAGCCTTGAGAACACACGCATACCTGATCAGCACAGGATTCCAGTAGTTTGGGGGACTCGATACTTACCACTGCAAGGATAAAGGAAACAAAAACAGAAGACACGCATCGATGATTGCACTAGTAATCGATGGTCGGTACGTGGTCTTCTCGCTGGGTATCGCTGGTATTGATATTCGGTATTCGGTGTTGGCTGGATCAAAGCCGCTAAAAGTAGCAGACCACAATGATTTTCTGTAGAAGAGAAACATTACAAGGGCTTCCACATCTTCAATACTAACTTCTTCAACTTCTTCAGTCCTAACTTCTTCTTGGGCTTTTTTGGTATAGAGAAGTGCACCGAGGGTGAGTGCAACGAGGTAATCTCAGTTTGCGTAGGTCCCTGTGAAACCAGTATTCCCCTAATTGGGTCTCGCGATGACGAGGGACCAGCGGGATGTGTTTCGTGCTCATGGTCATTCCGCGAAGGAGACGTCCTGGCCGGTGGCGGCCGGGCAACCTCTCGACTTGGGCCTGCGTTCGTGGGATCTCGCGATGACGAGGGACCAGCGAGATACCTTTCATACTCATAGTTATTCCAACAAGGAGCCGTCCCGGCCGGTAGCGGCCGGGCAACCTCTTGACTTGGGCCTCCGTTCGTGGGATCTCGCGACGACGAAGGGTCAGAGGGGGGTGCTCCATCCACATCCAGCAGTGATCGGTCATTATATTGCGGCAGGGGTGTGCTAGGCCTGGGAGCTCGCGACGGCGACGGGTCAGATGGGGGTGGTCCATCCACATCCAGCATTGATCGGACAATATATGGACGCATAGGTCTGCTCTCGGTAGCTCGCGGCGATGAAGGGACGGAGGGGGGTACTTCCGCATCCAGCATTGTCCAATTGGGCTTATATTGACGTGGCGGTATGCCTCTGGGACCTTGCGACGACGGAGGGAAGGAGCGGGGTTTCTGGTTTTCCTCCTCATCCTGCCCGCCTTGGTACTTCTCCTGCATTGATCGGGCATTATATCCAGGCAGGGGTGTGCTGGGCCTGGGAGCTGGCGACGACGACGAAGGGGTACCGGGCAAAGTCAGAAATCCCTGCGCGTTCCTCCCGGGCAGCTGCGTCGTCAATGGTGCCCCAACAGTATTCGGACGCTTTAACCCGAAAGCAACATTGAAATTCCTCTTGGGAGAAGGTGGGCTTGGCGTTTGTCCAGTCCTTCGTGCGAATATCGGGCTTGGTCCTTCCAATTCTGAGCGAGGCACGTGGGGAACAAAACGAACGCTTTTTTGGGGTTTACCTTGGCCTCTGGATTTGGCCAGGGCTGGGGGATATTCGCTGCCCTCCACTGCAGCCTTGTGCTCAATGTGCTCAACACTACAATCCCCGATTTCCTCGGTCGTCCAATTCCGGCCGCCTCGCTGTGTAGGGCTCGGGGCCCGTTGATCGCTTGCCTCTGATTCAAGCTCGTCGTCAAGGTCCTACCCGGACCTCTGGGGGCTGAACGGTGTGCTGGATCGCCTCTCCTTGCCTTTCCCCTTTCGGTCCGACGGGGACCTCTCAGAGCTGGAGTGAGTGCTGTCCCGCAACCATCGCCTCACCTTGCTTCTCTCCCTCCGGCCCGATGATCGCCTGGCCTTGCCTCTCCCCCTCCGGTCCGACGGGGACCTCTCGGGGCTGGACTGGATGCTGTCCTGCGACGATCGCCTCGCCTTGTCTTCCCCTTTCCGGTTCGACGGGTATCCCTCGGAGCTGGACTCGGTGAGACCCGTCGCCTTGCCTTTCCCCTTCCGGTCCGACGGGGGCCTCTCGGAGCTGGACTCGGTGCTCGGCAGACGCGTCGCCTTGCCTTTCCCCTTCCGGTCCGACGATTCGGCCATGCTGACACGAATGGAGGAGAGTCGGTGTCCGGTGACGATGTAGCGGGAGTAACCCGGCTGGGATGTGTCCTGCTTTGAGGAATGAACCAAGTAGATTGTGTATACAGTGGGTATTTCTGCCAACGATAGTGATGAATTGGTGAGTAAACTGGTCCCAAGGTGATGCCGAAGATGCAAGCGAGTGGTGGAGGAGATGGAGATGCAGAGGTCTGGCAGACCTGATCGACCTGCCCACATGTAGAAGGACAGCATACCTAACATATGGGAACACGAGCAGAAGGTGCCTACCTAAGGTAGGTAGGTACCGCTTGCCATCTGATGGTGCGGTAGAGGAAGTGCCGTCTGCTTCCCAGGTTTCAGAAACGGTCATTGCGAGAAGAAGAAGAAGGAGCGGTTATCAAACTCAAGTGTGAGTGTGAGCTAAGGCAAGAGATACCTACCTAGGTACATCAGGTAGAGCAATGCGTCAAAAGGGGAAGAAGGCACGTCCCGTGAGGGTAATTAGGTATGTATCAGTGTGTCCAAGATCCGTATCCGAGCCCCCAGTTCTCTCTTTCCTCCAACTTCATATTTTCCTTTCTTCATTGCCTTCATCTTAATGAGCATCAGCTAGTGCGATCGATCTTGGGGGTTCAAAGTGGACATGTTCTTAGCAATCTGCCGTGTATAAGCTTATATGTTGGAATTTTTCCAACTATTCAACTGCGCACTAAGACCCAACACTTTTCACTTTGCCCACCTTTCATCTGGACGGATACATGCAGCCCGCCTGGTCACCGAGTCCTTGCCAATGCCACTCGCAACTAACAGGAACGTACTGTCACATTGACAATACACAGCGGGCAGGAGAATGTGTAACTCGCTCACGGTGAAGATGATCACGCATATACCGAATAGATTCGCAAGTTCGTAAAGATCATTACACATATATGTATCTATTGCGAGATGCTAGACTATAGGTACAGGGTTCAAGATGACAATGCCGTGCCATGAAGCCATGCGCGCCGCAAGTAGTGAATCAGGCATAGCTGTTCGCAGTGCCCATGTATTACATTAGTTGGTGGCCTTGGTCTTCTTGCCCTTGTGGTGAGGCTCAGGGATGGGCCCACGGGCCTGGTTCTTGTTGCCAGCCTTCTTGCCCTTGTGGTGGGGCTCAGGGATAGGCTCGGGCTCACGGGCCTGGTTGGCGGCCTTGGTCTTCTTGCCCTTGTGGTGAGGCTCGGGCTCGGGGACAGGCTCAGGCTCACGGGCCTGGTTTGCGGCCTTGGTCTTCTTGCCCTTGTGGTGAGGCTCGGGCTCGGGGACAGGCTCAGGCTCACGGGCCTGGTTTGCGGCCTTGGTCTTCTTGCCCTTGTGGTGAGGCTCGGGCTCGGGGACAGGCTCAGGCTCACGGGCCTGGTTTGCGGCCTTGGTCTTCTTGCCCTTGTGGTGAGGCTCGGGCTCGGGGACAGGCTCAGGCTCACGGGCCTGGTTTGCGGCCTTGGTCTTCTTGCCCTTGTGGTGAGGCTCGGGCTCGGGAACAGGCTCAGGCTCACGGGCCTGGTTTGCGGCCTTGGTCTTCTTGCCCTTGTGGTGAGGCTCGGGCTCGGGGACAGGCTCAGGCTCACGGGCCTGGTTTGCGGCCTTGGTCTTCTTGCCCTTGTGGTGAGGCTCGGGCTCGGGAACAGGCTCAGGCTCACGGGCCTGGTTGGCGGCCTTGGTCTTCTTGCCCTTGTGGTGAGGCTCAGGGTCCCTCTTGTTGGTGGCCTTAGTCTTCTTGCCCTTGTGGTGAGGCTAGATTCACTGGTCAGATTTATATGAAGGCATGGCAGAGTATGGAGAAGCATACCTCGGGGCTTCTGTCTTGGACAGTCGCCGGCGCAGCTAGTGCTGGAACAGCAAAGGCGAGGAGAGATCCCTAAGTTGGAAGTTGGGTCAGCCCATCATGGCCAGTTGTTTGTGTCTCGATCGTATGATGCTTACCACATGACGGCGGGTCAGGTCGCGGGCACCGCCAACATGGTAGCTGTGAACAGCTGATGAGGCAATCAGGCCAGAAACGACCAGTTGAACGATGGATGGGGCATGCATGTTGAAATGAGATTGGCTGGCCGGCAGTCAAGAGAAGGTAATATGAAACTTGAGGGTAGAGAGAAACGAAGGGAGTGCCAGACTGTGCGTGAAAGAGCGGATACAGAAGCCAAGAAGGTGAGCACAATAGAGGGATATCGAGAGATTTATAGACTCCCTCTGTCCCTCCCGAGGTCTGAAGTTTTACGGCAGCACGAGCTCAAGAGCCTGGGCTGGGTCATCCTCCGGCGTCTGCCATGGTCCCCCATGGAGGCTGGGGAAAGAAGCGTCAAGTCGATTTGATCAGCATGTTTCGTCTCTTCGTCTCACGATGCGCCTAAAAGAAGCAGAAGGGGCTCATTGGACGAACAAACCCCAGGACTGGTCGGGGCACGGATATCTGAAGCTGGAGATCTACCTCTACGATCTCCGTTCAAGTCTGGGACGAAGATGCGACTCTGGGACGCGCTGTCCGTCCAGGGTGTTTGGTGATTTTCGTGTTTGAGCTTGGCATTTCTGCTCCACGTTTGAGACACAGCCTTGGACACAGCTGTGCCGCGTGCGACCCAAAATGCTGGACTGTAACCTTTTCAACTTCAAGCGGGTATCAGGGCTTGAGAACACATCAACTCACCATGTCGGCAATGATATGTTGGATGTAGCACGAGATACGGCTTTCATCTCACCATGCTCACCTTTTCACCTTTCGGGTCTTGTAGGAATGAATCGATGCCAGCTGGCGCGAACCCTGCGAGCTGCAGCTTCAGCCACAATGAATTCTCGCGATTTTCGACATCTTCCCCTTTGGTAGACTTCTCTGGGCATCGTCAGCTCAGCTCAATTCGAGTTGACTGACTGCCGGCCGTTCTGCCACCGGGCGAGACCAGCAGTGGGTGCTCTGTGCGTTTCAAGCCCTGGTGCGGAGTGAAAACCCCAGGAAACAGACCCCTGCGCGACTCGCTACGAGAGGTCCGAAAGAGGAGATGCGCCCCTGGCCCTGCACGTTTCAACTTGCCATTTGGCCAACTTTGGCGCCCAGCATGATACATCGCGTAAGCGTTTGAGAGGTCAATGCCACAACTCTCACGATAGCCCATGGCTCATATTCCCCGTTGATGGGGTTTCGCTGCACGCACGGGAGATCATTCTCATGATAGCCCCCTGAGGTGCAGGTCTAACCGATATGGGTGTCCGTGATGCGACGGCCCTCTGACATCAGACGAGAGAGCAGTCCGCGAAAGTTAGAATGGTAAGGGAATGTTTCTTCTCGTTCGTGTTGCTTTACTTTCTTTCTTCCTTCACATTCTCGTCTGGCGATCCTGTCCTTGGCTGGTCCGAACACCATCTTCTTCCTCTTCTTGCACCAGGCGTGCCTTGTTTTGCTGTTTTTTTCTGCTCGCAATGGCGAAGTCATACAACTCGGTTGCTCTTGACGAGGAACCTTTCTTGCCCCAAGAGGACGGCCTCGGGGAGAAGTACTCATGGAAGATTGCGAAAGACACCATACCGGAGAGGATACAGAAATGGAGTCCGCATTGGATGTGGTTGGGCCACGCAGTCCTTTTATCCACATCTTTGACTCTATTCGCTCTGTCCTTCTGTGCGAATACAGCGAAGATGTCTGACTCGGCCTATACTCAACGGTACTCGGCGTGGTGTATGTCCACCCCCAAAAGACGAGGAGACGCAGCTGCTGACATGGACAACAGCACCTGCTGCTAGTGCAGTCAAGTACGAGACACAGCATTTCGACCTTCCTGCTGTGGCCGAAGGACCTTTCATGGGCAAAGGGGACGACGTGGATGCAAAATGGGACTATATATCAGACAGTATGTCCATAGTCGCGCATCGAACACTGCAGGATAGGTACTGACCAAGAGCTTAGTCGGTGACACGATGATCTCGCGCGAGGAGATGCTCAACCTGGGCCTGAACCCCGACATATCACTCGCGATCACGGACCCCGAGGGCAAGCCGGGATACCGAGTCGCCGTCGAGGTCTTCCATCAGCTTCACTGCCTCAATTTACTCCGCCAAAACCTCTACAAAGACTACTATGCGCCCATGGGAGGCGACACGGCGGCGCCGCACCATGACCTGGAAGGCCATCTGGACCATTGCATTGAAGCGTTGCGGCAGTTCGTGATGTGCCAGGGCGACGTCGGCGTCTTCAGCTTCAACTACCCGTTCGGTGACGGAGACCCTTGGCCCGACTACAGCACGCCGCACACATGCAGGAACTTTGAGAGCATTCGCCAGTGGGCTGTTGATCATACTATCCCTCAAGCGCCGGGTGAGCCTGAGCATTGATGTGGTACCAGACAACAAATACCCGAATTTTGGAATGCAAGTCGAATAGTAGACGGCCTGTCCACCGCATATGGTGTGCTGGAGAGCAAGTTCCGGGGAATCCGAGGGCGCGGTTCGGATGCATGCACGACACCAGTGCACTACTCATTACCAATGTTTTAGTTAGAGACCCGGCTCTAGTCTCACGTCAGCAGGAGGTGGAAGGGTTCCAATTGTTCATGATACCAGTGGGAGGGCGAAAGAGCTGTAGCCACCAATCGAGCAATGACAGCATTGTAATTGAGCTGGAGAATATGCTGGTTGTGCAAGCTCTTGCCACACTGCATTAATAATAAGGGAAGTTGACTGACGCCCGGGCGATGCGACCCGACCTCGCAGCCCTCGGTGATACGGCGTCGGTGATACATAACGGCAGGTACGCGATGCTGCAGACCTGCAGGGGCGTTCGATACGAATACGAAAGAAGCCTGTCAGGGGCGGGCAGGGGCGGGAGAAAAAGAGGGGCAGCTCTTTATCAGATCGAGGGGAGCGACGTGCCGATTCGCGGGTTCGTACCCGGGAAGCGCATGTCATCAGTCATCAGCCAACCAGGCCCAACCTTTGACTCCTTTACCGCCACTTTGAACCTCGAAGTATCCCACCACTGACCAGATCGTCCCACTGTCCTGGTGAGCACGCGAGGGAAGTCTAAGACGCTCGGGAACTCCAATCTCCAGGTGGTGCCATTCTGGGTGGGCGAATCACGCTGCGTCGTCTCATTGTCGGGATTGTGTGCAGGAACGCAGATTGCCCCCTATTGTTGCCATATTCGGCGGCCGTTGCCATCCTGACTGCACCTGAATGGGTCGATGGCAGATGCGGCGAACTGCATGTGTCCAGGGCTCGGGCTCGGCAGGTACTCCTAGTAGCACCAGGAATAAAAGCTGTGTCACTCCCTCCTCGGTCGATGCGAGATTCGAGATGGGTTTTTGTTTCTTTACCGTCAATTGTCAATTGCCACTGTCCAACCGTTACCGATTAAGCACGCAGTAGCTCGAGTTCAATTTTTAGTGTCTACGGGCGTTAGATCTTCCATTGGGCCACGTCGAAGCGTGTTTGACTTTTCAGGGTCCCACCTCCCACCCGTAGCCCTGCACAGCGGCACCGATTGACCCTCTTAACGCCGAAGCCGGACAGGGACAGCTGGAACTCAATCTGGTCGCGCCCGCCCAAAAACCGCGAAATTGCATTCACCACAAATTTCCCACTCTAGCCATTCTGCCATTGCAACTCACCGACCCATTTTGCCATTACCTACCCAGGTTTCACACTCCTTTTTTTCTGTCCTGTCTTGTCTTTTCCAACTTGGACTCTCATTCTCGTTCTGGCCTGTCTTCAATCTTCAAGCGTTTGCGCGTCCGCTCTCTTCGCATCGCATCGCATCGCATCGCATCGACCCGCATCGCATCGACCCGCCTCGCCTCGCCCAACATGGACGTTATCCTCGAACTCACCGACACTTTCGTAGCCGACTATGTTTACGCCTGGGCCCTGCCCGCGCGGCAAGCTCCCCCCCAGTACACCAACATGACCACAACAGACCAGACTTTCTCGTCATGGCAGTACAAGCCCACCTCGGCATACATCCAGGTTGAGCCCAGTCAATACGCCTACATGAGCGCGTGGAACCGGGACAACATCGTCCGCCAGACTATAACCTTGTTCTCGATAACCTGGTAGGCACTGGCCCGTGGCACCAATTGCACCTCTCCTACTGACAGTCTTGGCCCAGGATCTTTGGTTTTCTGCTCTACTTCGTCTTCGCCTCGCTATCTTACGCTTTCATTTTCGACAAGAATACCAAGACACATCCCAAGTACCTGAAGAACCAGATTTCCATGGAGATCAGGCAGGCCAATGCTGCCTTCCCCGGCATTGCCGCCCTCACCACGCCCTTCTGGCTTCTCGAAATCCATGGCTACACGAAGCTCTACGACACGCCCGCCCAGGGGCCCGGCATGTGGTACGAATTCTTTCAGTTCCCGCTCTTCCTGGTCTTCACCGACGCCCTGATCTATTTGATCCACCGCGGCCTGCACCACCCCAAGATCTACAAGCATTTACACAAGCCTCACCACAAATGGATCATGCCGACGCCGTTCGCCTCGCACGCTTTCCACCCGGTGGACGGGTTCGCTCAGTCGATTCCCTACCACATGTTCCCACTGATCTTCCCGCTCAACAAGTACACGTCGGTGGGCCTGTTCATCTTCGTCAACTTCTGGACCATCATGATCCACGATGGCGAGTACGTGGCTAACAGCCCTGTCATCAACGGTGCCGCCTGCCACACCATGCACCATCTGTACTTCAACTACAACTATGGCCAGTACACGACCCTGTGGGACCGTCTTGGGAACAGCTACCGCAAGCCCGACGACGACCTGTTCGAGAAGGAGAAGAAGATGAGCGAGGCCCAGTGGAAGCATCAGGTGGAGGAAGCGGAGGAGATGGTCAAGCTGGTCGAGGGTGAGGACGAACGGAGCTACGACCCGGTCGACGCCAAGAAGAACGACTAGAAAGTATCTTGTGGATTGCCAGCCTCGCTTCACAGCAGTGCTGTCAAATGATGACGAATAACCAGCAAATCAATATCAGAAATAGAGTCGGAAGACTCTGGAAGTCAAACGACACATATTGGGCAATCTGTACATACGGAGAGGAGTCGCTGCTCGCGCCTCAGAATTTTCGAAGCGCGCGAGGGCAAGGCGTTTGGGGATGGGTCGTCTCTTCTATCGTTGGCCGATATTTTGGGCCTCGTAGACGATTGCACCAGAGGCAATTCCTGTCGCTACCTCGATGAAAAAAAAAGGGATTTTAGACTACAGCTATAATGACTTAGAATAAACTAACTTATAATACTATTCACCATGACAAGACACGACTCGGTTCTCGTCAAGTGAGACTGTTGGTTAGTCGTTGAACACGGCATGGAAAGGGGGGCGCTTATGTTGCTTACGGACTGACGAGGGCACAACAGTAATCTGTGCAACGCGCCGCGTAGCACATGCCGGTGCCCCTATCACACAAGACCATCCCACCGCTTGAGAGGCTTCACCCAGACCAGCGAGTATACGCCCGCTCGCCCCCTTTGATGTTACTCTTAAAAGTCCCTCTCGACGGCAGGTTCTACTAATGTTCAAGATTCGTACAACAGCTACCTGGTTCTGTCGGTCTGCTATGAAGGGGAAACGGGCCGACGGGCGATGTCGACGAAAAGCACTCTAGGCCGAGCGTAGGCAGGCAAGTCGCGACGGTGTCTCGAGTAGGAAACGTCGCACGCAGGGCAGCAGTCAATAGCTTCACGCACGACATGTTGTCTCGGTAGCTAATACTACTCGGGATATGTTACGATCTCTACCCTGAGCGGTATATCTTTTGGGATGAGGCGGAAGAACTTGTATCAACTGGGTGGGGAATAGGAGGAAAACAGATAAAATGTCTTTAAGGGCATGGAGATGGTTCACTTCACGTGCACGTCGGTTGGTCACAGCCAGAGAAGGAGAGTACAGCTAGTTGGTGAAGTGTCATCTCGTAACATTCAAATGTGGTATAAAATGTTCTGGGGTATGTGAGAGTTGCGCAATGCAATCGTCAACCATGATTGGCTTCGCTTACAACGACCTTTATTAGAAAACTTTGATACATAAGAAGTTTATATCAAAAGTATATATTTTAAAAAGTGGATATTAGCTCCTTAACAGGTAAATACAACATGGAATAAAAAATAAGAGGGATGTCAATTCTGCTAAGCGAATTTTGGCAAGGAGAATACTCTCAGCTGTGATGCAATCATACTAACCGAGTGTGGTAGATGAGATACTTCTCTCACCTGAAGTGCATCGCGCTGTTAGTTCGCTTCTTTACCTTTCTTTCGTCCGGATCAGACCACATAGGTAGATCCCTATCGCTCATGAGGACTGTCATGTCAGTTAGGTAGGTACCCGCTGCCCTTACCTATCCCGCGCTTTACTCGGTGCTCATTGACCCCGTGCGTCTGGTGCCACAGCAGCACTCGCTGTAGGCGAGGTCACACGTCTTACAAACACTCGCGGAGCCAGAGACTCTGTGATTGACCATGTTGGCGGAGATTGGGGCGGTACGCCGGGTACCGCAGCAGCAATCGGCGTAAGGCTGACTGCAAGTTTTGCAGGTGTCGCTCGAGCCGGGCACCTTGAAGTTGGTGTGGGTGTGGTTGGTGAGACACATCGTTGCTTGGTTGCCTGAGTGCCTGGGTTCGGTGGTTTTGTGTGTGTGTTGGTAGTTGGTTGGTAGTGCTTACCTTATTGAGAGCTTCTGATCCTGCATATGCTCTCAGGTGTGTATTGTGAGGTGTTGTGGTGGGTGGAGAGATGAGATGAGATGAGATGACTGAGCCTACCTAGAGGGGCGTTTTATAATGAAAGTCATGATTGAGCATTGTGTTAAGCTTAGGAACACAACGTCCTTGTTAAAGCGCCATCACACAAAGCACTCGTGTCGTGAGAGCCACGTGAATGGTATTGCACACAACACAATGTCTGTGTGAAGGTCCATCGCTCAGGATACTGGAGTCCAAGCAAAGACCGCATGAAAGGGAGTGTATGTTGCAGCCCGCCAGCGCTTCGAAGAGAAAGGAAGTGAAGGTGAGGACAAAGAACAGCGGATGAACAGAGGAGCACTACTGTAGCGGGCCGTATGCGTGACTCGGAACATCTGTGTGCGAGGGAGTTCATGTACACAAGGTGAACAGCGAAAATGGGAAGTGTAGACACGCCGAGAGGGCCAAAGTAGTAGTCCTCAGTGGTGCCTCGTCAGAGAGAAGAATGCATCGTCAGTGCTCTGGTGAGATTCGGCCTGCGGGTCGCTGCATTTCGGTTGGATCTTTGATTTGAGTATTTCGTTCCTGAGATCATCTTGCTCGGTCCTGCTCTTTGAAAAGAAATATTGATCGAAGACTCCTCTAGCTAGGCCGCGTGCTGTGTTGGTGGAATGTCTCGTAAGCGCACGACTATCCCGTGGTCTTGTCGTTATCCGCGAGAGTGGCCCTAACGCCTGACAACCGGCTGCTGCTGTGGTGAAGGACGAAAGCTTGAGCACGGTGTGAGGTCGTCCATTAGATCACTTGCTCGTTCTATGCAGGCTGACTTGGTGCTTCCACTACCCATCCCAACACCTTAGCCGGGCGATGAGCAGGTGTGTACTGGTGATGAGGCCATCGTGAAGTTCGTTCATGGGGGCCTTGTCTGGGTTGACCTTCCAGGACGAGAAGGTATGTGCTTGGCAATTCGATGGCGCTCCAGTAACTTCACCACGGGACAACGGCCAGACGAGCTCTTCAACACTTGATCGCACTCACATTCGATGACTACCACCGGAGACCTCTGTAAAGTTCATTCGGGTGCCGCAGCGGGTCTGTATAATACGGAATCGCTGGCTTAGTAGAACTTCTCCGCCAGTGATTTAGAACAAGCTGTACTGCACCATGTTATCGGCTTCGCGTAGAGTGTTGCTTGGCCAGCCTTCCCTCGCGATTGTATACTGTACCATCAGCTCCACGACCGTCCTTAGCGGTCAATATCCTCCATGATAATTGTCGAAGGGGGTTTGGCGTGTCCAAAGTCACTAGGCCCCGCCGCCATGAAACATCGTGTGAGAGCAGTATATGTTGATTGACTTATTCGATAACACCGGGTATCAAGATGTGATGTATCGGAAACAAACCCCGTCTGCATGCTACTCGTAGTTCCGCTTGCTCCTGGGGATTGAAAAAGACCAACGGCACTCACTCCTTCCGCCAAATCAGACCGGAGTCCAAGCCATGTGATGAACCCACCAACGCCGTAACCAAGACACGGAAAGGAGAGCGCGATGTCTATCGCAGAAATAGGTATATGGGGGAAGTCGCCCCGACATCCTCTGTCCATCCCAGGCTTACGCAACCCGCCAAACTTATGTATGTCCAGGTGCGGCCCGTCGGTGCTCTCGGGTACCTCCATCAAAATCGCAACGCTTTCCCAGATCCCATTATGCCCACGCCCCCTTTCAGTTCTCTATACTCCTTTCTCCTATCCCTCCACGCTCACGAAAAACTGACAAACTTGGGATCCCGCGGCCGTCCATCCGCCGCGATGCCGTTCGCACTGAAGCGCTGCTCCATGTAGAGGCGGCGGGCCTCGTCGAACCGTACGCGGCGCTTCTTCATGATCTTCAGGATCTCCGTCTTGGCGGCGTCGTCGAGCCCCGCGCGCGCGTCGCCGGCGTCGACATTCCCGCCGAGGTCGAAGGTGCTGCTCGAGAGGCCGGCCTCCATGTCGCCGGCGAAGGACCCCGGAAGCCGCGAGTACAGGTGCTGCATGTTGTTCACGTTGGGCATCAGGTGCAGCCAGTGGGCGCGCGTCAGGTACAGGGCCGTGCCGGTGACGAGGACCATGAAAGTCAGGCTGTAGAGAAGGTATGGCATCTTGGTGGGTGTTCGGTGGAGGAGCGGGAGGCGATGGGGGTGGAAACAGGCCGAGGTGAGTCGCTGGTCGGTGCGAAAGTTGACAGAAGGAAAGGAAACGGTATTGATGGAAATAGCAGTATGATAAATGAACAGTGGTAAAATGAAAACGTTGCAGATGTGCCGTCGAAGTGGGAGCGCGATGCACAGAGTGCTATGCCCTGCGGATGAAGTTGGTCGGGCTTGCTCTCGAATCCGGAGATCGTGAGGCGTTGGTCGGATCTTGACACTGGAGGAATGGGCTGAGGGACTGATGGGCTAAGCATTCAAGCCTGGATGGCCGTGCTTTTGATGGATGCGTGTCACGCTACGGCCGCGTTGCTGACTAAATACATAGGTACGTACCTGAACATGCAATCAAGATGTGCTGCTAGTCCCGATCGAGCCAATTAAGCGACTCCCACACTTCAAGGTTCTTTGCGGTGCAGTGCCAGTCAAGCATCGAAATCAGTCGACAGTAGCGCCTCAATCACCGAACCGAAAACGAACTTCTACTTTCGAGATCCGACCACCCGACGACACCGTAATCCCCAGCATATCCAAAATGGCCGTCTACGCAAGCCCCCTGGTCTCCTCAGACCTCGTCTGGCAGATTGTCCGTGAGTCGAGACCCAGTGGGAAGTGGGAGACTGTCTGGTCTGGGCCGGAGCTGATGGGTTGGAAACTGCAGGAAGCAACAACTCTTACCTCGTCAAGAGAAAAGAGGCCGGCGGAGTCCAGCTGTCGCGTGACCCCCTGAACCTGACCAACAAGCACTCGCGCAAGGTGAGAAAGGCGACATTCCCGGAAACACAACATCTGGGGCAAAGGAGCTAATAGAAGCCTAGTATGCCGGTTTCGTGAACGACAAGGTACGCGGATGATTTCTACGACGACCGACTCACGACGAACTTCGAAGAACTCACAATTGCGATTTCTAGGCTATCGGTGTCGTCGCTGCTGAGAAGGGTGGCGTCAAGGTCATCAGCAAGAAGGAGTCTGCCGCGCAAAAGCCGGGCAAGACCACCGTCGAGAGCTCTTACCACGGTGGCAAGTCCGCTCGCAAGTCAGTGAACCCCATGCCCACGCCGAGTTGGCAGTTGGTACGGAAGGGGAGGTATGCTGATATGGCAATTTGATACAGGACCTACAAGGCTGTCGCCAACCGGGCCGCCAAGTCCGGCTACCGACCCGACCTCCGTGAAGCCGCCGTCGCCCGTGTGTCCGCCATCCGAAAGTCCCAGCTGGAGCCCAAGCCCACCCCCGAGAAGAAGCCCCGTGGCAAGAAGGCCAAGAAGGCCACCTCTGAGGAAGCGTAAAGGGTGTTGGTGTGATGGCTGAGGAGGAGAGCATGTAGAGCAGAGCATCGGATTTGCCAGACTAGGCTACGTCGACCGACGTATGGTAGGCATATTGCTCCATATGCAATTAGTAGTCAATCAAACCCCAAAGTTCAGGGGCTACTACCAATATCTACAAGCTTTGCGCCATTTGAGTGATTTGGATTGCTGCCTACCCGGTCGAGGGAGAAAAACTCGAACTGGGCAGTGCCATCCGAGGGATTTGTTGCTGATGCGTCCCATAGGATCGGAACTCATGTGATGAGCAGTACAACCCACCTCAAGCCATGGATGAGTTATTTTCGTCCCAGGGCTACCACCTACCTACTGTCTCGAAAGAGAAACTCCAAGTAGGACAAGACACATAATGATGACCCGGCTGTTTGATGCCGCAAACACCCAGTCGTCCACCTTGAAGCCTCCGACCATTTCCGATGCCGAGTATGAGCCTCGGCATGGAAAGGAAGCGAAGCACTTCGGATAATGGTGCGGATATTTGGAGCCGTCTGGAAAGTGCAGTTCGGTTGACATCGCAGGCAGCTAGAGGATTACCCGTGACGGCCGGGCGTCTGCGGAGAGCCGTAGACTGTAGACTGTAGTGCGAGGTTACTGCAAGCCACAAAGGTTATGGACTCGTCCTTGGCGCGTCTGACGATGCGCGCTTCCAAGACGGTACCTTAGCTTTCGTGATTTTGCTCAAAATAGGCGCATGGACTGGGTCAAGCTGCGGCGTATCTGTCTTATTAAACCTGGAGATGATGACATGTGGTTTCACTGGAAGTCCTGCATGGTAGGAAGTCCGAAGCGGAGGGCAGGGGGGAGTGGTGGGGGTTCTGGCGGTACCTAGATTGTAGATGGCGCTGAAACCCCGCTACACGCCATACCGCATTGAAGCTGTGGTGGGCTGCGCTGATGTGGGCACTGGGTGGGATGTGAAGGAAGCTCCCCTCAGCCCCTCACCAGCTCCCCCGCCATCCGCCATCCGCCATCATCCCGTCCGATCCCTTTACACGCATCCATCACCACGGGACTCCCCTCCATCCATCCATCCATCCATCCATCCCAAAACAAACATTCATATTCCTGCTCCCCGGACTCGACCGACCTCCACCCATCTATATTTAACAAGGTTTGTGGCTCTCTCTCTCTCTCTCTGTTGCCCGTGTTTCACATGCTTTGTTGACATCCTACGATTCTCCCACTCTACTTACTGCAGACCATTCTTCCCACTCTCTCCTTCTCCCACTCGATGTACCCTCAAGAACACACCTTCAACACCTTCGAGTTCGACACTCTGACTGACGGACGTTAATCAAGACCCGTCTTGACACTAGACGATACACCCTGAACATAACAACCTAACCCACCTCAACAATACCGCAAATATGGTCAAAGCTGGTACGTACGGAGAAGCTCAACATCACCAACGCATGTTATATACCGATCACAGATGATTGAAAGTCATGTCTAGTTGTTGCCGGCGCCTCGGGCGGTATTGGCCAGGTCTGTTGCCACCAACCTATTTATATGGAGAGCTTCAATTTAACATATCACAGCCTTTGTCCCTCTTGCTGAAGCTGTGCCCCCTCGTTGACGAGCTCGCCCTCTACGATGTTGTCAACACCCCCGGTGTTGCTACCGACCTGTCCCACATCTCCTCGACTGCAGTAAGTCGAACTCCTTTGCCCATAACACATTGTACAAACCTGACACAAGGAATAGAAAGTCACCGGCTACCTCCCCAAGGATGATGGTGGCAAGGCAGCGATGAAGGATGCGGACATTATTGTCATCCCCGCCGGTATTCCCCGTAAGTAAAGAAAAGCCTGCGCTCACCGCAAGAAAACCACTCATATAGAAAAACCTGCAGGGAAGCCCGGCATGACCCGCGACGACCTCTTCAAGATCAACGCCGGTATCGTCAAGGGTCTGATCGAGATCGCCGCCGAGGTTGCTCCCAAGGCCTTCATCCTGGTCATCTCCAACCCCGTCAACTCAACCGTTCCTATCGCTGCCGAGGTCCTCAAGGCCAAGGGAGTATTCGACGCCAAGAAGCTCTTCGGTGTCACCACCCTCGACGTTGTCCGTGCCGAGACTTTCGTTGCTGAGATTGGCGGCCAGAAGACCCCCTCGGACCTGACCGTTCCCGTCATCGGTGGTCACTCGGGAGAGACCATTGTCCCTCTCTTCAGCAAGATCAGCCCTAGCGTATCCATCCCCGACGAGAAGTACGATGCTCTGGTCAACCGTGTACAGTTTGGTGGTGACGAAGTCGTCAAGGCCAAGGACGGTGCTGGTTCCGCCACCCTGTCTATGGCTTTCGCTGGCTACCGGTAAGATGTGTGGTCGATCCTCTGAAGCCACATAGCTGACTCTTGTCTAGCTTTGCCGAGAAGTTGTTGAAGGCCGTTAAGGGCGAGAAGGGCCTTGTTGAGCCCAGCTTCGTCTACCTGCCCGGTGTTCCGGGAGGTGAGGCTATTGCCAAGGCTACCGGTCTTGATTTCTTCTCCGTCCCTGTCGAGCTCGGCGTAAGAGATTCCCCCTTGCCACCACATCTATCACATGCTGACCACTCTAGCCCTCCGGTGTTGAGAAGGTTACCAACCCCCTCGAGGGCATCACCGACAAGGAGAAGACTCTGGTGGATGCCTGTGTCTCGGGCCTGAAGGGCAACATCGAGAAGGGAGTCACCTTCGCCAACAGCACTCCTGAGCAAAAGTAAATCCCCCCCCCTGATTTGACTTGGGATAAATGGTCCGGCGTATCAAATTTGCCTGTGCGCTGCAGCTTTGCCTTGATGGGACACATTCATTCCCCTGATTCGATTTGTGGGTAACTGGCTTGGCGTAGAGAAAGACAAAAAATTGCCTACTAAACAAGAACCAAAGACAGTCCAGATATGAATTGAGACTGGGTGACTGATTGTTTGTGTTTCCGCATAGGTTGTGAAGATGACGTGACCGGCCCCGAATAAGAGTTCTTACGCTACCATGCTCCCGTATACCAATCAAGATACCTTAAAAGGCTCGTGGAGGAACTGGAACAAGGCAGCAGCAGTGTCGGACTGTTGCGAGGATGTGGTGGTGTGAATAGGGTGTGGCCTTGCCCACACGGGTGACTGTGTAGGAGCTGGAATAAACACCAGGACTTCATTGTAGATATCAAACAGCTTTCCCCGACCAACGCCGATTAGTCTAGATGCAAATAACACCCGTTTCATACGCCGTGCCTATGCCATACTCCTTCCTTACTGAATCTGCGAACTGCAGACAGGCAGATTGTGATCCTCCGTAACTCCTATGTACCACCGTTCCAGGGCAATGATTCCGCTGGAGACACCAATGACCCCTGTTCGTACTTGAAACGAGACAGATCATTGCTTCGTGGGTATCGTCTTGATCTGGAAGACGGCGCCCGGCAGCTCGCTCGACTCGGCCTGCACCGTGGCGTTGATGCCCATGGCCGACAGGGCGCCCTTGAGTATGCCGCAGGGGAACCACAGGAACTATGCCAACACACACGGCGGTCAGCGTCGGGTTTCTCTCTCTTCTTGGTACTTATTGACACAGCCAGTGTGTGTGGATAGAGAGAAAAGGGAAGAGTAGAACGTACAGGTTGCGCCCGCGCGACGGCCTGCCCGCCCGCGTCGGTGCTCATGCGCGACAGCGGCCGGAACGAGTTGTCGGTCAGCACATAGACGCCGCGGTGGTTGGTCTTGAGGTTGTCGACCTGCTTCTTGAACACCAGCATCCACAGGTCCTTGCACACGAACTTGATGGCGTCGAGCGTGTCGTTGAAGCGCGGGCGGTCGCGGGAGAATCTGTGTTTTAGTAACGGGGTTCTTGTTAGCTTGGTGGTCTCTGTGTCTGTGTCTTTCTCTTTTTACTTTTTCTTTCCCTGTGAAGGCGAAGAGAGGTGTTTGGGTGTTGGGTTGGTCGGCTGATTGATGGTTGATGTAGTTGAGGTAGGAATATGGGAAAAACAGGGACATACCGCTCAACAAGCCCCAGCCCGACCCGATACCCCAGCGTCTCAAGCCGGAAAAACACAGCATCGCGCTCCTCATCCTCATCCAGCCTGCTGCGCGAGCTCGTCGCCGGCCCCGTTCCCATTCCCGTTCCTGTGCCCGTCCCGGCCGTCGAGCTCGTATCTCCTCCTCCCGCAACACTACTACTCCCACCACCAGCCGCATCCACACTACTCCCAGTCCTACTCGCCGCTTCGGAAGAAACATCGGGGTGTGGCGCGCTGTCGGCCGCGGCGGCGTCCAGCTCGTTCGCGATCCGGTACGCCATGGGCACGAGCTCGATCAGCAGCAGGTCGAGGCACGAGGTGCCGACGAAGGTCGCGCTCGGGTCGCCCGCGTTGAAGGGCGGCATGGGCTGGTCGAAGGACATGGCGTCGTCGTCGTCGTCGTCGTCTGCTGTGCCAGTAAATCGGTGGTGGTCTGTGTTTTCGGCTCAGAGGATGGCGTCTCGGGGGGAGGAATAGGACGGGTGCCGTCTCGGCGCATTGGGGGTTGCGCGTCGCGGCGGATCTTTGGGGGAGGCAGACTTGATATCTTGTCGGTTCCCCGTGCTCCGTTAGACCGTTAGACCGTTAGATGCTGAGATCACAATTCGCTACTGGATTCGTCTGGAAGTTGTCGTCGGGTCTGGCAGTACTTGGACGACTTGAAGACAGACTGATTAATAGGTGGGTTGGTCGACAGGGGTGAAGCTCTGGAGAATGGAGCTCTACTTTAGCGCTTGCTGGAATGACACTGGTTTACATGCATAACCTCGCCCGAAACTTGGGTCTGGCTCTACAGCATACTGTCAAAGGCTTCATGCAGTTAATTCACCGAGTCAAAAAAGTCAATCTCGCATCAAAAACCGTCTTTTTATTCGGGAATGCTTCGCAGCTCATCATTCAGCGCTCGTATCGTGATGACCAGACGTATACCAGTGTCTGAAGAACGCCATATCTCTGATCCAGCCAATTCCAGCCAAATTTCCCCTACGAAATGCAATAGGTATTTGCCATCAACGCCGAGTCGCCTTGCCACCCCCCTATCCCTATCGATGTGAGAGCGCCTGAAACGGAGGCTTGAAATCGCCGTTTATGTACACAGAGTATTGGTCGAGAAAGAGAACGCAAGAAGCAGGCGATAATCCGTTTTCGGGCGCTCGCGTATTGACAACCTTGCTAAAGGAATGACACGAGCTCCAAAGCTCTATGATTCATAGCCTCGCTCCCCTCCGGTAGTATCCTTCGAGTGAGTGGTTAATCCAGTGAGGGCTCCGAGCGAAGCTCCAGGCACTGAATCAATTGTCACACGCGCATGCGGACCACATCATCCTAGTAACTAGCAGCGGGAGGATAACCAACAGTTGCAAGGGTACTGCTGCCGTCGAATGATGTTCCCTGGTTCTGCCTCTTGGGGGGTCGAACGAGAGGCGCGTCATCCTCGTCGCTACTGAGGGTGAGGTCGATAACCTCCGGTGCCGGTCTCTTGTGGCTTCCGGATCGTGGTGCACTCGACGGCTCTCGGGAGGCACTGCTGGGTGTCCCATTGGCCATCGAGGCATTGGTCGGTGTGTTGTAGGCGCTCAGTCCTCCACTCGGACCGCCAAATGCTCCGTTGCCGTAACCACGAGAGTTAGTGACGACGGGAACGTCGTCATCGTCATCGATACTGGTGCTAACGCCAGAATACCGCGACTGCTTCCGTTCGGGTTGCGATGATTGCGTCTTCCACTGACCGTCAGGCTCGATGGTGACCTGCTCCAAGGACTGTGAGGTATTCTCCAGGATGTCTCGAACGTATTCGTCGACAGCGAGATTATCGAAGGGTGCCGAATTGTTGCAGATCGGACAAATCCACTGAGGGCCTTGCTCCTGCAACTGCAGGTACGAGTTTGCATCGAAGCATTGGACATGGTTGCAAAGGACAGATCGACACGGTACACGCAATCTGGTGTAGCTCAACGGACACTTCAGGGATAGAACTGTCGATGTCGCAACTACATCAGGGTCATTGGCCTTCTTGGTCACTGCGGAATCTTTTAGTATACTGACATATCCGGAGAAGGGGTCTGGACATACTCTCGGTGATTACTGAGGCCTTTGCAATCTTCTTGCCCCTGATCTTAGTAACAAGCTCGTCGACAGCGACCATTTTGCAGAGGAAAAGCGCCAAGTAGTACTTCTATCACAGCATTGTTAGCAAGCCATGCGACGAATTGGAGTCACCACTTGGATCCGATGATAATTCTGCTCACTTGGGCCGGACGCGGGTTGTGCTTCTTCACCTTATTCGTCAGGGCATAGGTAAACTCGACAGTGTTCGCGTACTGCGTCTGCTTGAAACGTAGAGAACCTGTAATGTCCACTGGGCGGGTGGTTCCTGGTTTACCCTTGAGACCACGCAGGTTTGCCTTGATCTCACCCCCGTTTACCTTCAACTCGGACTGGTGGGGGAAGGCGACATCCTGCATACCATGGTTGTCGCCGGCGCAGAAGACCATGACTCTGTATGACTTGTCGACAGGGCAACGAGAGAGGGCTGGGTAATCTCCGACTCTGATGTTCATAGTGATCGAGTTCCTATGCTGACTCATTACTGTAAGAGACCTGTTAATTCGGCTCGTGCTACGATGATGGGGTGCGCGCCAAAGAGCGCCTTACCGTCGCAGTTGCGGGTTTCGCCTATTCTCGACTCGATGGTGTAGAAGGGGCTGGACTTGAACTGAAGACCGAAGGGATCGTGAGTGGCTGCCCTGTACCCACTGGCGCTGCTGGCGGTCCCATCGCCATATCCATGAGCCGGCGTCGGCACAGCAGGGGTTGCTGCGCCGTAGGGTGCCTGCGAGTAGGGATAGCCACCTGCGGATGAAGAGCCGCCGGCCATATTTTCCGTGGTTGAGGGGCTTGAACGAGCTTTGTCCAGTTTTGTGATGGTGTCCTTGATCCGCTTGAAGTTTGCGAGATCCGTAGCGTGATTCTCGAGGAGGGCTGCAGCGCGGAAAATCGAAGTCAGTCAAGATGAGGTACCTACAGGTAGTAGAAGTAGTCACAAGGGTTGGGGTGAACAATGAGAATTGGACAGGGGAGCAGGAATTATACCACCACTGGCAGTGGTGGTTGATAATGGTGGGAGATTTGGTCGTGGTGCGCGCGCAGCGTGTGTTTGCCTGTGTGGGTGTGATTTGGTGTGGTTTAAAGGTGCTCTCGGCCCTCTTTGCGCCTCGTGAAAGTCCTCTGGCAGCAGCAACACCAGGTTTCAATTCCAGAGGCCTCAGGCAGCCAATTCAAAGATACCCGCATCCATAGGTACCGAGGTACCCACACACCCACACCCACGAGCATGCGCGCGCACCTCAAATAGAGTCTTGGGACGTACCGTTCTTGATGCGGGTCTGTAATTCGGCCTTGACACCACTCGTCCGCAGTCCGTGGGTGCTGCAGATGTTTTGCAGTTGTCTGTTGAGGAGGCCGTTCACAATGCCTACGAGCGGTCGGATCTCGTTGTTGGAGGAAGCCATTGTTGCTTGCTACCGACGAAGGCAGGCGCGGGCTCTCGAGCTGTTCCGCCTCATGGGGAAGGTTCCGCCCTCCCCTCGTTCGCTCTTTCCGCCCTCTCGCGCTCTCTCCTTCTTGCCCTTCTTGCGGCTGCTCCTTCTAAGGTACAGCGCTTGTTGGCAGCCTCGTCTCAGGATATAGGTATCGATGCGCTGAGCGAATCAGAACAGCCCGTGATTGTCGGTTGCCCGTTGCCCGTAGGAAGTCTAGTAGAGCCGCTCTGCCAATGCTGTCCCGATCGGGTGTTTGAAGTTGCCGGGGAATTCGGAGTACTCGAGGATCGCTTACTCGACTGTGCGAATCTATACTGCGAGGTAGGTAGCGTTTCGTGTTTCTCGAAGCTAGACTGTGAAGAAGATCATGAGCCCATCGCAGTGGCAAATGTGCAACAAACAAAAGCAAGTTTAAAGCATGAGACGAGGGGCGGGACGTCGTTGTTGAATGCTTTCCGCACAAGGCAAGGCTGTCATCACTAACAAAGGTCCAAGCACATGTGCAGCCGCGGACCTGCGTTGTCAGTCCAGTATTAATCACGAAAACTCACCGCCTGCTGCATGGAGAACCGTTTGCCGCCAATTCATTTTGCCAAGAGTTCTTAGCGTATCATTATGCCTATCGACCTTATCTCCCCGCCAAAACTTTCTCGATACCTTCGATCAGTGCTGTAGCCCACCCACCACCAAGAAGACTGGCTGTCAAACACCATCACCTTTCGAGACCATTCGTTCAATTTGTGCTTGTGAATTCTATTGCGGTACGTCCAATTTGAAAGTGTACTCGACATCCCACGAACAATTGACTGACCCTACGAACCAGACTCGCCATACCACCCCTGATCCCAGGTTACTCCAGCCTCGAAATCCACAATGGCCAAGAGCTCGCGCGCCAGCACGCGCAAGGCGAACAACCGAAACCTGAAGTCCAAAGTCTTCGGACCCATCGAGGCAGCGCGCAACGAGCGTCTGTCCGCCAAGCTGATCGAACTGGCGGCGCAGCCCAAGCCCGAGCACGAGGAGGAGATGAAGATTGTGGAGGAGGACGACACCAAGGCGGACGAGGAAGCTGCAGCGGCGAATGACGACAGTAAGTAACTATTGGTCGAACCTGTTTGGGGAACAGGACAGGCATATAAGTGTAGTTCTAACTACTTGTGGCAGCAGCAATGGACCTTGATAACGCCAAGTCTGCTGCAGCGTCGAGCAAGCGGACCGACAAGAAGCGCATCGAGAAGCGGAGAAAGAACAGCAAGATCGTCTTCCCCAAATACGGGGACAAGAAGACGAAGAAGAGAAGATGAAGCAGCAGCATTGCATTGCAGATGCAATAAGAGGGGAAATAGTCATCTTGAGGTGGGGGTGAACATCGCTTGGGCGTTTGGTTGCTTTTTCTCGTGGTACACCTAAATCTACATGAAGCTGTACAATGATACCCTTTAATGAGCTTGTTGGTCCTCTACTGCTACTGCGCCGTCATCTCTACTCCATCCATAGCTGTCGAAGAAGCCGACGGGACAGGCTCAGCAGCCGAAGGAGTTGCGGTCGAGGGCGCAGGCGACGTGACAGTCGGCACGGGATCTGCGACCGATGTAGAAGCTGCAGCACTATTCGTAGTGCTCACATCCTGCACCTCGGACGCAGCTGGAATTGCATTTGGAACAGGATCAACACTCGGGGCAAAGGAGGCCTTGGTAGTATTCGCTGTCTCTGTACTCGGTGCACTCGGCGCACTCGGCGCACTCGGTGCACTTGGTGCGGTTGGTGCTGAGACTTTGCTTGACTCGGAAGCATCTTGTTTTGCCGTCTCTACGGCCTTGGTTGAACCGGCTTCGGGGGCGTCTGGCTTTGAACTTTCAAGTGTCCTTTCCTCCTTGTCCTTCTTCGGCGGTCCAGGTGCATCAGGATTCAGGAATCTCTCCGGTACTCCTATTGCCGCAGAAGAATTGCTGCCCGCCCAGGCGCCCAGCAGACGACTCCATTTGTACTCTCCGCGCCGCAGCTTCTGTATTTCCCGATATGCGTAGGCATTGGAATACGGAAGCCCCGTCTTCGAGTCTCTGTACCGTGCTGGGTGATTCGTGATGGCGCATCGTGGTGCCGGTCCTTGTTCTATTCCGTAGTCAGCATGCACGTTCCAGATTCATCATAAGCAAGGAAGGAAGCTTACTTGGAAGCTTGCTCATTTCGTTGCCAAACAGAATACGGTTCTGTACGGCCTTCTCTTTAACGGCATCCTCATTGAAATTCTGGAGAATGATGCAATTCCGGGTTGCTTTGCCATTGGCCGGCGGGGGTGGCGGAGGGGGTGGTGCAGTCTCCTTGGGCTGTTTATGAGCATGTGCCTTGGTAGCTTTGAGAGTACTCAGAGGTGTCTTAGGTTGAGGGTGGGGAGTCGAAGTTGGCTTAGGAGTTTGGATGGATGATGGCTTAGGGGTATGGATGGATGATGGCTTGGGGGTTTGAATAGATGATGTCTGAGAAGTTTGGTTTGTTGGTGGTTTGGGTGTGGGCGTCGATGTCGATGTTGATGTCGGCGTTGTGTGAGAAGGCCGGGGTGGCGTCGGCACAGGAGGAGGAAGAGATTGGGGCTGCGGCATGGAGAGCGGTGACTGCCTTTGCGCGGTATTTGGGTGCGCAAGGACATTAGAGGTCTTGATATGGTTAGGACTAGAGTGATATCCGATCATGGGCATAGACAAGCCGTGTTGAGTGACTCCGGCTGGCGGTGCCAAGAAGCTGTTCGAAGGTGGTTTCATATCCGGCGGCTTCATCAATGGCAATTGCTGTGGTGGAGCAAACATGCTGGTGGTATACGGACTTGAGCTCGGTGGTTTCATGTCAGGTGGCTTAAGGTCTGGAAGCTTCATCGCGGACGAGTGAGGGTCTTGTGTTGGAGGCTCACTTCCTAATGGTTTGGGCGCTGGTACTTGGGACCTTGCTGAACTTGAAGTCTGCGTAGGAGTCAAAGTGTGCGAATCCGCTGCTGGGGCAGGCTGGTTTGGAGCAACCTCTGCAACTGCTGGTTGCGTTGGTAACTGCGGCGCTTTGGGAGTTTCTGTCGAAGGCGTCGGCTGCTCAATTTCTGGCTCCTTATGAGCGACATCGTCCTCGACCCCTTTTGCCCCTTCAGATTTCTGATCTGCCTCCTTTACCAGCTTTGGCGCTGAATCTCCGCTGCCAGCATTCACCGTTGGTGAGGTCTGCGTTGGCTCCACCTGGGCAGCTTTCTCCTTGGTTGTTGAGTCTACTGGTCCCTCGTGACCAGCAGTAGAGGCTCGCTTCTTCTTGATTGGCTTCTCCTCGATCGTGACAATCTTGCCAACATGCTTCAGCTTGCCGTCGATCCACTCTCCAACACCGCTCCAGAAGGTGACGACAGGTCCCTCCAATGTCCGGTTGTTCAGAGCGGCCAGCTTTGCCTTTCTCTCCTCTTCCCGTTGCTTCTCTGCCTCTTCCCAGCGATTCAAACTCTTAGCATTCTTCTTTTCCACCAGGGCGGCCTCCGCGAGTCGTTGGGCCTGTGTCATGGGTGGTTTCTTGAGAGCCTCCATCTTCTTGGCCTTCCGCTCCATGGCTTCCACCTGCTTAAGACGCTTGACTTCCCGCTCGATCATCTGCTTGTGAAGCTGCTCTTTGCCCAACATCGTCGTCTCTCGTCTTGAGGCTCGCGTGGGCATATCGGTCTGTGAAGGCAGCCAGCTCGTCCTTTCCGACTTTTTCTTGGGTTTCGGCTGCGGTGCTGAAGGTGTTGAGCTCCCCATTCGTGATGTGTCGATCTTGACCTTCTTCCGGAACTTCACCGGGATGGCCTCTTGCGCCTTTCGCTTCCGCGCAGCTTGTCTACTCTCGCGGGCTTGTTTCTCCAACTCTTTCTCTCCCTCCATTTCATCGGCGTTTTCTTGTGCGTCCTCGTCGTCAGACGACGAGTCCATATGTACGTCCGATCCATCATCTTCGACGTCCGTGAAACCTGCGTCGTCGCCATCCTCGGCGAAGAGGAGTTCAAGCTCGTCATCTGGTTCCTCCGCAGCAAGCATCGACTTCATGCGATTGCCAGCCGTGGATCTTCTCTCTCGGCCCGTCGCAAGCCATTCCACGGGTGTGGAAACGGGTGTGGAAGCATCATCATCGCCGGAGTCGCCATCATCGCTGCTCGAATCGGTGTCGTTGATATCGACCTCGTTTTCGTCTAGCTGCATCCGCTGCTCGTCCTCCGCAGTCGCCATGTCGGGTAGTCTGGCGCGTGTGAAATTTGAGGAGCGTCGCTAATGATCTTGAGTCGTGGTATCAACACATCGCAATGCACTGTTAGTCATTGCAGCATATAGCGAATGATGCGTGAGGCTCGATTTATCCTCGTAGATTATGAATCTTGCTATTTGGTGTTGCGCGCGCGGTCGCCTTTTGCGAGGGTCCAACGCCCGTCGAAGATGCACGAGCCAGGGACGTCACTGCTGGATCCATCCACTCGTCTTACTTGAATATGTGGCTAACCGATACATGCATTTTACAGCTTAGTTGAATTGATGCTATCATCACCTGCAAGACTGGATCGATCATCTTCTTTTGACAACCTGGAACTTTTTCAGCTAACTGCAAGCCTATGACAGCGACCTAGCTATAGGTTTTCTCTTGCGCACACAGCATGGCGATCGGAACAACTCCTCCAAGGCGTTTACCAATTTCCAGGATTTGTCTCAAGTCCTCTAAACGTGACATCGGCAACGAAGACCATCGAGACAACTTGATCCTTGGTAGTGTCAGAGCTACCGGTTTGGATCCAGCGGATGTCTTGATCTCCCATTCGGCGTCATTCCTATATTGGTTGCTCCTAGGTAGTCGGCAAATGTGGGATCAATCGTTCTCTTAACGGCCACGTCTCCGTTTTACCATTCGGTCCAACGTCTCCAGCTCGGGTAGAGGACGCTTGGCCGGCGTCTCGTTGTCCTTGGTCACAGCAACCGCCTCGCTCTCGCTCTTCTCGATACCAATGACTGCCTTGGTACCCTTTGGGTTCGAGCCATGGTACCAGTCTCTTGGTGTCACGATATCCAAAGATTGCATTTGGTCTCCAAGTGCTACAACAACGTCAACAAGGTGATACGCCAATGTACAGGTTCACAAAACTCACTGTAGGTCTTCTGCTCATCAGGCTTCGGGCTCTCTCTTACCCTAAATCCGTGAACAAGAATATTAGATGGAAACAACGGAAGCGGGTTGAAGGCAAAAGGTAATTGACTGACCTTGACGGCGTTGCAGGCGTTGCAACTGGCGTCGGCATCTCGATGATGCGAGGTTCCTCGGAGAGCACGACAAATGAGTAAGGATCCGAGAGGTTAGAGAGCAGCACGAAAATCTTCTGCGGCTTTGGTATCATCGGAAACTCGCAGGAATATTGACTTGAAAGGAAGCCTCCTCGCGCGACACACTTTGTCGGCGGCGGGTACGGAGGGTACTGCGAAGCGTGACCTGTTTACTACCTTAAGGCACTGTAAATGTGCCTTGGTGACTGCAACATTCGTCAGTATTGTGCTCAAAGCACCGGTCATCTAGTTCGACTTACTCTCTTCTCTGATCAAATGCTGCTTGTGGTGTAAGCACGTCACCTCGTTATGGAGATGAATGGTAATATCGGTATCCGGTGTCCAGCCCGATCCTGCATTCCATGTAGTGATCACTGAGTCCGTCTTCTCAAAGCGGTTGATCTTGAATTCCAAATCCTGCTTGATTTGGATGTGCTCCTGGACGTGCTGGTCACTTTCACTTAGTGCTCGCTTCAGATACCAGCTTGGCTGTTTGGAACCGTCCTGGAACCGATAGCGCGGGATTTGGTTGAGTGCATCACAAGTAGTCGCTTAACGGCGTTCGACAAAAGGGAAGGCATGGGTATCTTGCGGACCAAGCCCAATTCTTCCTGCGCCCCTTTGGCTGTCAACCATTTCTCGTGGATCTTGAATGCTTTCTGTGGCTCGGCGTAGAACGAATCAAGCCCTAACCATCCTGCTTTCACAAATAGCACAGAGAGGCCGGACGTCTGGGGACAAGCGGCTAATCCGGCACGGACAAGTCGATGCACGGCTTTGGAAAAGACATCGTCTGGAACAGGGGCGTCGGCAGCTGCGAGAAAGCGTTTCCGTTCTTCATCTGCCGTTCGGAGCCCCGCTGCCTTCATGATCAACCAGTATGAGTCCTTGAGCATGAGGGGCTCACGACCAAGGCCTTGCACGACTTGTTCCACACGGCGGTTCTTCTTTCGATAAGTATATATCTCCTTGAACTTGATATATGAGAGTCTTACCTGGTTTTTCTCCTTCGCCGTATAAAACCACTTGCCCTCAAACTTCTCGGAGAGGAGGTACTTTTTGATGTGTTCGCGAGTGCCGGAGTGAATGAACGTTTCTGCTCGTGCAACATCGGCATACTCTGGGTTATCCGAGTCCAGCATCTCGTGTAGTTTGTTGACGAGGTCGGGCGGTTTCGAAGGGTCGGTGAGTGCTAAATTCCAGATATTAAGAATCGCTCGCGACTCGTCGTCCGCTCCTGCCATGGACTCTATCTCGCGATTGGTGACTCCTGAGGCAAAACTGTACCCATACATAATTTTCTTGCCGGCGATGCTGGCCGATTTGCTGCCTTTGCATTCCTTGAGAAGGAGACCCTTGAGGTAGATGTTCCCGCTAAATCGAGCATCAATAATCAGGTCGCCCAACTTTGTTCTCACAATCTCTTCGTCGGGAATTGTCTGGAGGAACAGGGCAGCTTTGGTCCACTCTCTGAACTTGTCCTTCGTAACCTCGATCCGCTGTGTTGGGTAACCGTTCTCGTCCCGACCTGGTGTATTGCCCCCGACGAAGAATTGCACGTCCTCGTTTGGCGCCGGTGCAATAGGTAGGAGACTCTTCTCCACATCAACTTTGCCTGATCGCAAGCTTTCTTGATAGCTGCTGGTTCCATACGAGTGAGGCTTGCAACAAGTCGTCGTTGGTTCGTGAAATTGAATGTCCATGAGGAGCCGCCTGAACGACAGAGCACCGCGTGGTTCTGCGGTCCACGCACTAGGATGAGTAAGGCAACTTTCAAGCCTTCACCGTGAGATCCGGCTTGGTGGGAGTCATTCTGTTTGCTCGAGCCTCCCATGTCGAGGTGCCAGGATTGGAGGGTGGCTTGTCTGTTGGTGATTTCTACGATACCCGCTCCCTCATTGCGGTGCCATCGGATGTATCCCAGACACTCCTGCGTTCCTTGAGATTTCCGACGCTGGGACTTCGGACCTACGGCCTTGTAGACGATTTCGTCATCGTTTTCCTCGAGGGTGACATGGAAGTCGCACTCGTATATCTTGAATGACTTGATGATACCGTCTCTCCTAATCGCAATCGCGGTCAGTCAACAATAAAGGAAATCAGAGTGAGTGTCTGGCGGGCTAACATGGCCAAATGAACATGGATTTGGTGGTAATTCAGCCAATCTCCCATGGAAGAATTGCTGAAGCTAGGTGATTATGCAGCTTGTCTTGACGATCGCTTGCTGTCCTGGCGACGGCGTTGGGAGGTGGGATTTACCAGTTCTGCACGAGCTCACGGAAGGCTTCTACGGCGCCCCATTGAGTGGCATAGTTGGAGGTGATCGCAGATCTGATCGTCATTCTTTGATTGATCGACTCCAAGGTGACTTTGTTCTCGAGGTCGGAGGCATCGTCGTCACTCGAGATGCCGAGTTCATCAGCATCCGCTGGATGAGATGGCGCCATGCTCAGGTAAGACTGCCGCGATGGCAATATGGCGTCCTACTCAGCGTATGGATCTGGGAGTGGTGGCTCAACGACCTAACAAGAGTTTGATGTGAGGGAAATCGGGTAGGGTGGAGGAAGCTCGGAAAAGAAAGTACGCTTACCTTGTAAGGATTTACAAGCGCCGGTTGGAAATCACCTGCGGATAGGTGACACAACAACGCTATTGAATTTGACCCCGACAAAACCGAGATCATGCACTTCTCGCGGAAAAAGAACTCAAACAATCCTCTGGTCCGCCACGGGACAATGAACAAAACAGCAAAGGACTCCATGCGATGGCTAGGTACCCTCCTGGATAGAAAACTAAACTTCAAAGATCACATTTCTTACTGGGCCAAGAAAACTAGTAAGGTAGCAAATTACCTTCAAGGATTATGCAACACAGTCAAAGGACTTCCAGTAAAGTCAACCAGGAGGGCTGTGAAAGCTTGCGTCATCCCTATTCTTATACATGGCCTGGAGGCCTGGTACCCAGGAATCAAAAAAGTTAGGAGCTTAGGTAGGACATCAGCATGTCGCATTAAGGGGCTTCTTGGAACAATAGATGCTGTATTACGAACGGCAATCAGGGCTATCTTGCCGGTCTGGAAAACACACCCTGGACATATCCTACACTTTGAACCACAGATTCCCCCAGCAGGAGTTCTCACTGAGTCAATAAGACGACGTCATGGCCTCCGACTAGGACAAATAGACCAGAGACACCCTCTTGTTGGCAGGCTCTAAATATAAGCTTGCAAGGAATCAACAAGGCTATAAAGGAGCTTACAATTAGTCCCTGACTTCCAGAGACCAATACTCACCAAGTTATTATAGAAAAAGCCCCCAATCTGTAAGGACAAAAACAAAGAAATAGAACTCTTTAAACAATGATCACAGAAAAGAAACATGAACATTGACCTTGTCATCTACTCGGATGGATCACAATTGGACGATCAAGGCACAACCCGCACTGGATGGGATTACACCATCAGGAAAGGCGGCACTACACAAGAAGTATATCGGGGAAAGGGCAGACTTTTATAAGCAGAAGTAATAGATACTAAAGTCCATTGCGCTCTCCAAGGTCTTGCAGCAGTCAGGACAATTGGACACAGAAAACAGTTATATGTCTGCCTAAACAACACGTCAATGGTAGATGGGCTCAATGGGACTCCACCCGAGACATCACAGATCATTTTTTCACGATTCCAAGAACTCGCCACAGCAAACACTCCTGGAGTAACCATCAAGTGGATTCCTGGACACAGAGATATTAATAGCAACAAAGCTGCTAACACACTAACAAAAGAGGGTGCCATGCTAGAAACGGACACAACACACCTTCCCACAATCTCTTGGGTAAAGAGAGATTTCAAAAGAAAGGGCAAGAAAGAATTCAATCAATGGTAGAAAGACCAATCAGAATCTAGGTATCAAGAAGTATACTCACATGTAATAACTAAAAGGGACCTTATATCTTTTGAAAGGAGCACTCTACACAGAATTCTAGCGGCCAGATCTGGACATGGCGACTTTGCTAGATATCACAAACGTTTTGGGCATACAGACTCGAATGACCACTGCAGCTGCGGTAAGAAGAAAACACTACAACACATTTTCTTTTGTAAGAGGCTTGGGAAAAACTGACTACTGCCCAGGTACTCTCCTAGGGCAGCCTGTTTACAATACTTAAGAGCAAGTTCTTTTCATCAATCTACTGATAGATAGCTGTTCTTGAAGGACCAGATGGATGACCCCAAAGTCATACAGCCGCAACAACAGGGATGGGCTCGTGAGCGGGACTGACTGTACTTATTATCTTGATACCTCTACAACCCTGCGATGCAGAGGCTTTGAGAGGCGTGGTTTGCACTACTGAGGAGCGATCCCCTACGTTAAATACAATCAGGCAATCAAAACCTGCGGATAGGTAGTTGGAGTTGACGGTGAGGCGCGAGACTGCGATATCTCCGCCAAGGATCTTGACAGAGGAGAAGAATGATGAGGGGAGGTAATGTGCGTTGAGCTCAGACAGGGCATGGGACGTGGGAGAAGCTGAAGACAGCGGGGTTTAAGGGGGGGAGGAGGATGAAAAGAAAGGTACGAGTTTGGCCAATGTTGGAAACCTGGATGCCTCAGGTACAAATGCTCTAATGTGTCGGTGATTACTAGTAGTGCTTTTGAAGTACCCGTAGCATTGGAGATCATGATTCCAATTTCCTACGATGTGATGCCTCAGGGGATGCTGCGGAAGTCACGTTACCCTCTGGTCGAATCGATGCATGGAACCGCGCACACGTTGGTACATAAATCTACCTAACTGCCGGTACCTTGTGTTCATCCCAATGTTTTGTCAGGGTCGAGTACCATCATACGCAGCAGCTGGCTATTTATGACCCTGTCTGGTGCGTATTTTCGGCGTGAGTACCATCCCCCCATAGAAGTCGGACACCCCCACTAGTCGGACAGCCAAACCCTACCATTACCACTAAAACACCCCTTTATTCACCCACATGTAAAAGAAGTTATTCAGATTAAAGAAATATAGCAAAATTATCATTCAAAAGCGTTAAAGCTGCTTATTCGTATAGTTTAGCTAGCAGGCGCTCGTATCGCGTGTGACGGTTCTACAATCCATCAGGTCTAGCAATGGTTCTCATAGTCCCCGGGTCACGTGACTGAGCACGTGACTGATCGGATGACAGGTTGATCCATGCCCTAGTGGGTCTGGTGGGGGACGACTGCTTACATCTAGCTGCCCACCAATTCGTGTGCATCTCCAGATCTTTTTTTCCTTCAACCATAGTTCGCTATACGTTAATAGTCAATAAGGGTCCTTGTATCCTTTCAATACATTTACAGAATCGTGACATCGCGCGGCTAAAACGTATTAACCTATGCTGTTAAATAGCCTTTAAAGCGTCCTCTTTAAAGGCTTTATCCTTATCTTCTTTTTTATCTTCCGACTTAATAATCATTCCTTTTCTGTGAGAATATTGGTGCCTATCAGGGGTATGTTGCAGCTGGCAGCAGGCTAAAAGGGGTGAAAGGGACCCAAAGAGAGTGAAAGGTCCATTGTGGTGACCACTGGCAGGTCTGTTGTCTGCTGTCAGGCAGCCGGGTATCAAAGGGCTCTCACAGCTGTATTTAGGTGGGAATATCCCCCATGGATTCATAACCAAGACACCGAACCTGATCTATCCTATCTTGACCTTATCTGAACCCCTAGACTTCACATTTTTATATCTCTATAACTGTTTTGAAGCTAATGATACCTCTTTTAAATAAAATCTCCGTTATTGTTTTAAACTTCTTATTAAAATTTAAGATCTTGTACTGCTTTTTAAGCCGTAACCGCTTTAATTTAAAATTTAAAGCTTTAACCATCCAGGTTTACATAACAACTGTCGTTTTTTTGGTTTTAAATACATTAGTTATCTACTTATACTTTAAATATGTGTTAAGAGATTTATTGGTTTCTTTAATTTATAGCTTCTAAGAGATTAAAGCTTGAAGGTTTTTTACTAATCTTTTTAAACTTATTAATATATGAAGCACTTTCTACGGCTAATTAAATGACATTAATAGTTTTAAAAATCAAAAAGATATTTACCTTAATAAAAGTAAAAGTTCTTACTCAATTATAACATTAAATAAAGATAATTTTATTAACAAGCAATGTATTTATTAAAGAAATTAATTATAATATGTTCTTTTAATAATGAGGTTTTAAAGCGCTATAAAGCCCGTTATTTAAAGACTATATACCGTAACTAATATAACAATAATAAATCGTTAGTAAAATAATACGTAGCTATAAATTCGTTTTAGAAACACGCCTTAACTTAAACCAACTTCAAAAAAATTAAGAACTTAAAAAATTTATACGTACAAAAATATAGCTATCATAACTATCTAGTATTAAAAAACAGCCTTAAACTAATGTTATCTTCATACTTTATTTACTTATTGTCAGATATTAGATCCCAGATATGGTGCCCTTAGGTGCAGTACCCACTATGGGGCTATCAAGGAAACAGTAGATACACTCTTGCATGGTGCAGTATGGTATTTAGCTGTAGATTAGCCCTGCCGAGTATACTTGAGAATGACAACAACATTTGCAGCGACCACTCACACCCCCAAGGCTTGTGACCCTTCTAGAATCTCACACTTATAAAATAAATACGTCTTTTCATTATTAGCAAGTAATATTATTAAAGGTGTCATGGTCTGGTATAGGTAGCCCATGTGGTGAGTCCTGGAGCCCGGACATGAGTAAATGTACCACTATTGAATGTCAAGCTGCCACGCTTGATATTCGACATTCTTTTGGGAGGAACAGGCGTGACATGGTGGTTATGGTGAGCGTTCCGTCACACGAACCTTTAAATAAAAATAAAAATTAGTAAAAAGATGAAATTAACGCGCTTTAAAGGATTTATACTTAAAGTAGTTAACTAGTTTGAAAAAAGGATTACGGTTAAATAAAGTTAAAAAAATACGTATAATGTTAATAAAAGCGATATTATAACAGGCTATAATAGCTTTATTTATTTTTAAATTCCGTAAATTTTGAATCGGATTTATAAGTAAAAAAAATAAAATTATGTATTTTTTTTATTAAAAAATGCTTTTCAAAGAGGTTTTAAAGCCGTGTATAAACCTTTTTTTTCAAGGCTATTTTGATTACCAAAAAAATCTTTAAACCGGGTATTATTTTAAAGGTAAGGACTTTTAAGTTTAATAGTTTATTAAAAAGATTTTAAAAACTGCTAATCAGCATTTTATATGCTTAAAAAACGGCTAGACCTTTTGTGATGGATTTGGCATCCATCATGGTGTGTGCGCTCCCACCACGTGACTTGGTGGTGTGGACGCGTTGCCCCGCTGCACAACTAGATAGATTATAGTGGGGCGGGATTGATGATCTATCTCCCCACAGATTTTGGTGGGATGTCAGATCCTTCTTTCCTTCCCCAGCAAAGTATTTTCGTACAATACAAGTCATTGATGGGCATCTTCGTCCTGTGCTTGTATCTGCCCCATGACAGTTCGGGCGCTTCAAGCCTGTTATAAAAGTATTTTTAAAAGGCTTTCTTTTTTCTTTTTTATATAATTATATAACGATGTTGTTGGATCCATGTGATTTCACAGTCAAACCATCCATACAGAACCCACATGTATGATTAGATAAGAGATTAGATACCAGATTGTGAGGTCACTTAGCCAGACCTTCAGGTCCAGCTAGACTTCCCAATCTAACCATCAGCAACATCATAACCTTGACCCAATTCTCAAGTATTGTGATTGATCGTTCAAGCCTGTTCCAACAGATCTTATAATTAAAAATATAAAAAGGCTAGTTTTAACTTTTTTAAACGTAAAATCCATTCGATTATAATAGTTTTTTTTTATTTAAAAAAAGTTCTTATTATTATATATAAGCTTTAGCCTTTATAAGCTTGCTACTAAGTCGATTAAACAGTGTTTAAAGCGGGATGCCGTATTTTGAAGCGATTTTTATAAAGACAAGCCCTTATTTGTAAAATAGCATTCGTTATTCAATTCTTTATATATAAATAAAAGGGCATTTTAAGCGGCTATATAATGCTGCGTTATATATAAAATAAGGCTTTAAAAGAACCTTATAAGGCCGTAAATTTACTATTTAAAATAAAAACGCAAGGTAATGAGTTGGGGACAGCAACAACGCCCACAATAGGGCTGCTTGTATAATGGATATAAGAAGGAGGAGGGAGAGCCATTGGCAAAGCCACGCATTGAATTTGAAGGGTGTGTCACATAGAGATAATACAATGTGTGTCTGAACTGATCGCGCAATTATATGTGTTATGAGAGAGGAGTGTCTGTGTAAGAAGACGAAAGAAAGTAACGAAAAATGAACGGTGGCCTTTATATGCTACAGACCTGGCTGTCAATGACATCAACCCTGCCCCAAAACAGCAATAAATAACTAATTATGTAAGCTAACCGGGGAAAATTTTATATTAAAATAAACCCTAAGATTCAGGCTATTTAAAGCCGTAATTACATTCTAAGTAACTTTAATGTCGGGCTGAAAGCGTGTAAGTAAATAAAGGGGTGTTTTGGTAGTGATGGTGGGGTTTGGCTGTCCGACTAGTGGGGGTGTCCGACTTCTATGGGGGAATGGTATTCATCCCCGGCATCGCTACAACCTAACCTAAAACTACAATATTCATATGACATCCCATGGCTAGCGCTTCACCTAATCCAGTATCGTAAAAGGTAATGATGGGAGGCGGATGCGAGGACGTTGGTGCGAGGGACCGGCTTACATTCGGCACGAGATTCTTCGATACGGGAAGCGGTGAAACAACGATTGCGACGTGTCGAGTACCAGTACTTGTGAGTTGAAAACCAAAGTTTTATCGCGTCCAAAATCGAGCTTTTGGAATTCCTTATCCCTCGTATCTAGTTCCCAACGTAGGGCTATTACGTTGACATGATAACAGCGAAAAGGGGGGTTCTCTTGATGAGACACATCTATATCCGGGAACAATCCAATGCCTCCAAAACATAGCGCAAGACAGCAGTCCGTGGGTGACTTAAATGAGGAAACTCAAACGATAAACCCAACGAGAAGAAGACCATATACCACGACCAGAGTCCACCATGAGCCAGACCCAATCATACCACTCATAGCCTCGGAGGCCCCTGGGCGGACTGGAGGGTCGAAGAATTCTCCCATGCAGCCTGCCTCGAAATGGCGAAAGCCGTTTCCAAAGCAGGTGCCTGGAGACCACCATAACCATCTGCATAGATGATGTCTTCTTCGCCTGATATACAGTGTCAGTCGCGTGGTGATCAGGCGCTGTGGCTGTGTGGAGTCTGGATATACCAAGATTGATGGTAGCATGGGTGGTCTGGTTCGCAGCCGTCTTGCATTCGCAGGTCAGGTCGTATGTCTTGTTGACCGAACAGTTGTCGCAATCTACACTAGCATAGAAGTTTCCACTGCTCGAGCTGGGGTATTAGCATGCTGCCACATGTCTACCCGACATTTGGTGGGAAAGCGGTGTGGAAAGGGCGGGTGCAGCATACCATCGAGAGCTGACGAGGGAGCCGTTCGTCCAGCCGAGACAATAGTCCAATAAGAGTACCTGTCCTGAACAGTGATAGGAATTCATCTGGTTGTGATTGTAACGAGCGACTGCCATACGCCGCGAGCTGTTGTCCATCAGGCCACACAGCGGCGGATCATCGTTGAACACACCCCACGGGACGACTCCATCGAACTGGTAGTACCATTTGGGTGTCGAGGGGGTCCGCCGAGGGTCAAGCATCGTGTCCGTGAAGTCCGATTTGGGTGTGTATTGTTGGGGTTTCGGTTATCGAGTATCTCTGAAGGCGCTTGGGCGGCGGTGGTAGTGTGCGACAGAAGTAAGTAGGTACCGTGTTGAGATCGGCTTGACAGGTCTAGAGATTCAGAGAGGGCAACTACGGCGCGAAGCAAGGACTATATACCTGCCCACAATCTCCATGGTACCCGAAGTATGTTGGATTCGGTGATTCTTGTTGGTGTCACCAATTTTTCGAACATGTGACTAACATCCTCCATTCCTTTGTTCATCAGCAGGCAGTGACTGACCGATGGTAAGTTGGGAATTCAACAGCAAACATGAAGCGAACAAATCATTGTCCGGTTATGTTCCTCCTTGTGGCGAGCGCCGAGGGAGAGACTTGAGAGACTCGTACGGCAGGACACAATTGAACCGATTGTTGTGCCAGTGACCCCTGACTCAGGGGCTCTGAGCTCCTACCTTCGCGAGCGATGCGGTGGTCAATACAAGCTGAACCGCCTTCGCCGTCACGCGACGTGTTATAAGATGCAGGTGCATCTAATGTTGCCATGGAATAAGTTGAGTCACTTGGGAACCCAGTCCAATTCGATAGATGTCAAGGCACCTGGTAACGTTAGCCCCACAGGACTGACCCCTATATACACCGGACCATATCTTCTAGCTACCTTCATAGTTTCTTTTCTTCTTCACTTACAGCAAGGGAAGTCATTCTGCAGTCACAAGCAGTCAAACTGTGACACAACCTCATCCTGACAAGGTACCTTCTCGCTTGCAACCAGATACCCCCAGTCCGTCTTGCCGTGCCACAACGATCAAATCGTTCCCATCCTCACTCAATTACATAACTCACAGACTCCAGCTCCATACAGATCCGACACAACTGAATGCTCGTCGGAGAACATAGTGCCCATTCCAAGACCACGAGCAGGACACCGCGTCATCAACCCTCTCGGCATGCTGGCTACAACCAACATCCTATTTTCTAGTCCTGTCTCCTGGTGTCCCGCCAACCAATCTCGCGCCACTGAACCCCATCGACAGCGACTTGCGCCTAATCAGCTCGACCGTTTCGGAACGTGCGATGCGGCCGTTGAATCCACTTTGTAAACATTCTTGTCAAGCAGCTGGGTTCGAACTCTCCCGAGCCCATCAACATTCTCCTACGACAAGTTAGCCGCCGAGATACGGTCCGCCTTCAACAGCAGAAGCGAAGTACGAGGTGTCCCAGCACTGTCACAATGCTATTATCCTCATGCCTGCATCAATGAGTCACTTCAGATGTCTCCTGAAATGCCTAGGATACTGTGGTGCCAGCATTCGCGTCTGAACAATATGGAGTGGTGATGATTGATGGCCACCCGATCCCGAAAGGCGTATCTGTCGGAGTCAACGTCTATCCACTGCACCACGAGGAAACATTGCCATGAAAAATAAGTGCAGCTGTCTGTATAGATGAAAAATAAAAATTCTTGATTTATCAGAATTTGTTGGGGGCCGAAACAAGCCGGCCGAAACGATCTCCGATCACTGCTCGAATCGCTGGTCTCACAGTTGCTCGATTCGAACTCGGTACCCTAAGGCCTGGCCATACCGAACGTGAAATTACTCATCCTAACCACGCCACGAGGACGCTGCTTGTTTCCCTAGGGGAAAAGTTTTACATTCAGATATACGTACCCTTCCACCTAACCATCCGCCCATGCCACATTAGATCCATGTAACCTCTTTCCATAGCGTTGGCTAACCTTTAATCGCGATTCTGCGAAGTCCCGCGCTTCTCGTAAACGCATGCGGGATGCATTCTGCCCTTTTTCTGCCGGTATCTGTTTGTGTGCAGGAAAAGTCTATGGCCTACCTCGATACCAGTTTGGCGCTGGCGGAGACCCTTTCGCGTTTTGGCTTCGCACCGGCCTTGAAGAGCAGCACGCCGTGTCTTAAAAAACCCCAGGGGTAATGGACAGTATGACTTTGGTTGCAGTTGGTGCAAAGTCGCATTGACTGCATGCGAAAGACACGGAATGGCCTGATGTGCGTCCGCCCTATTGGGCCTGACCATCGACGTTGAAACTTGTGTCAACCAACATGCAAGGGGCGGCTCAGCCAACAGAACCAGGTACGTATCTTTTAATGTCATAAATCATAATACTCATCTTCATCAAAACTCTCCTCGCCTCGTTATTTACTCATTATGCCCATCCTTTTCATTATTTCTTCTAGAACAATGAAACGGAATTCAAGAACCAGAACATTCTTCCATCAAAGACACTGCTGCCAGGTCCATTTGTTGCCTCCTTATAGAGGCACACACAAATATCCCTTCGCAGCCCTGCCCTCAGGCGGATTGTCTTGTCGCCGCGGGGCTTCGGTCTCGGGTCTTGACTACCAGCGACGATCGATACAAGACGCGAATCGAATCATACTGGTGCAATAGCGCCAAGCTCAATCCTGCCTGCATCGTGCAACCAACTTCAGCTTCTGAGGTCAGCGCAGCGGTCAAAGCGCTCGTGGAGCACGAACAGGTCTTCGCCGTTCGCTCTGGTGGACACACCAACTGGGCCAGGAGTAACAACATCGACGGCGGAGTTACCATCGACCTCGGCTTGATGAACTCGACCACGTACGATGCCGCGACAGAGACGGCTGACATCGGCCCTGCTGCCAAATGGAAGCATGTCTACGAAGAGCTGGAGCAGTACGGCCGGGCTGTGGCGGGGGGCCGCGAGGCCGAGGTCGGCGCAGGTGGTTTCCTCTTGGGCGGAGGAAACAACTTCTTCGCCGGACTTCATGGCCTGGCCTGTGACAATGTTGCGGGCTACGAGGTGGTGCTGGCGGACGGCTAGATAGTCACTGCTCACGCAGGGGGCGAGCACGCGGATCTCTTCCGCGTCCACAAGGGCTCGGGCAACAACTTCGGCATCGTCACTCGCTTCACGATGCGCACCATGCAAAGCGGTCTGGTTTGGGGCGGGTTCGCAGTGCGGCCCATGGAAGTCATGCCAGAGCTGCAGATGCCGTCGCCGCCTTTACTGCCAATTCGCACCTGGATCCCCACAGCACGCTCAACTTCACGGTGGGCCACATGCCCCGTCTGGGCGGCAGCGCTGTGGTGACAATCTGTACCAATGTGGCCGGGGTCGAGAATCCCCTTGCCTTTGAGCAGTTCTCGAAGATGCCTGAGGTCATGAAGAATCTGAAGATGACCACGCTCCAAGAGGTTCTGCCATAGAGTTCCCTTCCCACGAACTGTTAGTGAGAACCCCCTTACCGCCTTACCTCCCACCGTCTATTCTTAGATGGCGCCATCATGGCTCGGCCACTAATACGTATGCAGCAACATCTGGTATACTCTGTGTTTCAAAAACGACGCCTCGATCATCGTAAAGGCGAACGATCTCCACACCGAGCTGGCAAGCCAGGTTCAGGAGAAGGTCGCTGACGGCGACTTCACCACGCACTGCTCCTTCCAGCCGATCCCCAGGACGATCGCCCAGCACTCGGTAGCCGCGGGCGGGAACGTGTTGGGACTAGAGCAGTACGCCCACGACGCCATCATGATCCAGGTGAACGTCAGCATGCGCACACAAGAACTGGCAGACTGGGCCCGACCCCTGGTTCGCGGGGTGGTCGACGGCGTGCGCGCCTTTGCCGCATCCATCGACGATGGGGTCTGCCCCTGGTTGCATCTGAACTACGCAAGTCCGGACCAGAAGGTGTTGGAGAGCTACGGGACGGCCAACATGCTCAGGATGAGGGAGGCGGCTGCCAAGTATGATCCTCGTGGTGTCTTTCAACGTCTCTGCCCTGGAGGGTTCAAGCTTGCGGCCGTCAAGGGCTAGCAGTGAGACGGAGAGTGGCAGGGAGACACATGTACACGAACCAGTGCCGTCGGTAACTTATGGCCCAAGCACATCCTGATTATGTGGTAGGACTGTTGTATATTGACGTCGCTAACTTAGCGTCTAGCGGACTGGGGAGACACGGACTACTCCATCTCAATACATTCATATCCTCCATGATATCCCGTATATAGTCCCAACGTGCCGCCACTAAGCATGGACGACACCCTCTGCTCCTCCCCTCCTAATATCCTCAACCCCAAAAACAGCAAGTGCAAAGACAGCTTCGACACGGCAACTCCCTCTAGTCCTTCACCCTGTAATACTTGGCTTTCACCGGCCAGGGGCACCCCGCCAAGGGCTTCTTCTTTACAGACAAAAGCGCGCTCGAGTCCGACCCGCAGGCATGTAGGACGGCGTAGAAATTGACTTCGAAGTCCCCGGTGGCAATTTGCGCCTCATCGGGATAAAGTATCCCTGCCGGCGATGAGACAAAATAATCATCCAGTTTGGTGCAGCCCACCGGGTCTGTTCCCGTGTGTTCATGTAAGCCGAACCACATGTTATCTTTCTTGGCCTTGATGCTCCATTGCTTTTTCGCCGTCGCCTGTGTTGCCGCCAACGCCAGCAGTGCGACCTTCAATAGGCTGTTGTAGGCCAGCATGGTGGTGGTAGGACTTCGTGTTCCCAACCCAGCAGATTGAGATGATATCGATGTTATAAAATCAATTCAGGTTCTACTACAACCTTGAGCAAATAAACAGTGGGTTTTTTAGTAGCTTATAGCTAAAATTTATTCGTTTTTTTCTTCAACCTTAACGCTATTAGTAAAACTTTCGTTTTTATCCGATAAGTTATAAAAGCCTTATATAAGGATAGATTTTTGTACAGGAATTTCGTAAAGATTTTTATATATATTATATATAACCATCTGGTTTTGACGTTACTTAAAATATACCACATTAATTAAATAGCTTTTACTATACGTAGCGATATTATATGATAATTACCGATTTATTAAAAGTGAATAAAAATCTTAACGGCTGTATTAATTATAACGTTTTAATATTATAATGACCTTTGTCAGATGTTAGATCCCAGATATGGTGCCCTTAGGTGCAATACCCACTAGGGGGCTGTCAGGGGAACAGTGGATCCACTCTGGCATGGTGCAGTATGGTATTTAGCTGTAGATTAGCCCTGCCTAGCATACTTGAAAATGACAACAACATTTGCAGCAACCACTCGCACCCCTAAGGCTTGTGACCCTTCTAGAATCTCACAACCTTAAAAATATTTCCGATAAAACATAAGGGTAATGCAAGATTATATAAGCAGAATTATTGTTATACAACCTACTTTAAACTAAAAAAATTATAACTATTTTAACTCGATTATTAAAGCTTACTCGTTTATATATTGACTTAAAATTAAAACTTTATTCAAATATATTATAGAAAATTAGATAAAATAACCGCAATAACGTAGCTGACAAGCGAGTTGACATTACAAGCGAGTTAGCACTCGTCATGAACTCTCCAACTGCCATGTCAAATAACTTCACCACAACGCATTCAGTTCAATTCAATCAATCGGATTCCTCTTCCTCAGAGGTTTTTATCTCTATTGTACAAGTTCGCGCATTATGGCCAGTATTGCCGCAAACGCCATACCGTCGCCCACGCGCTGCCGCCCACCTCGGACGACGATTACCTTCACCCATTTCCTGTTTTGCCAGCTCAGCACTATCCTTTGCAGCCTGAAGATCTATTGCATCTTCAACGGAGAGTACTCCTCCTTTCACTAGACGTTTGTTTTTTGTTCTCCGGCGTTTATTTAGTAAGTGATTGGCCTCTTCTAGTTCGCGGACCCGGGAATCAACCAAAGCGACCTTATGCATAAGACCGTATGTAGCCTTCGAAAACGAGCTCAACGCATCAACTATTGATGTAAGTGAGCTTCCCTGGTGGTTTCTGACTCGGTTTCGGATATAAACCGATTGGTTTACCGCTTTGTTAATGGTGGTAGGCGTCTTCGAAGTCCAAGTAGTGGGTGGCAGATTGGGGTCTGGCGACAGTGTTCGTATGACAGCGACAGCATCCAGCTTTGAAATGACACTTTCTGGGTCAAAAGGAACAAGCCCAGTGGCACTGAAACCTGTTCAAATGTTTCCTGGCGTCATAGCAGCGTTGTGTGCTTCACAAAACGCTGCAAGGAAGTCCTCCTTCGAAACGTGGGTTATATGACGCCGGATGAGATCCTCAATCATGCGACCGTAAGCTCGTTTGAGCGGGCTAAAACAGCCGACATCTAGAGGCTGGAGCCTGTGTGACGAGTGGGCAGGCATACAAAGGGTGATAATGCCGTTGTTCTGACAATAATCCTCAAAGACCTGGGAATGGTGGCTTTCGTGACCATCTAGGATGAGGAGGCGTTTACCGGCAGTCATACGCGGTCTGGTATACTTGTCGAAATGCTGAATCCATTCCAAACCAATCTCATTCGTGGTCCACCCGTTGTCGGACACGGCCACCTTCCAATCGCGTGGTAATATCATGTCGCGATACCATGACGCGAGGTGGGTTTTGCCCTGTAGAATGATGAACGGCGGGACCACCCAACCATCAGCATTAACAGCAGAGATTGCTGTAGACCATTCCCTGTTGCCTTGCTGAGCTTGTCTAGGCCTGCCACGTCTTTCGGCGCTTGTAACGACCATGCCGGACCCAGTAATGCCCATCATAAACCCAGTCTCATCGAAGTTGTAAATATCCGCGTCTTGGATACCATGTTTCGCGACTGCCGCTGCAACTTGGCAAAACCACGCGCGATACGCGTCTGGATCCTTGTTCAAGACCCTCTGGTAGTCTATCTTCCGATGAAAACGCGTCCGGAGGCCTGGTGTACGTTTGATGAAGTTCCGCGTCCAGTTCTTTCCAACGCGTCCAGCCCCACGCGCCGCCAACAATTGATTTGCTATATCTTCAACATAACTGTACCGGGGCGGAAATGCTCGCGCATCCAGGTTAAGAATGAAGGAACAAATGGCATTCTCTTCGGAAACCATAAGTTTCAAAGTATTGGGCATGCTGTCGCGTCGTGATGGCATTCCTTTGACTCTATTGCTCAAAGTGGAACGAGGGACGTTAAAGAGTTTCGCAAGCTGAAATATAGGAATATGAGGGTCACGTCGTTTAGCTTGAACAGCTAGCTGCAAGTCTGATTCGTTATAACGCGGTGCCATTGTTGTTGGTGGAGATATGATGGTTTGAATCGTATTGGTTGGAAAGTTCATGACGAGTGCCAACTCGCTTGTAATGTCAACTCGCTTGTTAGCTACGTTAGTATAAAAAATCTTATCAACGTAAACCCTACGCGTATATAACCGTTAATATTTATATTCCGCGCCGTAAAAAATAACTTAAACCGAAAAACCTAATCGGTAGGAAAAGCTCGGAAGCTCAAAAGCCGCAATTAAAAGCCGCAACAAAAAACAAATTAAACTAAATGGTAGTCTGTATGTCATAAGGTTATATTAATAGAAAACTAATAAAAATTTAATAATATTAACGTATATGTGAAGTTCAAAGGTTCAGATGGGGTCAGGATGAGAAAGATCTGGTTCGGTATTTGGTTATTGTTGAATACACAGATGTTGATTGATTCTATTGATTGTTCTGCTCTGCGTGCAGAGATTGATCATCTGTCTTCTTGGTGGGTCAGATGCCCTGTGCGTCTCTACCCCACTAGAGATTGTCCGGTGTCTATCTCCGGCTCCCATTCAACACATTTGTGCTAGTATCTAACAATTAGCGACCATTGCCCTACAGCTCTAGCGCTACGGCAGGTAGACGCGTTGCAGCTGTATTTAAGTGTGAATCCGTTTGTATCAGATATACCTTGAACTACAAACAAACCAACAACCAACACTTCTGCATACAAATCTTGACAGCTAATACTAATATATTTTCAAACATATTAATATGCTTCTTACTTGTTACAATAGTCGTTCATAAATAAATAAATAAATATTACTTATCCTATACGTTATCAACAAATACGACGATCTTTAAGGTAAAAAAGCAGTGTTTATTAATTAAACGACGCTTTGTATAAGTTTTGCTTATTTAAAAAACGCCTAATATAATCTTTAATTTATATAACTTTATGGATGTTTTAAAGTTATTTTTTAAAGTAACGTGGATGACAAGCGAGCGGCAATTACAAGCGAACGGCAACTTTTCACCAACCTTTCAACCAACATGTCAAATAACTCGACCACAATGCATTTAATTCAATCTAATCAATTGGATTCTTCTTCTTCAGACCTTTCTATCTCTATTGTATAAGTTCGCGCATTATGGCTAATGTTGCTCTAAACGCCACAACGTTGCTCACGCGCTGCCGCCCTCCTCGAACGACGACTACCTTCACCCATTTCCTGTCTTGCCAGCTCATCACTATCCTTTATAGCCTGGAGACCTACTGCATCTTTAACAGAAAGTACTCCTATTTTTATTAGACGTTTGTTTTTTGTCCTCTGGCGTTTACTTAGTAAGTGATTGGCCTCCTCTAACTCACGGACCCGGGAATCAACCAAAGCGACCTTGTGTATAAGACCGTATGTAGCCTTTGAAAATGAGCCCAATGCATCAACTATTGATGTAGGTGAGCTTTCCTGGTGGTTTCTGACTCGATTTCGGATATAAACCGACTGGTTTACTGCTTCGTTGATAGTGGTAGGCGTCTTTGAAGTCTAAGTAGTGGGTGGCAGATTGGGGTTTGACGACGGTGTTCGTATGACAGCGACAGCATCCAGCTTTGAAATAACACTTTCTGGGTCGAAAAGAACAAGCCTAGTGGCACTGAAACCTGCTCGAATATTTCTTGGCGTCATAGCAGCATTGTGTGCTTCACAAAATGCTGCAAGGAAGTCCTCCTTCGAAACATGGGTTATATGACGCCGGATGAGATCCTCAATCATGCGACCGTATGCTCATTTGAGCGGGCTAAAACAACTGACATCTAAAGGCTGGAGCCTGTGTGACGAGTGGGCAGGCATACAAAGGGTAATAATGCTGTTGTTCTGGCAATAATCCTCAAAGATCTGGGGATGGTGGCTGTGAGGGCAGTATGAAGGCACACACCAGCGCAACCTACTGCGCCCCACATCACACCCTGGCCAGGGGTTCATCTAGATAGCTCTGTCTCCCACCTGTATCTAGCTCTCTTTCCTTCCTTTCTTCATCTTCGATATTTTCGTCTATAGAGTTGGTTACCCCCTTGTCGTCTGCTTTGTCTCGTCTTAGGTGCCACTCGCCGTGACAGTGGCTTTCGTGACCATCTAGGATGAGGAGGCGTTTACTGGCAGTCATATGTTGAATACACGGATGATGATTGATTCTATTGATTGTTGTGCTCTGTGTGCAGAGATAAATTATCTGTCTTCTTGGTAGGTCAGATGCCCTGTGCGTCTCTGCCCCACTGGAGATCTTCCGGTGTCTATCTCCGGCTCCTATTCAACATTTTACGCGGTCTGGTATACTTGTCGAAATGCCAAATCCATTCCAACTCAATCTTGTTCGTAGTCCAACCGTTATCGGACACAGCCACCTTCCAATCGCGTGATAATGTTGTGTCGCAATACCATGACGCGAGGTGGGTTTTGCCATGTAGAATGATGAGCGGCGGGACCACCCAACCATCAGCATTGACAGCAGAAATTGCTGTAGACCATTCTCTGTTGCCTTGCTGAGCTTGTCTAAGCCTACCACGTCTTTTGACACTTGTAACGACTATGCTGGACCCAATAATGCCTATTATAAACCCAGTCTCATCGAAGTTATAAATATCCGCGTCTTGGATACCATGTTTCACAATTGCCGCCGTAACTTGGCAAAACCATGCGCAATATGCATCTAGGTCTTTGTTCAAGACCCTCTGGTAGTCCATCCTCCAATGAAAATGCGTCCGGAGGCCTGGTGTGCGTTTAATGAAGTTTCGTGTCCAGTTATTTCCAATGTGTCCATCCCCACGCGCTGTCAACAATTGATTTGCCATATCTTCAACATAACTGTGCCGGGGTGGAAATGCTCGCGCATCCAGGTCAAGAATGAAGAAAAGAATAGCATTCTCTTCGGAAACCGTAAATTTCAAAGTATTGGGTATGCTATCGCGTCGTGATGGTCAGCTGGCGATTCTAGCTTTCAAGGTATTATATGGGACATGAAAAGTCTTAGAAAGCTTGCCAATGGTAATATGAGGGTTGCATCACTTAGCTTGGACAGCAAGCTGTAAGTCTGATCTGTTATAACGCAATGCCATTATTGTTAGTTGATCAATTAGGAGCCTTAATTGAAAGGTTAGGTGGCTGGTAAAAAGTTGCCATTCGCTTGTAATTGCCGCTCGCTTGTCATCCACGTTATTTATAATTCAAAAGAAGGTTTATTTACTTCTTAAAAAAACTGCTTTTTTTTAAACAGCGTTAATAATCTAAAAAACGGCAGTATTTTAATAATTTCGATATTATTAAAAAAATCTTTATAAGTGTTGGAATAGGCTTGAACGATCAATCATAATACTCGAGTATGGGGTCAAGGTCATGATGTTGCTGATGGTTGGATTGGGAGGTCTAGCTGGACCTGAAGGTCTGGCTAAGTGTTCTCACAGTCCGGTATCTAATCTCTTATCTAATCATACATGTGGGTCTTGGTATAGATGGTTTGCAAGCTGGAATTGCATAGATCCAATAATAAGTCTTTTTATTAATATTTTTATTCACATTTTTACTAAGCTTTTTATTAATATTTTTATATGGCCTTTTATCAGAGGTTTTTAAAGGCTTTTTAATAGTTTTTTTAGTTTTTTTTACTCGTTACTTTTAACAGTATATCATAGCGGTTTTTTATATTTAAGCCTTTTTTATGAAACGGGTTTTAATTATAATGACTTATTAAGTAATAGTAGCTGTATAAAAGCTATTATTAAACCTGGTAGTAAATTTAATTATTAAATTTAAATTTATTTAAGCGTTATTAAGCGTAGGAATATCTTGAATTATTTATTAATAAATTATCCGGTAATTATTTAAATAAATCAAAACTGCGTGCAATTTAATAATACGTCAAGAAAGCGAAGTAGCTAACTTTTAATTCATAATACAAAGTATAAATATATAAATGAAAATAGAAAAGATTCAATAATATTAATAACGGTATTAATAAAAATAAATTTATTGATTTACTATTATTGTGACGGTGTACAGCCGTATCCACCTGGATGGATGGATGCTTAGTCATCAGGTCACGTGCAGATTAGATAAGGAGGAAGGGACCATATGTGCTACTGCCATTCGGCTAGCCCACACCTGGATTCCTTCCTTCTCCACCTTGTTATTTTTGTCAATCCACCAGATTGCATCACAACGCCACAGGCATTGTGACAATTAATTTGTATACGGATGAAAGCGTTTTAATATAATATATATATTTTAAAAATCAACGATGATTTTAATAATATTTGTAACGTTAAGAGTTATATGATGGAACACTCATCATAACCAACATGCCACGGCTGTTCCTCCCAAAAGGATGTCGAATATCAAGCGTGTCAGCTTGACATTCAATGGTGGTATATGTACTCATGTCCGGGCTCCAGGACTCACCACATGGGCTACCTATATCAGACCATGACAAGTTAAAGGCTTCAAAAGAACGGCGTTTAAAGTTATTTGATATAAAAAATATTAAAAGATATTAATAATAATAATAGCAATTAGCTGGCAACGGCGTAAGCAACGGCGTATACAACGGCGTGGTTAATAAAAAACAATTCAACTGTCTAGCAAAAAATCAAATTCTGGTGGGAGGTAGTAGCGATTTGAAGTAGGTTATTAACACAGCTACAAGAAGGAACGTCAGTAAATGTGGGTCAAGTCGCTTAGAGACCTGTCACTGGTAATTCCATGTCACTCCGCATTGATTGCAAGTTTGAGCTTCCTTCTCTCTTCTGCATGGTCACATAATAATAGCACACAGAAAGCAAACCGATAGCACATCATGTCAGGTACGTCTCTGCAGTGACCCCCGTACATGTACGTGGCAATGCTGACCGGCACAATTCCACAGGTCGAGTCGGCGGTCGCGGACGTGGCGCCTACTACAAGGCGCGATACGGAGGCGGCCACCTTTTTGAGGCGACAAGTCAAACCTCTGCGAACCAGTCCTCTGCCTCTGGAGCTCTCTCGAACCCGAACCATGGCGGCTAGGGTCAGTTGCAGAGAGATCTCAGAAGCATCGATGGGCAGCAGTACGGTAGGTCTTCAGACTCTCCGTTTGGCTTGCACGAAATTCAACAGTCGGACCGTCACTTGTGCATATCCGTGCGACTTCTACTAAATCGAGAAACAGGCGCTTACAAACGACTCACTTGCAACTATGAGCATACTTTCCCTACCTTCACTCTCTCAGTAGATCACGTCCAAGCCGATGCCTATGCTTCACCTTCTAAGGTCCGGCCTATCATGCCTTGGCGCGACACAGGACTCCCCGGCGAGTACCTCCTTACAGACATTAGACGGATCGCACTTTGCGACTTCGTGACTAGAGTCTGTGCCGACCTTATTCGAGTCAAGCATCTCGACCAGAACGCGGCAAGTTCTGATGGTGGAGGTGGATGGAGTGGACCAAAGGGTGGTGCGTTCAATATCAACGCACCGAGTCAAGAAGTCCTACCACGTACAAGCACAATGATCGACAGAGACCAGACGATCGAGCTTCGCTTTACGACCTCGCTACCAGCTGCCGGACGGACCATCCTAGGCCAGCAAGCTCACCAAATCCTGGCTGTGAACTTGGTCGAGTTGGTGAAGCAGTCTTTGCTGTACGCAAACCTTCACCAAGACCAGCTGCAACAGCACCTGCAGACGGTCGAGAACCAACATAGCCTGCGCGAGCAACTTCGCCAAAACGGTCTCATCTTGTTTGTCGCCAATGGCTCAATATTGCCAAGAGCATCAGGCGCATCAGCCGGGCCTATGAGCCGTACTACTGCGGTACGGTTCCAGTCTCCCAAAGATCTCGAGATCACGTTGCCACTGGCGGACGGCACGAGTGTCTTAGGTATGGGCGTTCCTCGCGGGTGACTCTATTGACTGGCGGTGGTTAACATGGCAAGTCCACTCTATTGGAGGCCATGCAGCTGGGCATATACAATCATATCCCCGGCGACGGAAGAGAGCTCGTAGTGACGGATCCCACCGCGGTGAAGATCCGCGCAGAGGACGGACGCAGCGTCTCATCCACCGACATCAGCCCATTCATCTCGGGATTGCCTGGCGGAAAAGACACGAAGCGTTTCTCTACGGATGATGCGAGTGGATCTACATCAATGGCGGCAAACATCCAAGAAGCTCTCGAAGTTGGCTGCAAGACACTGCTCATCGATGAAGACTCCTCGGCCACGAATCTGCTCGTCCGGGACCAGCGTATGCAGTCACTAATCCGCAACGAGCCGATCACACCGCTGATGGCCAAAGCAAGGGCGCTATATGCCGAGCATGGTGTCAGCACTGTCATCGTCATCTGCGGCCTTGGCGATTGGCTGTCCGTAGCCGATCATGTCATCGCTATGGACAGTTACGTTCCACGACTCATTACCGCGGAAGCCAAAGCCATCGTCAACAGTATCCGAGCGATGTTCCACAAACCGCGACCTACGGCTCAATCCCAGCTCGTAGCTTCCAAGTCGACCTCAGCGGCATACGCTCCCCTTATGCGGTGAGGAAGAACTTCGTCGCTATGAAGCCGCAAGACAGGAATCCCGTCGATGATCCGTCGCAAGGAGAGGCCGGAATATACTTGAGCGGCCTCGATCAGATTGTGGAGATAGGACAATCACGCACGGTCGCTTCACTCGTGCAGCTGGTTGCGAACCGGACGTCTAGCAAAGCGTGAGTTCGGGACTCCCTGTCTCTTGCTTCTGTATCGTGACAAGATGCTGATCTTTGGTAGTTTACCGTTGACCACCCTTCTCGAGGGCTTACAGGAAGCTGTCGATATCGATCACTGTTTGCCGTTGACGCTGGGAGACGGTGAACTCGTCGGGGTCCGCGTTGCTGAGATAGCTGCTGCGCTTTCCCGTATGCGCGGCGTTCTAATTACGAAGTGAGATTGAGCGTGGACGGCGGCTTCAGCATGATGGTTGGGACACTCATGAATGCAGCTGCGATCAACACCACGACTAGGTCGCCGCATTTCGCTGTAGCCGGGCACAGCCCTTTTATGCCTGCAGATCTCGTAAGTCAGCAAGGTGGATGGCACTCGAGTGCGCCGCCTGTGCGTCTTGCATGAGCTGCGTGAGAGCATTTAGATGGTCACTAACGAGGATATTGTCTGTCGGTTGGGCTCCGCAACTCATCTCCAGCGCCTCGTAACCAGCCTTTTCGTGGAAGTCGTCCGGGTGCCGCGATCATTTATGGGCTTGAACAGTGGTACATATACCGAGCGGAGCTCATCAAGTCCAGATGCGCTGGAGTAATTGGGAAACGGCGCAATGAAGTCAATGCGATCTTTGAGATAGTCTCGAAGCGGGGAGTAGGTCTTCGTTGCCGTAATTTTGTTGCAGTAGGCTGACGTCCAGCAGTGTGTTTCTGCAGCACGATACGTGGAGTAGGTATGGCGACAATGCAAGAGTACCGCGAACCGATGCATTCAGTTTTGCCTGTGTAGCACCGGCTCCAGCTCGGTTCGAGCGAAGCTGCTGTCGGGTGTCTGTATAGGTACAAATAGGCAATTTTAATGTGCAAACAGCAATACTCCATACGTAGTCTTGGTAGTATGGAGACGGAACGTGCCGTATCGCGTAGCGCCGGCCAACCTCGGGCCCCCGGCCACGGAGGATATAGACAAGCTCCGGCCGTCCTGCGTAAGCTAGCTTCCATATGTACTGCACCGGGTACGAACGTAGTGCGCAAGTTTGTACTGTATAGCGTGGTACAGATGTTGCGTCAAGGACCTTGTGTGCTGGCCTGATACGTCAACTAGTCGGCGTTGGAATCGCGTGATGGTGGCAGTGCTGCCCCTGACCAGACCTTACCCTACCCTGCCCTGCCTACACCAACCTTATTAGCTACCTACATAGCAGCAAAAACGTACGTAACGTCCACTCGTCCGTCCGTCCGTCCGTCCGTCCGTCCATGAAACGCAACACATATAGTACAGTTGTCAAGCCGTAGAACAAGGACAAGCACAAAAAGCCAGAGCCAGGCGGGTCGGGTCTGGCGCCATCTCGGAGTATTCGCCCTACCATCGCGATCCATGACAGCTATGAGTGGGTTTCCCCCCGAATCCCGCCTTAGATGGTAGATCTCCCCCTAGGTAGATTTTCCCCTGAGAGAGCCAACGATGATCGATGGATGACACCTCCTTCTCTGGTTTTCATTATGCCCGGGGGAGTTTGCCCGGGAGAATAAGGACGGGGGGCACTACGGTTGTGATTTTGTAGATCGTGGAGTATATGGGAAAAATAAACATGAGGATGGCTACTACTATGCAGGAAGTAGTAGTACCTTAAACACCTAAGGTGCTCAGATCTCCAACTCCACATGCGGCGCCCAGTGCATGCAGTACGTAGTACGTACGTACGTACGTACACGTAGCCCTCGAGTTCCCTAGCGCTGCACAGCCATGTAGCTGCCAATAGCGATGACATAACATGCAAGTTTAATCGCCTTGCTCCTCTTAAACCAGAGTATCTTAAGCCTAAATCAAGATGAAAGAACAGGGCAGGTTCCAAACTGCAGGTACCTACCAACCTAGCTGTAACTTACGTGCGCGTCCTGGAGCAACATTGAACCTCATCATCCTTCCGGCCCTGTTTCGGAAAGCCAGGCACCCAAACTCAAACCATGTGATAATAGAGTTTTGTGTGTGGCAGACCCGGCCGAGCCGCGGCCGGTAGTCACCCGTTGTCATAAAAATAAAGTGTGCGGAACGAACCTTGAGCTCCGGCTTGGGTAAACCCACCCGCCCGTTGGAGGTTTGATGACTCGTGAACGACCGAAATGCCACTCGCGAGTCTAGGTAAGGATGGATGAAAGAAAGCGGAAGGAAACGTATACCGCTGGTCATGGTTGGTTCATCGCCAAACCGCGTCTCACAGCAGGACACGAGCAGGTACGCGAGAGGCTGGTTGATCATGTAAGGTTAGATAGGCAGGAAAGGCTTGTGGTCAGTCGTATGCGCTCAGTCGTACAGGTGAGCCTTCTGCCTCTCTCATGAAAGCTCCTAAGCTAGAAGAGGATCTCCCAACTACCTCCTTATCGGCAAGCGATGGTATGCGAAATGTATTCAATATGCCAAGCTCATGACCCAGGGAAACGTGATGGGTGGTTCTCCCAAATGAGGAAGTGGTAAAATTGATTAATCAATAAAAATGAGTTCGGGCCGCCCAGAGCAGCACCCGTTATCGCCCATGATATCTGTTTGTGCTATGCTCTCTATACGCCATGATGTCGCTCCTATGCAATGATAAAACGCACTCCTACTCTATATGCGGAACTTGTCCCAGCGAGGTAGGTATGCGGCCACGACCAGAAAATATTACTGTAAATCCACCCGACAGAACTCTGCGCCGCGATTAGAGGCCCAAAAAACGCCGGCATTTCCGGCATCTGGGGACATCAGGACATTCGGGGTAGGCATTGCCTAGAAAGTTCTCCACGATCTCCTTGTCGATCGATTGCCGTGTTTGGTGGGTAATGCCACACGACGTCGACCGCAGTGGCATGTCTATGCAGATGCTCCCAGTTCTAGAGCCGTATCACAACGTAGGTCCACCCATAGTCGTGCCGCTCTGGTCGACGGCGAAAGCAGGCCTCGCTACCGCCTCGCCTTGGAGATGAGAGCGCGCGAGGGAACACCCCGCATCTTTCGATGCAACAGAACGTCTCAATCCGGTATCCGAGACCAGCATCCCCACGCCAGAGTCAGGCCACTGGAAAGTCTCCGAATCTCACATCAGCTCTGCGTTCTCGCGTCTTGGGCCTGGTACCTCGCCCATCATCGATACCATCCTTCATCGGCTGACCATCGGAGTAACCAACTCCACGCTCTTGGGCCTCGCATAAGCATTGGGTTTCCTGGTGGGTAGCGGCCGATCAGAATTCATGCCGCCAGTGCTGTAACCGTATCCGGAAGTTGCGTAGCCCCCGTCGTACGTCGAGGAGTAGAAGTCGGGCTGCTTCGTGTACGAGGTACTAGGGCTCGTAGCAGCGCTTCTGGCGAATGGCCAGATGCTTGAGTTGGCTGACACGGGAGATGGCGGACTCGGGGGTCGTATGCTCAGCGACCTCAGAGCTGAGATGGCGCTAGTGTAATGAGAACTTGTCGTCGGTGTGGTAGGTGGTGACCAATAGTTTGAACTGGGGCGAGATGGTGAGGCCCGCGGGATGATGTCCCGGGGTTCTGGGTTGCCGGCCGAGTAGAACGGCTGAGTCCCACTAAAGCCATCAGGACTCCTCATTGATGCGTGCGCGTATGCTGCTGCTACTGCTGATTGTGTCGTCCTTGCGCTTATGTGTTGGTCATGCTTGCGGCACCTGACGTGGAGCGTTAGTGAAGTGCGCCTCTATTGGCTGGGATGCGGGATGGCCTACTCCTCTGAGCAATATAAGAATTTCTCATCCTGCGGGATGAACTGCTTCTCACAGGTCATACTGTAGTACATGATCAGTCAACCTGAGTGATCAATAACTGGTGGAATGCAGGAACAGCGGTTGCGAGACATCATTGGAACCCGCCACGGTTACGCACGATCCCCCAGACACGCCCATTGGAGCACCTGCATATCAGGTGATGACGCCGCCTATGCAGGCAAGGCGCCCAAAGGAGTCTGGGGCTTGCGTGGCGTAGAGAAAGTAGGGGGTCCCCCACACCGTGGCGGTTGGCAATAAGCAACAGCAGTGTAGAGGAAAGCCGAGCCATGTCGACATCGAAACCGGAAAACAGGTGGGAGCACACATACCAGTACTGCGGGAAGCTCTCCCGCTCATCCTCCCACGAGCGCTCCTCCTCCCATTCCCTCTCCCGGTCCCGGGGATTCTTGCCCAATTTCAACACCGTGTTGGTTGATTTCCGCGACAGCGTCTGCGGCCGTTTCGGGCGGGAGACATCCGAGGTTGTTACTGCCTTGCGGACATCGGTCATTGAGGTATTAGTCGAGACATGGCCTGACTTGCGACGGCTGTGATGCATTGAGGCTGTGAGTGGTTGGCCTTGGTGGTAAGACGTAGGCCAAACGCAGGTGATGCCTGGTTGGTTGGTTTGGTAGGGGTCCTATTCCAACGTGCGTTGGAGAGGAGTTGAAGCGGGGGGTCTTGCAACTTCGGAGGCGACTCTGGCCACGACAGGGCGGTCCAACGTTCGTATAGCCACTAGCTGTCTCGTAGACCAGCAGAGTTGCGGGATGACGGAATGTTGTGACGGTAACGACAAGTGCGATCCGAGACTTTGCTTCCTATTTCGTTCTGCTCTTCTCTTGCTTGAAGTCGTCCAGTGTGCTTCTCCGAGTCGGACTGACGGCCAATGTTCCAGAACACGGGGTGCTGGGGAAGGTTTATATATCAAATATCTCCAGATCTTCTCGAGGCCCGTAATTCAAGGTTGACGCGGGAGTTGAGAGGGCGGGTATCATTAAGTAAGAATCGACCCAGAAGTACCTGGAAAAGAGGAGCTGGGCGTCTGAGGATTGCGTGCTCGATGCAATGCGGTATTCCGTGATATGACGATATAGTTGACTAATATGGGGTTCCGCGAGGTCTAAATCACGTTGGACCTGGGCCCCAAACTCTCACGGGCGGATTCGGCAGGCGTTGGTCGCTACAGGTTGACCACGACAGCGGTGTATGGTGTATCGGTGGCACGATGTATTATGGACAGTGGGGGAGAATGGAGATTCTGAGGTGTCACAGGTAGCGGGCGGAGGTCTGGCAACCTGGTAACTTGGGTCGCTGCGAGGGCTTCCTATTAGTCGGCGGGCGAATATATCGAGTAATGGAAACGTCGAGGTCGATAGCGCAGTCAGAGGATACCCGACAAGGTGAAGTAGCAATTGATGATTCAGACAGTTTCAGAGCGCAGATGGTCAATTAGTCGTGCTGGTTGGTGTTGGTGTGCGTCATATGAGTTCGGACGTTGTCGAGACTCGAAAGCAGGTAACAACAGTAGATAGTAAGTAGGTGAGGGTGAGGGTGAGAAAAGAGAGGAAGGGAAAGGATGAGAGCAAATCCAAGCGATAAGTACGGTATGGAGATATGTAAGTGTATCGCAAATGCTATCTCTTTGGTCTGGCCTGTCGTTGGTGTTTTCTGGTCGGGTCGATCAAGTCGCAGTCTAGTTGCAGTCTAGGCGGGGGAATTAATGTATGAGGTAGGTAACTGTGTACCTACATACTGCGCGAGGAATACATGGATTATATTAATGGCAGAGTCCACTGTCCAGCGATAGACGACCGACCGAGTGACCGACCGACGGGCCCATGACGATGACTCTTCTTCTTAGGTGCCTTCCTTCAGTTGGGCGGTGGGCAGCAGGCAGAGGGCGCGTGGGTGCGTCGATGGCTCTAATGGGTTAATGGGATGGTTTAAAAGAAAACCGGCCGAAAGCGGAGTTTGGCACCACGGGGGCCCCCAGAGGCTTCTAGTAGGCCAATAAGGCCAGTTAGGCCGATTGCAGCCAGTTGCAGCCAATGGCATTTTGCATCTGGAATGTCTCACTCTCGCCAGCCCACCCTACCCGCTTACCAAGAAACCAAAACGCCCCCATTTGTGTCCGTCGTAGCGCCAGGCCCTCTCAGTTGGGACAGGAAAGAAAACCTTGAGCAGGGGCAACAGGAGAAAAATTTTCTATTCCCCAATTCAAATTGTCCAAAGGGGTGTCTTGAACAGGACTCGTGCGCTGAAGGGGAATCCATGGTGTTCATCATGGACAGCCGGCATTCTGCGCCAGTTGGCGGCTATGAGGCCCAGGCTATGCCGATAATGGGCAAGGCACAACGGTCCAGCTGTCATTGACCAAAGCCCGGAGAGCACCCCAGGGGCAGATATGAATGAATGAATAAGTATCAAGATTATGCATACCTATGCACGGGTATACAGGTGTGGTATCATGAGGGCAACCTTGAGGGCAACCGTGCGATAGAGGCGCATGCATGCACACAACTGTAGGGTGCCATTTTCATTAACGAGTTGAGTGAGATGTGATGGCACTCGGCACAATACACTACGAGAAACAGGGGTAGCTATAGAGGTATGTATGGATGGCTTGAGGAAGGCGGCCTGCATTCGTATCTATGCAAGCAACATAATAAGTTCCGCTGCAGCGCTGGATGGCTGGACGGCTGGATGGATGGCAACCATCGCTAACGAGACCTGAGTGCTGTTTGAAGTTAGTTGTCTCTAAATGACACAAGTAACTTTACTTACCGATGTCCAGTTCCAACTTGGAGTAGCAACACTACACAGTACAAGCCCATCCAGGTGTCCGTCCGGGTGTATGCCCGTCCGGGTAGATGTCGTGATGCATGTTGTCTCTCGATGACTTTGCTGATGTCGCCCCGCCATCAACCGAAACATACCTAAAGCCGCCCCGGTACCTCTTTGGCTGCCGCCCCGCCTTGGACTGGTGACGCTGGCGCACTGGCGGCCCGGCAAAGCCCTGGCAGCCCTGGCTAGGTTGCCTTTAAACTTTCCACCTGCAGACACGGCTGCGTGTGCCACCTGGCAAGGGGTGGGCTGAGATTTGTGGCTGTGTGGCTTGAAGGTTTGGTGGCAGTGGAGACGAGCAACACGTCGACAACTCCTTCTCCTGTTCTTCATTTCTCCATTTCTCCAGCACCGCCGCATACCTTTGAAACTTGCAATCCCGGGTTGATGATGACGAATGCTGGAAACTTGCTCGTCTCGCCCACAACGTGTTTACTATCACGAAGAACAATACGAGGTGCAAGTGCCACGCGTCGACCGCCAGGAGACCGGTGTGTATCAGAGAGACAACCCCCACGAACCTACAGGTTACCACTTTAGCCTTTATGAGTCCTGACCCGGTTGAACCTTGCCCTGGCAGCCTGGACGCCCTGGATGCCCTGTATCGACCGACGCCCTGATCCATCACCGTGGCACCGCCGAATCCTTGTTCAATCCAGATTCATCAGATGTCGTTATCTGATGATGGCCTTCTCCTGATGAATCTTTCCAACTTCCCCAGTTTATCTGGAACTTTCACTGCCCGCCCAAGGTTCGAGTCTGACGAGTCAACATACATGTAGCCAGTCATCCGACGTGGTCTCGTGGCTCGTGCCTTTGTTGCTCTTTGTCCACAAAGCCGCCATAGTATCACTCACCGTCGAGATGGGCCGACATCGTCCCGCTTGCTCACTCCCAGTGCTCCGAGTTGTCTCTGCACAAAGGTCGAGAAGGGCCGGCATTTCTACAGAGTATCATGGCCCGGATTCACGATCAACTGCCGCCGAGCTAGTGCTGGGATCTTTGCAGCTGACATGTCCATCATCTCCATCTACGGTATCTCTTGATTAGCTCATCAGGCTCGGCTATCTCTCTTTGCCGTGTGCTTGTTCACGTGGATCAAGGATTGTTGCTCCCTTGCCGTCGGCCTGTCGGCCTGTCGGCCTGTCTGCCTGTGCAACACTGCAACACTGCAACACTGGCAGCACGGCCTCACGGCAACAGTGCAACCGTCGCAGGGCCTGGACACTGGATAGTGGAAACGCCCGAACAATGCAGCAGGCAATGCAGGCTACCCCCCACCCCTCCCCGCCCCTCTTCCAGACCTTCAGACTCTCTCGCATCCATGGCTCATCATTGCCTCATCCGTCCCCAAGTGCATGCTATATTCCCAATATTTCAACCGTGCCCGTGGGGGTGAGCTCTCGAGTCGCAATGCAATTTGGAAGTCAGTTCGATATGTAAGGTATGCACCATGCAGCAGCAGCACGGCAGGGGAGGCAGGATATCTCTCCCGTGGCTCCATCACCAAGACACGGTTACATCATGGCCACCCTACACCAAGGCGAGCTGGCAACTGTTCTGGAGTCTGCAGGAAGAGCTTTCCGCCTTGGTTTGCATACATTCCCAAATTCCGATATTCAATCCTACACAGTATTCGGACTATGCTGCGCAGATGCCGAGAATGCTCCCCAAATGCTTATATTGTTAACCATCCCGTCGCTCGGAATACCCTTTTGGATCGTAGCCTGCGACCATCCCATCCTATCACCTCACGCGGATCCTTGCTCACCACCAAGCTTCATTATCTCCTAGTAGTAGGCAACCTGTCAAGTACGGGTCGCGGATGACAGAAATACTTCCATTGCATGACCCGGAATCAGACTCCTCGACTTCCCCTCAAACGCCATACATGTACACTTATTACTTCCAGACGAAGTCGTATCTCGCCAGCCGTGGTGCATAACGCACACCAGTGATGATGTCTCGCTACAGCTGGCATCAACCTGGAATTCCTTGGAAACGCATCCGCGGCCCAATGCCCAATGCCCGGTTGAAGAGCGACCGAGAGATAAGAAGTGTTACCGAGCGTGGGACTCGGGAGTTTCATCAGCTCTCGGTCAGCTTCGGGCAGTCAAGGCTCAAAGTGGAGCTGATTCCATGGTGCATCTGTGTCCTGTGCTGGCGCAACGTGAGCGGACCGTGACAAAAGGTTGACCTCGAAAAAAATTCTGCACACTGCCCACGCCGCTTCACGATAACGGATGCTGCTGGGTGACGGGTCACGGTTGGGTGGAGGTTGGAGGGTGGTAGATGTCGACGATAATAGAGCCTGCATGGATCGATCCCACGCCTCTACAGCCGCTCGAACGACGGCACACCACCCTGATAAGACTTTCACCTGCAATACAATGCGAGCACAGGATAGGATGGTTGCCGACCCCGTCTCGCTCCCACAAGCTTCCCGCATTTCTTCCAGATCCTGCAGGTACCGTACAGTACCCGGCGGCCTTGAGCCTTGAGCCATGGGCATCTTGCTGGGTACCCGGCCTGGCTATCAAGTCGCCATTAGATACGCCTTGGCATATCGTTGGACGCGCTTACGGGCCAATCAAGGCAACCATGTGGCTGCCCGTTGCTCTCGGGCAGACTCACCCAAGTGATACAAGTGATATCCGCTCTGCAACGCGCTAGGTATTTGACGTTGGCACGCTCGCAGGCTATCGAGAGGCCGTCTCACGATGTCCACCGTTAGGACCGATCTGGCCGTCTGTTAGTGTCTGGAGATGGAATCCACACGTGTCCGGAGGTGGGTGCCTCTAGATTGGCGTGCAAAGTTGCAGTTAGTCGGGGCGGAGTCGGGGCGGCGCGATGCCAAGTTTTGATATTACCACCGTGCTCATGCCGGAGGCGGTCTGGCGGTCACTGACACGGCCGCACATTTTCGGTATGTTGTGTTGTGTGCATGATGAAAAAGGGGGAGCCCCTCGCAACAGATACGAACAAGTCGCCTGGTAGTTGTCAGCCTGGAAGGCCGACGATTTCGCGACTCCTCTCGAGAGAATCCTTCCGAGCCCACTAGACAGACCAAGGAACCCATCCCCACGCTGCGTGGAACTTTTTTTTCTCTCTACGAATTATTTATTAGTCGCTTCCATGTCAGCCGAACGTGATCACGTTATTAGTATTGCCCGTCGGAGAGCCACCTTGGGTCACAAGCCCTTCTTATTATCATCCAACTTCGTTATCACCAGTTGACTGGTCAATAGCGATGAACTCTCAAACAAACGTCATCTGGTAGCAGCGTGCAGTACGAGAAAAAGGCTCCGATGTCGCGTGAAACACACCTTCACGCTCCCAAGTCTGAACCAGTCGGAGAATTCGAACCGACGTCCCATATTGAGGGTGTACGATTCTGGAAAAAGAAGAAACAGTCAGCTATCGCCGCCTAGTGTCTATGTGCTGTGTCGTATCATTGTACCGTTGTTGTGTTGCGTCGAGCTGTGGCTGCATGTTGTACGCCGTGACTATCTCGCCTCGAGCTGTTGTAGCACCGTCACGCCTTCCCACCACCTCAGACCTAATTCGGTCTCCTCTGGCTGCTGGTTTGGGTAACATGCCACGCGAGTAGATACTCGGCGGTATGGCCCCGCGCTCTCTTTCGTCGTTTGACGTGCGACATGGCTTTGCGTTACTTGCGATGACCTCACCCGGATCCGAGTCGGACGGTCCGACTTTTTGCACTTGAGCGCTGGTAACCGCTGCATTGGCCATGGTATGACGCCGAATGGGGAAATCCGGGGTATGCGGCGGTACAGGTGCAAGCGCGCGCGAGCATGTGTGTTGCTATGGCGCGTTCTGGGACGAGGTTGGCGTCTTCTTCCGCCTCTGAGTGCATAAGCTGTTGGAACACGAACGCGATGCAAGTGGCATGGCGTGACGTGACGCGATGTCAGGTGAGACTAGGTGCGTATGTCGCGATATGGCGTCTAGCGAAAACCAATCCTTTGGGCCATTTCTTTTACGTAGTCGGTACCAAAATTTTCCCTAGACGGTAGCACGTTTGGTAGACTTGGGAGCACGCATTGCTGGTGTTGTCCGTGCTGTGGTTGATATCATATATACTATTACATGTACACTTTGGTATTCGGATCAAGACGCAACTCGAAGGCTGGATGAGCAATGGACTTCACGATCGCAAGGGCAACGCGACTTTCCCAGTGCCCCTGAGCCAAGGTAAATGAGACAATCGAATACAAGCATGCACACATACGGTGAACACTTGGTATGCAAACTGTGGTATGGAAACTTCTCGTCTGATCCCCAAGTCTAAGTTCTCCGAACCAACAAATCCCGAGCTGGGATGTTCCCGAGGAAAAGATATTAAAAGACATACTTAACCCGATAGAAATCACTGACCCCGTAGAGCATGTCATGGTGCCGTTCGCCGCATGCGCATGCGTCTCCTTATTCCGCGAGGAGATGACAGCCAGGAAACGACTGGATCGCTCACCAGTAGCTGAAATCCAGATAGATCCATTCACGGCAAGTGAGAAGACCCTGCGGGCACTCCATGTCATCGTATAGTACTCAGGCATCAGACGTTTCACCGGAAGTCAGGGACTCTTCTAAGATACGATCGGGCAGATAGATACATGCCTTGGCATTTCCATCTCCTCTCCCCTGAAGCATGCAGTCCATGAACATCGAGTGAAGATCATAGCGACCCATCCAAGCCCTCCAGCCAGGCCAGGCCAGGCCAGGTCAGGCTCCCCCGGATGAAAACCACGGATGATAAGGTCTCGTACCGCGGCAGCGACCACCGCCCTCCGTGTCCAGCTCCTAGGGCCCAACCCAGTCGTCGTCGCGTACCGATCACAGTGACCCCAAGCGTTGTGGCCATGGCTCCTCTGCCGCTGCATGTACGTCGACGACGACACGAGCGAGCTGTATGGCGAACAGTGGTGCGCCCCCGCTCCCGCGCCAGTCTCGGTCATATAGGGGCCGACGGTCCAACGCCCTTGTTCGCATACTGCTTTGGGCACCGGCGGCGACGCGCGAAGCACCAGTAGCCAGCCCGCCAGAGCCGCGACGAGGACAGCGGCGTCCGGTACAGTAATACCTGCTACGAACCGATAGGACAGCACGGCGGGCGTCGAAGGGGTAGACGTGCCAGTAGCGCCCGGAATCGCGCGCGTAGGAGTCCGAGTCCTCGCGGCGAATCTGCGGCCCATGTAAACGCCCAAGTCGGGCTAGTCGAAGCCGCTGGTATGCGCCGTCTTGAAAGCGCCGCCGATGGCGTCGCTGATCTCGTTGGGCACGACCTTGCTCGTGAGATTTGGCTGGTAGAGGTACCACGGCACGCCCCGAGGGGTTCTGCTTGCCGAGGTCGAGGTTCTGCGTGCCGAACTGGTTGGGCACATCGCATGCAGGTCGTGTCGTCGAGCGGAGAGAAGTCGCTGATGGTGAGCATCTGTAGACCTCGCTATACATGATCAGGGGTTAGTATATTCTTGCAGTATTTAAGAGTTTCTTGAGGCTTCTCAAGCTGGCCAGAGGATTGCCTTCAAAAACAAGCCAGGTAGGCAGCTCTGGCTTATGGCTGATTCGCGAACATGAGCTCGGGTTTACGTACTCAAAGCCTGCCGTCGATGGCGGCATGCCCGAACCTCCATACAGGTGTAGCTAAGTAGATTTCAGTATTGCTATTAAGAACAAGGGGTTCGGGGCATCATCTGAAGCCTAGCGCTCTCACATGTTCTAGCTGTGCCCGGCCCCGTCCAGGCGGTCATGAAGGTGTTGCTAACCCAGCTACTCGTAGTAGTATGTCTCCCCCGCCGGCGGTATGCTCATGTCGGCACCGTACGAAACGGATTCGATCGCATCCAGTGGTGCACCCAGAACTTCCCAGTTCTCCAACAGCACGTCGTAGGCGTAAGGAACTGGGTCGGTTGGGAGGGCCCTCGTAATACTCGCTACCAAAAATGTAGATCTTCTTGTTCACGTCGTCCGCCCATAGGATGCCGCCATTAGCACTTGGTATGGGCGCGTTCTTGACAGGTTCGCATAAAGCTGGGGCATTCCACCGCCCCCTGGCTGATCCAACTCCTCGTATGATAGCCATGTGTCTCCAACGGCGTCAGTGTTCGTCCGTCCTTCACTGCAGATTTTCAGAGGAAAGATGGTGAGGCCGTTGCGTGCTCGTGTAGTTTGTTGGGTTATCTGTCATGGGATTCCATTACACGAACCCCCATCGATATAGAGCTTGCGGTCGATCACCGCCGGCTGGTGCCCAAAGCTTCTGCAGAAATCCGTCACCGGATCTCTGTGGGCACGCGCAGACCCTGTTTGACAGGAGAGTATCACGACAAGCAATATCAGGATGCGGCCTATTAGGGCAGCAAGCGACGTAGTCTTTGAACCAGCCCGCCTTGACCTTCACGAGAAGTGATGGGACAGGCAGTTTGGCAGCCGAAGAACCGTCGTCATTGGGAAGGTCGGGAGATTTTGACCCTAACTACAGTCCTCGCCGGAACATTCGATGTACTACTTGAATCCAGTATTCAAACAACAGGCAATACGGGCGTTCAGACTTAGAGAAAAGACGAAAATCAGGTGGCATGTGTTGGTGAGGCCGGCCCAGTGACTCACTCACATGGCAGTCTGCCGGCAGCCAGAGCTGACAGCCCCTTGCGAAACTAGTACTGTGCCGACGAGTCGAGGCTAAGGTACGAAATTTGCCGAAAACCTTGGTCTTCCTGCATGGCCAGACTTGTCGAGGCGTCGCGACGGCCTAGCCACTGAGCTCTAGGCCGTGGTGAGTAGTAGATGGCACAAATACGGTCGACTGCTCTCGAATCACGTAACTTAGCACTTCATGTCTATCAGGCCCTAGGTGTTGCCCCTTAGCTGCGGGCGGTCGGATGGTCTCCAATCAAAGGTCAAGGTGAGGCGATAGTTGGGCGAACGCAACGGTGTAAGACCTAGGAAAAGTCTCCTGGCAGCTAAACCACTCAGGGGCTAACGGGAAGGTAGAAGATGCTAAGTGATAGACTGTCATGATACAGCAGTCCGACACGTGCTCGCCTAGGCTCCCTGATGGGTCTTTGTGAAGCCGAACGCTTCAATCGCATGGGCGATTGCGGTAGGCTGAGACACACAGCAAGGAATGAGGAAGACTGGGTTAGCACAATGGAAACTGACTTGAATCTGCCTGCCATATGTCTATGACTGCGTATCTAGTTCTGCCGACCCCTAGAGTCAAGGTTAGCTCCCCTGCCCCAGGTGTATTGAGGATTCCCGTCATTCCCGGGCAGAAGCATACTGCCCGGCATTGCCTGCGGTTGGTTCGCCCCTGCCTTGTCTTTGGTATGACACGATTAGTCACCTCTTTCCATACATCTTTCCACCTGCACTATGTGCTTATAGGGACGCAAGGCAACTGCATCATCACAGCCTAGGGCGTGTGCTCTATCTGGAGTATATAGGTCTTCAAAGCGGAGACTTGGGCACAAGGCTCGAGATGTATCATAAGAGCGAAGCTTGCTTATTGACCAAAAAGGCTTGCAGATCCAGCAAAGCCCCCCGAATCGGTCTTTTGCTCAAGATTGCCATCATCTGCTCCTGCACATTTGGTGCTCTCTTGAAGCCGTTTGCCAAGCTGCTTCCGGTTCCCTGCATCGCAAGCATGTCGGCTGATTTGCGAATATCTTCCATGTCGAGCCGGCAGTCTTCCTCATACTCCCCAGACGCAATCATGAAGTCTGGTGAGCTGATGAAGTTTGCGACACCATTACTCGTCCGGCAAGCCTCGTGTATGGCGTCCATGTAAGCCTCAACAATAGGGGTTTGAGCGGTAGCATGGTGTCCTATGCTGATGTGACCGGTCTTGCTGATCCGCCGTCTTTGAAAATCGTGCCACATCGTGCGGAAGGCTCCTAACTGAGCAAGACAGCTGACATATTCCCAAAGTCCAGGGCCAGAGAAAGTTTTCGATCTAGCACCCAAATAATGGCTTGTCAGAAGACGGAAAACCGCCAGAAGTCGATCTGCGTTGTGGTGACCTATCATGGACTGGGTGTTTCTGGGCTCAAAGGAGGATATTGACGCCTTGACTATCGAAATGATGTAGGCGGACTTCCCCTTCGAGAGTTCTATTCCAGCCTGGGCCGAGAGTCTCAGATATGTCTGGGTTGTTGCGAAAGCGGAACATTGTAATGAAGCTTCCAAGCCGCCTTCGAGGAGCTCAGGAGGCACGGTGTAGCGCCCATGGTGAAGGCTCAAAGTCAGACTGGTCAAAAACGAGAGTATAGCTGAAGGTGCGATATCATTGGCGATCTCGTTGCAGACTGACATCAGCGCGCTACCAGAGTCGGACACGAGTTGACAACCCTGAGGTGTTTGCATGACATTGGCAACGAGCCTCTCGATTTCCGCAAACTCCTGACAGCTCCTTAAAGCATCCGCAAATAGCTTTTCGTCGCCGGAAACTACCGACAGCCGCAGAGGTGGCCATTGGCGACGCATCATATAAGGAATGGTTTTGGAAGCGCTCTCCCGCACCATCTTCGGTATCCCGTTTTTGTCGAGTATCGAACCTATCGTCTGGTCGTAGTACAGACTGCGAGGAATCTGCGGCGTCTTCTCAGACGCAACCGTGGTAGGTTTGGTAGGTGTGTTGAGAAGGGCAACGGAAAGGACATCGTGGTCGGAAATGTGCCACGGGGAGAATTTGCAGCTCGCATTCGTTGCGTAAGCGGCTTCGTCGGCTGCATAGTTCTTTTCGAAATCTGCAATGCGTTCCCTGACCGGATGCGTCTGGCGCTCCTTCAGTGCCAGTCCAGGTTCGGGCACGCCATCCAGCTCCCCATCGTAGGCTCGCACGAACTTGCTGTCCTCGGCATCCAGGTCTAGTAGAAGAGTCGAGGCCTCGAACGTAGGGAATTCTTTTCGGGACAAAGCCCAGGAGCTGTTGGCCAACCACTTGCGACGGCCAAAATGCCTATATCGTACTTGGCCAGGCGCCAGGTACGTCTTGGCCAGGAGCCGGTGGCTCAGCCCCGAGCCGCTCAGTCGCTGCATTTCGAGAGGGATAGTCGATTGGACGGCATAGCATCTTGGGGCATGTTATAGGTACGGCAACAGACGGTAAGAACGACAGCAGAATACAAACAAGAAGCCTCCAAACCGCACGTACAGTGCAGGTACTCTGTTGTCAGGAAACAATATGACGGAGAGGGGAAAATAGTTGAGACACGGAGAGAGACATGGAGAGCTTCCCCAGCTTCCTGGGGTAAATAGCGGGCTTAGCACGCGATTAGCGTTGTGGACACAGCTGAAAGACCCTGGCCAGATCTGACGGGTGGGTCACTGTCTAACCAGATAGTACCCCATAGATGCATATGACTTTACAGGGAATGATCTGGCGCGTGTTATTGACATAGCGGAGCCTTGTGCCTTGTGGTAGCGGTATCCAGAATAAGGACCAGGGTCACGAATGGTGGCTATTGGTCTGTATTCTGGAAGTTGCTTGATTGAAAGAAGGGATGGGTGGTGTCCCCATCCCAGAAGTAGCTATCATCCCAGTTGGGTACAAATCAGGTACAAACGGGTACCCGTTGGGCTCCAAGGTACCTTGTATCCTGGTCCGTGACCCATCCGTCATTGTGGCTGGAAAATGGGTTGAGGAGCCACAGCCTGACCGCAGCCAGATGCCAACGGCTGCCAGTTTGCATCATTGCGCAGAACCGAGACTAACGCTGCTTCATACAACATCCAAGCCTTAACATTCCCCAGCAACAACAAGCTGTCGTCCGCGACACTCAGAACAGAAGCGAAACGTCATACCGAATCATTCTATTTCCAACCAACATGCCTCCAGCAAAGAAGAGAAAGACGAGAGCGGCCGCGAAAGCAGCCGCCGACGCAGAAAACATCCAACCCCCGACCGAGACACCAGAGCAAGCACCCATAATGAACGACGAAGAGGTCACCGAGGTGGAGAATACACAGCCGCCGGCGGAGGAGGAGCCAACACCAGCAGATGAGGTCGTGCCAAATGAAGGGGAGAGTGCGGCAGACAAGGCCAAAGACAGGATGGCACGCTTCCGCGCGCTCCAAGCCCGCGCCAAAACGTCATCTGACCAGAACCTGCAAGAAGCAACCAAGGAGTCACAACGGCTGGCCACGGACCCTTCGGCCCTGACGGCGCTGCACCGGCGGCGCGACATCGCCAGCCACAAGCTGCTGAAGGCGGAGACGGAAGAGGCGGGCGACGACTTCGAGCGCAAGCGGGCGTGGGACTGGACGGCCGAGGAGAGCGAGCGGTGGGACAAGCGCGTCAAGAAGCGCGGCGCGCACCGCGACAACAACGCCTTCCAGGACTACCGCGCCGAGAGCAACAAGGTGTACAAGCGGCAGCTGCGCGAGCTGGCCCCCGACGTCGAGCGCTACGAGAAGGCGAAGATGGCGGCCGTCGAGAAGGCGGCCGCGTCGGGCGGGCTCGAGATCGTCGAGACCGAGGACGGCGAGCTCGTCGCCGTCGACAAGGACGGCAGCTTCTACTCGACAACCGACTCGACTGCATTCACAGAGAACAAGCCCGACAAGGCGGCCGTGGACCGCCTCGTGGCCGACCTGAAGAAGGCGGAGGAGCAGCGCCTGCGCAAGCGGAGGGAGCGCATGGCGCAGAACGGCGACGAGGGCGATATCACGTACATCAACGAGAAGAACAAGCAGTTCAACAACAAGTTGTCGAGGTTCTACAACAAGTACACGGCCGAGATAAGGGATAGCTTCGAGCGTGGTACTAGGATATGATGATATGGGTCTGTTATTGGTACGGTAGCTGCTGGACTAGGCCGTTGCTGGATGAATAATAGATAACAAGGCACACTGCCTCCAGAGTTCACTATGATACAGTCTATAATGTCCATTGATACAAGCCCTTTCCGAGGAGCCTAGAGCATATTCTTCCTCCACGACTTGTTTGCCAGCTCCTCGATCTCCGGCACCTCCACAGGCCCCTTTACCGTCTCGTCCCCCAGTGCTTCCACAACAGCTTCGGCCACCACATCGGCCTTCAGCGGCTTGACCGCAGCGGCGCCCATGAAGTTCCCAAATAAGCCGCCCGTGAGCCCGTTGAAGGCCGCACCGGCGCCCGTCATGGCAGCCATGGGCACGGTGATGGGGCGGGAGCTGTCGTACAGGAACGGCGGGCGGAAGAAGACGCCGCGCATGCGCGGGAACTCGCTCGCGATGGTGCTCTCGGCCTGGCGCTTGGTGGTGATGTAGCGCGTGGGCAGCACGGGCGCGCCGCCGGCGGCCGAGACGAAGACGAAGGCGCCGACGCCCTCGCGGCTCGCCTCCTTGGCCAGCATGATGGCGCTGTCGCGGTTCATGTTCTCGTACGTGAGCTGGTCGCGCGTCTCGCGCGGGCGGATGTCTTCTTCTCCCCCCGCGACGTTGCGCTCGAGCGGGTTGCCTGGTTGTGGTGCTGAGGTGAAGGCCTTGCGCATGCCGGCGATGGGCGACACCTGGCCCTGCAGCACGCCCTTGTAGTCGGCCTCGAGCAGGATGCCCATGCTGTGGACGACGCAGTCGGCGCCCTTGAGCAGCGGCGCGTAGGTTGCTGGCCGCAGGATGTCGCCGCGCTCCCAGCTCACTTTGTGGGCCCAGGGGGGTGGCGTGGCGGATGAGGTGACGGTGTTCCATTTGGGCTCTCCTGAGCGGCTGTTGTATGCTATCAGCAGGGTGCATGGTGATTGTAGATGGACGATAATCAAGTGTCTGACTTACCTGATCGAGGTTACGTCCCATCCCCTCGCAATGGCGTGTTTGCATATCCTCGACCCCAGGAAGCCGTTACCGCCACATACTATCACTCTCTTGGCCGACATGGTGAGAGCTAAGGGTGTTGTTCGAGAGCTGATGGAGCTCGTAGTGTGTAATTACGCTCAGGACTGGTCAATTGATGAAGAAGCTGTTGGGAATGAAGTGAGTGGAAAGACCTGGTGAGGACCAGCTCAGTTGTGTCTCTTATATGTGTGTGTGCCTGAGAGGCTCTAACATCGTGGGCTTAGTTCATAACGCGCAAGCATAACGCTCTGAGGCTTTCGCGGGTGGAAATCAACTACATCATCAGGCCATGTGTAAGGCTGACATCCTTCACTCAAATTACTGCATTATGAGCAGGGATACAGGGGATAAAGATGATGCTGATTGGGTGTGGCGTAAGAGATCCATGTAAGAGAGATGTGAGATTGTGAGGAGGCTGAGAGGAGGCTGAGAGGAGGCTTAAAGTCAATTGTGGCTTCGCCTCTGAACTTTGACCCGGGAGCATGATCTCTTAGGTACATGTATCAATGCCAATTGATGCCCGTCAGACCAAAGATACCTGGGGCACAGAGCGCTCCCTTTTCATGTTTCCGTTGCCGCGTACATATAATGGGAGAGCTTGGTGCTCCGCAACCTTGACGACCTCGAGGCACCGTCGACCGTAAACCATCACACCGCCTCGACCGCAAGAATACCCTCTTTGGTTCTTCCCTCAGAGCTTCGACGACAAAGCCGGTGCTCTATTGCTTGTTGCCAACAGCACTGGCACTCGCGATCGCCGCCCGACGCACTCCGCATCTCGACACCAAACAAGCCACGACTACCTACCCACCCACCACCGCATCCATCCATCATGGCTCCGCCTGCTGGTAAGCGCGTCAAGGGCACGCAGGTCTACCGGCCCTTCATCTACGGTACCACCGCGCGTGCCTTCAACGAGACCACGCACCCACGCCCCGCCGGCGTTCCACCCGACCACACCCACTCGTGGGAGGTGTTCGTGAAGGGCGTCGAGGACACCGACATCTTCTACTGGCTGCGACGCGTACAGTTCAAGCTGCACGAGTCGATCCCGAACCACCTACGCACCATCGATGCCGAGACCATCACGAGGGAGAACGAGGGCAATATTAAGAAACAGCGCGCCTTCGTCGTCAGCGAGACGGGCTGGGGCGAGTTCGAGATTACCATCAAGCTCTACTACGACAGCAAAAGTGGGGAGAAGCCACAGACCTTGTATCACCATTTGCGCCTGCATCCCTATGGCCGCACCGAGGCAGAGAAGGAGGCCATGCGCAGCACTGGCGAGGTCGTCGCCTGGACCTTCGAGGAGCAACTATTCAACGAGCCCTTTGAGGATTTCTACAATATCCTCACATCAGGCGTACACGATAAGGGGGCCGGCTCCAAGGCCGGGAAGGGCAAAGGCAAGGGCAAGAGCGCGCAGCAGCAGCAGCCGGCCGAGACCGGCGACGTCAAGGAGCGCAGCGCCATGATCCCGCTGACTACCAAGCCGGGCCAGCCCTTTAGCCGCGAGGCCGAGGCCGCCGAGGTGAAGCAGATCAAGAGCGCCACTGACAGTGTCAACGACATGATACGCGAGATAAACAAGTCGGTCAAAGCCAAAGAGGCCCAACTGGTGGCTCTCAAGGCAGAAGGGTCCGCCTAGGACGCGGCCCTCCAGACCCGTCAGATCCGCGAATACCGTAAGCAACACATGCGATTTCTGGTCACGGTGCGGGTATCACCCGCTGCTCTCCGGGAGATCGAAATGCGCCGCGTTCAATCAGGGCCCGGAGCCACGTCTCCGCCAGGGGAACCTAATGCCTCCTCTTCAAGTCATAGTGATGATGATGATGATAGTGGTGGTGGTGGTGGTGTTGAGGAAGAGCCGTCGGTCACTGCCCGTGCGATCATCGACCACGCGAACGAGGCAAACTTTCCTGACGACGAGGAAGGCGGCGCTAGCGTTCGGCGCCAGCAGGGCATGATGTCTCCTCTCTCTGGTCCCGATAACGAGTAGTTGCTTGAGCAGCGAAGTGCCCAATGATGGCCTCACTATCACAATTGTGGACTTGCCTGCAATACCCTATATGGTTCTTACCATCTAGCAGGAAACAGCAGGAAACGGCTCCTAGTCTCCTACATTCGGCAGACACCAGCTCAGAAATACTCTAGCAACCTGAGTTCGGCGGCAGGTAGAACCCTATCACCTTTCGGATAACACAACCCTGGATTCTAGCTACCTCCTGACTGATCCAGGAATGGCGGGACAGACCACTGGACATCGGAGGTCGATGAATTTGGGAAGTGGTTGTGCTCTGTGGCGAGGTGTACAGCTCGTTGCAGCACGGTGGAAAGAATGACGCAGCCCACGCAGCAGTCGTTGCGTGTGCTTTATCCTGGCCATACATCTTACGAATTTTCTTTGCGGTGTCTTCTACATCACGGTTCTGGCAGATGTCTACGAATTTGGCGGGATGCGACGACAAGTTGCCTTCAGGTTTCCCCGGGACTATCTTTACAGGCCTGAACAACTTCCACCTCGCATTAGGCACCACCTCGCACCCTTATTCGGCTCCTGGCCCTAAAATACCACCCCGTCCTCGTTAATTGCCCGAGGGTATTTCCAAAATGGCCTCAGAACGCATAAGGAAATGCTATGATCAGCTGGAATACGGCAAGGACGGGCTTATGACAATTACTTATCTTACCTTTCAGGCTGGTCGTTGGTCAGTCGTTGGTCATCGTGATCAGACTTGGCACATCATCTCGATACAGGCCCATATAGTCTGCCTTGGTCACCCGAGCCATCCTCTCGGCTGAATATCTTGGGCGGTACAGTGATTAGCCTGACTGTACCGCCCAAGTCCCCTTTTCGGAGAGGCAAGGAATAGGCAGCAAGTGACAGAAGCCACTTATATAGATCGTGGTCACATCTCACCGCGTTGAATTAAATATGGATCCATATTCAGGGTCTGTACCACTCACTACTTACTGGCTGCGTTGACTGCCCATCTGTGATTCTGTATTCTGGTGATGTTGTCAAGCTCCCTAGCTCAATGAAAGGTATCTGAGTCAGAATATCATACGCGCGATCCCGGGTTCAAGTTGACCTCGATGCCATGTTGCATTGACAGGCTACGCTCATAACGAGTGAGTTCCGTGGTATGGATGCCGACTGATAGCACCCTACAGAGCCAATGGAAGTGCCCAGCAACCGGGTTCTCACATTGCTATTGCCAATAGAGACGCGGACGTGGACGTGGATTCAAATAATCTTGATTCGGTTTATCAGATTGGGGTGATTCTCTCTAGGGGAACCTAAAATGCCCTGAGTGCGCCAGGTGTCCTCGGGAAGAACCGCCAGCAGCTAAATGTCGATAACGATAATGGCGATCATCTCTATCTCACAGGCGGCTTATATAACCACATTTGCTCTTCTCCTTCTATCTCAGTTCCCCGTCTTCTTACAGCAGTCCCACTGGCCGTCCTGGAGCATGTTCCAAAGAATGATGGGTATGATTCCGCTCACGAGGCTGCTGCATTGCAATGCCTGATCAGCAGCCTCATGGAGAAAGCAAGACATTCACACCCCGGAACTCTCATTGCTCCGAGGTCGAACCTATCCCCTCAAGTGTTTTCCGGAGCCCAAGTCACCCCAAACGCCTGTGCTGTACACCCAAGCAATACACATTAAACATTTGGTATCGCCAATTCCAAGCCCGCCCAACGCAGGCCGCAACGCCGTATACCATCTTACAATGTGTGGACAAAGGAAAATGTTGAGTGATGGGAGTTTGTCTGTGCAACTATTGTGTTGCTTCGTAAGCCGGGGGTGGCGCATCATCACGCTCATCCCACAGCTTGCCGTTTTCTTGCTTCTCGTCGTATACTCGACGAGCGATCTCGCCTGCCATCTTCATGATCCAGGCTTGCTCCAGAATCACAGATGATGTGTCAGAGCCGGCTGGCCGCCGTCGCTCCAAGTTAAAGGGGTTCTTTGATGAGGCGGCTGCCTCCATGGCCTTGTCTTGCTGGGCTGAAAGGGTGCTTTCCTCGTTCTCAGTGGATCTTATAGGAGATGTTGCTGTCTTGGTGGGGTCTTCGTAGATGTCCATGTTCAGAGGTGACCGAGTTTGCAATCCTCTGCTGTCAGCACTGAAGCGGACTCTGCCCGAAGAAGACATGTGTGCTGGTCTCGCCTCTTCCGGCTCTTCAGGGATTGATGTGGGCATGATGGGCTCAGAGCTTGGACCGGCAACGGATGTCGCGTCCGATAACGTTTCGGTATCACCATAATCGCTGCTCGCCTCGCCACCAGTCTTAGGGCGACGAAGGTTGACCACACGGGTTTTCTTTTTCCGCTGGTTCCTCGGGTGTCGACCAGCCCCGAGAGATATGCCAGTGGTAGCTGTGTTGAAACTGGTCAAGGATGGCCGTGAGGGTAGGCCACCTTGGTCCGTGCTACTCGAGTCTGTAAAGGTGTATGTCGTCGAGCTTCCCTGCACAGATTGCATGCGCATGAGACTTGGAGCAGCAAGAGGCGTAGATGTGCCTGTCTCTTGTCGTTCCATTGGTCCGGTCCAAGCCCTGAACATCGCATTTTGTATTCCCGGAGTGAATAAAGATAATGTCCGCTGAGAGTCGGTAAGAGCAGCCAACTTCAGGAGGTTCTTCTGAGAAAACAACGATTGTGTTTCCGGCCCACCATTCAGAGACAAGGATGCGAGCTCGTTGGCATCAAGCACATGCCCATTCGAGTCGACTGCTTCTTCTGGCAGATTTGCAAACGGATCAACGACGGTCTCATCATCCACACCCTCTTTGTGCGTCTCCTCTTCCCTCGGCAGTTGATCAGGACACCACAGCCGCAAGGAAAGCTTGTGAATAATGGCCGGTAGCTCATCCATCATCAGATTCCTGAGTTGACCTTCAATTGTTCTTTGAAGGTAATCCCGGACAAACTGGATTGAGTCAAAGGTCGAAGAGACCTTGAGAGACTCAAGCGGATCATTGCGGAAGACCAGAGTGAGACCCTTCTGTTTCGAGAAGACCAAGATGATGAAGGCTGATAGCTTGATCTCTGACAGCGTGATGGACAGTGGTATCGTGAGGCCCGCAGCAGCTGCCAGCGGCTGTGGTGAGGTGAAGCTAGGCTTGGCTGAGAGGTATGTGTTCAGGGGGTTTGCCTGTGAGTTGTTGATATATGTCAGTGAGTGATATGACGCACGGTGCATTTCCCAAAAAGGGAACTAGAGAAACATCCACATGGCGCGAACCCCTGTGTTTCAATTTAGAAGTTCATGCGAGACTCCACCGACGCGAGAAACAACGAAGTTCGCATTGGGTCCGCGAAGATCGAAACAAAGGACGGGGGAAAGGGGTGGAAACGGTTCTGACTGGTGGGCAAGGTCGAGTGTTGTTGTTGTTGTTGTTGTTGTGATTGCTGATGCCGAGCGCTTGCTCTGGGGATAAGATCCAATATGTCCAAAGTATAGAGAGTCTGGCGTTGAGATGTATCAAACCCCTCCGCATCTTGATAACGAATGAATAATATGCCGTGTAAAGGTGATGTCGATCATCCGCAACCGTTGTTCGTAAACCGCAATACACCTCTCGCAAGCAAGGTTGGACACAAATCATAACGTACCTGCACTCTCGTCCGCAGGGTCAGGAAGGCATCGCCGGAGTAGCACATCTTGAAGATGCCGCGAAACCTATCCTCGGCCAGGTCGCCGATCTCGAGAATCTCCAGCTCGGGCGGCACGGAGCCCAGGTTGAACTCGGTGACGAGGATGTCATCGACGATGATGGGCGGCTTCGGCGACTTATTGAGGGCGTCGGTTAGCAGCTCCTGCGCGCGCTTGTAGAACTCGGCGTCGGCCGTCAGGGGCGACCAGTTGAAGTTGAATGCCATGTTAAATTGGCGTCGGGCCTAGACACGCATCGTACGGGAGGCGTCTTGGTGTGGTGTCGAGCGGGAGCGCGTCAATGGTCGATTTCGGATTTTTGTGGTGATAGGAATACAGCGTGGACGTGACTGGCTGTTTGTATATCCGTCGAGGAGTAGAGCGTGGTGTTGGGAAGGATCGGGCTGGTCGTACGAGGATGAAGCGACAGCTCGTGATCGTTGTTGTACAGGGCCGTCGGTCGGTCGGATCGTAGGTGCTAGGTGGTAGGCAAGGAGGGAGCGGCCAGTCGTATGATTGTCGGATGCGGTGTGGGAAAACGAGGGTTCTTCAGGATCTTTGTGCAGCCGTGCGGGAGATGACGCTATGCGATTCTTCAGTTGGGTCGTGTGCTCCAGGTGCTGCAGTTCGGTGTTCCACTCCTCTCCCTTCTGAAAGGGATACCTTAGCGCATAATATTTTTCTAGGTGCATCTGCTGGTTGGCCCGGGTGCATTAAACGGTGGATTAGCGGAGTAGGGGAAAAGCACGCTTGAAAGCACTATTTTGCAAGCGGATTATGCTCGCCCGTTGATCCCGTTGTTCCCGAGAGCTCGAGATGGTCTGTGCGCTACCTCTTCCTCGTCGTCCCCTTTTCGGGAGAGGGGGCACGCGACCTGAGCCTGCAACCTCGGAACTTCCGTCTGACTCGTTCGTGGCTTTCCTCCAACTGCTTCTCACGCCGACTCTCCCCGTCTGACCAAATAAACCCAGTGATCTGGATAGGACGGGAGCATGACACCGTTTCAACCTAAAATGGCTCTCATCGTATTTTCAGCAGACTATCACGTGCACGCATAGCCACTCGCGTGAGCAATGCTGGAAGTATGTTGAGTTTGCCAGCTATCACGAGCAATTCATAATAACGTACATGTAAGGTAGTCGCTCAACTGTTCTTTGATCCATCTCATCTAGCATGTGCCGACAGCAGCCTCTTTGCGTCTCATACAGTAAGTGGTAGAAGTTCAGACAATATCATCTGGTATTAGAACTACGGAGTTGCGAAGTGAAACGGTTTATTATCAAATAGCCGCCGGCCAGCCATGTCGAATCGCCCCTTCGTAATCGTGTGCATCGTCGTCCTTCCTCATTAGCAGTCCCAAAGACAACCATATCTCGTGTGTAATAACGTTACGTTCCCACCGCACGCCCGCAAGAAGCCGTACCAACATAGAAACCCAAAGCCCTAAAAGCGGTGGCCCAGTCTCTCACGGAAAGGCGCAGGGACGTCATCAACCATGCCGTTCTCAAGGCAATAGTCGAGCCTCAGCACACAAGCCGTCTCAATGGGCGGGCCATCCACCTTCTCCTCCCCCGTGTACCAGCCATTATCCACGAGGTTGTTGTGCGAGTCCTGCCAATACGTCTGCTTCTCCTCCCAGTTCTTCTTGTCGACGTCGGCCAGCTTGACGACGACGGGCTCTCCGGCCTTCTCGTCGACGGGCATGCGCACGAAGCACGAGCAGTCGCGCAGCGTCATGGCCAGCCCGAAGTACGCGTTCCCCGGGTCGGCGAACAGCGCGCGGTCCGGGTCCCCCCTCATCTGCAGCGCGCGCAGCCGCTCCAGCACGCCGCTCTCCCGCAGCGCGTCGGCGAGGCGCTCACGGTCCCGCTCGGACCACTTCGGCGCGAGCCGGTCCATCGTGCTCATCACCACGGCGCGGTTCGCGTGGCGCAGGCCGAGGGGGCAGATGGGCGTCGAGATCGTCTTGCCCTGGGCCTGCTTCTGGCCGTTGCGGAAGGCCTCGCGCGCGCAGGTGCGGCAGCGCGTCGCGTCCGCCGGCGCGAGGGGCGACTGCGCCAGCCACTTGGGCTTGAACTCGAGCGCCAGGTGGTCGCCGGGCGACGGGCTCATGTCCTGGATTAGCATGGCGTAGCCGGCGCGGATGACGCTGCCGTCGTCGTCCCTGTGGCCGCGCTTGGCGTTTAGAGTGCTTGCGATGCCCTCCGAGATCTTGACCAGCAGCTGGGGCACGATGTGCTCGCGGCCCACATGGACCTCGACCAACTTCTCATGAAAGTTCTGAAGAGTCTCGTAGTCGCATGGCGTGACCCCCGGCGTGGCCTTCGGGACGCGGACTAGAGTGCCGGCGAACAGCCCGTTGGGCGCCGCAGGGTCTTGCACGTCCTTGATGGTGAATACGACGTTGGCTCGGCCCTCTGCCAGATACTGAAACTCGTACTTCTCGAGCTTGGCGATGAGATCCTCGCGTTCTTTGGCTGTGATGACGGGTTCGACCTCCTCAGCATCCGCTTCCGCCGGGAGCGGCTTCGAAAGTTTGTCCCATATGTTGTGCATCTTGACCGTATCGTGTTGGCGAGGACAATTGGGATGCAAGAATCAGACTGAAGTTCGAAGGTAAAATCCGATTAGAATGATCGAAACTGTAGGCGCAAGCGGTAAACATATGTGCCTTGTCGTCCTGCGTGAAGTAATACAGGCCAAATGCCCAGGTGAAGGGAGCCGCTGAGGCAACCTCCTTCTTGAAACGAATGGGCTAGCGACTGACGCGGAACGACAAAGGGAAGTAACGACTGTCAATAACATCAAAATGCCTAGGTAGGCATTGATACATTAGTATAGGCAATTGTTGCTATGTATGAAGGTAACAATTCAAGCAAATGTGTTGCAATAGTGAAGGGAAATGCACTTCTGGGCATCATGCGACAATCTGCGAGATTCAGCTAGCTGCTAGCCGGGAGTCGTTGGAGTGTCAGGTGCTGGGCCATGGTCATGTGCGGCTGTCGTATTGATACGGTGCCATATTTGTTATCTGTCTCCCATATCCCATATCCCAGGTAAAGTGGCTCGATCGAGTAACACCAACGTTGTGAGGTGTCGGCCTGACAAAGGTCAACATATACCCAGTTTTGGTTATGTGTTGTGTGTCTGTACGTCTTAGTTGCTTGCTCATGATTGAATTCGAGTCTACCTATGCCTTGCCCATCTGTAAATCGAACGCCAGCCCTTGGTGAAACCAAAACTGATGCATCCTGAATCGTCATCTATTATCTTTATATTCCAGCAGCAGTGAAGCTCAGCAGACTGCCGAACGCCAGTCCAGCCACCAGACAAAGCCCCATGAACCCCCCTGAAGCCTCGCGTTCTCCTTCGTCAACCCACTCACCCGCTGCCATCATACAGTTCGAAGCAAGCCAGCCGTTTGTCAAGCCAAAAGGGAACTGGACCACAAGAAGATAGAACACGTCGCTATTGACAGTGGCACCCTGGCCATGGATGTTGCACAGGGTGTAGAGCGGCAAGAATATGAACCTCGCAATGCTGACTGCGAATAAGACAGCTGGGCGTTGACGAAACGGCAATACAAGCGAGCTTGCTCTTCCTCCAAGGTCTCCCAGGTTCCAGAAGAAGAACCCAAGTGGGATGAAGGCTGCAGGTCGGAACAGTGTTGCCGCTCCTTCTGGCTGTGTCACAGACAAGATCTTGGGAGTAAAGACGGGGAAGAACATAGTGACAGCAAAGCACATGAACACAGCGCCAGCAAGCCAGTGAAGCTTCCTGAAGAGCGTGGCCATGCTGACAACTTTGCGTGCCGCACGTTCGGCCTCTTCGATACTGGTCATCGAAGCGGCCATATGGTCGACCATTCGGGTTTCCACGATTCTGTTGTGCCGCCGGACAAGTGGAATGAAGGCCACCAGCGCCACGACGGAGATGACAACTGCGGTCAAAAAGTAGATGAAAGCAGCTGTGCCTTTCTCTGGTGTGGCTTCTCTCGCCTCAGGGTCTGTCTCTGGCGGTGGAGCAACGAGGACCGAGATGACTTGAACCAGGGCGGGGAGCACACCGGCGACACCTTGTCCAGCCATGATTGCTTGCATGTACTCAGGCCTGCCGAAGCTCGAAGCAAACGCGAACGCGCCATTCTGTATCAGTCCAGCCGCCCAAGCAGTGCATGCGACCATGGCCAACAGAAACACAAGGTAGGCGGAGGGCGAGGCATCGAGGAATGTTGCTGTCGAGACGGTCAACAGCGCGAACACTGCCACGTTTATGTACAGCGCGAGGTTAATTCGGAACGGATACGACGCCGAGTATTGTACATTCGTCAATACGACCATGGCTCCGAGATTCGTGACTGTTGACACGGACAGGATCGCGGACTGGAAGTTGTCGAGTGACCATTGGTCGTCTTGGAACCGAAGCTGGAAGTACGGCGCGGCAGCAAGGAACATGTTCCTGATAGACTCAGTAAACTGCCATGGCATACTTCACGATGGGAAGACCTACCACGCCCATAACATTGCGACCCCAAGCAATGCAAAGATGCCGTACTCGACCCACGAAAACGGCGCGCCATCTTCTGCGTGACGTCCAGGCAACCCTTCCGGGGACTGCGACTCCTCGCTCAGCGGCTGATATTCCTGCTCATCCTCCCCCTTCTGGAAAAGGGACCGAATGCGATCCATACTGCCCGCGAATATCGGATTGATGCTCGGACGTGGCTATTAAATACAAGCAAGGCGTAGGTAGGGAAGGTCGGAGGAATGCCGTCTCGTCAGGCGCGCAACATAAGAGGACAACGATTCCAGGGACCAAAAGGTAGGACTAAATCACGGGTGCAACCCAAGGCAGTCTTTATTCGATCATGGTTCTAGTTAGTGACAGATGGCGAATGGCTCAAGCCTGCGAATATCTGAGACGCAGTGTGGTTCTAGGAGGGAGCTTAATCGGTCATTCGTGAATGTCATGAGGGACGGGAGGTAAAGATAAGCCACCGTCGCGACTCTCAGCCACAGATGCAAGACTGCCAGTCACCCGATCGGTTTTAAGTGGTGGGGAGTTGTTTTATTTTAGGCGCTGCATCTCTTAGCGCCCGGGCGGCATACCCGTGCTCCTTGCCTTTCTGATCTGTACCGCACATCAATACTCACGTCCAAGCAACGGTTTTCTTTTCATGGCCGAACAAGCAACCTGGAATATGCATAGATAGACTTGACCATTGGGCTCTATAAGTTGAACTACCCCGATAGAAAGTGGTGTACATGGGCGGTGAACTACCATCAAAGAGCCCGGGTAATTATCATATGGTCGGCTTTCGCTTGTATCAACACGGATGGACCTATGCCTCTCGATTTATCTCGAGAGTGTCATATGCATCGATCTGATCCCTCTCGCATAGGATCACACATGCGTCGTTCAGGCAGATGTGCGTGGTGAAACTCGGGTATCTTGAATTCTGCCATGGAAATGGGATACCTACAGGTAGACGCAGCCGCCCACATGCTAGAGGTTGAACCGTGTACGGGTTTTCTCCATCTTTGCCTTCCATTCCCACTGGACAGCATCGTCCCCTTGACTTCCAGCTCTGCCAATGCCCTTGTCTATGCGTCTGAGCTTTAGAGTACAGCGTGGGCCTAGTTCTTGAAGACCTGTAGGAAACAGTGTTAGTTTGGAACCCAAAACTCAAGCACAATATGCCCAAAATCACAAGTCCGGCACAAACTCAGTTGAGGAGCAACTTACCCGTTCGTATGCTTTCGACTCCTTTGAGCTCCTGTCCATCCGCACCCTGAACACTCTTCTCCGTAGCCCTCTTGTCTCTGAGTTAAAGTGTCAGCTTGCAATCAACAAAACAATAAAGCCCAGGCCAGACTTACCTAAAGATATATCTGTGTCGACGCTGGTTTGTGTAAGTCAAACAGCCAAGAAAATATTACGAAAATGAGGAGGGCCACCAAGGAGATGTTTGGCATACTAGACATAATGTTAGTATCGATAGGCAAGTCGGGGAAAGTCATATAATGTACCAAGAAAGATGTAATCCCGCTGGTTATGGAAAGTTACGACCTGTCGTCCCTCGAATTCAGGCGTTTTCGGCCTGGCGGGGTCAGCATTTCCGCGTCATACCGCACGAGATGTGAGCAACGAGAGGCATACCATAACGTCTGCAAACTTCGAGCCGTGAGCACACCGAGTGGAGTCTTGAACCCATTCAAGAGCAATTCTAACAACAACCGCGAGTCAGTCGTCCCGTTTCATACTTGACATTGAAATGGAACGGGAAAGTGAGGGTTGCCAACCGGGGTAGTGATTTGTCGGGTTGCCGTGTCCTGGAAGCCTCTTTCCTTCTATCCAATTCGATATCGAGTAATGCATCGTAGGGCCGGCCGGAAGGTGTACCACGTCCAACCCTACCGGTTTCTTTTGGTCTTCCCTCAGAATCATCACAGCACTGTAGCTTCTGTTCGCGGCAAAGTTTGCAATGTCACGCACACTGTAAGCGTGACCATACCGATGTGCCGATCTCGGGACATAGTTCGAGTTCGGGAAGAGTGTGCAGAGAAGTTGCGCTTCCTTGTGTATAGTTGCATTCCGGTCCGTAGTGATGAGAACCTTGGGCTCTTCAGGTCTATTGTCGTCGTCGAATAGTAATGGGAACTTCGCGACTAACGACTGGGGTGTCAGGTCGAGATTGGTAGACGTTGTCGAGGGCGCGAGGCTATCATCCCTCAAAACCTGTCTCGCGCGCGTGGCAGCGGCAGCGGACTCGTCCTCGGACCCTTCATCGTCCGAGACCCCCAGCATTGAGTCTTTCTCGTCGTCCTCGGATGCTTCTTCTATTGCCTGCTCTTCTTCCTCTTGTTGTAACCCCCTTCTCTTCAGGAGTTTCTCCATGTCCACGTTTGCGCCGAGGCTGTCATCATCAACGTCGTCCCAGACTCGCTTTTTGTCTATGGTCGTGGGCTGATTGCGTCCAACTCGCGCTCGCCGGAGTTCAGGCTCTCGATCTTCCTCCTTCTTCCGGCGAAAGCGGCTCTCGCGCTTCTCCTTCTCATTGTCTTGTTTCCGTTTCACGTAAAGCGACTGCCGATGCAGTTTGTTCCCAGTCTTTTTGGACAGGGAGGTCGAAGAGCCACGACCAGACCGTTGGGATCCCATGTTCGTGTAACCGACTACTGCTGTCAAGCTTGAACGAGGGGAAATGGCGGTACGAAGAGGCGCTGCGATGTTGGTTGTTGGCGCACTCGGAAGGTACCAAGGCCATGAAGCTACACTTCCAATTGGAAAAAGTTTAGTCGACCCAAGCTGCCCATGGATGTACGCGGATCTCCGATAAGATAAGGCGCTCCAGACTTTTTTATGGAACCGAAGTTTGGAGGGGCAGCGGGGTCACAGCCACAGATGGAGGGGTCCCCTTCGTAACTCAGCACTTCCAATGTTCCCCACCAAGTTGAGCATCAAGGTCGACTCTAGCCACAGCAATTGACAACGGCAACGTCGAGGTTTCAGTAATCTTGCCCCACGACCAAGTGACGATGAAAACATTCTTTGCCTAGAGGTAACGGTGGTTCGAGACCCTATTTCCCGTGCGTATTCCGTCTCACAAATATGAAGACTGACATCACGAGTACTGGAGGCAGTCTTGTTAGGTAAGCTTTCAATTGCGCTCACGTGGGGACGGCAAGCCCCCAGGTTGATACTGCTTATGTGTGGCAATGCAGTGGTGCCAGACCAGAAGACATTGGACTTTGGCTGACAGCGGCAGAGCAAGCAGCCAAGACGAAACCCGGCTGGGGGACTTGTCCCTGCCCTGCAACTCCAGACCAATTATGTGCGGCGCCGAGAGGGCCGCGAGCATGTATGCAAGTTTGCGACAGATCTGCAGATTGGAAACAAATGCGCATGTCTGCAATCTGTTCGTCTGTTTCGACGCCGATGACCCTCGCCCATGTGGCATGCGCGGCTGCGATCGCCCAGAAATCAGCTGAGGTCTGCAGCGGCCGTTGCGATGGTGAGGCAAGCCGACGTCAGCCTATGTGAAACGGCCGTTCTGGACGACGGACGACTACTCCCACGTCAGGGACAGTTGGCCCTGACATCTCAGCCTTGCGATTGCTTGCGAAAGTCTTCTCATAATTCCTTCTGTGTTGATGTGAGGTGCACCCAAGGTCAGAGAACAGACAGGGGATAGCCTGTCCTTCTGGGGAACCTGGCTCGTGCAGATGAACCTCGATGAGAGAAGCAGAAGGCACCAACACCAATGCGAGCAGTGAAGCTCGACACGAACATCGAGGGAAGATGCGTGTTCATAACAGTTGCGTTGGCTCCAATGACGCATATCTGTAGGTAAACACCGGGAGGTATGATTCAACTTGGCCCCAGCACGTTCACGGAGGGCCGAGGCATGACAACATGATCTCACCCCCTTATCAGTGGTAGGATGCTCTCCCCTCTTTCTCCCTTGTCAGTGGTCTGGAACGATGTATGGGCTTCTTTGTACTTGGCCGACTCCGCAAGTCCCCGCGAGAAGCTATCCATCGTCCACGACCTCTACACTCTCTACTAGCCCGCCGGATACAACATGGCGGCACAAGTCAAAGGGTGTCACTTGGTCGGCAGTGTACCTCTGCCAGACGCCGAAACTGTCTTCCGCCAATGCACAGCAGGACATCCAGACCGCTTGAAGCATCTCCCAGACGGCGAGCCCGGCTTTCTTAATCTGTTTACTACCTTTCAGTCCCTTCTCTTCCAGGCCAGTCCGGATCTCTGTACCAAGTTTAAGTACAATGTCCCAGTTGCGAACGGCGAGTTCACGGAGCAGCAAATCGAGGATGCCGTCGAGAAGCTGAAGCAGAATGGACCGCTCGAGACGCATTACGATACGAATGCCATTGAGAGCTATGGCACCTTCAGGAAGTTGAAAGACGAGGGAGAAAGGAACAAGGTTCCAGGTGTCAGTTCCCACACCACCCAACACCATCACACCGTTCGTGCAATTGCCTTTCCAGTCAAAAGTCGAGCCGACCTACCAGGATGCTCTTTATTGTGCCATACGGAACATGCAGGACAGCATACCACATGGAGAGCTGGCGATTCAGATCGATCTCGCTGTAGATACGGCATTCTACGAAGGCGTGTTGTACAAGCCATGGTTCGGCGACGGCAATATCGAGAAGATCAGGGAGTTCACTGTGGATTATATCGTTCGCATGGTCTCCCAGGTCGACGAGGACGTCGAGGTCGGCTTGCACAACTGCTATGGTACCCCGATCGTGCTGTAGGAACCCATTGGGTGCGCATGCTAACATGAGGTCTAGGCGACATGGACCACCGTCACTGGATGGAGCCCAAATCCCTCGCCGTGGTGACTGAGCGCGGCCTCCGCGTCTTCGAGAAGAGCCCACGTTCCATCAACTTCTTCCACTGCCCGGTTCCGAAGAGCGCCGGCGACCACCTTGAAGCTTACCTGGAGCCGTTGAAAGAGCTACTGCCAAAGTTCAAAGAGCATGGTACGGATCTCTATCTCGGTGTGGTTCACTACGACGACAGCGCAGCGACGCAGAAGATGATCAAAGCCGCTCAGAAAGTGCTGCGTGACTTTCCCTTCGGCGTAGGGACGGAATGTGGCTGGGGTCGGACACCCCCGGAGCAAGTGGAGGGCATCATGAAGATATCGACCGAGGTTTCGGAACCAGTGCTGTGACGACGATACGACCTATAGGCACAATGGGGCGGAAATACAATTCGAGAGTGAGGGAGGAGCTGGGCGGCCAATTCGTTCGTTCATGCGATGATACCATACTGTGCTTTGGAGCGTCTTGTAGATAGGTCTGGCATGAACGTCTGCAGAGATAGGGGTCGTGATAGAGGAGGACCAGAGGATGGATATTTGAAGAGAAGGCCAGCTGTCTGTTACTTCGTGTTAACTCTGCAATATGTATCAGAGTGCGGCCACTTGGTCAAGAGCCTAGAGCCTAGAGTCTAGTATTGCCCGATTATGCTAGGGGGGATAACTCTTCGTCCTCAGGAACCGGAGGTAGTTGCTGGTAATTCCTCCTTTCCAGAGACGCAGAACAAATCCAAGCATTCACCCTGTTATGGAGAGTCCACTGTAGCGGCAAGCTGACATGTCGTATAGAACTATTGGACAACAGATTATGGATCTGCTGAAGATCCCTTCTTAGTGTCGATGATTTAGTTTGGTGGCCAGAACTAGCGAAGAGCTTGGCGAGGGCTGGTATTGGGTCTCACCAACGAGATTGAACGCACCTCCTTAGATATCTGATGAGTCGTCCTGATATGTTGCGGACCTGATGCTCTTGGCTATGAAGTATGAAGAAATGAATGCCGGATCGAGACTGTAGATCTAGTAATTTACCTGGCAAAACCCGAGGTGGAATTTGAAGGCAAACCTATGTATCCAAAGCCTCGTGTACTGCATAACGGGGGTTTTGCATTTCTGTAGCGGTCACCGAATGCCGCTTCCTTTGCCATGATACCTGTCGTTACACAGCGCTGTGGCCAAGGCAATACCTAGAAACAAAGATGATTTCATAGCGATAGGTCGGGTGAAACTGTCCAAAAATGATGTGTACCTTAGGTATGTTGTGCACTCGCCTTGCTACCTTGGTTATAGTGATGAAGAAGTCTATGACATGTCGGGTTGGCTGTTGCAAAGAAGTGTGGAGAACATGCTGGCGCGTAACTTATCCCGTAGACCCGTCAATCCCTCACCCTGAAATGCAGGTGAGATCCTCAGGCCGCCACTACGGAGTCTGGCCGGATGCTTGGCACTGGGCAGTTGAGGGTTCCAGGTTGGGCGTTTGCGCCTTCCTTCTTGGCTTCGAAGTTCTAAATGTTCCAAATTAATGAAGCCAGCCAATCCCATTATCCCACAACCTCCTGCAACTTGCAGCCCGCGGCCCCCCCTCCATCGAAACGTCCTGGAGGTCCCGCCCGTCCAGCACCCCTTCTTTTTCGCCGCCATCGCCGCCGCCTGAGGTACCAACTACCACCAACTTGCCTTATCACCCGCCCACCACTGCCAATCCATCCCGTCCATCCAATCCTCACCACCCCCTCCACACACAACCTTCAACCATCTGAGATTCTGCCACCAAGGAATCCAACCAACGCCGACAACGCCGATAACGACTTCACTATTGTGAACCTGCGTTGGTCACAATAGTCGGGCAAGTCGACAATCAACGTCAGAGCAGGGGCGCGCGCTGTGACAGCACCCGAGGCCCGTGAACTCGAGCACTGCATCATTCGATGCTACGGTTTCGGATGTGAACTCGAGCCGTTTGTTTCTTTCTTTCTCCCCACTGCAGTCTGCCCGAGCGTCTTGTCTCCTTTGATTCCCGCCTCGAGGCTGCTCGCTAGCTCCGTCCGTCCGTCTCTCTCCTCTAGCGACTTCGATCGCCGAAGGGCTGCACGCGTCGCTCAGGTTCCCATTCAATCGTTCATCCCTTCACGGTGCAAGTAAATCCTTGCGTGCGCTGCACACCCGACATTCTGGGTGTCTCCTCCTTGGACCGAGTTCAACGACCTCTCAGCGACTCTGAAAGTGGGAGCGCCTAGGGCTAGATAAGTGGTGTCCTAGGCAGTCACCTTCGCCTCGGATTCCAAACAAGGCGTCAATTAGCTGCACCTCTTGCGATCGGCCCCCATTCAGCCTGACGACGATACAAAGCAGCTACAACATACTGATTCCTTGAAACTCTCATCATGTCGGCGCCGCACAGGTACGTTCAATCCTTCGTCCATTCAACCCCTCTCGAGGCTCTGTTCCTTGGGTACCGCCATTGTCTGTGGCCCTTTATTGTCGCCGCATGTCTTGCCAGTCCCCCTCCCCAAGTCTTTGATGACGAGATGCGCACCCTGCTTTCACGAATACCTCACGCCAGACAGATACAGTTCTTTTGTCTTGACACACTCGATGAGAGGCAGTAACTAATCATGGCAAACCCTTACAGCGCCTACACGAACGGCCAGTTCATGAATCCTGGTCCGGCGCCCCGACCACCGACCGACCGCAACCACCCACGCCTTAATCTTACACCTAATACCAATTCCCCTGGAAGCCTACCGGGAAGCATGGCCAACATGGTCATCTCTCCGATAACGCGCACCGCCACCTCGACATACACGGGGTCTACCATCTCGTTACCCCTCGCACGCGAGCGGTCCAACCAGACAGATGGCATGGGCGGTGTCGCAGTCCTCAAGGAAGGCTGGGCGCAGGTGAAAGAGAGCAGGAACTTCATTCAGCCGTGGAAACAAAAGTACCTGGTCCTGAGGAAAGAGGCGCTCGACTTCCACAAGACGGAGGGTGGCAAGGTCTCGTACACGATCTACCTCAAAGACGTAGTAAACGTTGGGAGGGTTGAAGCTGCTGGCACCATGTTTGAGATCAAGAGACATACACAGGCTTCGTCCAACAGTCCAGGTGACGACGACGGAAATGTGAGGACTCTAAACATAAGGGTGAAGAGCGATGATGATCTCTACGATTGGATTGATCTCCTATATGGCGCGTGTCCTGGCATGGGCGGTGTTAGCAATCCGACCAACTTCTCACATGCGGTACACGTCGGTTTCGATCCTCAGACAGGGCAGTTCGTGGGCTTACCACCCGAATGGTCCAAGTTGCTGAACTCTTCAGCCATTACCAAAGAAGATTACGAGCGCAACCCCCAGGCTGTCTTTGAGGTCTTGGATTTCTATTCCGATCTTACGAAGAGAGCGGAAAACCCCCAGCAATATCCCAGTCTCACACCCACACCACCCCCTGGCAGCCAGCAGAACAAGGCCCTCGGATATGGCGGTGGTTCCTCGGTTGCGCCTCCTCGTCCGATGCCGCCTTCTCAGCAAAGAAGCAACTATAACAATGTGCCCGCACAACAGGGTAGCGCTGCTCCGATGCGGCCGACGCCTCCGGAGAATTTGTCACAACAGCGACAACAGATGCAAGGCATGGCACCTAACTATGTGGCGCCAGAAATATCTAGAGAGGACCAACGCCAGAAACAACTGGAGATGCAGCGACAACGGGAAATGGAGGAGCAGAACCGAAGAGACCTGGAGCAATACAACGCCTCGATTCCCAAGAAGAAGACTCCTATGGCTCAGCAAGAGATTGGCGGTGGTGGGTACAGTGGATCTGGTCCAGATCGTTACAATCCGACCCGAGCGGCTCCTCCCGCACCGAAGTCGATGAATCAGCAGGCAAGCAGCCTCCGTGCACAACGTCCTGCACCACCGGCACCGAATGCTCAGACGCCTTCGTCCAGGCCCGCACTGACACAACAAACGAGTTCAAGCTCTGTACCGACTTCTCGAGAACCCCAGTCGAACTCAGCCGCGCAACGTATGCCACCCCAAAATGGTCAGGCAGCGTCAGCACCTCGATATCCGAACAGCACCAACGGTGCATCCCAGCCCCGTACCAATGGTCAAAGCCAGTCTTCATCTCCGTCCCGCCTCCCTGCGCCTGTCAAGCCCCTCAATGTGCCAGCAAAGCCAAGCCAACCAGCACAAACTGACAGCATCAAGGCAGCCGAAGCCGCTCTTACGGCCAAGCCAGCTCCTTCGGAGAGGAAGCAGGATGTGCGCATGTCCACAATGTCCGAAAAGGAGGTCATGGCCAAGCTTATTGAAGCTGTCTCGAAAGATGACCCTAACTTGTCTTACTCGAAGCAGAAGAAAATTGGCCAAGGAGCTTCTGGTTCAGTCTACGTGGCCAAGGTCAAGGAAACCGCTGTTTCTCCAGTTGCCAGGGACGTCCTTCGCAGTTTTGGCGCGAGAGCCCAGGTTGCCATTAAACAAATGGATCTCGCACACCAGCCGCGCAAGGAGCTCATTGTGAATGAAATCATGGTCATGAAGGATAGCAAGCACCGGAACATTGTCAACTTCCTTGACGCCTTTCTTCGCAACAACAATTCCGAGTTATGGGTCGTTATGGAGTACATGGAGGGCGGTGCTCTGACCGATGTCATTGATAACAATCCTGTCATCACTGAGGAACAGATCTCGACAATCTGCCTCGAGGTAAGCTTGCCGGTAATCGTGGGTATTTGGGGTTTTCTAACAGATTGCAGACTTGCGCCGGTTTAGAACACCTTCACTCCCAGAATATCATCCATCGTGATATCAAGAGTGACAACGTTCTCTTGGATGCTCGCGGCAACGTGAAGATCAGTGAGTTCTCGTCAAAATTTGTCTGGGCATACTTCAGCTAACCATATGCCAGCCGACTTTGGTTTCTGTGCCAAGCTTACTGAGACCAAGTCGAAGCGAGCCACCATGGTTGGAACACCCTATTGGATGGCCCCCGAGGTCGTCAAGCAGAAGGAGTATGGTCCCAAGGTCGACATTTGGTCCCTAGGTATCATGGCGATTGAGATGATCGAGTCGGAGCCCCCCTACCTTAATGAGGAGCCGCTCAAGGCCCTTTATCTCATTGCGACCAACGGCACACCTCGCTTGAAGAAGCCAGAGAAACTCAGCAAGGAACTGAAAGCTTTCCTGTCTGTCTGCCTATGCGTTGATGTCAAGAGCCGAGCGTCTGCCAATGAGCTCCTGCAGCATGACTTCTTGAAGCACGGCTGCCCGCTACCCAGCCTCGCCGAGTTACTCGCGTTCCGAAAGCATGCCAAGTAGGCGCACACGACCAATAACGATACCCTATTTTCCGACTGGTTTAATGATTGGATCCACGACGACTACGTGGAGCATTGGTGGTGAATGGATGCTTTTGGAATCGCACATGTTCCCCGAATACTGCAGGCGTTGGGGGATAGCAGCCAATCTGCATCGCAAATTTACATGGAAGACTTGACTGCCATTTGGAACACATAGAAAGGTCTTCCCATAGCATGGCACGGTAGTCTCGGGCTATGCTCTGGTCAACAACTATATACACCGACACGACTAAACCCCCTCAGTCGACGACAGGCCATTGGGTCCAGAACCATGGCTCATTGCATATAGGCAAGTATGGCAAGTATGGCAAGTATGGCACGGTGGATACAGGTTGTTGATTTGGGAGTGATGACCTGAAGGAGACCAGAGCCCATGAGCCTGCTCAAAGGGGTAATTTTTGCAACCAATCGGCGCGTGACCATGGATGGCCTGATCCAGAAGATAGACCTGTAGAGACCTGTAAACAGACTTTTTCCCGAACCTTGTCTCTCCGTACCTGTGGTGATTGCTAATTGAGCATGCTCTTTGATGGTGAAATCGTGGGCCGCGTCCAAGGATTGCTCATCGAGCATTGATGCCGGCGTCGTGGAGACCATCTAACGAGCCACTGCTTAATCGAAGCCAGGCCAAGACCATTATCCATGTACATGAATATGGTCCGTATACCAGAGGAGACACAGCACCCCCATATCGGTACCTCATGCCGATCGATTCGTGGCCCATTCTCCTTGTCTTTTCATTCAGTCCCTGCCATTTCACTTGACTGAGTTCCCAGTGCGGCTCTATCAGACTGGATTTATTTTCTTACGCTCAACATGTCAGTTAAGTGTGGAAGAAGGCGACTTGGGCGGGAGTCTTGTTGCACGAATCAACCCCCGAAATAGACATTACATGGAAAGCAGGACTGAACTTGAAGGCGGGAATTGACACACTTTGTATTCCGCTCTCGGTAGAGGTTCTGTTCATGGCACCTGTCTGGGCAGCGTTGACAGAGAGGGCAACTGGTCGATGGTGGTACGCCAAACCAAGGTTGGTGTTCGTTCTAGGCATGTCTACAAATAAGTACCCCTACTTACCACTCCAGACCTAGATGTTTCCCTCGATTAATACATAGGTTAATCAAACATAGGACGTCGATCCGGTTTCACCACTGCAACTTGTGAGCCTGTTTTCCCCCTCAAACAATGATTTACTACTCTCGGTGCTCTTCTACTAAACAATACGTGGCCGTCTCGGCTACGATGGACGTTGGCCTCATACGTTGTAAGATTCGAGCGTGAGTAGGGTTCCTAGGTCATTTTGATCGATGAATAGGAGATAGTTAGAAACTCCCCATGCGCCTTACATGTATAGAAAGCACACTAGCATAATCACCAGTAGTAACGTAGGAACTTAGATAGCTTATTCAAGTAGAGTTCCATGGTCTCCCGAAACCTTAACCGGCGCCGCGGACAGAGACACGTGTGACATAGGGGGTAAGTGTATTAGTACAAGCCACGTCCACGCGACCAAAAATTGCTCACTTAGCAAAATTGCACCTATGAATTCTTGCAGTTGAATCATTCATATGTGTTCCAATAGATATCCACGTCTTTACACTGTTAAACATGACGGAACGCCGCCTCGCCTTCGATCAGTCCTTCCAAGCCGGAAAAGAAAGGCATGGAGTGCAGGAAAAGACGAGCCAGGAGGTGCCGTGCCGTGCGCAGGTGACGGAGCAGCCTGTAGTAGAACAGGTTGAAATGGTCGAGAGCGATGCACCACCACAGGTCCTCGGCAGTACGAATATGTACGACAAGCATGGCAAGATCCGACTGATACCTGTACGTGATTTGATTGATGACAACCCCAACTAAGCTTCGCTCATGAGATTGACTGATGCTGACTGCCGCGACAGACACCGTCGCCGGATCCAAAGGGCGTGTATACATCATTCCGTATGTGCGAGGCTCCGACTGACTGGACATAGACCCCCTGAATCTGCCGACTTGGCGGAAATGGACCGCTATCGGCGTGATATGTTTCTGTGCGTCCCGTCTCACCATTCCTACTCCTCGAACTTAAGTTACCGAGCGCTCAGAATGTTTTGAGTATCGACAAGTACGAAGTAAACTGACAACTCCTCCCAGTCGGCGCGCTCTCCATCTCAGCCGAGATGGCCGTAGGCAGCCTCCTCCCCGTCTTCCTACTCGAGTACTCAGGCCTCGACGCCGCAGAAGTCCTGCGCAACACCGACTTCCAGGCCAAACTGGCCGGCAAGAGGGGTCTGGACCCACTGGCCGTGATCCCCGACGGCGTCGCGGCCGTCTCGCTGGCCCGGGTGTCGCTGCTGGCCACCATCCCCGCTGCTGAGCAACGGCCTCGCCAGCTACCTCCTCGTGCCGCTGTCGATTGGCGTCGGGCGCCGGCCCGTCCTGCTGCTGACCGCGACGCTGTCGTGGGCGGGCGGGCTGTGGGCTGGTTGTAGTGGCTCGCTCGAGGCGCATCTTGCGGCGCGCGTCGTGCATGGTCTCGGCGCGGGGGCCGTGGAGGCGCTGCTGCCGCTTATTGCGCAGGATATGGTGTTTATTCATCAGCGAAATCGTGCGCTTTCTACTATCATTGCTAGCCAGGTGAGTCGGGTCGATGTTCTTCGCGTCCTGCGGCTGTGGTGAGTTTGATTAAGTACTTACTTGCAGGATTAGGGCCCTATTGCCTTCGCGACTGCTATTGTTGGCCCCTATATCGCGGTGACCTTGACCTGGCGTTGGATCTACTGGATCACGTCGGTCCTGGGCATAGTGGCTTGGGTCCTCATCATCGTCTTTGTTCCCGAGACGCGGTATAATCGATCCGAGGAGGAGCTCTGTACGTGATGTATGTCTTTCGTAATTGTATACACTGTTTAATGAGTTGTGAATACCATCGGACCCCCCGAACCGGCACACCCCCCGAACCGGCACAGCCAAACCCCACAACTACCACCAAAAGTCCCCTTACTCACACGGATTACAGCCCCTTTTGAGGGTATCTAGACGTTCTTTAGATGGTTAGATAGCCCTTTTCTTGGTGTTTAGCGGAATATAGATTATTTAATTGCTGGGCCATTGGCATCGGCATTTAGCAGCCTCTGTGCCCGCCCTTAAATACAAATTTGCTATAGAATTCTCTCTGTGAGCCCCTGTCCCTCATGCACCACAGCATCCTGAAGCCAGCTACGATGCCTCCGCCCACATATACAGAGGATGATATGGTAGATGCCTACCTAGACGTCACAGATAATGGCATGTCCGTGAGAAAATCCAGCCAAAAATATAGCGTCCCAACTAGCACGCTGTCAGCACGCATAAAGGGGAGAGGGACTAAAACGGAGGCTCACACCACCGAGCAGAGAATTTCTCCCGAGCAAGAAAGCAAGGTAGCAGCCTGGATATTATACCAGGAGACTTTGGGGCTTGCCCCTTCTCATTTAGCCGTCAGGGAAATTGTGATAGAACTCCTAAAAAGAAAGAGGGATTTCGCACCACTTGGGAACCACTATATGGACAGCTTTAAACGACGTAATACTACCATTCAGACTAAAATCAGTAAGCGAATGGGGTCCGCTTGGTTTAAGGGGTTTATCCCTACGTTTGTGAACTGGTTCTTTAACATCTTAGAGGACTACGGCTGGGTGAAGCCAGAAAATACGTACAATGTCGATAAGGGCGGTATTATGTCGGGTTTTGGTAACTCTTTCGAGCCCCCTATCCTCAATTAACTAACTACCCTTATAGGCGTCGATTCCCTAATTCTAGGATATTCTGAGACGAGGAAAGCTTTCTTAAAGAGCCCCCAGGGCCGCTCGTGGACATCTTTTATCGAAACCATTTCAGCTATTGGTAGAGTACTCAAATCAGGCTTGATTTTTAAGGGAAAAGATCTCCAAGTGCAGTGATTCCTCGAGGAATTCCAGAAGATAGCCAACTGGTACTATATAACGTCAGAAAATGGCTGGACCAGTAACGATATCGCCTGCCAGTGGCTTGAGCACGTTTTCATACCATAAGTGGATGAAATTCGTGGCCAGGAGCAGTGGGAACCAGTCCTTTTGATCCTAGATGGCCATGGTAGCCATACCTCCGTACGTACACCAATTTTTTCTATTTTATTTACTGATTGTTTGATTTATTCTGATTTAAACAACAACTGACTATAAAAAAGGACGAATTTATAATGCGGTGTTGTTTTGTCAATATCTTGTTGTGCTTTTTCCCAGCACACACTAGCCACGGAATACAACCACTAGATAACGGCCCCTATAACGCCCTCAAGTCCTATTACCAGAGATTCCTCACCCAGTTAAATTCTCTGACTGATTCCTCTCTTGTTGACAAGATCAACTTTATCCGCTGTTATAGCAAGGCAAGGGACAGGGCGTTTACGCCAAAAAAAAATCCGCTCGGGCTTCCGAGTGACAGGGTGCTACCCAATTAGCCACAAAAAGTGTTCAGACCATCCAGAAATCTAAGAAGACAAGCGGAAGACCCCCGAGCCGGAAGAACAGGAAGACTCGGAGCCAGAGGACCAACAGACCCCTACCACAAGCCGGCAAATCCGGGATTTCGGGAAGAACCGTTCCCCAGCCACTCGGCTGAAATTCCGGAAGATCTCCCATGCCTTTGAGAACCAGGAGACGGAGCTGGCCATAAAAAACCAGAAGATCAGGGCCCTGGAGGCTGAACTGGAGCGGCTACGACCCAAGAAGAGGAAAAAGACACCAAATCCCAACAAAAAGTTCATGATAATGGTAGAAATACTAGCCCAGGGTGGTAATCTATTAATTCCGGTTGCTATAGAGTCTTCTTTTTCTTCATCAGAGTCAGAGGTTGTTGAAGACAAGGGTGAGGAGGACGAGGAGGTTGCGGACGCTGAGGAGGCTGTAGAAGCCCCTGTTGCAGAAGCCCAGATGACTAGATCCGGGCGGTCAATCCGGGCGCCGGCTATATACGTCGATTGAGCAGCCAAAAAACCACAGAATGATAATTTTGCTGATTTTTTTGACCCTATACAGCCTCAAATGCGTGTAAGTGAGTAGGGGGGTTTGGCTGTGCCGGTAGTGGGGGTGTGCCGGTTCGGGGGGTCGGATGGTAGGTGGTCAAAAGCTTTGGCCCATCGCAGAGGGACAGAACCGCACCGAACTCGACTATGCGACGTATGGGCCGCGGAGGATGAAGACCAATGTCGCGATCATCCCGGCGATGTGGGAGTGGAAGCAGGCGGGTCGGTCGATAATATGCTGTATCAAGAGCACCGTCTTCCCCGCGGTCGTCTGGGCCATCCTCATCAACAGCGGCTTCATGACCGTGCTGTCGGCCACCGGCCAGACGATCTCCTTCGCTCTTCTCGCTGCTGGGTAAGTCGTTGCCCCTTTCCCTACCGTAATCTCATCCCACAAAGGCTTCGGAAGCTTCGACATCAGGGTCTCGTCCTCACTGACACCGCATCCCAGCGTCCCCTTCAAGCTCACCGGCCTCTCGACCATCCCCGCCGTCCTCGCGAACGCCGTCGTATGGGCACTAGGCGGCCCCGTCGCCGACAAGACCTCGCTGTACCTGGCACGGGTCCTCGGCAAGGGCCGCCGCGAGGCCGAGTACGTGCTGCCGAACCTGGTGCTGCCGGTCCTGCTTGGCATCGCCGGGTGCCTCGTTTTCGGCCACGCCGCGCAGGCGAAGCTGCACTGGTCGATTCTGCTGCTGGGCAACTTTTTGACGCTGTCCGGGTGCCTGACGACGGCGTCGCTGGTGAACACTTTTGTTATTGAGAGTTATCCGCAGATGGCTGGGTGCGTTTCCCCGTCTTAACTTCCTGAAGAATGTGAATGCTATGAAATTGACCACGTTTTCGCGACTCTAGTCCTGTGCTCATCAACGTCTCCTCGCTTCGGATTATGCTCTCTTTCGCCACGGCCTCGCATGCGACGGTTTGGACCCAGAAGCTGAGTCCGATGAGGCTGATGGGGGCCTACGCCGGCATGCTGGGCGTCCTCTCGCTCGGCATTCCGGGCCCATTTGTGTATGGCAAAAAGCTGCGTATGTTGACGTCTGGAAGCGTGAATAAGGTCAACCTGGGAGATGCTGAAAGGGGCCTGGGGAGCGCGGAGTCGGGCAGGGCGGTGGGTACAGTGTAATTCGCTTCGCAATGGCAGCAAGATGATGAAAGGGGCATATCCGGGGCTGATCAGGGGTAAAGGTTGGGTTTCATGCTGTTTGCGAAGACGATACAGCACTCACCGATACTGTACGGGTAATTGGAAACGCGGCGTTCTCAGACCGGAACATATAGCCATAACGGTCTGTTAGAATCAACACACGGGGTGATACGCACTCATGGAATGCTCGGAGCTTTAGAAGTTTGAATAGATCAGTATGTTGGTGCTCCGGGCAGGACCAGACCTCGCACAACCCGCTGAGCAGCGCTCCGTACCTCAGCTACGATGTCCGCCGCAGGTTGCGTCTGTGTCACGATCCCCACGCCGGTCCCAGCCCACACCGCAGCCCGCGGATTCCAGCCATCCCCGGCCAAAGCATCGGCCGCCGCCTTCCCATGCAGCTCGCGAATGCGCTCTATGTCCATGCCGCCCTCGCTCCAATCCGCATAGCTCCCGCCCACCGCCAGCGCCCTCCCATCGTACCCCGTCGGCCAGATGCTCGGCCCGCGCAGCTCGTCAAACATGCCCGAGCGCGCCGTGCTCAGCGCCCCGTCTTTGGTGTTGAGCACCGCCTCCCGGTACCGCGGGTGCACCTTCGTCTCGGCCGCGGCCAGGAACCGGGTCCCCATGACCACGCCCGCGGCCCCGAGCGCCAGCGCCGCCGCGACTCCGCGCCCGTCGACGATGCCGCCCGATGCGACGATGGGGACGTGGCCCAGCCCGCTGGCGCGCAGCGCGTCCGTCGCCTCGGGTAGTAGTGACACGATCCCCGCACCCCGCGCGAAACCGTGCCCGCCCGCGTCGGCGCCCTGGAGGACCAGCACGTCAGGGGGCGCGTTGGCGCGCGCGACCTCGAGCGCTGCCGTTACGCTGCCGACCTGCACCCAGATCTTGGAGTTTGGCGTCGCGGCGCGGATGACGGCGGCCCACACGCCGTAGTCGGCGAGCTGCGGCGCGGCGAAGAGCCAGACGATGGCGGGCTTGTGGGCCGCGAGTACGGGGAGTGCAGTGTCGAGCTTGTGGTAGAAGAGCAGGAAGCCGACGCCCACAGGGAGTGTGGTGCGGGAGTTGGGGTTGAGGTTGAGGCTGGGGTTTGGAGAGTCAGAGGATAGTAGACTGGTCTTGGCGCGGTCGAGCTCCGCGCTCAGCTGGTCCATGGTGTCGCTGGCGAGTAGGCCGATGCCGCCGGCGGTGCTGACGGCGGCTGCGAGGGCGGCGCCGGCGAAGCCCGTCATCGGCGCGTTGACGATGATCGGGGCCGAGACCCAGGGGTAGTCTGCGAGGAGCTTGGAGGCCATTTTTGATTATTCACTTATTTAGTGATGGTTTTCCCAGCCCGGAAATGGAATTGCGAGGACTTGTTGTACTTATTCGGTGAGATTGATTACCTGGGTACCTAGACAAGCTATTGCTTACACATACGGGGAGGCTGACTCAGCCAGCTACACTCAACACCTACGGACGACCAACGCCGTACCCGTCAGAGATAGAGGTACGTCCCAGCACTCGTCTCAGGGATGAACGATGCAGAGGCAATGGGTAAGGAATTGGGTATATCTCCCTGTGTCATCCTCGGTGCCTGTCCCGGCAAACGTACACTGACTTATACTCATCATCCAGGGGCGACCCCGTCGATTACACCAGGAAGGAAACCATAACTACAGCAGGTATCGAAGAGGAAAAGAGCATCTGAAGCCACAGTGACATTCGATCAGAGAACATCATGGTTGAACGTAATCCGATACCAGTTTGCTCCACCACTAGGCATAAGGGCTATCTGCGCCCATCACACAACTGACAATCTTCTGCGATAGGTCGTCGTTCTCGAGTGGCACCTTATTGCAACCATCGGCGACTAGAAAGGTAAGCATTTGACCCAGTTGGACTGCCGACGAGATCGTACACGACCGGTCGTAAGTGTGCGAGGAGAGAGAAGGGCAAGGTCTCACTCACCATCATCCCATATCTGGGTCCCCGAGCAGTTGCCACTGACGCTGTCCAACACAGCGCCGTCAAAGCCCTGCCAGACGTGGCTGTCATCGGTCTGGCCGAACTTCAAGCTCGCCGTATTGCCCGCCAGGATCCTCGCATCGCCGTTGGCATCCACGCGGATGGGGTTGCCGGAGCAGTCGGTGCTCGAATACTGCGAGACCTTGTAGTCCCCGCTACCCAGTGCGCCTGCGCAAAAGAGGAGGAAGGAGGAGGCGGTGATTCCGAAGTGCATGTCGGTGTTCTGTTCTGTTCGGTTGGTATTCGTGCTTTGAATATGTGTATGTGCTTGGTCTGTGATGTCAGTCGGGCTTGGGGATAAGGGCGAAGAACAAGACTGAGCTCGAGCGACGTGTCCATACTTAACTCGAATGCCCAATAAGTACCGTCTCCTAGGATGTCCGTGTCACTGGCTATCTGGTCACATCATCATCATCATCATCATCAGTGCTGATCTGGATTCCCAAGTGTGGGTCTAAGTCTAGATGCGAGTTGCGCTAGTTGTTATTAGAACTTTGGTTGCGAAAAGGATGATCATATTCGAGTCATTAATAATAAGCTTATGGAGCTGCCGGGATTGTCAGAATGTTGCAGGTCTATTTTTATCCACCGACGCGTCATTCAGGATTGTGGCGATCTTGTACCGCCTTTTCCAGGCAAACCTTTATTACTACAGGTCGCCAGGATTGGAAGTAGTAGCGCGGCGCCATGTAGAGGGGGAATATATCTTCTGCCAGATCTGGTGTGAATAGACTGTGAATGTCTTTTTACAAATATCGGGGATGGTAAAGCTTAGCGGTTACATATGCTGGGGTATCTAGGCTTATAGGAGGGATATATGATTGATTGATTGATTGATTGATTGATTGATCGATTTGATTGATCGTATTTAACGTGGGGGATCGCTCCTCAGTAGTGCAAACCACGCCTCCCAGAGCCTCTGCATCGCAGGGTTGTGGAGGTATCAAGATAATGTTTGTTTGTTTGTTTTGTATTTAACGTGGGGGGTAGCTCCTCAGTAGTGCAAACCACGCTACCCAGAGCCTCTGTATCGCAGGGTTGTGGAGGTCTCAAGATAATAAGTACAGTCAGTCCCGCTCACGAGCCCATCCCCGTTGTTGCGGCGGTATGACCTTGGGGTAATCCATCTGGTCCTTTAAGAACAGCTATCTATCGAGGGCAGATTGATGAAAAGAATTTGCTCTTCTCCACAAATTTTGCCCATTCTATGCTCCTCTCCCCTAAGTATTATAAACAAGCTGTCCTAGACGAGTACCTGGGCAGCAGCCGATTTTTCCCCAGTCTCTTATAAAAGAAAATGTGTTATGGTGTTTTCTTTTCACCACAGCTGCAGTGATCATTCGAGTCTGTATATCCAAAGCGTTCGTAGTATCTGGCAAAGTCGCCATGTCCAGATCTGGCCACTAGAAGTCTGTATAGAGTACTCCTTTCAAAAGATATAAGGTCTCTTTTAGTTATTATATATAAGTATACTTCTTGATATCTAGGTTCTGATTGGTCTTTTTACCATTAATTGAACTCTTTCTTGCCCTTTTTTTTTGAGATCTCTCTTGACCCATGAGATTGTGGGAAGATTTGTTGTGTCTGATTCTAGCATGACACCCTCTTTTGCTAATGTGTCGGCAGCTTTGTTGTCATCAATATCTCTGTGTCCAGGAATCCACTTGACAGTCACTCTAGGAGTATGTGCCGTGACAAGTTTTTGGAATCATAGAAAAATGTTCTGTGATGTCTCGGGTGGAGTCTCATTGAGCCCATCTACCACTGCTGTGTTGTCCAGACAGACATATAGCTGTTTTCCGTGTCCAATTGCCGTGGCTGCTGCAAGCCCTTGGAGAGCGCCATGGACTTCTGTTGAATACACGGATGATGATTGATTCTATTGATTGTTGTGCTCTGTGTGCAGAGATTGATTATCTGTCTTCTTGGTGGGTCAGATGCCCTGTGCGTCTCTGCACCACTGGAGATCTTCCGGTGTCTATCTCCGGCTCCTATTCAACAACTTCAGCATCTATTACTTCTGCTTGGAGAAGTCTGCCTTTTCCCCGGTATACTTCTTGTGTAGTGTTGCCTTTCCTGATGGTGTAGCCCCATCTAGTGCGGGTTGTGCCTTTATCATCTAATTGTGATCCATCTGAGTAGATGACAAGGTCAGTGTTCACATTTCTCCCTTGTAACCATTCCTTGAAGAGCTCTGTCTCTTTGTCTTTGTCCTTTCAGATTGAGGGCTTTTTCCATAATGGCTTGGTGAGTATTGGTCTCTGGAAGTCAGGGATTAGCTGGAAGTTTCGTTATAGCCTTGTTGGTTCCTTGCGAGCTTGTACTTGGAGCCTACCAATAAGAGGGTGTCTTTGGTCTAAATGTCCGAGTAGGCCGTGACGCCGTCTTATTGCCTCTGCAAGAACTCCTGCTGGAGGAATCTGTGATTCAAAGTGTAGGATATGTCCAGGGTGTGTTTTTCAGACCGGCAGGGTAGCCCTAATTGCTATTCGTAGTACAGCATCTATTGTTTTAAAAAGCCCCTTAATGCGACATGCTGATGTCTCACCTGAGCTCCTGAATTTTTCGATTCCTGGGTACCAGGCCTCTAAGCCATGTGTAAGAATAGGAATAACACAAGCTTTCACAGCCCTCCTGGTTGACTTTACTCGGAGTCCTTTGACTGTGTTGCATAGTCCTTAAAAGTGATTTGTTACCTTACTAGCTTTCTTAGCCCAGTGAGAAACATGATCTTTAAAGTTTAGTTTTTTATCCAGAAGGACACCTAGCCATCGCATAGAAACCTTGGCTATATTGTTCATTGTCCCGTGGTGGACTGGAGGGTTATCTGAGTTCTTTTTCCTTGAGAAGTGCATGATCTCAGTTTTGTCGGGGTCAAATTTAATAGCGTTATTATGTCCCTATTAATTAAGCAAATAAAGATTTTTAGAAGCCTCTATAGCTGTTTCCTTAAGGTTCTTTCCAATGCAGAAAGTCACTAGGTCGTCTGCATATCCAAAGCGTCTCTTTTTCATACTAAGTCAGGCACAGATTAGCTCTGTATACAGCATATAAAGGATTAGAGAGGCTGATGAGCCTTGTGGTAGCCCACAAGTGAGAGCTTTTATATCGGTCACGATACCTTCAAACCGAACCTTTGCGGACCGCTCGGACATGTTTGTTTGTTTGTTTTGTATTTAACGTGGGGGTAGCTCCTCAGTAGTGCAAACCACGCCTCCCAGAGCCTCTGCATCGCAGGGTTGTGGAGGTCTCAAGATAATAAGTACAGTCAGACCCGCTCACGGGCCCATCCCCGTTGTTGCGGCGGTATGACCTTGGGGTCATCCATCTGGTCGACCGCTCGGACATGAATGACTGGACCCATCTTATGAGAAAGCCCGGCCAGCCCTGTTCTCTCATGCGAACCACCAGCCGTCCCATTAGGGCAGCATCAAAGGCCCCTTTCACATCTGACGTGACTACCGTTGCAACAAGGCCTTGGTCAAGGGCCTGCTCAATATCGTGTATGAGTGCGGCTACCAAGTCGGTGACAGAGCGCTTTGGTAGAGCTCCAAAATGTTATGGAGCTAGAATTCCAAGTTTGACAACAAACCAAATAATTCTTTTTGTGATGAGTCGTTCTAGGCCTTTGCCAAGACATGACAGTAGCGATATTGGTCTGTATACCCGGGGATTGGAATAGTCTGTCTTGCCTGGTTTTAGGATCATCACTATTTCAGCTATTTTGAATGGTTTAGGGTGGTGTCCGATCTATAGACAGGTCTGGAAGAGGGCTCTGATATGTTCCCCAATGACTGGCCAGCAAGCTTTCAGAATTCGTACTGTGAGGGTGTCTACTCCCGGGGAGTTGCTCTTGGTCCCTATAGTGCACCCTTCAGCCTCTTTCAGTCCGACATAGTATTCAAGGGGGATGTGTGGCTTGGGTTGTATGATCTGAGCGGACCGGGGGTCGATGATATCGTTATCTGAGGTACTTTATTCAAGCATGGCTGAGCGTAGTGCATTTGCCTTGCTCTCTTGTGACTTAAATATTTGGTCTCCTATGATGATTGGAGGGGAACGCAATTCTGCTGACAATTTGTGCAAAGAAACAATTCTGTACAGGTCCTTTGGCTCAGTCGCTGAATCAATTAGAGTCTGCCAGTACTCTCTCCTAGCTTTCTGAACCACGCGGCAAAATTCCTGTCGTGCTGAATTCCGCCCTTCTTGGCTTGTAGTCTGTTTAGAAAGGGCCCTGTATGTCTGAACAGCTGCTTTGTAGTCATCATTCCACCAAGCAGTGGGCCTAGATTGTCAGGGCTTTTTGCCCACTGTCCTGATACAGCCTTGGATCATATTGATCAAGCTCTGTGTAAAGGCATTCACCTGGTCAGGGGATACACCCAGCCGGGGGAGCTCATGAATACTGGTTTGGACATTATCTGCCAGTTCTTGTAGTTTATTGTTCGGTACTATCCAATGATTGGCCTTGGGGATTTGGTCCAGATCTCCTTGAATTGGAATGACTATTCGTAATGTCTCATGATCTGAGGTGCACTGAAGTGCATCATTGACTGAGGCTTCAGCCATGGGCACATCTGAGAATACCAAATCTAGTACATTTCTGTCATCATGTATTGGGACATCTGGTTCAGAAATCAGATCCAGTCTGTGGTCTGTTATAATCTGTGCAAGTATAACACCACCATGATATCCTGGATTGCTCGAGTCCAAGGATGTGTTACTAGTATTAAAATCTCCAGCTATAACGCAGCTAAAAGGTGGAGTCCATACTTCCAGAATGTCATTCACTTCCTGTGGGTTGTCACATGGCCGGTAGACACTGGCAAATGTAATGCCTTGTACCTTGACCCAGGTGATGTCTTGTGTAGCATAGGGCCAAAATTGATCCGCTTAAAGGTGTTTTCTTACATAAATGAGAGATCTGGGTCGTGTACTGTCACTGTCCCAGGAATCCACTGGGGGGTATATATCGTAATTGGGATGTGTCTTTACTCCCATTCTCCTGCCTGGTGGTATGCCAATCCAGGGCTCTTGCATCAGAATGATGTCTGTTTGTTCTCTTTTGTAGTCAGCCAGGTTGATGGCTAACTCTGTAGGGCCTGTACTCTTTTGTCCTCCTGCTGTATTTATAGAATGGATGACTAGATGTCTGTGCTGATGTGTTTCGTTTGATGTACCTAGCATTGACTGACGACAATGGTGTCGGCATTCTTGGGATGAGCTGTATCTGTTATGTCGATTTGCATTGTGGTGTCTTTATTATTATTGTTAGGTATTAACCTAGTTTGGTTTCTGCCTGTTTTATTGAAGGCCCTGGATCTGGCTTTTTCTCCGGCCAGCCTTATTTCCTGGATTTGCTCCTATGTGTGCTTATGGATGATGCCTTTCATAACCTTGGGGCGTGCAGGGCATTTGTTGAAGTTGGCAGCATGAGGTCCTTTGCAATTGATACATTTTGGGATTGGTTTTTCGCACTCCCCCTGGTGTACTGCACTGGCGCAACGTGCACATACTTGCTTTTCACATCGGTAGTTCCTACCATGGTATCTGAAGCAGCTCGCACACTGGTGAACCTTGGGGGAGTATTGAATGTGCCTTGAGGTCATTAAGTGAGCAAAAAGCGTGAATGGTTTCTTTGCTGCACGGGACAGAGAGATCACCTATGTAGTCTCTGGATCAGAATCAACTGTGTTCCTTGAGAATATGCACCTTAAAGGTCTGTTGCTGTTGGATTAAAGGTGAGCCCAGAGGGCACCTTGATAGGTAGACACCGGAACCTAGTTGTTCCGTCCCGATCCAGCCCCCTCTGGCACAAAACTGCCACGGTCGCACGAGGACACTCTAGAGAGGCAGAATACACAGACACACTTCAACCTCACGATTGGCTCAAATCTGACAGTTGCCTGTTTGGGCTTTAACCTCATCAGCGACAGCAGTGTCGCTAATGTCGATTGTTAATCCTTCCGTACTGATGACCTTTCTTGGGCATCCATCGACCTTGTAGTGATGCCAGACCGTGTGGGTCTCGATCTTTTCTGCCTTGAGAATGTCAGTGGTTTTTTCTTAGAAGGCCAGGAGCTTAGCCTGAGTTGGCTTGTCCCTTGGGTGTAAGGTAAATCCGGAGGGGCACCAGGTCACTTCTCTAAGCTCTTAAGGGTGGAGCTTAAGTCTTCTGTTCAGTATAGACTTTATTCCGTAAGGTTCTAAGTGGCTATTATCTATGCGAACAAAGACCCGGAGATCATCCTGTTTTTTCTTCAGTTAATTGGCAGTGATAAGGGTGCCAAGCTATGTTTTCCTTATGGTAGTGTTGACTGTCCGTGGATGCTGTCGCTGGCTAGAAGAGACAGCTTGGGCGAAGGTCATGGTGGGCTTCACTATCCCTATCCCCCCAGGAATGGTCTTTCTTTTGGGCGGATCTCGGGTTTCCAGCCATTTGCTACGACATTTAGAGAAGAAAGTGCTGAACTCCTTGGCATAAGAGTATAATTCGGTTCCAACTTTCTTAAGTATCTTATCAACTGTTGCAGCACACTCCTGAAACATTGTTATTCTGACTTCATAGAGGTACTTGTTTTAAACCAGTATCTTGGTAACTTGGTCCTGGCACTCTGAAGAAGAGGCTTTGCTCCCTATATCACATCCAATGGCTTGGTTTGTAGAGATTTCGTTCAATTGAGGTTGTTTCATTCCAGTGGTGCTGCCGTCATTGATATTTCGGGATTTTCCTTTCAGAGGGAAACAATGGTGAAGTCAGCCTCGGAGACCTGTGACAGGCTGCTGCTGATGTCGTCAAGCAGCGCTTGGCGGAGCCTGCTCGGAGTTGCCGGGCCGTATGTCTTTCTAGGGGCCGGGGATTCGAACACGCTGCCGGTAATTGTCTTTGGGACGGCCACGGGTGTGTTTGGGGGCCCGTCGTGGAAGGGTGCCATCCGGCTTATAGAAAAAAAAAATTCTCTTATGTCTTGACAAAGATAGTCAGTTAGTGAGAGAAGTGCTTGCTTTAGCGCAAATATCGAGGTTGCGCCCTAACAGCGGGGCGCCAAGAAAAATAGTTGTTTTTGGCAAGTGTGATGTATAAGAGGGATATAATGCCCGTTACTGCCATGTTAATACAGGTAGCAAAGATGGTAATGGTTAACGGTTCCTATTAAAATTAAAATACATACCTAACGAGAAAGTTCTCATCGTGTAAAGTTCTACCTATCACCATTGCGGATAGTTGTAGATCGGAACTTTGCGTGTTTTCAACTGGCCCAAAAGGTCCCCGTTACGTGGAACCGCTAACCATTACCATCCTGGATACCTATACATAACGAGAAAGTTCCATATCCCATCGCGTAAAGTTCTACCTATTCCCATTGTAGATGATCATAGATCAGAACTTTCGGTGTTGTTAACAAGTAAAGTACGGACCTAAAAAGTTCCCGTTACGTGGAACCGCTAACCATTACCATCCCTGACACCTGTAAGTGTTATGCTCTCATGCCACAGAAGTATCTTCGAATAAAAACCTATAGGGAAGATACCTATTCCAGGGCCGGAAGGTTAACAACGCCTCTAAGTCTGACGGCGCTTCCTCTAGGGCTAACAACGCTGATATCGTCATGGCTCGGTGGACAACCATTCATGAGAGCATTTGCAGCGACAGGCAACGCAGTATAAAGAGGACGAGATGCCTACCGTAGGAGTTTGGGAAGTCAAGCTCTCACCCTTCCCCAACATCTCAACCCAATAAGCAACACAACTTCTTCGAAAAGAATCCATACTCATATCGTCTACATTCAGCGCCAGAATCGAGCACGCGGAACTTCGTCACCCATCATTCGCTCTACGATAGCCCACGTCTTCGCAAGCTCTATCCAACTCATACTCATTGCCTCCTACCACCATGCTGGCCTACAACAGCGTGTTAAAGGTCGCACTGCTGGCGTTGGCGGCAACGCAGGCGACGGCGCAAGGTGACTACTGGAAAATGCAGTCCCAGTCGGGTAACCAGGCGGCTAGCGCTCCCGTCGAAAGCACAGAGGAGAAGAAATGCACCTCGCTGAACAAGGAGTTTGCCATCAATGTGTCCAAGACATTCACCAAGGACAGGTGGTTAATCCCCCCCTCGCTGTTGATCACGCTCGAGGGCTTCAGGGTCGAATTCTACCAGGAGGAAGCGGAATGCAAGCTCCGTAAAAACGTATTCGAGACTGTGGGCCAGCAAGGGCTCCAGCAGAGTGTTTTTTGGCCGTACAGGCTCGAAGAGCATGAAACTAAAAACAAGATAATAAAAATCAAGGCCGAGTGGTACAGGGTGGACAAGGTATAAACATCATGGAGGCCAAGAAGGGCGAGATGGCAGGCGGGGGGTTACTTGTGGCCAGCTACCTTACACGTACTGAGACCCCAAGGTCATACCGCCGCAACAACGGGGATGGGCCCGTGAGCGGGACTGACTGTACTTATTATCTTGAGACCTCCACAACCCTGCGATACAGAGGCTCTGGGAGGCGTGGTTTGCACTACTGAGGAGCTACCCCCCACGTTAAATACAAAACAAACAAAACAAACAACAATTACACGTACTGAGTTCCCGGCACATTGGGACTATGTAGAATATGGACGGGGAATTGGAATGTGTTGGCTTGGACTAGTCCGTGTCTTTCTAGTTCGCTAGACAATAGTGAGGTCAATTTACAACAGTCCTATCAGATAATCAGGATGTGTTTGAGCTATACCGTAGGTAGTGCTTCATGTACATGTGGTAGTAGCTACGTGTACGAACTGAGTATAATCAAGCACGTATTTTGAATAGGCACCAACTCATACTCGAAGGCAAACTTGGACGAGGGCCGACATAGGAAAACTACCTCAAGGGGCAACGAATTGGAACTCACGCGGCTAAGTTTGCTCGGCTGCTTCAAGAGATATACATTGTACATTATAAAACAGTCTTAACTCTAGAACTCCATCTATCTACACGTCAAGGGAAGTCGTATTCACACATTGTTTCTACGAGGTCGTGTCATTACCTACCGGCCGCGGGTGCTGCCCCGCCTTTAGTTCGGGCTGTGCAGGAGTTGTCTACGGACCTTGCGGACCTTGCGGAGGTGCCGTGTTTGCTCCGGCTCCGGCTCCGGCCCAGCCAAAGGGCATGATACTGTTGAGGATCGAGTTATTGATATTGGTCGTGGCACTGTACATGGATTTTGAGAAAGGCCGGGGCCGGCCGGCGCCGGGGCTTGAGGCGGGATACCGGTGGCCTGGGGCGCCTGGCCCTGCCGCGCGGCGCCGTTGATCTGCATGGCTGCGAATCGAGTGTTGAGCCACTCCAGATCCGCGGCCGTAACACCCTCGAGCTGCATGCGTTGGAGCCGGTCGACGAGCTCTTGCATAAGCGCATCCTGAGTCGGATGGTTCTGGGGCACGTTATTGGTGGTCCTCAGGGCCTCGATATGCTGGACCACGTGCCCCAGAACCTCAGGCGTGACGTCGGCAATCTGCAGGGCTTGAAGCCGTTGGATAAGCTGCTGCATTGTCTGGGGTGTGACATCGGTTACCTGCATGCCTTTGAACTGTTTGGTAAGTTGTTGCATCAGCGGGCTCTGGGGCGGACTCTGGGACGGGGTCTGGGACGTGGTCTGGGGCGGGCTCAAGAATATCTGGTCGGGGCTCTCGGGCGAGCTCTGGGTCGGGCTCCCGGTCGGGCTCGGCGAGATGTAGGTATTCGGAGGTAATTGACCACTGGGCTTGGTAGGCTTCTGGCCCTGAGCATTGCTGAGATCTTCCGAGCCTTATCCTTGTCGGCGTAACATTGCAGGAGCGCCTTGTTAAGCTTCTCTATCTCGGCGTTTGTTTTAGCCTGCTCGTCGCGAAGCTACGCTATCCGGGCATTTGCTCTAGCCTCTGAGTGCTGCGAGTCCACGAGCTGCTGCTTTGACGCCGTGAGATTCTGAGTTGCCGTGAGATTCTGCTGCGATTCCCTGAACTGCTGCTGAGTTGCCGTGAGATTCTGCTGCGATTCCCTGAACTGCTGCCGAGATGCCGCGAGCTTTTTCTGGCATTCCGTGAATTGCTGCTGCGATGCCAGGAACTGTTGCTGAGTTGCCGTGAGCTGCCCTCAAAGCTTCTCGTTTTCCCGTCCTTGGTCTTGAGGAGGCTGGAAAGCGACAGGCTTGCCATTGACTTCTCGGTACAGATCGGGGTGGTGCTGCGCCGCGGTTGCCATTTGGACGAGATTACCACTCCATTCTTCGAACCAGGGATGTAGGGGTCGTGGCAGGTCGTTGATTGGGTACCAGCCGGCGCCTGGGCTTTCGGAGGAAAGTTGACGGTGTCCTTGTCGATTCTTTTTCTGCCTGAGGGAGTCGCAAAGACACGTGTATCTGAAGCCGTTGCCGTGCTCATTGGTGGCCTGCCACTCAATATAGATGAGGTCGTCATCGATGAGGCCCGTTTCCTCCCTTGTTTTTCTAAACGCCGCTTGACGGTTGGTCTCTTCACGGTCAACGAACCCACCATAAGTACTCCACGTCCCGTTCAGGCGACGATCTAGGAAAGCGTTCATCACTCCATCTAATTCAGCAAGTAGAGCGAGTCCGGCGACAGGATTTTGGGAGCGGTGCTCATGACCGGCAACGCATTTGTATGCTGTCGACATCATGATGGAGGATGCTGGTCCAGGTAGTTGGTGAAAGCAGGAGTTCTGTAGCGAAGTAGGTAATAACTTGGTGTGATAGTTTGAAAGTTTGAGTTGATGAGATGGAAGTGTTTCGAAACGACCAACCTGGCATCCCGGTATATATATGCCGGTAGATCGTCCGCAGAACGTAAATCAACCCGCCATGGGACAAGGACATTCGGGACCATCAAAGCGTAATGTATGCTCTTTGCAAGGTGTGGTACAATGCGCACAAAGCACTTGATTGCTACAATGCCCTTCTTCGCTGGGAGACCCTACCCCTGAAAGACGTCTATAACTTCCGAAGCTCGATCGCGTCCCACCCACAACGGCCTTGTCATCGACACAAGGAAACACTTCCATTGAGAGGGGATCATACCGACGCTTTGTATGAACCGGATTACCCCAAAATAGAGACAAGAGCATCGACCAGCGCAAAGGAAGCGATGAGTACCATGGAGTTCTGTTAACTCAGCGACATCGGATACACGCTGTGATTCGACCGATCTAGCCCAGTAGGAACGTCTTCGAACGTTCGACCTATCTTCGCCGGTTCTCTAGGAAACCCAGCCCATCTCCTCGATGGGCCATTGAATCCATAGTCGATGTTCCTCGTCCAGCAGGTGATACGACTTTGCTATCAGATGATCAGCCCACCCGTGCAACCACCACTGACTCTCGAGTCTCTTCAGCAGGACGCAGAAGAAGGAAAATATGGCGACGGCCTCCTGCGTCGGTACCCGCAGCAGGGGCAGCAGGTCATCGGCCACCACAAAAATCCACACGAAAGCATCGGTGAGGTCCCGACCACGGCCGCCATCGGAGAGAGAGAAGGACTTTTGCAACTCCTCGATGGCTTTCGCGTAGGTTTGGAGCAGGCTTTCGTCGGACTGGTGGCTCGCGATGAGCGTCTGCATGCTGTCCAGATTCTTCTGCGCAGGCGAGTCATGGTCTTTGTTGCTGTTCTGCCGTGCGTGCCACTGTGAGGACGTGAATCAGTGAGTGCAACGGCTTGCAAAAACATTGCCCAGGGACAAGTCCGAAGCCACATTGATTGTCAACAAAGACAGAGGCAGACATCGGATTCGGAGACTGGACAAAGACGATGGCAGGGACCGAGGACCGGGGTCTGCTTACGCGTTCGCGGCCGTGGGTCAAGACGGGAGACAATAGTCCATCGGTTTCCACGCCTGCGATTTGAATAAAAGTGTGTGACCCTTGCAGAAGGGACATCCAGTCCGGAAACCCGCTTTCGCCAATGAGCAGGAACCCATCTTCTTTCCGTGGACTCGCGAGCGCGAAGATGGTTGTCAGGGAAGAGAAGAGAAAAAGGTCTTGGGCTGTCGAGCGGCTGATATCCGACTCGGACATTAATTCCACTGCCAGGCGGTCAATTACTGTGGCAGCGAGTTAGCAGCAAGTGACAGGCTTACTGGCTGCGCGTGACGCGGTCTGATGGTGAGTGATGGCGACAGACTGGTAGTAGTCTCTCATGTGAGGGCGGTAGTGAGCAAGGTGCAGTCCCGAGACAGCCAGCAGTGTCCGCATGATATAGTCGCAGCGCAGGCCGAGCTGTACGGCGCTGATGCGATAGAACTCCCGCAGGACCGGGCTGTCGGACATGGTCGAATATGTCGAGGTGGTGAAGTTGTGCAGCAGCTCGAGATCAACCAGATTCAAGTCGTTGGGCGAGAGACCTGGCGTCGGTGTCGCGGGACTCTGGCGCTCGACGGCAATAAAGTCGCAGACGACATTGTGTTTTCTACAGTTGGCGCATGCTGGCTTTTTCTCGTCACACTGAACGAGCGAGCGAGTTAGTCGTAGTGACGGAGATGGATGCGTGATGAGTTTAAGATGTCAAGGGGATTGTCTGGTCTTCGCGCTTCCTGGGCTCCTGGCTGAGGAGCAGGAGCAGGAGCAGGAGCAGGAACAGAGAACAAACGAGGTACGAGGTACGTGTAGCCACGCACTTTGATTTTCCTCGACTTGCATGTCCTACAACCTGTGTGGTAACGTTAGGTAGACCCTTCTACGGGGAGACAGTGGACTGACTTGCCCGTGCGAGTCTTGGGATGGGACCTCCTTGACGCACCTGAGGCGCCGGCAGGTGTGCTGTGTCTCGTCATCTGCCGTTCACGATGTCCACGATACCGAATCCTGGCTCGGGATGCTCCCAGATTCTTTAGACAGCAACCTCGCGCTTCCCCGGACTCTCTCGGGTGTGGGGAATATAAGTGACTTACTCTGAGGAGCCCCCTTTGGCGGTTAAACGGTGCAGGTGCTGCGCGACTTCGCTAGCGGGCGGGATGGATGGCGCAGTCGCAGACTTTCCAGATTGATGCATATCCCCGATACCAGACACATTGGGCAGGTTAGGTTTAGGCCGTGCCAAGTCCTAGCGTGAGGGATGCTGAGCCATATTTATGCCCAATATGGTTAGACACCTCGCATGCTTCCCGAGAAGTGCGACAGGTACGAGAAGTGCGAGAAATACGAGAAATACATGCGAGAAGTGCGAGAAGTACGAGCCAAGACGAGCGTGAACAGGTTGTGATTCCACGCGTCTTTCGTCGCAGGCCCAGCCCTCAGCCTCTCAGCCCTCAGACAACAGCCATGTGTTCAATGCTGACGGCGTCGCAACGCAGACTCACGCCAATGGTAGTGAGCAGGGCTGTCTGTCTGTCCCCGTAGTGCCTGGGTCAGACGTCTGCACGAGCCGATATATATATATATATATAGATATAGATGACGCCCCAGATAGTCCCAATGGCTCGAGGTGTCTGTCTTTCCGATCACAGCAACGTCGAAAAGCCAGGCCCCGAGAGCTTGGACTTACCTATACAGCAGTCATTCGTTCCTTCGTCGTCACTTCGGACTTGTAAAGCAACCATCCGTCCAAGATGGTCGCGCCGCACTCTTTCATCTTCTACCGGTATGACCCTTCGCTCGCGGCCGCAGCGGCCTTCGTGGCGCTGTTCGGGCTCAGCGCCATTGCCCACACCTACCAACTCATATGGAAGAGAACTTGGTATTTCATCCCCTTCGTTATCGGCGGACTATGCGAGACAGTCGGGTATGGCGGGCGGATCATGTCGGCGCAAGAGACGCCCAACTGGACAACAAACCCGTACATCCTCCAGTCGCTTCTGATCCTCGTCGCCCCTGCGCTGTTTGCCGCCTCCATCTACATGGTCTTGGGCCGCATTGTGCGGCTTGTCGAGGGCGAGCACCACTCCGGTATCCCGATCAAGTGGCTCACCAAGATCTTCGTGACGGCCGACGTCATCTCGTTCTGCGTGCAAGGGGCTGGCGGCGGCCTGCTGGCTGTGGCCAAGGACGTCCAAGGCTTCAACAACGGCCAGAACGTCATTATCGGCGGCCTATTCGTGCAGCTCGCGGCGTTCAGCGTCTTCGTCGTCGTCACGTCCATCTTCCACCGACGGATGCAGAAGACGCCCACCGTGGCGTCGCAGGCGGTTGGGGTGCCGTGGCAGCGCTACCTCTGGGTTCTGTATGCAGCGTCCGGCCTGATCCTCGTGCGATCCATCTTCCGAGTCATCGAATACCTCCAGGGCTACAGCGGTAGCCTACAAGATGCCGAATACTGGCTGTACATCTTCGACGCGGTGCCTATGTTCGTTTCCACCGTCGTCCTGAATGTGTTCCATCCCAGCAAGATCATCTCGTCCAAAACGAAGGCCGGGCGTGTGTCTCTCCAAAGCACAACGGATATAGAGCAAGAGCTTCAAAATGTCAACTGGAGAGCGTCCCAGCGGAAGCCCATGACTGCAGAGTCGAATGTGTAGCACTGGCAAGGCAGGCTTCCTCGAGACGGTTTAAATGGCACACTTGAGCATTGGTATGATTCGGGTCAAAGGGGATACATTCTGAATGGCTAGACTCTACATATGGAGCTATCTTAGTGGTCTGGTTTCGTCGAGAATGATTATAGAGCAAGGGCACGGCGTTGTGGGAATTCAGAGGGCTCGCTCAAATGGCCGGTATTTTTTTGCTTAAAAGGAAAACAATCTAAAGTCTGTTCATGCGCATTGCAACACCTTCAAGGCTTTGTGGGCCTCTGGAGACCTGGAGGAGAATGATACTCGGTCTATTCACCTGCCACGGGCCTCTCGAGCCTGTCACTGGCCACGACTTCTCGTCACGCTTGCTGATATAAATTGATGGAGAGGGTCTATGGATTCGTCACCAGTGATCACTTCGCGTGCCTCGTTCCGGCTGGCTGGCGGGCTGCTGGCCAGGGGCACATGATCCGTTCCTACTCCTCCGCGAAGCCCTCATCCACCGGCTCTTCTGCCTCGTTCACTAGGTTTCTGTTCCTGTAAGGGGAAACAGGTCAGTTCATGTGCTGTTATAGGGGGACTAGGGGTCAGGTAGCTCACTTCTCTATGATGGCCGTCCGCACGGCCCGGTAGAATAGCCACGGTAGGCCTTTAGTAACCGAGGTATCTTGAACCGATCTAGTAACCTCATTGAGCATTCCTTGTTCATTGATTCTCTGGCCAATTCGGCGCTGGACTAGCTCGGTTGCATGGACCATGAACGAGAGAGCAGGGTTTTTGTCTGAGGGCTTAAGTTAGGCTCAGTGTCTTGAGTGAAGGGTGCTAGTCGGCAATTACCCCTAGCGAAATCAATATTTCGCCTAATAGGAGGCATGTTAATATCTATACTTGGAAGCAGCATTACAAACTATATTACTCACTCTGTAATGCTCGGCGAAGACATCATGGTAGCTACTGGTAGGTTGTTGGGATCTATGTATGGTCGTCGGCGTAGTGAGAAGCAGGTGATTGTTTCTCATAGTTGACGGTGCTAGCAGCTGAGTTCGGCAAAGATAAGGTTGTCAGAGAGTGATATGCTCAAGATGACTGCTGTCGCCAATAAAGAAAGGGTGTGACATGTGCTTTTTGCTTCAGGTGGATTTATGGGAAACAGTCTTGAGAAACGACATCTGCTGATCGCTGACAGTAAGCACCGGTACAATGGGTTGAATGAGGCGGCACATTGTGCACAGTGGGATTTCGCCGTTCCCATTGTCCCCTCGTGCCAAGCTATCAGGGCGTCGAGTGCATAGCAAGGGTTCAATGGGACAACATTGGATGGAAATGCTTAACAATTGCCTCCAGTCGTGGGAGACTCCTTTTATCCCATAACTTGGGATTAAAAGTTCTGGTGGGTGGCACAATGAATGGATATATACCGCCTCGTGGGTGTTGCTACTTTGATCTTGTGGAAATGATGAAGGCTTGAATCTGTGAGATGTGATCACATCCTTTAAAGGGGGTCAGTTTGGCTTTCAAGCCCGGTTGGTGCCTCAGGCGATGATCCTGCAAGTCAGTCATCAATGTCTCTCAGGAGAACAAGATGGCTAGTCATAAGAATCAAGAAGTCACTTCAGTTTGTGCAAAACATGAATTGCCCAGGGCTTGCTTGCCTAGTTGCCCTCGACAAGATGGGCCTTCAATCAGCTCGTTGGTGTTTCTGCGTTTGTGCTAGGCCAATATAAAGACACAACAACTACTAACGTACATCAATTACTAAACTAGGGCCTTGTAGGATAATTAAAGACAAAAAGTCGAGAAGCCTCTGTTGTCTTTGCTGTCTTTCCTTCTCTTTCTGTGCTTCCGACTTGGAAGCATGACGGGATTGTGGTAGCTTGTTGCAGAAGTCGACTTTGGTGTGGCCGCTTCTGCCGTCTCATTAATGAGAGTATCCCAAACCCTTGGATAAACGATCTAATGCGCTGTTTCGTTGGGTAATGCCTAGGCTCGGATGTTATGCAGCAACCATCGGCAGTCTGGGTGTCCATGTTCTGGGATACTTGGAACAAAATGTCCAAGTTTATCGCAACATGTCCGAAGTATACCATTATTGCAGGCCCGAGTATACAGTTTAGTAGTGGGATGGGCAAAGTGTCCCGGAAAGTTCACAGGTGTCAGAGGTGGGTCAACCAGAGAAAAGGGGGAATATGCATTGCGATTCGTTGAAGAATAGTTACCTCAAGTAATTGAACTGCATCGAGCTTGGTTTGGCCCCTTACATGAGCTCTTCGTGTAACCATATGTTGGCACAGCAAAGACAGGGATTGTTGCGTACCGTGAGCGTTACCTGGATGTGCTTTGTCTTGTCAACCAACAGACCTCTACCAACAGTTGTTCCACCCATCATCTCCCCCGACATTCCCTTCCCTCCAATGCTGGGCATAAGGCAGGCGCCCTCGGGGATAGGAGCAACTCAATGCTTGTAATTCCGACAGCTCACTCAGCTCAGTTCAGCGCCTCCCGCCTTTTCCAGGCAACACTTTAATAATCCTCACGGACGACCTGCTCATATCTTTAAGCATTATTGGCTAAAGAATCCAGGGAACCTTATCGTACGTAAATCTATCGTCAACACGATAAGGATATAGGTGTAAATTTATCTGGCTTGGCAAACAGGTAGTCCGTGAGGATTATGAAGTGTTGCCTAGAAAAGGCGGGTACCTTATGTAGGTACCTACTAGATACTCAACCCAGCCCCCTTTTTTTCTAGTCGTACCCTCAGTTTGTGGCCATAGTGGCCCCGGGGCGCCTCATAGAACGTCATTTATCTGGCTAGACAATGCCAGAATGCCAGAGATTCCCTTTCCACATCACCTTTTATTCTTGCAAAACTAATCTAAGTCATAGTCTTGACCTGCTGCTCTCCACCTGCAGCCATACGTTTATCTTACAAACCCTGCCACGTTTTCATTGGCTTGTCTCCTACTCTCCATGGCTGCCTCGCCGTCGGTGCCTCACACGGGCCTCGGTCTTTTGGGAATGACCTGGCGTCCCCAGGTGACGCCTGATGAACAAGCCTTTGCTGCTATGAAGGCTGCTGTCGAGTGTGGTGCCACCTACTGGTCCTCCTCTTCGGTCTACGGCATGCCCCCGAGCCAGTCACCGCCGGTCTTTCCCTTCTCCGTCGGTACTTCCAGAAGTATCCCGAGGACGCGCCCAAGGTGACCCTTTTCATCCGCGCCTGTCGCGATGCTGCCACGGCCTCCCCGACCTGCACCCGCGACGGTGTACGTGCCAGCTGGGCAGAATGCGAAAGCTTCCTCGGCGGCGTCAAAAAAATCGACTGCTTTAGGCCCGCGCGCATAGATCCGAAAGTACCCGTAGAGGAAACCATCGGCGCCCTTAAGGAACTTCAGGACGAGGGCAAGATCGGCAGTATCGGCCTGTCTGAAGTGCGTGCTGAAACCATTCGAAAGGCATCTGCCGTCTGCCCCATCCGGTTCGCCGAGATCGAATTTTCACTGTGAAGCACCGAGATGCTTGAGAACGGCGTAGCTGCGGCGGCAAAGGATTGCGGCGTAACCCTCTGGACTTATGCTCCCTTGGAATATAGATTCCTATCCGGAGCCGTTAAAAAGCTGGAGGACATCCCGCAGGGAGATATCCGCTACTGGTTTAGCCGTTTCCAGCCAGAGGTACGTTAATGGTTTACACGCTGTTGTCCGCACCCCTTTCTAACTTGTTTCTTTCTATATAGAACTTTTGCAAAAACCTCGAGCTCGTCGACAAGTTCTAGGCATTTGCAGATAGCAAAGGCGTTATCCCTGCTCAGCTCGCTCTTGCGTGGATTCGTGCGCACTCCAACTCTGGAATCTGCGGAACCATCATTCCTACCCCAGGAGCCACCTCGGAACAACGCGTCAGGGAGAATTGTAAGCCGGTAGTGATATCTGCCGATAAGAAAAACGAGCTTGACGCCATCCTGAAGTCCTTCGAGTTCGTAGGGCATAGGCAAGTCCCGAGCATGGAGAGCCATCTGAACACCTAGTATTTCCTGGCGGTCACAAGGCCTCTTTAGCAAGAGCTGCACTGCACGTGCACGAGGGTAGTCCTTAAACCTATGAACCTTTGTTGATGCTCGACGGTGTGCCGGATGATGCCGTTTGATTCTGCATGGTGATTTCCCTTCTATCCATTCAGTTCAGAGAAGACCAAATCAGGCTCGCCTCGATGATGCTTGTTTCGATTTCAGTATGCTCGATTACGACATGGTTAAGAATATGGTCGAAAGCCAGAGGAGGACGGTTTATAGTCACACAAATGGCGGTACCGCCAACCTCGGAACCCAAGCTGCTGGCAACCCCAAAGCATTCCTATGTAGGTAGCATTAGGATTGTGATACTTCGAGTTGGTTTTAGGAAGTACCTAAAGACAATTGCGTACTATGATGACACCTCACTGGCGTTGTTTCGTCCTGAGTGCTTCTGACGGTGAGGAGGACATAGCCAAGAGCGTTGAAGGGTACATTCCATGTGTGGTGAAGTTGACGCTTGAAGTGCATTCAACCTCCAACCCTGCTCATTGGGCCTTGCCTTTGACGATTATGGGCGATGTAATGGTAGAGCCAGGGAACGTGTAGTACAAATCAGTGGTTACATGTACAGGTCTGTAGTGTAAGTAGGTAGGGAGCATGACACTTGTTGGGTTGGAAGTGACAGTGCCTCGGCCCTCAGCTGCAGGGGGCACAATGGGGCCCCATAAGTTTTGCACAAATTGCACAATGCACAGGTGCTAGAGGCTAGTAATGGACCGTGCACTCACTAGGTTAGTTACTTAGGTACATTATACTAAACATTGGAATTTGTTCAGCCTTGCAGCACCAACAATTGAAGCCTCACCTTGAGTTCACCTCGCCCTCGCTCCTCGACGATCAATCCATCGACTGTCGTCGGGTCGCATCCTCCCTTGCAGCAGTATTTCTGGTGTCTTCACCTCTCCCGAACGCGTCGCATCACTGCCGCAGATGCGCTGCAGCTTCAGAGATGACCCGTGACCTTTTCTACTCGCCTCATCTTTCACTTACTTTTGGTTCCGCCATCACCTTCGTCCCATCAACTCTCCTCCCTTGAACCGATCGCGCCAACAGAACACTCCCACCGTCGCCTACCTCACTCTCCTCCGACACCCCACTCTACGATGGCGACGATGCGCAATGGTCACCTTGATGGTGCGACGAACGGCACTGCTGTTGCGCGACCCGTCAGCAAGCGCTTCTCCGACATTCCTAGCGCCATCGACATTCCCGTGCAGGATGGAGAAGACGAGGCGGTCGAGATTGATCTGGAGGAGCTGGTTGACGATCCCACCGAGCTCTGCACCCTTTTCGACAACGAGCGTGCTGCGCGTCTTTATTGGATGACCGTAGCCCTCGCCTACGCGAAACAGAAGAAGATTGACCATGCCATTGAGATGCTCAACCGCGGCAGCAATGCCATGCAAGACAACAACCCAATGGAAAAGCTCAGCGTTATTACCTGCGTGTGCTGGATGTACCTGTGGAAGAGCAGAGAGGCCCCTCGCGTCCCTCCCGAGGGCGCCCTTCTGTCCGAGGCCAAAACCAAGGACTACTACCTGCAACTCGCCACGTCTTCCCTCAACGAGGCCTCCCGCATAAATCCGGCGTTTCCTCCGCTATTCTTGGCCCGCGGTGTACTTCAGCTTCTGAAGGCCTCACTTCAGGCACCCTCCAAGGCTCCGGGCGCCGGCCACGTTGAACAAGACAAAGCCGAGCTGCTTAAGAGTGCACTGAAGGCTTTCGAGCAAGCGAGCAAGGTTTCGCAAGGCAAGAACATGCTGGCATTGCTGGGGAAGGCGCGCGCCTTGTTCGGACTTGGCAATTACAGGGACTCCTTGTCTACATATCAAGATGTGCTGGCAAAAATGCCCGATCTCGTCGACCCGGATCCCCGGATAGGTATTGGATGCTGCTTTTGGCAGCTTGGCTACAAGGACGACGCGAAGCAAGCTTGGATGAGATGTTTAGAGATAAACCCGGAGTCCAAGATCGCGAACAGTCTCCTGGGCCTCTACTACCTGGATGCTAGCGGCCGTGTACCCACGAATAGTCCGGATTTCATCAAACTCTACAAGAAGGCCATGACTGAGTTCACTCAGAAGTCATTCAAGCTTGACAAGAACCAGCCACTCACCTGTGCGACCTTCGCTGGCTATTTCCTATCAAGCAAGAACATGTCCCACGTCGATTCGCTCGCCAACAAGGCTATCCAGTACACTGACGTCAACGCCATCGCAAGTGACGGGTGGTATCTACTTGCTCGAAAGGAACATTTCAGTGGCAACGTTGAGACAGCTACAGGTTACTACCGTCGCGCAGATGAAGCTCGTGGGGGGCTCGAGAGAGGCTACCTGCCGGCCAAGTTCGGTGTCGCCCAGCTCTCGGTCCTGAACAACGATCTTGGCGAGGCAAAACTTCGTCTCGAGAAAATCATCCAGCCGAGCGGCAAGAACGAGCGTAACTACGAGGCCATGATCCTCTTGGGTACCCTCTACGCCGAGGAAGTTTTTGCTAATCAGTACGCTGCGACGAAGGAGGATAAGTCAGCAGAGATGCGCAAGGCTATAGAATACCTTGAACATGTTCGCATGGCGTGGAAAGATCCGAGGAAGAACCTCTCCCCGGACCCTGCGATCCTGCTGAACCTCGCTCGCCTTTATGAGAACCACTACGCAGACAAGGCTCTGCAGTGCCTTCAGCAAGTTGAGCAGCTCGAGCTAGATCAGATTCCAACCTCGGAGCATCCGGATGGCATTGACGATGAGGCGGCCGTGCGCAAGGCTTTGCGGAAAAACTTGCCACCCCAATTGCTGAATAACATCGGTTGCTTTTATTCTCAAGCCGAGAAGCATCAGCTGGCAAGCGAAACGTTCGAGGCTGCCTTAAGCTCCTGCATGCGCATTGGCGAGACAGGCGAAGACATGGACACGGACGCCCTAGTCACGACGATAAGTTTCAACCTCGGCAGAAGCTACGAGTCCCAGGGCCTTACTGAGCAGGCAGTCGGAGTCTACGAGAAGTTGGTGGCACGACATGGTGACTACACGGATGCTCAAGCACGGTTGGCATACATCAAGCTGCTCAAGTACCCGAACAAGGAAGGTCCCGAGGCTATCACGAAGCTCTACCACGAAAACTCAGCAGACCTAGAAGTCCGTGCCTTGCACGGCTGGTATCTCGGCCGAGTTCACTCGCGAAAGAGGCCTACCAACGTCAATGAAGACGCGGAACTCAAACACTTCAAGCACACTCTCCAGAACTATGACAAGCATGATAGATACGCGCTTGTTGGTATGGGCAACATGTACATGATGGCAGCTCGCGAAATGCGACGAGGGACCGATCAAGAGAAGCAGAAAAAATCCGCTATGTACACTCGCGCCGTGGAATTCTTCGACAAGGCATTGCAATTGGACCCGAAGAATGCCCATGCAGCCCAAGGTGTCGCTATCGCTCTTGCCGAGGACAAGAAAGACTACAAGAATGCACTGCCGATCTTCCTAAAAGTGCGCGAGACCATCAAAGACGCCAACGTATACATCAACCTCGGTCATATTTATGCAGAGTTGCGTCAGTTCTCAAAGGCCATCGAGAGCTACGAGAACGCTCTGGCGAAAGAGGGAAAACCGAACCACGGGATATTGGCGTGCCTCGGTCGTATATGGTTGCAAAGGGGCCGGCACGAGCGGAACCTGGATGCGTACAAGACTGCACTGGATTTCGCTAAAAGGGTAAGATTGACAGCATGGTTTCCCGCCTTGCACAAAACTGACAAGCTGCATAGGCCCTCGAAAGTCAACCCGACCACGCTCATTCCAAGTTCAACGTCGCCTTCGTGCAAATTCAGCTGGTTCAGCACATTATGAACGTGCCTGAGACGCAGCGAACACTTGTACAGCTCCAGGATGCCTCTGATGGCCTTGAGGCAGCCATTATGGTCTTGGACGAGATAGCAGCCAGCCCGGACCCACCGTACCCAAAGGCTGATCTAGAACAGCGAGCCAACATGGCTCGGAACACACAACGGAAGCAGCTTGGACGGTCAATCGAGGCTCAAAAGGAGTACGAGGAGAAGAACAAGGAGAAGCTGGCGGCTGCTCTCGAGAAGCGGCAGGCTGAGCTTAAGCGCCGCGAGGACGAGCGGCAGAAGGCTTTGGCTCAGGAGCACGAGAGACAGGAGAAGATACGAAAGGAACGCGAAGAAATCCTGGCTCGTGACAGAGAAGTGGCGGAGCAGCGAGCTGCTGAGGAGAGAGAGCGACTGGCTGCTGAGTTGACTACGGACAGCGAGACAGGAGAGAAAGTCAAGCGAAAGCGGAAAGCCAAGCCTCGTGGAGAAGGCCAACCGAGAAGTCGCCCGCAGAAGAAGAAGGCTAAGCGTGATGACTACGAGTCGGACGAGGAGCGCCAGCCCAAGAAGAAGCGGAGACTGGCGGCCAAGAAGGACAACAAAAAGTACAAGTCTGAAGAGATTGTGGTGGACAGTTCTGATGAAGATGATGACGACGATCTAGACCGCGCTGAGAGAGGTATGGAGGATCACGACTCACCTCGTTCAGATGCGGACGACGCGTCTAGGGCTGGAAACGACGACGTCGACATGGACATCGACAAGACAGCCGACCAGAGCGAGAATGAAGATGACGAGGATGAACCCACCACCACAGCTCGCGCTCCCAAGCGTGCAAGGCGAGGCAGAGTCCTGGATGACAGTGATGAGGACGAGGATCATGACCAAGACGGTGGCAGTCCTGCCGCAGCCAACGGTGCTTCTGGAGACGAAGGCGAGCCTGCAGCTGGAGCAGCAGACACCAGCATGGCGAATGCCCCCGACTCCGACGCTGAGGAATGATTGTATATTACACTGGCACTAAAGGAGTCGGCACGGGTGCTTCATTTGGCTTCTTCATACTCGGGGGAGCTAAGAAAATGCATGGCCCTGGTGGATGGCACGGACTGGGCGCTCATGGCAAACATTTGGATTGGAATATTGTAACCGTATTTTCAGCGACACTCGTGCCGGATGAGAGATCCGGCTAATCTTCATTAATTCAGAGAATGAGGTAAACCAGCCTTGCGTCCTGTGAACTAACGTGACACCTCTCACTATCAGACTGTTTCTCGAATACCCCAGACTCGGCCTTTCGCAGGGTACACTGAACCCTCCGAAGTCTTCGTACACCCCATACTATGTCTTGAACTATGAGGTTTGTTCTACCTTCTGTATCTCCAAGAAGGTCAGCATCATATAATACTATCCCAACAAGCTGGAGTCCGCGCCCGCGTCGCCAGCACTGGCACCGGCTCGGGTAAGCATGACAAGCGCCCGCCTCTTTGTCAGGCGCCCGCGCAACTCATCCTAAGGGGCCATTCGAGACGCGTCGCCGGGATCCCGGGCTTCGAGCACAAGGTGCAGCGGTGTGCGGTCCGAGCAGTCCCGCGCATCCACGCCGAGCGCGCCGCCGCTGTAGTTCAGCAGCACCTGCAGCCGGGAGCAGGGCTCGGAATGGAACACGGCGCCGGGGCTGCCGCCGACGATGTGGTGGAGCGCGGTGCGCTTCTGTTTGTCAATGACTCTGACGTCCACGGCCCGGCGGCGGAGGAGGAGGAGAGCGTTGATGAGCAGCGCCGTGGGTATGTTCGGCGGCTGGCCGCACAGAAGCATCAGCGGCGTCCGCCCGTCCGCGTCTGGTGCGTCCGGGTCCGCGCCGCGGTCGATCAGGAGCTCCATGAACGATGATAGAGGCGGGGGACGGAGGATGGTTTGGAAGTATATGCTGCGGGAAGGACACCAGTTCTTCTGGACCTGGCTGAAGAAGCTCCCGGTCAGGGTCCGGGACGCAGACATCTGCGCCGAGCGCGACGAGGTGTGGGAGTAGAGCCATCCCTTTCTGCGCCTTGCAACTAGTCAGACGTAGACAGTGCTGCAGCAGGGTAAGGCCGTCGTCGGTCTGCGCGTCGATGTTCCGCCGTGCTGGATCAGTAGCTCTAGCTTTCGGATGGTATCCGGCCCTACGTCTTCGGCATAAGGCGACGTAAGCACTGCGGTGACAAAGTTGACAACCAGCGTTTTCGAATAGACCCCGTCGAAGCCTGGCAGCATCCTGGCGTCCGTGTAGTCGCGCTCTCTGCCTCTGGAGTAGGCCTTGTGCTGGTCTGCACCCCTTTCCAGGAGGAGCTGGACCAGGTCGGCTGAGCCCGGCATCATCACAGCCAGGAACAAATTCGGCGTGAAGCGTGCCCGCCCTTTGCGGACCGACGCTGAGACGCAACCAGCGTTTGGGGGTGCGCCGTGATCCAACAACATTCTGACCACCTTGACGGCCATGGCCACGCCTACCGGGGAAGCCAGTGAGCCTTGCGCAGCAAGAACTCCACGCATGGGGACTTACCATAGTCAACGGCAACACGCCATATGGCTTTGTATATCAAGAATCCGCCCTTGGGAAGGGGTCGAGTGACATCAGCAACGGCTTCGAGGAGGACCTCGAGAGCATCGACGTTTCCCGTGACGACTGCCCTCTCGCCCGGAACCGAACCATCGTGCGCAACATGGCTAGGATCAGCTCCTAGTTCAAGGAAGGCCTTGACTGCGCTCGATTCGGCATGGTGACATAAGCAGTGGATGAGCGGCGTGATCCCGCCGGGGGCATCAAACCGGCTCCCCGCAGCAGTGAGTCTGCGCATGACGTCGCCGTTCGTAGCAAAGTGGATGGGAAGGAGTCTGCCAGCCACGGTCGCGTTGACCGCGGCGCCCTTCTGCAGCAGATACTCGACGACGGGCCGTGGCCAGACAGCGATGCTTGGTACAAGGGCGTCAGTCCGAAACCCCCTTCTTCGCCGCAGACCCCGGTCGACTTGACGGTTGGGCAGTTGATGAACTGCTCCAGGCTCTCGACGTCGTCGACTTCCTGCAGGGTGCGGACGAGCCCGTGCTCGGACGCCCACCGCACCACGGCGTTCCTGGTGGGAGAACCGTCGACACGGGTTCGCTCCGTCTTGGCGTCGACGTGGGATACGGGCTTTGAAGGTAAGAGCCTGAGATACATTCATTATCCGCGACAGGCATCCCTCGTGTCGTCGGTCTGCCAGAAGCCACCGGGAGTCGTCTTTGAAGGAGATGTAGCTGGCTATTGCGAAGATCAACTCGGTCGGCAAATCGCAGATATCGTGGTTGGGGCGGGACGACATAACTTATTTATAGCTGTGATGGGATCATGAGACGACATTCGGCTTGGGTATGATCTGATTGTAGAGAAACCAAGTCATCGACCAGAGGTGGAAGCGCCGATATGTGTCAGCAATGCGATCCTTGGCACGACATCCCATAGCAAGGAGGTCGCGGCATCACCGGCCTTGCGTCGCCGCGCCATATGAATAACCCATGACAGCGAATTATTGATAGGCACGAGAAGAAGAAGCGACTCATAGCGGGAGAAATGGAATGTGACGACAGTTCCCCAGGCTAGGGGGGGTATGGCGATCGGTCTTACCGTCGGTTATTGACATAGACGGAAAGTACTGAAGGATTTGCCGAGTCCCGTACTGTGAAGCTAGCTAGGTGATAGGATGGATTGATTGTTCAGAGCGGGAAGGAAAGGCCCCGTCCCCGCTATTTATATAATCACCGGCATTTATATATAGAGTCATGTATGAGTTTAGTTTAGTTTAGTTTATTTAAGGCCGTAGGGGCTCTAGGCTCCAGATCCTTGTAGATGTTTGGCGTGCAGGTGACTATCTCAGGGGCTAATATACAAGCCTTACTGTACGGGAAGCAGGGCATGACTCCCTATTTCCCACAATAACCTGCAAATCCAACCTCGATGGCACACATGTTATTCTGTCAGTTTCCGTTGGCCCCGCCATTTGGACTCGTGCTCTGTGATATCTGGTTCGTAGTCAGTAGTCCGAATAGCGTCGAGGAGCTCCTCTCGCTTTGACAGTTAGTGCCTTGCGTTTAAAAGGCTATAAGCTAGAAAAAAATGAAAACATAAGGAAAAATAAGAAAAGTAATAAAGAGATGTGGTAACAGGCGCAGTTACACCTGGTGATCGATGAATTGATGTTCTGTAACCCTGGGACAGACTTTTGTGTAGAATTCTGTTCACTTGCAGAAGTCTCTGAATTCCTTTAGGTGCGTTATCAGCCATTTTTAATAGGCTCTCCCTTCTGGTTTGGGTTCTCCGTTGTGTCTGCGGTTTCTTTGTGGCCACTTAGACTGTTTCGTAAGGGCTTTGTTACAGAAAGCAAAGTGGGCTCGCGTTTTGATTCTCCCGCAAGAGCAGATATAGTGTTCCTCATGCTTGAACCTCCTATGGTACCAGTTAAAGTCGCTGTGGCCAGTTCTAGATGCGATAAGCCTGTGGAGCGTTGGCCTGTCCAGCTTGAGCTCTTCTGGGCACTTGAGTATAGTTTTCCGAAGGCTGGGACTTTTGTATTTATCAGTGATATTCTTGTTCTACCATTGCTGGTGTTCTTTCCGAGTCTTTTCGTTAAAAAGGCCTAAGACGCCCGTAAGTATGGGTTTGGCCCTGGTAGGGATTAACAAGGTGGTGCCTTCCTTTGCCTTTTTGTCGGCCTTTTTGTTACCTTGGATGTTCATGTGCCCTGGCACCCACCGGACCTGTACGTCGGCGTATGTGTCCGAGATTTTGTGGAATTCTAGGAAAGCTTCTTGGGAGCTCTGAGCTGGTTCCCTCCACAGTCCGGAGATCACTGCTGTATTATCCAGACACACGTAGATGGTAGCGCCGCTGCTGAGCCTCAGGGCCTGTCTGAGTGCGTGGCGGGCCCCTTCGATCTCACCGTCAAAGACCTCAGCTAGGTGGCCCAGTCTGCCACAGCCCGAGGCTATGTTTGTCTGGCCTCTATAGATCACGTATCCATAGCCCACCGCCCCCTCCAGGGATTTTGAGCTATCAGAGTAGGCGACTATGTGTGAAGACAGAAATGATTTTAGCCAGTCTGTGAAGACTTTGTTTCTTCAATTTTGCTTCTTATTATGACAGCTTTGCCAGCATTCATTGCATATCTTGGTTCCGTTAGGATTGGTCTTGGAAAATCCGGTGTGAGTTTATACGTCCTTTGGAGCCGTGTCCTTGTGGTTATCCTAACTAGACCCCTCAGGCCTCTGCTCACGGTAGGGTTCCGGGCTGTAACACATCGGACTAACAGATGCATGTTATCCATAGCTCTGATCCTCAGGCTGAACCGTATCCGGATCTTGCTGAGTATGGTTTGTACTGTTGGTAGGCCTGATTCTTTAAAGAGTACCTTCTTTGGTGAAGTTCTCCAGACCGGGAGAATCCCTCTAATGGCCTCTGTAAGGACTCTTTTGAGGTCGTCCGAGTGGCCGTTTTGGCGGGTGCTCACGTCCCGTGCCTGACTGTTTCCTGCTCTCTTATAATCCCCGGCCCCCCATACCTCTGCCCCATAGGTCATGGTAGGAATCACGCATGCAATTACCGCCTTGCGGAAGGCTGCTGCTAAGGGCCCTCTGGCAATGTTTACAAGACTTCAAATATGTCTGGCCACGACGAGGCCCTTGGCTGCCCGTCTTTTGACATGCTCCCAGAACTTCAGGGACCTGTCGAAGAAAATCCCCAGCCAGCAGACCACCGCCCCTTTCACCGGCTGCGCTGGTTTGATGGTGAAGCCTCCGGGGGTGACTATTTCTGGTGTGAGAGGTCTCCTCCCAGTATCAAAGTAGATGGTTTCAGCCTTAGAGTCTTTAAAGGTGACCTTGTTGTCTAGGCCCCAACGTAAAATATCGTCTACCATGCTAGCTGCCTTGGCTGCTAGCTCAGTAGTGGTTTTGCCCGTTATTCGGATGCCAACGTCGTCTGCATATCCGGATCTGTTATGCTTATCCTCTAAGAAGATATCTGCAATATACAGCAGGAAGAGGATTGAGAAAGCTGGTAATCCTTGTGGGAGCCCACAGCTCAGTCCAAATACTTTAGTAGTAACGCCTTCCAGTCTAATCCGAGCAGTTCTGTCCGATAAGAAGGAATCTACCCATTTTACATGGGCTGGTGCCCAGCCCTGCTGGCGGAGCCTGAGGATCAATCTCCGGCGAAGTACTGCATCAAACGCCCCTTGTACATCCAGGGTGACAAGAAGCGCTTTTTGCCCGGATTCTAGGGCTAACTCGATGTCGTGTGTGACTGCTGCAGTAAGGTCGACCGCAGAGCGCTTAGGGAGGGCCCCGATTTGGTTTGGGCTGGTCACCCCTCTTAGTAGGGCTGTTGTTGCCATCCGTTTTGTAACTAGCCTTTCAAGGCCCTTTCTAAGGCATAATAACAGAATAATCGGCCTGTATGATTTCGCGGTGGTATAGTCCTTTTTCCCCGGCTTCTTGAGCATGACTACCTCTGCTGACTTGAAAGGGGTGGGATGGTGCCCTGTTTTAAGGCAGGCTTGAAATAGAAGCCAAATCGGCTCTGCTAGGTGGACCCATGCCGCTTTGAGGAGCCGTGTTGAGAGAGAGTCTATTCCGGGGGCTGTGTTTTCTGTAAGAACCATTTTAGCAAGTTTGGTTGGCGATATTGCAGAGTCCCATTCCGATGCAGCGCGGGGGGCGATGGGAATCTCTAACGGGTCGTGTACGAGGTCGTCTTTGGCCAAGTGCCTGTCTAGTAAGGCCGTCTTGAGGGCATATGCCTTTTTGATAGTGTCCTCTACTGTCAAGTTGCCGACTTTTAGTGGTGGTGATTTCATGTCCGGACCTAGCTTATGCCAGTTAATTATCTTGAAGAGGTCTGAGTCTTTCTGTATGCCTTTGATGCGGGCTTTCCAGTATTCTCTTTTTGCTTTTTGTACTACCGCCCAATACGCGCGTTTCTCTTCTGTAGGGGTGTTTATTCTGAATTGTTTCGTTACCAGCTTGTACGTTCTTTTTGCTTTCCTGTACTCATCGTCCCACCAAGGAGCGTTTCGCCTCTTGTTGCTTGGCTTGTTGCCAACGGTTTTGAGGGCCAGCGTGATGAGGTTTATAATAGCAGAGGTAGCTTTGTCGAGTTCTTTTGTTGTGGGGTTAGAGCTGAGGCTTGGTAGCGGGGTTCCCATACGTATTATCTCACAGAACTCTGGTAGTTTGTCATCTGGTACTGTGTATCTCTGTTGAGCCACTCTTCGTCTCCCTTTGGATGGGATCATGATTGCAGTGGCCAGTGGTCTGCGGCTGCGTGTATAGCGTAGTTGACTACTGCGGTTGCAAAGGGGATATTCGAGAAGGTCAGGTCGAGGACATGCCCATCGTCGTGTGTAGGGACGCCCGGTTCCCCAATGTACAAGAGCTGGTTTTCTGCTGCCCACTATGTAATTTCCCCGCCTCGGGCTCTTCTTGGTATTCTTGGGAGTCATGTATGAGGTCTTATACTAAATACAACAAGTCAAGCGGGGCAACACACACCTCGGTAGGCTATCATGGAGTTTGTCGATCTCATAGATAGAATGTCGTCAGTATTTGCCACGTAATTGCTATCAGCTAGCCACTGAGAAAGGTACCAAGATAATCTTCAAGTCTGTATTGATAGTCGGCGGTTTCCCTTCAAGAGACGTAATGAGAGTTTTACCAACATTACTCCCTCTGAAGCAATGATCTCACTTCCATATTCCTCGAGGCCGATAGACTACGACAAGACCTTGTTACACTCCCCGGCCAGAAGTCTCCGAGCCCACTTTTTAAGCAGCCTCAACGCCTAAACCTTCCAACTTTCAGCATTCACAACGCACCCATTTCTCACTGTAATAATATAGAAAAAAATTGTATTGTTTAGGTCATTTAATAGTGTGTGTACCAGCCACCTACTCTTTTTACTGCAGCGATTTGGTTGCTGAACAATTCGATGAGAACGCGTACATCCTCAAGATCGATCTCTGACCACGCCCTTTTAATTAACTCTCTGACATATGCCTTATGGGTAATATTAGCCTTCAAATTAGCGAAACCAGGCTCGATTCTCTATATCTGCTTCTTCAGAAGTGCCTAAACGTGCTTGATTGGGTTCAAATCAGGACTGTGAATAGGCCAGTCGATCGTCCAGATGCCGTGCTCTTCTAGCCACTCTGGAGTGCTTCCAAATCGATGGATGTGAGCATTATATTGCATAAAAGGATCCCCAGCCTCGTAGAACAGAAGGAGCCTTTCCTTGAGGACATCTTGGTATGAAGCTGAAGATACTCCTCCGCGAGGAGCATCCTCATTGGGCTCGCAAAAAAAATGATTTTGCCTAGGCCACCTTCTCTGCCGCGTAACCAAATCAAAGCCCAATACATAATGGAGATACAGGGTCTCCCATGACTTTGAGGGTTCATAAGATCCTGCCTGTAATGTTCAGAAGAGAGGCGGATCACCCAATCGCCCGGATTATCGGGTGAATTCTGGACCATGACTTCGTCTGAGAAGAGCGTTCGTATCAGTTCCTCCAGAGCCTCCAGAGAGTCGTATTTATTACAAAAAGCGAGCCTCTCTTGTGTGTCATTTTCTATAAACTCGATCCGCTTCACCGCCTTCCATTTGCAAAGCTATGAGCACGAAGAACGCGCTTAATAGTGGTATAGGAATAGAGGACCCTGCTCTCATTTTTGAGCTTTTTGTAGGTAGCCTTAGGGTATTTTTGTGCCATTTTAACTAGCTGAGCTTCTTGATGCTTATTTAGAGTCTTTGTGGCTCCCTTTCAAGGTCGAGAGACCGTGGTGTCATGCTCTCTAGCAGTGTTGATAATGTCGGTCACGATTTGAGGCTGATCCAGATAGAACGTGCTCGCGACATCGTCGCGCCTTGCGCCTGCCGCCCTGGCAGCCATAATAGCTGTACGAGCTTCAGAAATAAATTCCTGGTTTGGCCCGCGATTTGCGGTCAGATTTGTACTAACTTTTTATACATCCATCGCTTTGGTGTTGAGTAAATAAAATATGAAAAAGGAAGGGGATCACGAGCGCGTAGACACGTTCTGAAACTAGCGTGGTGGATGCTCGGAGACTTTTGGAGGGTCAGTGTAGCAGCAAGTTTGGCACGTTCTTGCAGATACACGGCCAGACCCGAGCCGGTTTTACCAACGATGCAGCTCTTCAAAGCGTTGGCCATCGATCGGCCTCTTGAGCCTCGCAGCTGGTCCATCTCAGGCTTTTATTACTGTAAGTCAAGCGCTTGCATACTTGTCATCCGGCATAGTCTCGGTCTGCGCACTGTGACATGACCGCATACACCACAGAGGACCTACGATTCTTTATAACTGGGCAGGTGGAGACTCATGGGATTTCAGGGTAAATTCACATATCAAGCATTGTAATTGACGTTCTTGACCAGGGCCGTAGCGTTAGTGAAACCGAATCGCCCTCTGGATTCCAGGTCCGAACCAAGGCGCCGAGGGCCACGTTCGGTTGGTTCGGCCAACCCAGGATCAAGATAAGCGAAGTGTCCAGCAACCTCGCCATCGGCGACGTCAAAACGGTCAAGCCCGAATCCGACGAGGCGAAGAAAATCAGCTCGGGAACCATGTTCATCAACTACAAGGCCATTGCCGGGAAGCACATTGCCCCCAAAGTCATCGGGATCATCGAAGCCGACGACTCCAAGGACATGGTCGGCTTCATCTTGAAGTACATCCCCGGGCGGGCGGCCGGGCCCGATGAGAAGGAGAAGTGCTTTATGCTCCTGGAAAAACTATGGGCCGAGGGCTGGTCTCATGGTGATGTGCAGGCGGGCAATTTCATCGTGACATCCCGTGGAGATGTTTACCTGATCGACTACGAATTTGCCAAGGCGGTTACTAATAATGGGAATGCTAAGGATCTCTACGACTTCGAGCAGGATTTTTATCAAGGCTGATAGACTGCCAGGCGAAGGGTGGCATGGGTGGCATGTGTAGGTATATCATGTAGTGGAGGCTTGGAAGTGTGAGAATTTATGAAATTCGAACCGGGATTAAACCGAAGTCTTCTTCTTTCCCCTGTGCTATCAGGAGTCATACTGGCTATATTTGATATTGACTAATCAACTAAGGACTGTGTGAGGGTTGCTAATAGGCCCGTGGCCAGGCCCCTCTCTACCAATCTCCAGGCAATGTTCGCACCCCATGCATCTTAGTCTAATCAGGAGTCATCAGTCAAGCGGTTGAAGTAGTAATGTGCGTAACGACCCGAACTATGCGCTTCCGCCAGGGGTAACCAGCTGCCATTACCAATAGGACGCGCTGCTTACTCCAGTGAAGATCATCCTCTAATCAGGTGAGTGAGGATGAAAAAGGGTAGGTCGAATACATCCTTGTTCTCTGACCCCTATTTGCAGACCCCTATTTCTGGGCCCGTAGCCCAGCCCTGCATATTCACACCCTCTGCGAGATAGCGTGAAATAATTCAGGCTCCAAATGGTGTTTAACGTCGGTGGTTTTCAAACAGTGGCAGGGAGTCCCGAGATATCGTTCTGCGGATGAAGCCCTTGCTGGCCGGTTCGGACAAAGTCCTATTAACCACGACGCCTGGCGAGTCAACATGATCATCCGCGTATAGTCGACTGTTGCGAATGGAAGTACAAGAAGCCATTGTGCACCAAATCCGAAAGCTTTACGCCCTTCTGGTTTGTTTGGGGTGGATATGGCTCGGTCGTGAAGTCGCGCCATCGCGACGTCGTGGTTAATTGCCAAGACGTCGTGCGTACCACCATCATCGGCGCCTCACCCTCTTCACCGCCTTCGTGAGTACGATGCCAGTCATTTGGGGTTTTGCGATGATTACATCGGCTTCTGAAGCTGGTGATTAATCGGTTGGATTCGTCCCAGGGTATTGGTTGACCAATAGTAGATTTCCTCATCACACATCTATGGCAAGCCCTAGACGGGCGTGTAGACCTGTTTCTCACAAAAACCGATGTCCCCGGATCGGCAGCGGGGAGCAGACTTTCGGTCTATTACAGCCCAACCACCAAGGCTTCGTCAATCTCGCATAACTACAAAAATCGTCACTTGGGTCTCATCCTGCAAATCTGAAGTATTGCTGCCCTTGACAACACCAAAGCACAGCAAGCACGGCATAGAAATCATGCCACTGGCTAGGGCTTATTCACTATCTGTGTCTATTGCTCCATTCTCGTCCTTCTATTATGATCGCCGGCGATCATTGTCCATGCACGAACACACTAATTCATCCCCGAGCTTCACCATGGCTCACACTTCGAACTCCCCTTGATCTCCCCCCTCCAGTACTAAGTAGGCCTGAACCGGATGGTCCGCGCCCTATCAGGGATCTTGTGCACCCCCTCATCGTCGATGCTCCCCACTTCGTACTCCTCGAGGCCGTCCGAGTCTAACTCATCGTCCAGGTATTTAAGTGCCGCCTCAAATGAGGTGTAGAAGGTCGCTCTGTATTTGCCCAAACGTTTTACGTCGATATACCCAGCCTCTTGCGATTCACTGATACGAAAGTGTCTAATTTTTTTCGGGTCGCCCATGTTCTTGGGGTCGCCGAGGGCGTAGCGATCGGCGTCGAGCCATGTGAACTCGTATGATAGGGCGCTGCCGGCGGCGAGCGCGAGCAGGGCGAGCTTGCTGGGCGAGAAACACATCAGGGTTGAACCGGATCGGGAGCGGGACTGTGTGTGAGGCTCAACGTCCGGGACAGTGCAGTCTGCTTTGCTGAATCTCTGGGGTTTTCTGTGAGAGCAGGTTTGAAGCCGATGCTGTGTGTTGAGTTGAGGGATGATGATTCCAACAAACAGCAAAGAACGTGATCTTTACATGGTTTTGAATTGGCTTTCGACTCTTCGACCGTCAGGGAAGAACCCCTTCTCCTACTCCATAACGTCATTTGGGGGTAGAAGGATTCACGATACCCAGACGTTTTGTGGCTAAGCGATTATATATTTATTCATTCTTCTGTATCTAGTTGTCCCACCTCCGTCGCTACGGTCGATGTATATACATGTTGAGGGAGCCTGTGGAAGACAAGAGCTTCCATCGGAGATTCGGAGGTGACAAGTAGCGACAACTGTCTATTCTTAGCCACGCCTTGTGCGAGATGAATCCTACAATCGTTGCCACCTCCTAGCGCTTCCTCGCACACCAACATCGACTGACGTAAAGGTCGCAAGTGGCCTCCAAGAAGATAATATGGTGAGAGTTTCCTTGACGCCATCGCGGAGAGCACGCCTGTATCTCTGGCAGGGTTCATCGCGCTTCCCGAGACAGGATCACGCATACTGTTACTGCGGCGTGCATCTGCGGAAGCTGACAGATACTTCGCGGACCGAATAAACTGTCTCATACTCTGATCCCCACCGTTGGACCTCCGAAAAGTCTATCCGAATTTATGGAGATACATAGCTGGACTGCGCCTGTTTCCAGTGCGTCCGCAATCTCCAGGCAATTGTATAGCGTCTGAGGCGGGTTATCGACACCCGCACCGCAAATGCCTATAGTTGGTACCTTGTCCCAGGTATAATTCCCGCCCCGGCAGGTCACCGGCAAGTCCGCATAGATGGGCTCAGGAACCGTCGTAGAGTGCCGACGACCCGGGTCAGAACATGCTGAACCCCGGGTACACGGGCTGTGTTCGAAGCGTTTGATGCTTGTCTCGATTCGATTGACACAATCTGCTGGGAGAAGACGTCGAAAACAAGGGCGATAAGGGGTCAAGAGTGCCCCGATGCTGAGCAACGGTGTACGGAGGGCGGACGCGCGATCCACCTGGCACTTCCCTAGAGGTCGCGCGAAGCCTCGTCGATACGGTCTAGATCGCGCAGGTGACTTTGTTCGCATATGGGATAAGTAAGCCTGTTTCGCCTGGCTGATCGTGTCTGCGAGGGGGCCATAAGCGGACCCTTCATCACCGTGGTCAGGGGGCGACGACTGCGTTGATCGCGATCACGCTGGACGAGCACTGTGTCAGGGGTCAATCTGTGGATATGGCTGCTACACTGACCAGGCAAGCGAAGCTCAGCATCGATAGCAAGTATACTGGAAGTTGGAACCACCCCGATGCGATCGCGGAGACAAAGCTGGTGGAGCTGGCGGGCGGTGGTGTTCGATTCTTGTGCTCATCTGGATCCCGGGTAGCGACGACATGATATTGACTCGGACCTAACCCTGTCGATGGTGACAGGCTTGGAGATGACCGAGGCATCACCCTCTGTATAGGTGATATTGCGGCTTATTCGCCTCTGAGGGATGACAACGTAGTGGACGACGGTGAAACGGGAAGGGGTTCGGTAGTTGGATGTCCAGAGTGGTTGGCTTGAATCACATTGCGCGCGTGAGAATGCGAGCCGGTGATCGATGGTGAGTTGTAAGGTCAAAAGAACCACTCTCTATGGCTTTCTGCTGTACGGGGAGAGCTGGGGTGGTGCCGTTCACGAAGCGGAGTCTGGCATGGCCGAGGCGAGATTCCAGAGAGCCTCGGCCATGTTGGGTGGAGATAGGGCACGTATCCATGTCATGTCGACGATCTCGTCCAATGCGGATACCAGTGGCTATTTTGGTCGTGGTGAGAAGGCCAGAGGGGCTTGGCTCGTAGTTCCCATTGTCCTCCATTCCGGATCTGCTACACTCCTTCTAGGGTAGGCACTTCAGATGACTGGCTAGGTCTCATACATAGCCATATGCGTCACCGATGTGCGTTGATCATGTCCAACAATGGTAGCACACTTGCAAGTTGGCTGGTGTGTCGTCTGGCATGGCCCACACGTCTGGAACGTGATAACGTGGCCAACGGCAGTCTACAGTCTTCCGGAAATGCCGCGAGCATCCAGACCCATCACCGCTGTAACATACTTACCAACCACGGTCTAACAACCAATTATGTTGGTGTTATTTGATGGAGTCGGATACCACCCTTCAGATATGTCGTTGGCCAGATGGCCGCATCCGTACAAACATGTTGCTGAGGTACCCACCATGAGGCCTATGGCAGCCTGGTGTTAACGGCCTGGACATTCCATGTGCTCCTCGGAAGTGACATGACGGAGCCAACATTGCTCGAGATCGAGTATTTCAACACCAACTATCCCGTTACTTTGAATCACACAAAGGATGTCGAGGTCGTCTGATCATCTGTTTGCTTCTCACTGTTCGGCATAGGCCAATCAGAGGTCCAGACCTGACAGTATCAGTACATGTGATATTGGTGTTAGACCATTTGGAGGCGCCGGAAATGTTCCAACCTAACAGAGCAAGGCAGGAAATAACGGACGTTGGTGTCAGTGTGCGATGAAGATGATCTATCTTTGTTCAGGAAGCAGTCAATAGAGCCGTCGAAGTAAGTGAATATGATTTCCGCTTGCCAGTGCAAGATACGAATACCACAGCGAAGCTGGCAACCACATCCAAACCACCGTTATCAACCGGATCACCACCTGCCATCCCTCAGCTTTCGAATCGCCATTTCTGGCAACATGAGTCTCGCCGAGAAGGCTATGAATGTCTTGAGCGAACGTTGCGTGGCCGTGACCGTGAGCAGACAGGGCAGCATTTTCGTCAGTAGCGGCATCAAGACTTCGCTCCCGCCTCCTTAGCGCCACCGTCACAGAAGTTATATTTGGATGACCTCAAACGGCATTTTGAGCTTGCCGAACAGACCCCTGGAGCTTTCGCTACGATGGGAAACGGACTTTGGAAGCTTTCTTTGAACGCAGTCAGTACCGAGCATACCGTCTCAAAACTCATCATTGTCAGTATCGAAATGCAGGTCTCCCTATATATCAGCTAACTCTTGGAAGCTCGAACAATCCTAGTCTGCTTGGATTTTCGTGCTTTGGGCCTTGCCGTTGAACATGGTGTTCTTGGTGTAGACCATGTTGGGGTGGGAGGATTACGTGTGGCATAGAAGTGGTTTCTTTTCTTGCAACACGAAATGGGTTTTGTGGAGTTTCATCAGGCGTTCATTCCGGGTTTTTCTTTCCTATTCACACTCGCTTAACTTATCTACAGCTGTTAATTTTATCGATTGGATCCATCAATTACTTTCCTGAGCTTGTTCGGGGACCAAGTTGCTGAGCCTAGCGGTTGCAACCACATCGTGAGCTTCTGAAGTCGCACGCAATACATATCCGTGATTGCCTATATTCTCATCGCTTGTTTACTATGACTAAATAGTCCTCTGATATCGTAGACACGTAGTGGGACGGTCCTATGTTAACCGTTGTATCTTTAGCAATCCGTTGCCTAGCATTTGCGTCGTGGAGGAGATTCTCAAGGCTCGGTATGCTAGTCAGCCGGATCCTTTGTCTAAGAAGTGGTCATTGTGACTCTCACGGCGTCTTGATTCGTTTCTTTGTCCTGATGTGGCACAGCAGTCTGTTAGCAGAGCTCGAGGATGAGTCCTTTGTCCATACCGAGTCTTTCAACACGCGCGCGATTCCCTCTTTTAGAGCGTGCACCATTATTATTCTCGAATCAATCGAGCAGAGTCATTTTTTCGATTCATTAAAACCATGAGAACACACATAACTTTCCTCGGCGCCCTGCTCATCAGTGAGGTCGCTGCTCAGTTCGCGCAGCACGAGGTTCGCGGGTTTGACCTCGTTGATCTAGAGCCGACACATTTACCGCAGGAACCAAACGAGGCCCACGATGCATACGGCGCAGAACCCACCCTCGTCTCTTCGAGTGCAGCCAGCGCCAGCGACGTAGTATACGAGGGCGCCGAGCTCTCCCGGCGGATCGATCTCGGTAGTAGCGTCCCAAACATTGACGACATCAGCGACCAAGTCTTCAACAACGTCAAGGGCGAGGTAGCCGACGCCGCCAACGCCGCGACCAAAGGTGTGTCCGACGCCTTGTCCAAGGCCCTGTCTACCCTCTCCGACGCTGCAAACGCAGCCAAGAAAGCCGTGCAGGATGGCATCGACGCGGCCGAGAAGGCCTTCGACGATGTGAAGAAGACGATCGAGGACCTGTTCAACAAGGCCAAAGCCGAGCTCGAGAAGCTGCTCGATGAGGCCAGCAACGCGATCCGTCAGTGGGTTTGGGAGCATATTGGTAGACCGCTCGTGATCATCCTGGTCATACTCTCGATACCCTTCGTGTTGCTGTTCCTCTGGGGCGTGCTGGCACATTGCCTGAAAAGCCGCGCCGAGGGCGCCGAGGACCCGTCGCCGAGCTCAGCTAACGTCGAGATGCGTCCAATGGGCGCCGGCAGCGGCAGTGCCGGTGAGACCAAGAGTACGAGTTCTAGCGGATCGACAATAGCGAGAGTTATTGTGCGCGGTTGGGATAAGCACGGACAGGGGCTCCTGGGTCTCTTCCCGGTTCTCGGTAGCTTCGTGGCGTGGAGGGCGAGGAGTAGGCAGCTCGACGAGATGGCTAGGCTAAATAAGCGGCTCAAAAAGCAGCTCGAGGAGATTACTAGGCTACGTAAGGACGTTAACTGGCTGATGGGGGAGATGAGCAACTGGCGTCCTTCACGTCCTGAGCCGAAAGAGAACCCGTTCGCGGGGGGTGATGAGTAAGAAGAAACTGACAGTTAGATTGGCCTAGCAATTTGAAGACCCTTGTTTGGAGCGCTGAGTTTGTACATGCTCTGGACGACCGCTACTACATTCTCGTTATAGCCATAAAGGCCTCGCTGTATACGTGGAGAGGGTCAATCTATGCAACTGATTAGTTCTCCCCAAGGTACATGGCCGTGAGACCTGCAGGCCGATGACATGTTGTGAAAGGGGACGCTTATTAAGGGGCACTAGTAGTATACGATGCTCACGTTTCTCTCTGGTGTTGAAAAGGTTCGGAAGACGCCGAAGCTGTCTGCAGGCCAATGCGGGTGGCTACTGAGGTAAGTACTCAAATGCTCTATGCACGAAGTCCTGATACTTCGTACATCGATAACTATCAGCTGTGGCAATTCCGTTGTTTTCATTCGGTAGTAGTCCAGGGTGGCAAAGCTCGTATTCAAAAAGAACATGAGTAAGCTGCCTGCAGTGCGTGGCTTCAGCAGCCGTGGCAAGGCGTCAGCATGGTGCATAGGCTCAGAAGAAATGGCCGCTACGTTACCACGGAGAAGTCCATCACGAGAATGCCTAGAAGTTATTTGTAACTCATGACGATGCTACATGACACCGACGGTGGCGAGGCGAGTTGTGTTCAGCCGTAGCAGACAGGTCTGGTCGTGTTGACTATAAAACTATCATCGAATCCGCCTTGATACAATACTCATCCACCATTGCAATCACACAACCTACCAAGCTTTCCAGTACCCAAACTTACTCTTGAATCTTTCCTCGTCGATCGACACTATCCAGACTTCAACATGCACACCGCCAACACCCTCACTCTCGCTCTCGCCACGGCGTCCGGTGCCCTCGCGGCACCGCTCGCAGCCAGGCAAGCAAACGAGTTCAGCCTCGCCATGGCACTGGGCGACGGCGTCGTCGCACTGACCGCTGTCCTCAACGGTACCGACATCGTCCTCGAGGCCGGCAGGCTCAGCGTCTACCCAGGGCAAGAAGGTACGCCCGCTCCCATCTCTTACAACCCGGTGAGAGTACACCAAAGTAGTCTAACCTTCACACATAGCCCATTTCATCGGCGCGGACGCCTACCTGGCCGTGATCCTCGACTTCACCAACAACACCGGCCCTCTGGCTGGCTACACGCAGTACGGCCTGGTTGTGCCGGACGTAGGCCACGTCGCCGGGGCTGCGGCTACCGTCACGGCCGTGAAGGACTACGACGACTTCGACTTCACCTTCTCCGTAGCTGACGGTAAGTCAACGTCCGTACTCATCTAGCTTGTTACGCCATGCTGACTCCTCGATGCTTCCAGGCGTCATCTCCCACAAGCTGACCGCCACCACCAACACCTGGTTCGCATGCGAGGACACCGTCAACGGCGAGCAGAACCTGGTCCTCAAATGGGGCAACTCCAAGCAGGACGGCTCTCTTCCCGATGGCTGCCAGCCCGCCACGTTCATCCAGAACTTCAACATCCCAGGCGGTCCTAGCTCTTGAGGGTCGAGCTTGTTCTTGGAATGATTTGGTGGGTGTCGGACTGGTAGTGGCGAGCGGAAATAATGGAAGACGGATGGATTTGGGAATACAGGGGATGGCATAGAAATGGGGTTTGCAAGGGTGATGGTAGTTTATGGTAGTAGATTAATTAGAGGAGGATTATGGAGCTTACTTGGCCTTCATCTGTGATGAAATGCATCTCCAACGTGCCCCTATACCAAGCGCAATAGGCAATTCTGTCCCGAGCCCTTCGTTGGAAACTCCTGTTGGCAGGCGGTGAATTGGTATACCCTGAACGCACCGCGCCTTGCTCTCTTTGAAATCGACATGACGCTCCGGATACCCTAGCTTCGCAAATTCCTCCTCCACCCCAGGCAATGAAAGGGGTTAAACACAGCCTTGCCCTCGACATTCTGCAGCTCGGAATATACACGCCCCTGGGGTCTCACTTCGCGACCTGCGTCACTGGGTTGAAACGCGTGTAGCTCGGCTCCCAGCCCTGCGTGTCGTTGCACAGGTCCCATTCGACGAGTTTCTCGGAACAGTAGCGCTCGCCGCGTCGGTAGTCAAGCAGAAAATTCGTGCGCAGGTAGCTAGCTGCTTACGTTCGTACGCAGCCGGTTGAGCATGTACTTCTCGCGCTGATCTGGTGCATGCCGGCGTCGACGAAGGGCAGCCCCGTGCGGCCCTCGTACCACTTCCCCCCACGCCGCCTCCTCGCCCTGCTCCCAGCACTCGAAGTCGATCTTCGGGTTCTGAAGCAAGTTGAGGCTGCTGTGCAGGCCGGCCCGAGTGGTCGGCGGCTGGGTTTGAACGGTTCTCGGACGAAGGTCGAAACTTCGATCTGAGTGGTGGTCTCTTCGCACTTGGGTTGCTAGTAAGGCACCTTTCTAAGCCAATTGTCAAGCAAGACCAGGTCATATAGCCATGCATGCAAATATAATTATTCTTCGCGGCGGATTGATGTCAACTATGTCTAATTCTAGCAACGTTATAAAGAATTCGCCTGTGCAAAGCCTTCATTCCTAAACTCCAACGCCGAATGGATGCTATCAACTTTTCGGTCCCTTGCGGGTCAGTATGTCCACGAACGGAACCAATTTCTGCAATTACGCCAACTGCTCCTTTCATCATATCATAACTCGTCACCCTGCATCAAAACCCCCTTAGTCATAGATGTCCTCATCCATGCCATCAGGAACAATGTCTTCGACGGCGTCTTCCTCGTCAATGAGCATGTCTTCGTCGTCTTCGCCAATATCGCCCTCGGGATGGTTGGAGAGGACTTGGATCTTGTTGCCAACAAGTTCGACCCTGGCAGTCTCGCCGTCTTTAATGGCGCCACGGAGGATCAGGACGGCCAGGCGGTTGAGAACCTCCTTCTCGATGAGTCTCTGAAGTGGCCGGGCACCATAGGCAGGTGAGTATCCTGCGTTACCCAGATAATCCTTGGCATCGTTCGAGACTTGTATGAAAACATTGCGATCGTTGTCCGAAAGACGTTTCTGAATCTCGTGCAGGCGAAGGTCAACGATCTTCCTGATTTCGCGTCTCGCAAGTCTATTGAAGATGACGATCGAGTTGATACGGTTGAGGAACTCGGGGAGGAAGTAGTTGCGCAGTGCGTTCATGACAAGATCTCGAGTGGTGCCATCGATCTTGCCGTCTTTGCCAGATGGACGTGCGAGGTATTCGGCACCCAAGTTGGACGTCATGACGACAATGCAGTTTCTGGCATCGACGACGCGACCTTGGCCGTCAGTGATTCGGCCGTCGTCCATGAGTTGCAGAAGAACCGTCAGGATTTCCTTGGCAGCCTTCTCCACCTCATCGAACAGAAGGATTGAGAATGGCTTTCTGCGGAGATTCTCGGTAAGCTGGCCACCAGCGTCGTGTCCAACGTATCCGGGCGGCGCACCAATCATCCGGCTGAGAGAGTGGCGCTCTTGGTACTCGGACATGTCAAATCGGATCATGGCCTTCGGGTCGTCGAAGAGGAACTCGGCCAGCGCCTTCGTCAGCAGCGTCTTTCCAGTTCCCGAAGGACCACAGAAGAGGAAACTAGGTGGCTGGTTCGGGTTGCTGAGCCCAGATCGCTGCAGTCGGATAGCGTTGGACACTGCCTGAACTGCTTCCTTCTGTCCGACCACGGCCTTTCCGAGAGCTCGCTCCATGTTTATCAGCTTCTCCTTTTCGGAAGTCCTGAGGCGTGTGACTGGAATGCCTGTCCAGCGGGAGACGATCTCGTTGATCTGGTCAGGACCGACCACATCAGTGACCATCGAATCGCCGACGTGGTCCTGATTTTGGCTGAGGGCAGCATCAGCAGCGGCCTTCTGCTTCTCGAGCTGCTTGATGACGGCCTCCTGCTCGGGAATAGCGTAGTATTGGAGATCGGCAGCTCGAGCGTGGTCGCCCACTCTGGCGGCATCCTCCATCTTGACCTTGAGTTGTTCGAGCTTCACTTTGGCCTCCTGAATGTCCTTGCCCCGCTTTCGTTCGCTTTCGTACTTTTCCCGGAGTGGCCTCAACTCCTCTTCGACGTTCTCGGCGTCTTGCTTGGCGATCTGGAGTCTGGCCTTGGATGCATCATCCTTCTCGCGAGACAGGGCATGGATTTCGATTCGAAGTTGGCGCAACTTGCGCTCCAGGGAGTCGATAACCTCGGGCTGAGATTCCCTAGCGACTCTGACGGCTGCCGCCGCCTCATCGATCAAGTCGACTGCAGAGTCAGGAAGCCGTCGAGTGGTGAGGTAGCGTCCTGCGAGGGTCGCAGAGGCCACTATGGCACTGTCGGCAATAGTGACACCGTGGTGTACTTCGTATTTCTCCTTCAGACCTCGCAGGATGGAGACGGTCTCGGGAATGCTAGGCTCCTTGACGAGGACTTGCTGAAATCGTCGCTCAAAAGCAGCATCCTTCTCGATGTACTTTCGGTATTCGGCAAGGGTGGTGGCACCAATGCAATGTAACTGACCTCGGGCCAGCATGGGCTTGAGCAAGTTGGCAGCATCCATGCCACCCTCTCCGGAAGCTCCAGCACCCATCAGCAAGTGAATCTCATCGACAAACAGAACGATCATCTCCTTCGAATCCGTGATCTCCTTGAGTACTCCCTTCATACGCTCCTCAAATTCACCGCGGTACTTGCTTCCGGCTACTAAGGAACCGACATCGAGTGAGAGCAGCTTGCAGGCGGCAAGGTTGTCGGGAATATCGGCGTTGACAATTCGCTGAGCCAGGCCTTCGACGACGGTAGTCTTACCGACACCAGGCTCACCGATCAGCACGGGATTGTTCTTGGTTCGTCTTGACAGGATTCGGATGACTCGTCTGATTTCCTCTTCTCTGCCTATGACGGGGTCGATTTTGCCTTCTCTTGCCAAGGCGGTCATGTCGATGGTGAATTTGGAAAGGTTCTCGTGCTCCTCCTCCGTGTCGGCGGTTTTGGAGTCGACTCTCTTGGTGCCGCGAATGGCTTGGACAGCTTCCTGGACGAGCTTGGGCTTGGGGACGTTGGAGTCCTTCAGGGCCTGAGCGATGGAACTATCTTCAGAGAGCGCACTGATCAGATGGTCCACAGCCACGTAGGAGTCCTTCTGTGTCTTCTGGAGTTCCTGAGCCTTCCTCAAGACGGTGCTGAAGGATGGTGCCATAGACACATTCTCCGGGGGCGGGTCTTGGCTCGGCAGACGGACCATAAGCTTCTTGAGAGCTCGGTCAAATAGCTGAGGGTCGCCGTGGGCTCTCTCAACTACCTGTCGGAACAGGCTGTGGTTGGGGGGTGGGTTGTTCTGCTGATCCTTGGACTGGTCCGGCGGAGGATCCAGAAGAGAGACGGCCAGATGGACGGGGAGAAGCTGGGAGTGAGCGTACTGCTCCGCCAGTGACATGGCATCCTCCAGGGCCTTCTTGCCCCGGTCGGTAAACTCCATGCGGGAGTTCATGTTTGCTCGAGGGATCTGTGTTGGTGTAGCAGTGAAGTAGTGTGTGTGGTAGAAGAAGTAGTAGTAATGTAAGTGGGTGTGTGTGGTGTTGATATGTCTCGTATCGAGTCAACTGTGAAGTAGACTGGATTATGAGAGATGCCTGACGATATGAGAGATGCCTGACGTGTTGCTTCAAGCACACGAGGTGGGGTGTAGGTGTATTACACGAACAAGAGGAACAAGTAAGGTTTCTTGTCTCGAGTCTTTCGCAGGTTTGGGGAATCAAATGAACAGAGGAGAAGAAGCTGAGACACGGCAGCTGAATTTATCTTGGTGAGGCAGTGGGGAGGGCTCGAAATCATGGAATCAAAGGAATCAGGCCAGAAGAAGCTCACGGATTCCGGGCAGCTCTCGCAGCCTCCAGCTACATCATCGGGCACCAGGAAGCTTCGCGCTGCTGGGAGAAGCTTCCCATCGCTTCCGCCCAGCTTCCATGTGGTCCGAGCTTCTATTGAGACTAGCCTGATTGGGAACACATCAGGTGATTTTAGTGGGGACTTGAAGCTGGACCTCAGTCCGAACCATGTTTTAGCGCCACTGAAGAACAATGAGACAGACCTGAACTTTGAAGTGCTGATCTGTTCGTATTTTTAGTGAGACCGCCGCGGGGCTCTTGTGTCAAGTCAGCCCATGGCACGGGCTCCCGGGGCTGCCCAGGTGTTCGAGGCGTCGGGCGCGCCCGATGCCCCGGGTCAAAAGTCATCGGATGAACGTCCCACCGATGGTCACAATCGATAAGACAAGCCCAGATGGACTCGACCCCTGTAAATCAGTCCATGCTGCCAATTGGATCCAGGTCCATCCTGTCGCGGCATAGGAAATTTCGAGCTTCGAGACGAACGAACCCAGGAGAGCCGCGACAACCACACACACCAGGACACGGCAAACCATGGCTCTGCGGACAAGCCCGACGATAACAGCCCAGCTGGGCAAGCTGTCGCTGTCGCTGTGGATCGGCGGTGGCAGCAGCAGCGTCAACATCAACAACATGACGCCCTCGGGCTACAACACCATAATAAAACGGCTCGCGCACACACGATCGCGGATGCGGAAACTGGCAAAGGAGGAGCCGCCAAAGCCACCGACGCAACTGCAGAAGAAGAAGCGCAAGGGCGAGAGGATAGAGCCGAGCTTCGAGCCCGGCCACGGCGAGAAGATCTACGTCTTCAACCACTTCCTCGACGGCATGACCGTGTACTCGCACGAGCCCGTGATGAAGGTGCGCCGTTTTTCCTCCTCCGCCTTCTCTCCCCTCCAGGTCACAGTCACAACCGTCTTGCCTTCTACATATCACATCCCAGCATATCCAGCATAGTCAACAGCGATACGCAGAGTCCCATACACACATGTACACACAAACACACACACACACAGACAGAAACTAACCCCTTCTTCCCACACAACAGGCCTCCCGCGCCCTCAAACAGATCCCCTTCAACGGCAAGAAGCTCAAACCGGCCAAGCTGCGCAAGGACTACTGGCGGCCGATGGCGCTGATCCAGTTCCCGGCCGGGCAAAGCGCCGTTGGCCGCAGCGTGTACCAGCGGCTGCGCGAGTGCAAGCGCCTGCACGAGCTGGCCTGGGACGACGCGACCCTGTACGACCGCGACACGGGCCGCACCCTCACGCGCCTGCAGCGGGGGCGCCGCCTCAACGACCAGAAGGCCAACACCGTCGCCGACATGGCCTTCGTGCTCGGCGGCGCCGGCAAGGGCAACAAGATGTGGGTCTCGGAGGACGCGGGGCTTGTCGAGTCGTCCAAGGGCGAGGTCGATGCCGAGACCCCCGATGCTGGCGCGGTGGTCAAGACCAAGACGGAGGAGGGTCTGAAGTCCCTGGTCAAGGCTACGGTCTGGTGGCGTGACGAACTCGACCGGAACCACGCCAGGGAGTGGCCCGACAACGTCACGCATCAGCTCTTCGAGGAGGCTCAGCTCGTGCCGATTGAGGTTGAGGAAGCTGCAGCTGAGGAACTGGACGGTGGTGATGGTGGTGGAGAGGGTGGTGAGAAGCCTCAAAGAGTACCGACAGAACTGGTGGCAGAGCAGGAACTCGTCAGGGGTTCCGGGCAGAGCCAAAGACTATGATAGGTCACAGCATTGGGTCAGGGAAACGCCAGTGCTTTTATTGCAGCTTCACCGGCTAATGTGTACCCATCATCCGTCCTCTGTCCCCGTCGTTGAATGAGGACAGATCTAAAACTACTGTACTGTAATGTACCAGCTACGTATATATCATTCTATTATAAGCCAAACAACGAAACCAAAGGAAACACACGCGCCGTATCCCAGCTAGAACTTGATGGCAAAGGACTTCAGGTAGTCGTAGTGAGGTATGTTCTCATCCACACATGCCCTGATGATCTTCTGGCCCTCCTCGCCATACTTCTGTCGCCATTCCTCATTTTCAGACTCTTCGGTGACAGTTTTCTGCAAGAGGATCGAGTCAGCGAGCTGCTAATTTGCGGAAACCTGGAGAGCCAGGAACCGGACAGACTTACATGGTGAGTTCTCGCAGTCAGGCTCGTGCTCTCGATGGCGTCGTTGTGGAATCCAATCCACTTGGCAAATGCGTTTGAGACGTACTCTTGGTTCTCCTCGTCGCCCCACTTCAGCATGTCCGGGCTGAAGGGAATGTCCGTCTCCCTGCAGAAGGCGCGGATGACCGGCTCCGGGTGGTCGAGGAGGTCGTCGGCATCGAGGACCGTGATGGGGTACTCGCCTTCCTTCCGGGCTCCATTGGTCTCACTGGCCAGGGAGGGCCCGACCAGTTTTTGCTCTCGCAGGTAATCAAACAGGCGGCGGAGCTCCACGTAGCCGGCCTCGCTGTCCAAGAAGTTCTTGAAGCCTGTGACTTCATCCAGCGGCGGGACACAGCAGCGGTAGAACGAGGGGATACCGCGTCGCGGGTGGCGGATCAGGAACGTCCAGTGAAATTGCTTCAGGGTCTCCAGGGGTACGACGGTGGGGTTGCCCGTCGAGTCGGAGCCCTTGGATTTGGTGCCATTAACACCATTGACGTGTGTCTCCCCGTTGACTGACCCATTGACCTTTTCTTTGACCAGCGATGGGGCGATGGTGGGTTGTTTTCCATCCGGAGGCATCAAGTAGTAAGCCATATCTTTAATGAAGACACGCTTGCCCTGATGAACTGAGTGAGTATTCGCTTCATCATTGGACTCAACGCCAGCTGAATCTCGAACCCCATTGCCTGCCTGAAAGAAATGTAAGATATCAACCCGGTAAAGGAAACACAACTCTTGCTCAAGGGGACGAAAGATGATCCGGCTGAGTTTCTGCAACAGATCTTCAGACATCCCGACTTGACGATATTATAGCCTGGGTGGTCTCCCCAGTAGACATGTCAAGGGTCGAGTGTACGCGCTGGTGTGCTTCGTGGCCACAGGTGGCCGGCTGATGTAATTATGATGGTCAAGTAGGCGGAAGTCGTCTTTCACCTCTCCCTCGTGGATAATGGTAATGTGGTCTTTGAAACGCACTCGCGAATGCATGTAGGAAGATGAGAGATGAATGAGAAGCCAATGACAAAGTGAAGATCATTCATATGCGTTCAAAAGGGTCCAAAGTGCCGCTGGAAATGAAGAGATGTCGAACCTCGCTGCCATCTTTCACAAGTCGGTCGAAGACATCCTGATATGTGGTCTTGGAAAAGCCACTGCTCTCCCTAGCAGCTTCGTCGTCGGCATACCGCTCACTCAGCCTCTCGGGGCCGTAGTAGAAGGCATCACCGAATGGCTCGTGGGCGCATTGGAGAATGTCCCGCCGGGTCATGAAGACCTACAGCGCCGCTATGCGGATTAGCCGTGATCTATGGGCGAGCTGGCTTCTCTAGCTCAAGGAACTGACCCTCTCGAAAGCTGTGGAGCAGGCACGGGGGTGCGTGGCCACAAATACTGGTTTGCCAGACATGCTGTAGTAGCGGCGAGGTACTTGTATAGGCGGTATGTGTCTGTGCTTGGATGTTGCAATTGTTGCGAAGGATTGGGCAATAAGTTGTAAGACGATTATTCCTCCTCTCGATTATAGTGCACCACGTAGGAAGTAATTGATGAAAGTTCTCATCGGAAAGAATCTCTGTAGCATTGACGAGTCAAGACAGTCCCAGAAGATGTGTTTGTGGAAAAGAGAAAAACCCCGAGCGACTTTCTCGAGGAACCAGAGGCAGAAGTAGAGAAGTAGCTCGAGTCAAACATGGACACCAGAGAGGTCCCGTGGCCCTGATCCAGTTGGCCATCCACATGGCGCGGCCACGGGGGGCGCACTATTACACTACCAGGCTGCTGAGCTCGGTCTCGTCCGTCGAGTACCTCTCTGGTGGCGATACACTCGAAAAGAACTTTCACTTTTACGTCATCGGCGTGTGCCAGATAACCGAAAGTACATCCGGAGCAGGGGAAATAGGGCGGCGGGCAGGGTAGACACGGCGAAGACGTTGGGAAGCAGAAGGACGGGATGCCTTCGCAACTTCATTGGTGAAAATTGCATGCAGCAGGGTTCAAGCAGTCGGCGACTGGAGGGCTGGACATACTTGACATGCAACATGACAAGTGGAAGGAAGGGTCGCGGAGGACGGGGTGGCATGTGGCATGTGGCATGTGGCATGTGGCATGTGGCATGGAAGAGGATAAGGCAGTAGGTACGGCACTGGTAGGGCTACGGGCAGATGAACCTGTGAGGTGATGGACCAAAGGGCCGGCAGCGCTCTCTCGAACCCAAGCACTGGCGGGCTATTGATAAAGTGGCATATCATATGATGGAAGGGGCGGCCTAGATCTGCTCGAGTTCTTGTTGATGGGAGTTGTTCTAATGTTCTAATGGCTCCCAAAATGGCGACATCGTCCCTGTTGCAGAATGGGGGTTGCGGAAGGGTGGCAGAAGGCAGAAGGGTGACGGCGAGGTATTGGGGTGTTGAGCTTCTATTGGCCCATGGTTCTGCAGAGGGTCCCCAGCGAGGGCGAGGAAGCTGAAGCAGAGTTCGAGTTGTTGAGGTTCCAGCGATCAGAAGCTTTGCAACTCCCGTCACACCAGGCGTGAGGAAGAGCGCGATTGCCCCGCGCCTGCATGGCCGGGATTACCCCCCATGACATCAACAACCTTGCCAGCCCACTGCGGAGATTCCATCGGCCAAAAGACACCGGTACTTTTACCTTTGGAGGTAAGTTTCGTGTGGATAGAACTGCATTTTTACGATGTAAAGGGAACACACAGGATCAGAGTGAAGGAAAAGAACTACGGGACAGGCGGGTTGATTGGCGTCTACTGCCCCCCAACGCTTTATGGCCGTGATACTGTATGTCGTCAAAGACAGGCACAGGCACAATCTTTTGAGTGCCATCCCCCTGCCCCCACGCGGCCGCCGGCGGGCGTCGGCGGCTGTCGGTGCCGCCGATAGCCGTGGCTAGGGGTATGATATGCAGGTAATGTAGGATTGGGTGAAGGTAGCGATCACGAGTTCCTGTCCACATTGACATATGAGCTTGAGCTTCGTTGGCCACTATTGACCGAGAAGGAACCTCGGGAATGAGCACGAAACGGTAAGCATAACATCGGCATCATCATGGGAATCCAGACGGCAGTCACGATGGCGGTAATGGAACGCGGTTCACGATGGCACCCGCTGATACGTATTCCTTAAGGCTGAGTCGGTGTTGTAGGAGAAACCGGATAGTAGGTAACACTGGATGGCAGCATACCGTAGCATCACATGATCCGATCCCAATGGTCGGTATCGTTACACGGAATTGCCAGCCAGCCCGGAACCAAACGTCACGCTGCCACATCCCAGTGGCGAGACGAGGCTATCACCATTATCACCCATTATTGCGAGTCAATTACGTGTCTGTGTCAGCAAGATACCCTTGCTTGGCTGTTTAGACCACCTGCGATGGGGTGATTGACTTGCTACACTGAGACCTCATAACTCTCCGTACACCACCCATCTAGCAAACAACGGTAAATTCATCGTATTTGGAATGAGCACACTCGGATGAGCATCAAAAGAAACGTATAACCCTAGAAATGCGTATTCCAATATGCTTAATCCAGTATTTCAGTATTTCGTACACGTGATCTGGGGTCTTATTAACGTGCGCGTAGGCAGACTTAGGAGAGCTGCGTGTAGCAATATATCATGTATTGCTTACATAGGTAGACTATCCCCTTGAGATCGGAAAGTGCTCTTTGTCTAAGCTTTTTCTTCGAAGCCTACCAGATCATAAGCCAAGCTTATCCCGCCATTAAATCTTAGTATACATGTTAAGCCGTAATGTACTTGAGTACATAACAATAGCAAGCCATACGTTATACATGGAAAACAGGTAGCGAAATGAACCCCACGGTAGCAGGGAAGAGGGCGCTCCGAAAATGGGCACATTCCGATCTCAAAGGGGTATATCGTCACGATACCCGGCCATGACTTCAACTCAACCTGCCCCAACTCCACTGAACACATGAAGTCAGCCAAAGCTCCGGAAATCAACGGTAAAGAAAGGCCAGCAAAACGACAAAAGCAAGAAGGACCATCACTCACGATATTCAACCCAACCTTCGTCCCCCTCGTGACCGGCAATCCCGCATGCCACGTCTCGTCCCAGCCCCTCCCCGTGCCATCCGGGCGGAAGTTCTCCCAGAACACAACATTACCAGCCACGGGCCTGAACGTGACGCCCATCAGCGGCTCGCCGTCCTTCTTCCAGACGCCGTTCTCGAAGCCGTGGTCGCAGTCAACTTCTGTTGGTCCGGCGCACTCGACCCAGCGACACCAGGGGTCGTCGGGTCCGCTGCGCTGCAGGCGCGGGAACGCCGTGCCGCCGCCCTCGAGGTCGTCCGAGGCAGCCACCCAGGCCATCACGGAGCTCGCGCGGCCCCAGCCGCGCGCGCCGGAGCCCCAGTCGAAGTGGTGGGAATACTGCGACGGTTGGGAGTTAGTAGATGGTATGCACGATAGGCAATGAGGGGCGAGAGGAACCAGGCCGCCCGAATGCTGCTCAGCCCGCCTAGAATCTCACATACATGCTGACGAGCCCCATACCGCTGCGTCCGCAGACGCTCAAGCCACAGATCGTCGCGCCAGCCCTGGAAGCCGAGGGCGCGCTGCTCGATGCACCGCACGGTCTCGGTGCGCGGGAGCAGCGCGACCTCGGAGTCGCGGACCAGGGCGTCCTGGCGCGTCGAGGCGCCGTCGTTGGTGATGGTCGAGGGCTCAAACAAGGGCTCGCTATGCAGTAGTTAGAACATGCCAATCAGTCAGTCTTTCCACCCATAGTCCATAGCCACTCCCAAACAACCAACCCCCCTTACAATATCAAAGTTCCCTTACATGAACACCACGAAGCAAAAAAAAAAAAAAAGAAACGCAAAAGACAAGTAGAAACAAGCAAACAAACACAGACCTAATCTCCAGCAGATGCGCGCGCTCGTCTTCCGAGATGAAATTCTCAATGTAGACGACGAGCGGGGCCTTGGAGAGGATGTGCACCGAGTAGGCATCGGGAGGGCAGATAGGGGCCGGCTCGCCCGGGCCGTCGAGGGCGAGCAGGGACTCGTTGATGCGTGGCCGAGGGGTCCGAGGCAGACGCGCGGGCTCACCACGCGAGAGACACAAGTGGCTGAGCGGGTTATAGAGAGCCAGAAGGCAAGCAAGGCCTGCTAGTAAATAAAAAAACATGGCATTGGTGCATTTAGGATGCTCAAAGTGCGCTGTCGTTCAGAGAATCGTTCACACCTCATGTGCGTCAACTAGGCGTCGAGCGGTTTTTGGTGGGACCATTAGGTCCAATCACATGACATAAGCCGGCTCATGGTGCACACTCCAGGGGTAATTGTGTTGGGCAGCGTATCGAACAAAGCTATAGGCTTCGGATGCCTGATGACCTTGCTGACCTTCTTGTCTATATACATAAAACACTCATTACTCCTGGTGGTAAGTTATACGGGCATTATATCAGTCCACATATGCTCCATATACCTACCCTTGATGCCTCTGCTTTCTCTTTACTGCTTCTTCTTCTGGGTCTCCTTGGCTGACTTCTGGCTACCATACCCCGTTTTGAGATACACGGATAAGAGTTTGAACACAACAAATGCAAAACCGAGGAGAACCACCGCAGACGTCCCAGTGCTGATCCATTTCGACATGTCCAGGTCAAGAACTGGAACACGAATCTGGTGCATGAGGCTGCCGTCACCCTCAGGAGCTGGCTTAACATGCCAAAACGAAGTACGAGGTCCAAACAAGCCGTCGTATCCCAGGTTCACTCTGTCAAATGGACTGTTAGGGAACTGGGTACCATCCTCAGCCGTGCAAGCCCAGAAGACTGCCGGGGACGGAACATCAATGTTGGTATAGCCGCCTGCAGCAGGGGACATGTATCGAAGATGGAGCGGAATCTCTGCCGTCCAAGGTTCGGCGTCTTGCCCAGCTGGAGGTTGCAGTTCGAGAAGAACACTTGAGCCCCATAGCTTCATCGCATAATCTGGCGCTTCCAGATCAACAGGCTGGGTCATGTAGCGTAGTGCTGTCAGGTTCTTTGATGACAAGAACAGCTCGTCGTTAAGTTGGTACTTGTCAGCGAAGATGAATCGAGGTAGAGTCAGATAAGCGTGCAATGAACAGCGTACGTCGTCTGATGGAGGCTTGCTTGAATCGATGTGAAGCTGCATCGTGGGGTGAAGACCCCAGGGTTTGAGGAAGGTAGATGAGAAGCTTGATTCCGTATCCTTGTGTCGGGCTGGGAAAGAGAACAGAACCGGCGACGGCTTCGTGTCCTCGCCCAAGACAGTAAGCAAACCTGTAACACCAAGCTCGTGCGGCTCAAGATGAGGAGGTGTGTCCGGGGTCAGAATTCCAACCTCCGTTCTGTGGTCCGGGTGGGAATTTATGGATAGCGTCTGGTGTGCTTCAGGCCAAACGGCTGTGATCTTCACTACATGCGAAATCGCGTCGTAGGACAGGTCGAGCGAAACGGCGTTGGCAAGTTCTTCCACCCGTTCTTTGCATTTCTCTTTAGGAACACAAGCATACTGTTCGACATACGTGGTGAAATTCGACAGGGATTTCAGGGTGTGGAAGTACTGGTAAGCGGTCGAATGGGAGAACCGGTCGTTGGGTAATGTCGTGAAGGATTCCTTCGTATTGTCAGAATGAGAAGTAGCTTGCTGCTCGCACAACCAGAGGCGACTTACAGCTGGGGACGAACAATCTATATCTCCAAACACAGTCCGAAGCTGGGTGCATAGCCTCAATCTGAGCTGATTATTAGTATAAGTCGAAATTGGACCCGACTTGGGCACTCGGGACATACGATTCGAGGACCTCGCCCTTCTGAGGCGTGTAGAAAGCGTGCAACCCCGGCGGAAGCCTCGAAGTCCAAGGGCCGAGGGATTCGAGGGCTCGCGGAGTACTCCATCGAATGTAAAGCTCGTTTGAGCTCCGGAGCAGTTCCTGAAGCTCAGCGGGAAGCTCCTCCACGGCCAGAGTGACCCGATGTTCGCGAGCAACTACCAGATCTGGACCGGATATTGAGCGATCCCCGACTTCGAGTGATGTTGGCTCTATTCCATGCTCGTTTCTATGGAAAAAGGTAATTCTTTGACGCATCGTGGGGTTGACGTAACGAAGGCGATATACTGATAGGTGTCAAAGCTGGTTGCGAATGCGACAATGTTGGATCTGTGATCAACATCGGGTCGGTCGCCTGCCTGCCTGCCCACATCCATCTCAGGGTCACCTGCAGCTAGACTAGCAGACTAGACGTGATGTGGCCCAAGCTCCCTCGGTGATGACTTCCCCGAGACGCTACGTGACTGCAGTTCACCTGCAATGTTGCTAAGCAGCCTCTGCCTTTTCTCTCACGTCCATTGAAATATGGCACGACTACCTAGGTAGGTATTCAAAAACCGACATTTCCTAAATTGATGCTCAGAGCAGTTGGCAACGTACACCCGAAAACGATACCAGCCTTCGTTTCCAGCTAGCATGACCCAGAAATACCTAGACAGCTTCAACTGAAGACTGGTGATCCGACAATGCGCAGATGCTGGAAGATGCACATTCACAGTCAACTGGATGGATCACTTCATGTTGCTTGCGAATTGGTGTTACGTTCACTGCAATGCTACTTGTAGCTTGAAGCACAATCCCAAGCACGTTATCGCGTTTCCGCAACCCCCTACCTTAGGATTGTGCCTCCGAGCCGCCCAAATTACCCCATGATAGTTATGTCCTGACCACTGCTTAGCCCCGAGCATGTATCTCCGCGACCAGCAGGCACAGCTCTTGCGTAAGTGAATTGTAGCCCGGGGTTTACTCACCGGCGTAATATTCTATCTCCCGATGTTATTGACGGTTCTCGCACCGCGGTGACCGAGGGATACAAAAGGAACAGGCAGCGCATTTCACCGGCATTGTAGTCTGAACCTACCTACCTAGGTATCTTCACCATCTAACAGGTACTCAGAGTCGCCGGCGCTGCTATTGCCTGCTACCAGTCCAACCCCTTCATCAAGCAAGAAGAAAGAGAAAGAAAGATACCCTCCCTCATCACTTATTACACCTCGCCTCAACCTGAGCGCCCACCCCGGTTACCAACCGCCGAGATGCCCGTCACAGAGCTCGCCACGATCCCGTCGGCCACGCCGGGCCACGTCCCCGTCGCCCTCGTCGAAGTCCTCAAGGCCGCCCAGGTCCTGCAGGGCGAATGGTGCACCGCGCACGCCCCGTCCCTGCCTCTGGACCACGGCGTGCCCGCCCGCCGCGGCGCCGCGCTCTACGTCCGGCTCGACGACCCGGGCGTCGTGCTCATCACGGCGCACTGGGAGTCGACGGCGCAGCACGCTGCGTGCGTGGCGAGCGAGCTGAACCAGCGCGCTATGGGGAGCTTCCTGCCGCTTGTGGTGGCGGAGGGGATTCACTATTTCCACGTTGGAGGGGTGGAGATGTTTGGCGATGGGGATGGGGATGGGAAGAGAGAGGAAGAACCGCCGCTCCACGCGGCTGTTGTGAGCGTGGCGCGTGTGATGGCCTCGCGGGTGAAGCAGGCCGGGTTCGAGGAGGCGTTTGCGAGCGTGAAGGGGCTGCTGGATAAGGCTACGTCGCCCTGGGTGCATAAGAGCGGATGGAGGATTGAGAGGGAGGAGGGTAGGGACGAGGATGTGGAGGAATTTGTGCTGGTGGGCGGGTGGGAGAGCGAGGAGAAGGTGCGGGAGTATCTGGAGGGGAGGTGGGAGGGCTTTGGGGAGTATATGGATGCGCTGCGACCGCTGGTGCTGGACGTGGATTTGACGGCTTATCGAAAGCTTGCTTGAGAGCTGTCTCATTCTCTAGACGTGGCATTGCATTGCACGCTTGTATTGGAATAGGTCACTAAGTAATAAGGATCTGAGGCTGCGGTGAAGTGATGGATTGACATATGAGTCCAACCCCAGGTAGTTAGTCACATATATGGAACAATTGAACATGGCAAGCGCTTGCGGTTGCTCTATTATGATGAAACACGGGTCTATCATGCTATGAATCTTGCTGCCTTGCCATAACGGGATCGCTAATGGGATCGCTCCGTCCAACAACGCAGCACATATTATGTGAATGCAATATACAACCCAGGACGAGTCGTTATCCCTCGTGTGAGTATCGAGACCGTTTTGACTAGGCCTGGTCCGGTGTCTTATCCCCGGCCGAAGACTTATGACTGTTGTGGGACCTGCTCACCCCTTTCAGAAACGTTGATGGCCGTCGTCGGTGCCCTTCTGGAGACGTTATTCCTGGTCCGAAACATCTCGAACTAGAGGGTCGTTGGCAAGACCTAGAAAGTGGTTGGCAAGACCTAGAGCGTCATTGGCAAGACCTCGTATTCGTATTCCTCCTCTGTTCCGGCGCGGAACTTGTGAATGCGCTTGGCCATCCTGGCCGTCCTGGAGACGCTGTGTAGAGACAACGGGCTCGTCGCCACTTCGAGTACTCTCCTAGTACAAAGCTGACATTCGGGCTGCTGGATCCTAATCCCAGCGTCGACCCTCACGTTCCGCCTCCAATCGCCTCATTCGCTGCTCTTCGTCTTCCGTGCTAACAGCCTCGCTGCGGCGACTCTTCCGACGACCGCCTCGATCATCGGCTCCTTCGCGGCTGCGCTTCACGCCGGCACGGCCGGCTAAGCCAGTCAAGCCAGCTATACGTTGGGCTTCCTTAAGCAGACGCTCGCGGTCTCGTGCTTCTCGCTCCAGGGTGTGGGCATCTTTTGCCGGTCCACCAGAAGTCAATTTGTGACCAGCGGTGGATGATTGTGAGGCACGGCGGGAAGACTCGCTCTCGCGCCTATGTGGGTTTGACGATCGACTGCTCGAAGGCTTGTTGTTATCAAGCGCGGACAACGGCTTGCTGCTGGCCCCCTTGATCGAGAAAATCGAGAAACTACCACGAGGGCCAGTCGGGGGATTGAAACCCTTATCTGAGGGCTCGACCGGCGTTGGAGGTGCCGTGTTGGAAACCTTGCTGCTGCGATGGCGATGGTCCTTTTCGTGGGTACGAGCACGGTCCTTTCCATGCGCTCTGTCTCGTTCCTTCTCTCGTTCCTTGTCACGTTCTCGACCCTCACCACGATCGCGGTGAGAACGGTGACCAGACTTGCGGGAACGGTCATAGTCATCCTCCTTCTCTCTGTCCTTGTCGCGATCCCGTCGTTTCTCGTCTCGATTACGTTGGTTTCGATGATCTGACCGCTTATACTCACGGTCGATAGGGGAAGCCGATCTAGACCGCCGGTCGTACTTGTCCTCCCTGGGCCGACTCTTGTAGTCGTCGTCATCTCTAGTAGATTGTCGCTTGCTCCTATGCTTTTTACGGCGGTGCTCATCGTCACGACTGTCACCAGACAAGGAGGGAGAGCGATGTCGCCTGTGCCTGCGAGTCTCCTTACGATCTCGACTTCGACTGCGGCTTTTGGACACGCTATGGGTCCTTGATTGACTGGGACCTCTCTCGTATTCCCTCCCTCTGCTCTTCTCGTCAAGGTCATGCTCCCGACGACGCTCATCACGGCGGCGGTCTTTGTTGTCTTTCCGCGAATGCAGAGAACTACTCCGCGACATGGCCCGATCCTTCATTGGACTAGCCACCACCGGAGCATCAGTACCCAGACTTGGACTTCTTTCATCAGTGATGAGGCCACGTGATTTCAAGTGGTGCAGGCTAGTGTTAGGTAGGCCCTGAAGCATGGCTTTGGGCCCCTTGGGTGCATTCAGCGGGACATCTGGGACCACGGCCTGTTGAGGCACTGAACTGAGACTTCGGTACGTGGGCCCTTGAGAGTTCGAACGCACATCCGCAGAAGGCACATCACCAGCGGAGTTCGCAGAGTCATGTTGCGCCTCCGCAGATTGGGACACAGGATCCTTGACTACTTGTTCGGTTTTCTCTGAGGCTAGGTCGTTGTCCCCCGGAGCAGTAGTCGGAGCTTGACTTCCTTCTGCGACGTCATGTCCCTCTGAGTCTGTACGAATCGTCCTACCAAACTCATCGACCTTGACTTGCATGGCTTCGCTAGCCTGCGCATCATTGGACGTCGTTGGCTGACCGTCATTGGTACCTGCAAATTGGGATGTCTTGTCACCCCAGCCCGCGTTTGAACCATTATATCCCTGGTGGTTTCCACGGCTATAGCCCCCGTAGAATCCACGTCCTCGGCCTCTTCCTCGGTATGCGTAGTTGCCGCGGCGGTAGTCATTGAACTGGTTGTGATGACCGAAGTTACCTGTACGGGAGCCTGCGTTAAAGTTGCCAAAGTCACCATTTCCCATGCCAGGAGCACTTGGATTGAAATTATCTTGGCCGACGTTCCATGATTGTTGTCCGTTCCAGTCACTGCCGCCACCGTTGAACCCATTCATGCCCATGTTCATGTTCATGTTCATGCCGTTCATGCCCATGCCTTGCGCTCCGAAGCCACCGCTCATCATCATGTTCTGCATCGCCATAGGGTCCATCATTCCTGTACAAGTGTGGTCAGAGAGTGGTTCTTCCGTCTCGGGTGGGGACGGCATACCCATCATAGGATTGAAAGCGCCAAACGCAGCTGGATTCATCCCGTTTTGCATGGCCGCCATCATCATCTGCATTTGGCTCATGTCTCCACCGCCGAAACTCATGTTGTAATTACCGTTCATTGCATTCAGACCAAAGTGCGTGCCCGCTTGCTCTGACTGGCCAACGACGTCTGCATTCTCAGCACCTTCGTTGCTTGGCTCTACCCCTGCAGCACCTCCGTTTGTTTGGACTTCGGAAACCTGCCGATCAGTCTCCACAGGTTCAATCTTGGGCTCGTCGGAAGTGTTGGTAACTGGTGAACCCTAAAAAAATGAGATGAGTGAAGGTTGAAACATTTGAGCGTTTAAGCTTGGAGATGACCTACCTGCTCTGGCAGACCATTCACCACGTTCTCGGAGGTCGCAGCTTTGTCATCTCCGGGTACTGCAATAGGTACCGCAGGCTCTGTTGGTGCAGGCTCTGTTGAGGCAGATTCTGGTTCATTGTCCACAGCCGTCACAGGTTCTGCAGCGGGAGGAACCGTCGGGCCTTGTGTTTGGATTGGTGTTGGGGTGGCTTCGACGGGTGTTGGTGGGACAGAGCTGGTGGTTTTGGGCCGAGCAGCTTCACGCTTCTTCTCCTCCGTCTTTAGAAACACTCTGATCGTGATTCGGAGGGACTTGTAGACAGTGCAGTCCGCACCGGAGACGGGGGAATGTTCGCAAACTGGGCAGGAGGAGGGCAGCGTCGATTGGCCTGCAACTGGTCAGATCATGATTCGTGCACCTAATGTCGTAGACTGAGAACTCACAGTTCTCGCATATCGCCGTCTCGCAACACGGTAGTCGAAAAGCTTCGATGGCTAGCTTGCTGCAAATCGCACATCGTAGCTTCGTAGGCAGCTCGTCCTGGGTGAGGGAGCTGTGATCTGAGGTCAGCTTCGCACTGCACTCCATATTATCTTGGGGGTGCGCACTTTGCCAGCTCAATATGAGCCGGGGTAAGGGCTGCCATATTGGGACCGGCCATCGCGAGATTCGGGGGATGTGTGGGAGAGATTGCGCGATCGGGTTACGCATGCGAATTTTCTAGACGTAGAAGAGAGGGTGGTGGGACGACGGGACAGTTGTCGCGGCCATTGAAAAAGACGTATGAAAGTATGAATGTATTGTGGTGCGGTGCCGAGTCGAAGGCGACCACTTCTGGGGAGGTAACGAGGTGATCAATGGGCAAATCGAGGTGGACTGCCTGACTGCCTGATCAGAGCAGAAAAGTGAGGTACGATGTGCTCTTGACTGCTCTTCACTGATTGCTGAACGGGTTTGACGTGCAGGTGGAGACGGGTGGAGTCAAGCGGCAGAAGCATTTATCCAGGTCTGGGTTATGCACAAATCCATTTTATGCAATCATCAGCATTAGAATCGGTGAACTGGATGATTCGTGACGAATCACCAGCAGCCAAGAATCATGGTGCTAGGAATGCTATGTTAAAATGTCAGGCGTGCGGGCTGTTCGATGTTTGGTATTTGGTATTTGGTAGGTATGTAGGCATTGTAGATTTCGGATTGCTTTGCTGTGCTTAACTATCACGCACTACTAACACATCAAAGAGGATATTCACTGGTGGAAGCAGTCCAGGTCCCCAGTCCCAAGACAGCCCTGACTCCGAGTTACATGTGGAAATAGAGGCATAATTGCGGTTGGTTGTATAATCCAGCTTGGGCATCCGACACCGCGCAGCCCATCAGCAAGCGCAACCCTCCTTCGCCGCCTCCCTGGGACCGTTCAGGTTCACTCTCTGCTCATCCCCACCTCTACCGACTGCATTGGACACCCCAGGGCCCCTTGTACTCTTTAGCGACGTCTCGGGAATGGCGTTTGCGATGGCGGTAAAGACCTCGGACACGTTGTGACCAGTCTTTGCACTCGTCTCGAAGAACAGGAGATTTTCCTCTTCGGCATATGACTTGGCTTCATCTGTTGACACCTTCCGGGCGTCCCCTGACTCTTCGCCTTCAGCTCCCTCGGCGTCGCCTTGGCCGGACTCGCTATCGTTTGTGAGGTCCAACTTGTTGCCGACGAGGGCGATAACGATGCCCGGCGATGCTTGTCGCTGGAGCTCGGCCACCCAGTGCTTAGCCTTTATGAGAGATGTGGGCTTGGTGAGATCGTAGACGACAAGGGCGGCTTGGGCGTTGCGGTAGTACATGGGGGCAAGCGAGGCGAATCGCTCTTGTCCTGCCGTATCCCAGATCTCGAACTTGATCGTCCTCGAGGGCAGATTGCATTTCTGTGTCAGGAAGGCGGCTACAAAGATGCGCTTTAGCTTGGGGCTCGGCGGTGGAATAGGTAGTGGCTACTCACCACCGATGGTGGGTTCTTTGTTCTCCTGGAAATCGTTGTTGACAAATCGCAACACAAGCGAAGACTGGAGATAGATCAGCACCCGGCACGCGATAGGATAGAGAATGGCAAAAGGGTCTACCTTTCCCACTGCTGCCTCGCCCAGCAGCACCAGCTTGACACTGCTGCTTGGTTTGGGGGCGTTGGCTGAGTCGGCCATCTTGTGGTGAGAAGGACGGAGGCTGGAGATCTCGGTATGGCGTTTGGTCGGGACGAGACGGCGCAGTCCCTTCGGAAGATGACAGGAGCAAACGAGAAGCGGAGTTTCGGATGCACAGGATCGCGGGTCGCAGGGTCGCAGTATTCACTATTCGATGCCAGGCAGGCAGATATGTAAAGTAAGGTAGATAGATTGTTAGATCGCAACCGACGTAGGCATCCAAGGTCCACCTGGTGGAATGACGACGTTTGGGGATTGGGGGCGTGGCACACGTGCAGCGACTGCCAGTCAGCCCGCCAGCCGGGAGCTGCAGCGTGGGCGAGACAGCCGTTGACAGCCTTGGAACTAGCTCCACCACACTACGACTGGAATGGCCTGGCGCGGGCAGCTGCGAATGGTCTTAGCACTACCATGATCCACCCTACCACCTGTCAGCTGTCTGACAGCAGACGGAATGTCAGTGCCCCGACACCGCCTAGAAGCACCCCAGTGACTCCACCAAGCTTCCGTTCCCCTCCACCCAAAATTCCTAGGAAAGCGGCAGAAAAAAGTTCAGCGCGCTCGCATTTCGCCTTGCCCCTCTCAAGCTTACCGGCTTTGATGAACACTTCGCCAGTCCTGGATCTCACGACTCACATTGCCCACTTGCCTCGCCTGTGGCACATTGATCATTGAGGTAAACAGAGTACTTCAGCAAATCGGTCTCTCTTAGTTGAGGCCGCAAGATGGCTTCTACCGAGAAACGCAAGCAGGTCCTGTTCGATGACAGTGACGATGAGTCCGATGGCGGCGCGGATCTGAAGATCAATGACGAATACGCAAAACGGTTTAAACACAACAAGGAACGCGAGGAATTGCACAGATGTATGTTACCCACTCCCGCCTTTCCATTTGATCTCGTACTGATTGACCGAAGTGGAGGAGAAGTACAAATCGAACAAGCCGAACGGGAACAACTCAAAAGATGCCGATGACGACGATGATGACTCGTCATCTGACGAGACAGAAGATGAGAATGGCTTTCTAGCGACCGCCGAGCTCGATTCCCAGATATCCGCCACGCTACAGGCTATCAAGGCCAAGGATCCCAGAGTCTATGATGGAAAGACTACTTTCTACGCCCCTGTCGACGAAGACGCCGATGCCACCGCTACCACCTCGAAACCGAAGAAAGAGAAGCCTGTGTACTTGCAAGACTACCACCGTGAAAAGATCTTGCGCGGTGACATTGGAGCCGACGATGATGACCAGGAAGAGCCAGCGCCGACATTTGCTCAGGAGCAGGACAGCCTGAAGAAGTCAATACAGGACGAGATCCGAGCGCAACTTAAAGGCGCGGGCGAGGACGAAGAAAGCGACAGCGACGGAGACTTCATCAAGGCCAAAGAGGAGACGCGAGTCATCCCCGCAAACAGCATACATCCATCCCGAGCTCAGAAGGTCAAGGTTGCAAAGCCCGACATCGCCATTGCGGACAAGGATCCTGAACTATACCTGTCCAACTTTCTGGCATCTCGCGCTTGGGCGGAAGGAGACGACAGCGGCTGGCAGGCGTTCGAGTCTGATGAAGACGAAGACGAAAAGGCTGATCAGTGGGAGGCTGCATACAACCTGCGGTTTGAGGACCCAAGCAAGAGTAACGAGGTTCTCAAATCATACGCCCGTGATGTCGTGGCGGCGCGCTCTGTCAGGCGAGAGGACAAGAGTGGCCGGAAACGCCAGCGAGAGCTGGAGCGAGAGGCGAAAGAGGCAGAGAAGCGAGAACGTAAGGAAGAGAGAGCAAGGTTACGACGACTTAAGGCCGACGAAGCAGAGAACAAGCTGCAGAAGATCAAGAAAGCTGCCGGAATTCGTGGACAAGACTTGAAGGATGAGGATTGGCAAAAATTTCTTCAAGATGCTTGGGAGAACGACAAGTGGGAAGAAGAGATGAACAAGACGTTCAACGATCAATACTATGCCCAAGCCGAGGCTGGATCGGAGGATGATGAGGATGATGGAACTGATGATGGCTCCAAAAAGCCGAAAAAGGTCAAGAAGCCGAAGTGGGATGATGATGTCGACATCAAGGATCTGGTGCCAGATTTCGAAGAGGAGGAGCGCCCCAATATCACACTTACAGATATTGATGAGAATGATGGAGAGGATGACGATGAGGACGGAGAAGACGACGATGGTCCAGCTGCTAAGCGACAGAAGACTACTAAAGATCGCAAGAAGGAACGTCTCGCCAGCCAAAAAGCAGCACGTCAAGAGCGTGCCAAGCTCGAGGCGCTGGTCGACGCGCGCATGGATATCGACGAGCCTGAGGTCCTCGCCGGCAGCTCCTCGTCCAAGAAAACCCAAGGCGGGTCGCGCTTCATGTACCGCGACACGAGGCCCGAGTCGTTCGGCCTGACGACAAATGACATCCTCATGGCGTCCGACGCGGACCTCAACACCTTCGCGGGGCTGAAGAAGCTCGCCCACTTCCGCGACCCGGAAAAGCTGTCCAAGGACCGCAAGAAGCTGGGCAAGAAGGCCCGCCTGCGGCAGTGGCGCAAGGACACCTTCGGCCCCGAGTTTGAGCGCGAGCCCCCGGCCTTCCACCCCGGGGGTTCTGGGCCTGGGGAGTCTTCGAAGCCGAATGATTCTGCTGAAGATAGCAATATCGTCGAGGGCGGCTCCAAGAAGAAGCGCAAGCGCTCACGGAACAAGAAGAGCAAGGGCGCAGAAGCCGAGGCTGGTGCTGCTTGACCTAGAGTCCCGCGCACATTGTAAATAGCTACGATACCCGCTCCCGAACACCCAGTATTTGGTTGGCACTTAGTACCCATAGGACAGAGTTGCAGACACCGTTTTGACTTCCCGCTCTCACATGCCGTTTTTCACTCGTCGTGCGGTCGATGGTTCATGGGTGTGATGTTCCCCCTTCCCGTGGGGATGGGCTCACGCAACATCGTACCATATCAGCCCACTCTGTAGTCCACGACTCCAGACACATGCAGCTCACAGTACAGGCCACAAATCGCATTTCAGCATTGCAGCAGGGTTCATTCTCGCATCGTGTGAAACGTTTATATCATAGTGCTATAAAAAGGAAGTGGTGTCGATCGATCGAATGACAGCGGCTTTGCCTCCGCCTCCGGCTCCCGCCCCGGCTTTTGTCAGTCCTAGAAGACCGACAACGTAAAGCTGACAACCAAGACAGTACTTTGGTAGGTATACAATTTCCTGAAATACCCTGATACCCGCCCGTCCTCTTCAAGACAGCTCAGCGATGACCAGTCCCGTCCATTTTACGCCATGCCACCCGGGCGGTCGGCGTTTTGCCCAAAAGGACTATAGAGAATGGTTGATGATGGTTCGTGGACATCATGTCGTTATGCGAAAACGGCTTTTTCCAAATCCTGCCCATTCCTGACATTTCCCAGTCCCTTCTTTCGTCCCAAGGTTTCCTCCTCACGCGGTGGTCTGTACAAGACAAGTCGTCCCTAAAGCAAGGGAAAAGACGCATCAGATCCGACTCCTTCCAATGCATTCGAATGCAGAAAACGTATCGAAACCAAAGACAAGCACGTATAATATAGTGGTACGCATGAAGCATGCGTAGGCAAGTACTCCGCCCGTGGGCTGGATAAGGACCGGCAAACCCCCAGACGCCGTCGCGCCTATATGACACAAGGTATAACAAGGAAAGCAGGACCGCCGGCTTGGACTGTGAAGCTGTGGTCAAGGCGGCTCTGACCGGTTGTCATGGACCATTCCTTCGCAAGCCCATGCCACCGCCAGGTGTGTTGGGTACACCGCCCGGGCTGAATATACCGAAGCCGTCGACCATACCGCCCATGTCCTGACCCATCTCGGGGGGTTCCATGTTGAAGGGCATAAACCATGCAGAGCTTTGTTCCGTACCAAAGCCCGCGGGCAAGCTGTCGTGGCTGCCTGTACCAGCACCCGAGGCGTTGTTCGATCCATTCGCAGTTCCGCCTCCAGGCCCACCCGGCCCATTGCCGGCAAGCGCATCCCAGTCCATGAGAGCCTCTGGTCCGTTGATCGTCATCGGATCTAGTCCGCCGTACGCGTTGAAAAGCTGGCGATCGAGCTGTGGTAGCATGCCAGCTCCGTTGCTAGCGAGGGGTAGGGAAAGAAGATCGTGGTTATAGAATGCATTCGGATGCTGATGGCCATGGCCATGTTGTCCGTGCGGGTAACCGCTTATTGTTACAGGGGAAATCGGCGAGAGGGCGTGGAGATTGGCCGCTGCAGGTTGTGAGCGAGGGTGCCCATTGGAAACGGGGTGGAAAGACGCTGGCCCACTTGTTTGACCACCCAGCCGGGCGTAACTGCGTTGTGCCTGATGATGTTGTGCCTGTTGTATACGTCGCTGGACATGCTCTGGCATACCAGCAGCGGTGATATCAGTGAGGAGGGACTCTAGCTGGTGGGGTCCGCTCCGCGAGGTGCTACCCTTCTTTGCCACTGATTTGCGCTTCATCAGCGGCGGCCTGTTCGGTCCGGCAGCTTCTTTCACTTCGCCGGTGCTATGCGGTGGAGAGAGCTGCGTGAAGAACTCCTCTACGGTGTGAAGTTCGGGTTTCTGCTCGAGAACAGCATCGCCACCCGTCTCTTTCTTCTTAAGCAAGGCAGCTTCAATGAACTCGGACTGCGATACGCCGTGCGGATATCGGTCAAACCAGTCTCCATACTGAAATATTGGGGAAGCGGCAGAATTCTCGTTGGCAGGCGTTCCCTGCCTTGCAGCATCGGCGCACGTCTTGTACTGTTCCCGGAGGTTTTCCGCCATGAAGTGGAACATACCCCAGTACCGTTTCATCTTGGAGAGGAATTTGACGTTCGTTGCGAGGTTCTTCTTTGCGGCAGTCTCCACTGCCGCGTTGCCAGAGAAAATACCGAAGATGTGAACAGTACTCGAGAGGAAGGCACAGTAGCCCACAAAAGGAGCGGCTACCATGTATGCCTCTGCATCTTTCAATAGTTCGGATATTTTATTAGCAGCAGCAAACGCCCTTGCACCGGCTTGCGTGACAAACGTCTGCGGAACGTCAGCTTGCGAGCAGCCTCCTGGAGAGGACACAGCGAATCGGCTCATGAACAATATGTTTTGCTGTATTGATATGTGCAAGAAGAGGAACTGGTTTGCCATGCCCTCCGTCTTGTGTAGGCGGAGGTTCTCGGCGTTGTATCTGAGGCCATCTGGGAGACTGTCGGCAAAATCTTCGGCCAGTTTGGTGAGGCTGGAGTATTCGGACCCGTCATCCCACATGGTGTGATCGTCTATGTCTTTACCTCCTTGATTCAGGAAGTTAATGATCTTGCCCCACAGAGCGATTGAGCGTATCATATAGGCTGCAACACCCATATTGTCTTTGGCATCGGAGAGCTGGCCTTTGTCGACCGGTACCGGATGCGGCACAGCCCCTTGAAGATCCTCTGTCGGGCCAGGCATGTCGAGCTGAAAGAGATTCTCCTTGATGGGCAGTTGTATCTTGACAGTTTCCTCCTTCACGAACATCGGCCTATCTGTCCCGGACGAGTTGAACCTGTCCATCAGGAAGCAAGCCCACATGGTCCGCCTTCGGATCTCCCGATCGATGAAGCTCAGTTTGGTGGTCGGGTTCGGCCGCATAGGGTCATATTCCAAGTCTTTGTGCAACTGTAACGCGAAAGCCATTCGGATGGCTTGCCCTCCCAGTGACCAGCTCCTCCCGCCGTGACATGTGCCGAATTCATGCAAGCCAAGCAACAGAAGACACGTCAAGATTGTGATGTTGGGCCATTCATACCGCCGTGTTACAATGTCCCGCGCAGGTGCTGCCCATTCTTCTCCACGAAGGAAATTGTTCGTCGTGGCAAATTTCGGATGGGTAGAAAAGCGCGCAGCGATGGCACAGACGGAAAGCACCAAAACTGGAGGTAACGTGCCGGCTCTGCAACATCCAATTAGTGCCGTTGTACCATGCTCAAAAGGGGGAAGCCATACTTCAGTTTCCTTATATAACTCGGTTTATGGAGTAGGTGATACGCTTGCCCGTAAATATTATCGAAAAAAACGTATGCCAGATGTTCTTGAAGGTCTTTCGGCGGCAATGCCTCTGCTCCTTCGTATAGAAGCTTGCCTTCCTCCGCCTCTTGCACCTGCAGAGATGTCGGTTTGCTCGAGCCGTCAGCCCTGGTCTTCGATGATCCCCGAGCCCAGTGGTCTAGTTCGGCTCCGAAGGCCTCATCAGCACCACGTTTCTTGGCCGTTTGCTTGCCTGCCGTGAGAGTCCCGGGGAGAACGGGCTTCACCACGCCTCGGGTGATATCTTTAGCAGACGAATCCTGTTCCGACTTGGGTACGATCTTGATGATGCGGTCTTCCATCCGTTTCAGACGCTTGTCCAACATGGCCATGTAATCGGTCCTTGGAGCTGCCTTTCGCGTAGTGACCTTGTACACGCAAGGGATGCGCGACCTCAGACAGTGCTTACACGCCGGCTTTTCTCCCGAACAACGTATCTTCTTCCTTCGGCATGCGATGCATGCCAGGGGCAACCGCTTACGCTCCTTTCCCGCCTTGGTTTTCAATTCACTCCAAGCTGGTGTTGGGTCAGACTTGTTCTCCTTTAATTTGCCTCCCAAGTCGGTGCCATCGCCCGGAATACTTGCGGAAAGTCCGAATTCATCCGACATATTGTCCTCGAGAGAATTGGCGCCGCCAGGGTTACTCGCCTGGCTTCCATCGTCAGACCCGTCGATGCTGCGCCGCCTATTGTTCTGCTGGTCCATCATATTAAAAGTGGCGCTGCGTGGCGCTGATGCAGTCGAATCCTTCCGGCCCCCGATTGACGACATGGACCCGGGTCCTGGGGTAGCGAATAGATCAGTCGCATGATCCTCCAGGTCGATCATCTGGTTGTTTTCGGGGATTTCCTGGAATGAGAAGGGAAATTCGGGAAACTGGGAGGTTTCCATCAGACTGTGTGATTCGATATCACTGGCAGCGCCATCGTTGCGGTTGTGGTTGTCCAAGGAGAAGCCATTCAAGTCGGTTGAATCATCCTGGTGGAATTGACGTTCGATTTTAACGGCGGGATGCGAGCCGTTGGTATCCCCAGCTGGGAGTGACTGACGGTTCGGGTGGGACTGGCTGGGTAACATTTCTATTTCGTAGACCATATATCGCAGAGACGATCGAAGACGCCGGCGTAGCCGTCAATTGTCGCAGAAAGTGGTGGGTTTCTGAAAGCACAAGATCAAAGACCAGTGGATGGTTGGCCCGTTGCGACCGGAAGCGTGGACGTCGCGCTCGGCCGTCCGGGTAGGAAGAACCAGAAGCCCAGGCGTGATGTGGTTGTGTATCATGACAGGTGCGAGGGCTCAGCGTCGAGAGAACATCCTGCCGGAGAGCAGGGAGGGAGGGAATCGAGGGCGGGAACAGGCAGGCGGGCTCACGACGGCGACGGCGATGGTGACGGAGACGGTGAACGATAAAGGCGATTGTAATGGGCGATGGCGATGGCGCTGGCACTGGGAAGGAGAATATGGCAGTGTAGTGTAACTAGACCGGCGCCTGCCGGCTGGCTGAAAGCTCTTCCTTTAAAGAGAAAAGAGCTGCAGCTCTGGACCTTGCGCGTTCGGGATTGTATTCCAGTATTGTGGGGTAGAGGTGTGAGTGGACTGGGGCTAGCCGGCACCCTTACCGGTATCTACCATGTCAACATGTACAGGAGACTTGATCAAGTTGATGTCATCAATTGGTGAGCAGACAGACGTTGGTACAGAACCAGACAGCCAGAGTGGGCAGGCAGGTGTCGACTCCTTCTTGCCTTGGGCTCTAGTTCTCTGTGGATCCAGGTTCTGTTCTCCGTTGCCAGCTGCCACTCAAGGCTCAAGCCATGATGATGAGAGCCTCAAGCCCCAAGCCTCAAGCCTCAAGCCTCAAGCCTCGTCAAAGATCCGCTAGGAGGTAGCGAAGTTGAGGAGGTGAGGCGTCGGGTATTGAAGGACCAAGCTGTCTTTGGGGGTAATAATCCCACTCAGCTGCTTCGAGAACAACATGGTGGCCCTGGCCCTGGCCTTGCTCGGAAATAGGTGAAACCCCGACAAATCCCCATCCATGATATACTCTTCTTCCGCTCCTTTGCTTTCTGCTTCAGCAGAGCTCCAATGTCATGCCAGAGGCGGTATACTACGCCCGCAACTGGCAGCATGTGCGCCCATATGGTCGAACGCAATGAACACTGCTTGGTGCTGAACAATTGTGTTCATCCGTAGTACTGGACCGGCCATCTGGCACACGCCATGCTTGCGGCACGGCGTGTACTCGACGTTTAGTGGCGCAAAAAGGGTCTCGTTGACAAGAGACATTGTTCAATGGCCAACGGTTTTGTGTGTGACGTGGAACAATGAGGAGAAGATCACCCCCTCTCCTTCAGGCTCCAGGCTTCTGCAGCACATGGCCTGAAGAACATGATCGATATGCAACCTTGGAACACACCGGAAGTATTCCGTGGGTGAGATTGATAAAGATTGAAGAACCGGTCTGCGATTGCGGCGTTGAAGCGGGAGGAGTGGGCCAGTGAGTGAGTCCCGCTGGTTCGTCCGGGGTATGCTTCCACTGTCCAGCGCGTGGGGCCGATCCATGGAAGTGGAGCCGTCTTCTGTGCATGCTAGTATAGTGGGTCCCTTGTCGTGCATCCGACTCCGTTACTCCGACCGTTTCCAAGCACCTGCAGCATCCAATCATGAACGAGAGAACTCGATGACATGGGCATCCCCTTGCACTTGCACTTGCAGAATGTGGTTCAGGTTCTTGTTATGGTTGAGGTGCTGATTCGTCGTCGGCGGTTTTACACCCGACCCGCAAATTTGGCATTACGGAAGGTGCCATGGTTCAGCAGTTCAGTCAACGTCTCTTGCCAAGGACCAAGACCAACAGTCCTCGCCCCCTTTGGGCCAGCTCAGACCTGCCACTTCTCAACTGGGATGCCCTCACATACATACGGTAGTATCATCAATGACCAGACATGTGCATCTAATATGTATCCTACCTTACCTACTCACAACATGCAGTTCACGATAACACATCGACAGCCTGCCCGTCGACAGTGTGTTTCTCATGCAGACGCATACGCAGACGCAGATGCGGTCGTCTGACTGCTGATCCCCCTTCGCACCATCCTGCCCAACCAACCAACACCAACCAGCATCGTCACCCTTGTCATAGCCTGCCGCCCCAGCCTGCAGCAATATCGACGTCTTTCTTCGTCATGTTCGGGCCAAACGTTGGGTCATGCCTACTGTACTGCCTACGCACACATATGCAACAACACTCCTATACATTGAAGTCTGTCCCATCGCTTCCGGTATTATCTGCACCCCGGCCTGCTTCTTCGGACCTGCAACGAACGTCGCACGAGCACCCTCTCTCGGAACCTGACCAAAGGCCACACACCTTCCAGGACCTCCTTCACAGGGCTGACAAGTGTTTTAAGGTAGAACGTTTCGACAGCTTCCGCGAGATATTGATGCCCCACGGGATTACCATTACCCCTTTGGGGTGTTACCTTCCGATCATGGCCCAGTCGAATAGGTCAATCTCTGTTTCCCTCATCTGCACTAATTTCCGGGCAATTGCAAGGTTTCCCCATGGCCGCATGACAAGCTGTCGCCTTTATCACCCCCAAACAATGACGTTACATCCGCCAGAGTGGAAGACAGATGAGTGGCCTCAACAGCAGTCATTTTATCTACATACTCCCAAGTAAGCTCATACCCAACCCTTCCATTCTCTTCCCAGCCGAGTCACCGCCGGAACTAGCAGTCTTCGAGGCCGCTAAGCCCTCCAGCTGGTCGACAGTCGACTTGTTCATTCAGGCAATACCCCCTTGGGGCCACCGTTTTCCAGGTGACGGCGCGGCTGCATAGTACGTACCTTTTGCGGACGAGAATACCTACCTCCTTCACGATATCGGAGATTTTCTTATGCATCTCCTGAACTTCTCGGGGCCGCCCCCGCCCCTGTCATCCCTGACCCGCATATACAAACCTGGATCTATGGTAGCGAGAACATATTCCACGAAGCAGGCTTCGTTCTTACTGCAACCCTGAGGGAGCATCATCCATTCTCAGACTTCCATCAGACTTCCTGCAAGTTGTTTGAAAACAATGTTGGATCACACATTGGGTGTCTCGACCGCCTTGTAAGTATGCCATGAAATGGAAGTTCGGGCAATACTTTCTCACATTCCCTATTTTAATAGCTGCTTCGCGGTTGCTCACCACATGGTGCCTCAGTCCAAGACTGTGGCGATTGCCTTCGGCGCCGTTGTTCATAGGCATCGACGACTCCTCTCTTGGCTTAACAGACAAGCTTCCTGACTTGTTCCACAGCAAGGCGAGATGCGCCTTGTGCTAGGGTCTTACAGCGGCGAGTTTCCTTGCTTGGTACCGAAGCATTCCACAAACCAGTGTCATCGAGTGTTTCCAGATTCAGATATATAGCCACCGCAGACAGCAGGCGGCCGAGACATCATGCCACATCGACTCGGGCCGTTAGAGAAGCGACTCAAAACAGCGACCAGAGACAACCTGGCCTGGTAGCGAAACTCCCGAAAAGGCGGGGGAGACGCACACTCCGCTTCATGCGTGCGCATTTTGCCGCTGTTCCTTACTTAGATGCGCAGAACAGTCATCGGCCGCTTTAAGGAGCACTTGAGATATTGCTGACTGAGCCTCCTATAGCGAATTGGATCACTTGGGAGAATGAGACTCGTTGCACTTGGCGCCCTGGGCTGGCTACTCTGCTTCCGTCGTGACTTGATTCGAGGCAGGCGGTTATGTGCACTGCTGCGAGGCCCAGTGCAATGGTAGACCGTTTCCTTGCTGTGAAGTGGTGCCACGAGCGCATTCGTGCACCGATCTTTCCATATTGTTGCCTGCTGAATGGACTCGAGCAAGGTTCGTGAGGCTCCTCATGTTCGCTACCCGAGAGCGAGGCCTCCCCAACGTCTCCTCGCGCAGTCGACTCCGGAACGAAACTGCGAGTCGCTCCCACTTCTCGCCAGCAGCCATCAGGCCTCCAAGGTGACAAGCGGGTAGAGCTGTAACTCTTCGTGGAAATCGACTGGCTGCTTTCTGTGTCCAATACTAAGTGGCTCCTGAGATCTGAGCTAGAAGATCTTGGTGGCACATCACTTGTGAAATCCCATTCGGCCCAACCCATCGTATCATCAGGATCACAACATGACCTCACACAAACTTTACATCGACTCGAGGGCTGGTAGGCGAAGCGCCATCTATGGCTGGCCCTCCAACCTGGGCTCCAACCAGACTGCCCGATCCGTCTTCCGCCTGAAGGACAGTCAGGGCTTTGGTCCTGGTTGGGCACTCGTGTTGTGGTAGCGAGTCAATCTCACTACCACTGCGACTTAACATCTTCAGATAAGCATATGACCACCGCTAATTCACTGGCTGGTCCATCCCTATTCCACATTTAAGGCTAATTCGCTGGGAAACTGGGTAGAAGGATGGCCATTTGATTAATTCTACTCTTCTACCGATGGCCCTGTGTACCCCTGGAATGCATCGTGGCGGGTATGGTAAACAGGGTTTAAATACTGCACTGTAGCGAACACGCAAAAGATGCTCTCTTAATAGCTTGAGAAGACCCTGGCTCAACATCGCACCCGGATCACATGATAGGAGACTGCTTTCTTGATCACCTCGTGCGTTGCAAGCTTCGTGGCTACTCAGCAATGACTCTCGCCCGTCTCCCGCGCGGATGAAGTCGCCTGCGACTCTCGACAGCTGTTTTGACACACAACACAGCACACCAATCCCTCCATCTCGACTCTAACGTGCTATGACTATGCACGGCCTTTCATCTAACTTAACCCGTTGTATCAGCAGGGCTCAGTTTCAGGCCATAGAACCAGTCCACAGCTCACCCAAACCCACACAGAAGGGGAGAAGAAGAAGAAGGGGAAGAAGAAGCAGTAGAATAAGAAGATAAAAAATGAAAGACCATGGATTATATCGTTCACGTGAGAACGTGCGCGGGTATATATTTACGTTTGTTCAACGAAAAGACAAGTTGCAGACGCATGTTCCAAAAGGAAACTCATCACGCTCCTCCCCAGCTTTCTATCTCGCCATCGACACCACGGCTCGCAAAGGGCCTGCCTGCTAGAGAACTTGGCCCCTAGCAGCAAGCAACTGGTGAGACCACAGTAGGTATACTCTGGACAGAGGAAAATGCTGTTTAGGAATGTCCATATCAAGTCCATACCCCGCTACTTTCTTGCTCTTCGTCGTGGTTAAAGAACGATATTGGCTCTCTTGGACAGAGGGAGCCAAGACCCTGTCTAGCTACCTCGCCAGCAGGCGATGCTCGCCGCGGCAATAGAGGTAGGTAGGTGGTCAGGAGCAGCGCTTCCCGACGAAGATACCTACCTCCGGGGCTTCTCATTATGCTAGAGATCGAGGGTCAACTGTGTCAGACAGGTAGACGATGTTTTCATCAGGTAAGTTGAGAGGATCAAATCCAGGCTACTACCCAACTCACGCGATACGAAGGCGTTATCCCCGAGCGCTGCAAAGTCGCAACAAACATCACGAACAAATGATTAGAGTTCCTCCCCTGTTTCGAAGCCTCCGTATACCTTCACATAATGGCGAAAGTACGTATACAACACTGCACACTTCGGCAGTAGAACGGATAGGTGATGGGTTCAAGCTCATGAATATATATTCTCACCAACGCAGCCAGAGCCCAAACCACGAGTGAGCAGGTAGATAGGTATCGAACAGCAATCAATACACCAACAATCTTGCTACAACAACACCTCAACCCCGGTGAATCCAAGACAGAACGCCTCGCAATGCCAATGCCGAACTCAACTATACCTAACAGACAGCCCCATGCGCCGCTTCCAATGCATGCAAGACTTCAACACAGTCCCTCCTCTCTATATTTCAACATCGCCATGTACAACAACCTCTCCTGTCCATCCATCAATCCATCCCCGAAGCAACCCACAGCAGCTCATTCATTTGTCGATATAAACAGGGATACCGTAGGCGCACACCGCAGCCGCAGTGAGGTACTTGAACTTGCACGCCTCGGTCCGAGCCCTCGCCACCGCCTCCACGAGACTCGTCTGCGTCTGCGTCCGCGTCCTATTCTGTCTCTCCTCCGCTGCAGCATCCTGGTCGTTCTTACCTGCCTTCTTCCTCGCAGCGGGTTTCGCGACCGCCTTCCCCTTCCCCTTTCCCCTGCCGCCACCCCCGACGTCGTCCGCGCCCCCCGCCGCAAATGTGCCCCGGGGCATCAGCCCCCACTCCTCGAACACGCGCCCGGCGAAGCGGTCAATGTCGCGGTCCGTCACGTCCCAGAGCGTACCAACAACGGCGGGTGAGCCGGCAAGCATGTAGTTCCACACCGTCCCGTGGGGCTCGAATGTGCCCTCACTAATCAAAGACGCCGAGCTGCAGCCCATGAGCAGCGCGACGGCGCGGCACTTGTCCATGCGGCGGATCGTGCGCTGGCGCACATACTGCGCGCCGCTGCCGTGGCCAAAGTACAGCAACAGGTCCGCGTCCTGGAGCGCGCGCTCGAACTCGGGCTCCGTGGGGACGCGCCCCTCAACACTGGCCCACGCGGGCGGCAGCGACGCGAGCGCCTTCCCAAAAGTCGCCTGCGTGTTGGTGAGGTCGGCGCTGGGGTTGAGGATGTAGGTGCCCGAGTTGATGGATGCGTAGTGGCCGTCACGATGTCTCGGGACAACGCTCAGCTCATCGGTTTCGCTGTCCGAGTCTGCGTTAGGCGTTCTCGTTCTCATGCGTGGAGGCGCTTGCTCCTTAATCGAGCGCCGCAGACACGCAAGTGAGGGGACTCGTGATACCGGCAGACCTTGCAGACAGGGCAGTGACTCCCAAGGAAAGATGTGAAGGGCCTTGTCCAAGATCAGGATAGTGTGCACTCCGCCTTGCTCGTCTTTGGTGTTTTGGACAGCGTCATGGTACGCGTGCAAGGCATCGAAAGTATCGATAACCATGGAATCGAACTCGATCTCGTCGTACGCGTTCCTTTCACCGTGAAACTGCAACACATCCACCACAAAGTATAGCAAATCATTCAGCGCCTCGTCGAAATCGCACTCAGGTGCGGTCGCGTCGCCGAGGTTGATGAATAGCTCGAGGATTCTAGGATCCAAGTGGATCTTCGGGACAGGTGCCTTCGTTCTCCTGCCGCGAACCTGTCGTCTGGATGGGAGATGTTTATCAAGGATATTCTGGAAGCTCTTCTGGAACCTTGCAAGCAGGTCAGAACGTCTGTGATGCTGGGCAAACATGCCCTTGAAGCCGCCCAACCATGTCTGCTCGATGTTTTCCAGTAGGTCTTTCATGCGCTCGTCCAGTGCCTCACGCTCAGCCCACCACGCAGAGTTAGCCTTCTTTTGGCTCATATCCCGCGCAGCGTGGCACGAGCGATTGGCGGACCCAATAATGTCGAGAAGCTCCGACCTGCCCTGTTGGAAGTCAAATGCTTCGCTGTCAGCATCCCTGGCACTGGCCCTCTCGAGAGGGAGGCGTATAGCAAAGGGGCTGTGACCTGCTTGGAGTTTTGTGATACAGAGATCGTGCTTGTTGTCGCTCAACGAGACCGACACGACATTCCACGACCTTGGTATTATGTCGACAAATTCTTTCTGAAAATGGTTCACATCGATAGGAAACCCCAGACTACATCTTCTGGCGTCGGCAGTGTTCTTGACTGTGGGCCAGGCTGCCTTATGATCCTGACGAAGGGTTTTCCGTTCGCGACGCCATATCAGGTTCCGAGCTAGTTCGACCGAGCATGTCGCGTGAGCAGGGTGGCCTATAGCGGACTTCGATGGGTTGGTGTTCGATAGGAGTATGGTGACGTTCTGCAACGCAGTCGCGATTCGATGTACCAAGTTGCCGTCGCCGTTGAGACTGGCAACTGAATGAGCTTCCAGTAGATGATCTTGGGCCTCACGCAAGTTCTCGACGAAGGTGTGTGCATCTTGTACGGCAGAACGGCCTTTGCGAGGCGGAGTTATTACTCGTCCAATTGATGCCCGGTCAGATGCGGTCTTGTCTCTGGCAACCGAAGGGAACGAAAGCGTCGAGTCCTGGATGGATGTGAACACAGAGTCCCGGCCCATCTGCTCCAGACTCTGGCCGATGAGACTCATACCCATAAGGAACCGCTCGTGTGACACGTCCGTCGACAACTTCGGAAGCTGCAAAGCTGGGCGAAGAGCGGCAATAGCCGCTGTCCATTTTTCCTTCTGTAGCATGGCGATCGAACGAACCTGAGAGATCGAAGCACGTAGGAAGCCCAATTGAGTATCTTCCTCCTTGGTTTGTGCTTGCACTTCCACTGGAGGTCCCGCAACTCGGGCTACAGTTTTCTTCGAGACCGTCTTGCTGGTGACCTTCGTTGTCCTTACAGCTTTTGTAGCACGAACTCCCACCTTGACAGAGACCGTTTCCTTGATACTGAGTTTGGCCATGTCTGATTCGAGGTCGGTTTGGTGTAAGCAATCCGCTGGGTGATCGGCCCCCCTCATTTGTTCCAGCATGGACTCTGCTTTGGCCACCCATAACGCCTCTGTTTCCGGGTCGTTGTTCTCTCGGTAGATCGATGCCAGGCGACAAATGGTGTCAACGTCATTAAAAGTCGGCTCGGAAGCAAATATCATCGGTTTAGCCTCGGCGGCTAACTCGACCGCCTTGTCCAGTTTCCCAGCCATGAGGGATACTGATGCTAGCCATGCGCTAGATTGGGCAATATAGCTTGGTGCCATGCTACTGGCGACCTTGTGAGCTTGTTCGGCGTAGTATACTGTTTCCTGGTACATGCCCAAGTGTGCGTAGGTTGAAGAGAGCCTCGAGATGAACCTGTACAATGGGTACACCAGTGTCCAGAACTCGGGGCCAGTGTTTGCTCGTACCTGGTCGAATTTGGCCAGACGGGAGCTGTTCAGGCTCGACTCATCCTCTGAACTCTGAGCATGAGACACATCTTCCATGCTAACATCGCTGCCGGAGCTTCTCAGCTCTTCTAACTGCATCCAGTCGTGGAACAGGATCTTCACGGCCGTCGTGGCAAACTGCAGAGCGTGATGAGAGTCGCCACGTTCAAGAGCCAGCTTTGAGTGCAGAAACGATGCATATGCGGTCAACATCTTTCGACTCGAATGGCTGCTTGTTCTTAAGGGCTGTTCCTTAGACGAGCCCATAGCAGCAGCACGCGCTTCGACAAGATGTTGCTCAGATTTGTCGAAAGCCCCGACAGCCAGATGGTATTCGGCAGCAGATAGATGGAAGTTTGTGACAGTCTCCTGAGAAAGTTCGGGCAGAGGAAGGAATTCCTCATTGCTTTGTAGTGCTTTCCTCGCCTTAACTGATCGACCAAGGCTGAGATAATGCAGGCAAAGGGCTGTACTGTGGGAGATTCGCAACTCCACACTACCGTCAGTCGTGAGTTGGGAAATCTTGGTTGAAAGTTCGAGAAAGTCTGTCAGGAGACTTTGGAATCCTTTGACCCTTGCAAAGTCGGCAAGAGACTGAAGACACCTGAGCAGTTGTTGCGGGTTATCGATGCGTTGTGATAGCTCCTCAGATGATTGACAATTCGACACCAGGAGCTGCCATTCTGATAGGCCTGTCCGAATCTGGGCAGAATCCAAATCTCCCTCCATGAGCCCCGAGATACAAGATGCCAATGCGCGCAAGTGCGGCACATACCGCGCAAGCCCGGCATCGCTTCCCAGGCTTGCTTTCCCAATCTTGTCGAGAGCCTCCTCAGCTTCTGCCCACAGCGTGTCGGTCTGAACTCGCGTATCTATATTGGCCATGAGTAACTGCAGGAAGGTCCTGAGTCGTCTGATCGGGTAGTCCTCAACATTATAGAGCTGTAGCATTGCCGAGATCGTGGGATTAGACAGATCGAGCTCCTGATGATTCTTGCTGTCGTTTGCAATGATGAAGTAGAAGTCGTGTTCCAGTGCAGTAGCCTTGTCCATGCCAACAAGCAGCCATGTCCAGTCATGGGGTTGTCGATCGAGCTTGGCGAGACTGCAGACTGTTCGTGACAGTAACTCGGCCTCGACACTGGATCGCCACGAACTGGTGATTGGTTGAGTGGCCAGGGTCGCCGTAATGACCTCGACAACTTCTTGCCTTGCCAAATGATCCCGTATGGAGCGGAAGGCATCGGCTGCTTTTTCCCGTCGACCAGAGGCTTTGCATAGGTCGGCATACCTCTCCCATTTCACCAAAAGCTGTGCTCGGGTCTGCTCAGCATCTGGTCGAGACTTCAAACAGTCAACAGATCTGCGAAGTGCACTGAGAGAAAGGGACTCCTTGGCTTTCGTAGCAGACTTGCGCAGGGCCAAATGTTGTTGGTAGTAAAGCTGGGAAATCTTGACATGGTATGAGGCGGAAGGATTGATTTTCGTGCTCAAGCCGATGATGTCTGCCATGTTGTCAAGCAGGCCCAAGATATCTGGCAGTATGGATTCCATGGTCTCCCAGTCTAGTCCATTGTTGTCTAGGCGCATCTTTGCAAGCATCAGAGCTGAGTCAAGGACATGTTGTAGGTATCCTGATAATAGTTGTCGCCGCTGTTCAAACCGAAGAACATCCTTGGTAGCGCTGCTCGAAGCGGGCGGCTTGCCTAGCCATCTTGAAATGAATCGGGGTAATTGAAAGATGAATGTTTCGAGAAGTTGTCGTGGTTTCTGCTGGACTGCTGTCGTAGAGCCATTAGGCTGCATGAGGGTGTTCACCGCAGCCTTTCGTAACAGACATATATTGACAAGAAGGTCATCCAAGTCTGTGACACTGCCGCTGAAAGACCCTTGTATCCAGTCTAGAACCTGGACTAGGAGACTTTCATCCACCTCTGACGACTCCCGAAGGGAGAGTGCAAGCACTTGTGCTGTGACAGCACAACACCTGGCCACAGAGTCTTCCTGGGTATTGGTCATATTTCTCAACATGGTTGACCACTTTCTTGCTTCCTTCACATTCCCAGATTCTCGTGAAGCCGTAGCTAGCAACTGGCAAATTGCCGCCAGATGAGACCGTGACGAGCCTGACGTCCTCAAACCTGACTTCTCTATCATGTCCCAAACCCGGGAGAAGGCAGAACACAGTACAGGAGTTTTTTCGATAGAAGTCCTCCGTGAGAACGCTTCCAGACATTTTGATAAGGGTAGTAAGATATCCTTGTCCACGTCGCCCTTGTGACCGGAAATCCTCCACGCCTGCAACTTGATTGTCAAACCAAGCACTTGCACGTCCAGGCACGTCTCGGGAGATGGATTCAATCTTGGCTCTTGTGCAACAGCGTCGTCTTTCACAGCTAAACTTGGGCTTAGAGAGAGCAGAAGCAGAGATAGACTCTCTAATTGCTTTGAGCATTTCTTGTGATCCTGTCTTTCGTCTTCAAGCGTTCGTAGAAGTAGATTTGATGGTGAGGACGGATTCGACTCTTGTAAGAAAGGAAGAGCAGCGCCAAGGTGGGTCAACTTCTTCAGCCCGTGGATGATGCGAAGAGCCTGTAACTGAGTGGTAATGATGAATCCAAGGAGGGGACCTGACGCAGTCACTTTGGGGTAATCCAGCAAGTCAGAAAGAGTCTTTGACGTTGTGCTTGAAACAGAGGTTCCGCCCATAGTCTTCCTGGCCCCTTTCCCAGCAGCCATGCCTTCCAGACGTCGCTTCAAGATCCGTAGTTCTTTCACTGCCAAGTCGAAGAGGTTCAATGCGATGAGTTTGCTGACAAAGGAAGACATGCCAGCCTCAAATTGTAGATCGGGGAGATTCACAGCACCGGAAGACTGTAAACTCCTCAATGTCGTGAAGGCCACCCGGGCACATTCGACCGTGGCTAAACAACCGGTTGATGATGACAAGGATGACGGGGACCGACAGGTCCTGGCCACAGACGGGGAAGTAGAGACTCGGTTCAGGGAACGAGGCTGGAGAGGTGTCATGGGCACGGAGTTCGATCGTCGGAGGGCGGTTCGGGTGGCAGACTTTGCCTTACCACCCTTGGCTGGTGATCGTGTGCTCGAGGTGGATGTCGCCGCAACTTTGGCAGCTTCTCCTAGCGCTCTGAGTGTCGCGTTGATAATTTGTGTGGCAAGCGCGGCCTTCTCTTTCGGACACAATATCGCGCCATTGCCTCGTTTTGCTTGCGACGCGGTCGTTGTGGTGGGTGTTTTCGCTCCTCGTCTCGCAGCCGTGGGGGTTTTTGATCTTGCCGCCGCTTGTGCTGCCTTCCCAGTCCGGGACGAGACAGGTCTTGAGGATTCAATTGGGTTGTTGTCTTCTCTCCCCTGAAGAAGCTCTTTCAAGGTAGCGGATATGGTCGGCGTACATGTTGAGGTCGAAGTGACAGCGGACCGAACGGCTTCAACTTGTGCGACTGAGGAAGCCATATTGTAGGTAGGTGTTGTGCGATTATGGTGGATGTTGGACAGTCGTAATCATGTCGTCGTGAGCGGAAAACGGCAGAGTAGATGCCAAACGCCAGGCCAATGTATGCGATTCAACAGCAAGGAAAAGACATGGCAATACCAGTGTTTAGGAGGGTGTTGGACGCCGTATTTACCGATCTTAATATTCATGCAATGCGATGGCCGTTCACGCGCAAGCTCTCCGATCGTGAATTGTCTAAGTGGATATCCGACCTGAACTAAACCTACCCAAAATAGACGGCGTGGCTCCCGTCAACCTGGCAACGGCTACATGTGGCGCATGGGGTGAGACTTGTGGCTTGCGCCTAGTCATTGATTGGTAGTGGCTTGTGCTCTAGCGATTGCCTTTATGCCGACTGGGTTGTCAAGGCTGATAGCCCAAACTTTTCTTCAGCTTGTCAACTGGTCGACATCGCCCTGTTCGATTGTGAACCTGACCATACGCACCTGCCCATACCATGGAGAGGCAGCTTTGGCAAAGAGCTCTCAGAGCGCCACCCACTACTCGATTGGCTGCCACCCAGCGACCTATTCCAATCCTCCATCCCCAGTTCATACGACAAGCAAGCTCGGTCCCAACAGTCGCCCAGCCCGCGTTCTGGAAGTCCTTAATACCGAAGCCCTGGCGCCCACGCGAGAAGTCGACAATCGACTGGGGCACGCCCCCTACGAAGCTCAAGAAGCCGCCCAAGTCGAAGGAGTGGAATCCGGCTACATACTTCATCGTCATATTCCTCTTCATTGGATCCATGTCTATCCAGATGATTGCGCTGAGACGAGACTTCGCTACGTTCACGAGAAGAGCCGAGGTCCGCATCGGGCTGCTGCGTGAGGTGGTGGAGAAGCTGCAAAAAGGTGAAGCGGTGGATGTTGAGAAGACGTTGGGCACAGGCGATGCCGAGCAGGAGCAGGCATGGGACGAGATACTGAAGGCCATTGAACGGGACGACAAGAACGCCAGAAAGGCCGAAAGGACGAAACAGTCACCATCCACGTCAGAGAGAATAGAACCAGAAGCCGACTCGACACCAGCGCAGGGGACGGATCAAGCCAAAGCCAAAGCTGCAAGCTATTCGAGTTTCTTCTAGATTCACAGGCTGTATCGCAATATTGTACATGTACAGGAAGGTTGGATGCAGTTTTAAGACATCATGTCTTTGAAAACCGACGCTCCATGCTCTTCCGCAGCATGGTCATGAGATTCGCGGACTGCCCCAAAGTTGGATGATTGTCGCAACTGCTCTACAAGAGCTGGCAGCAGCTCATCAGTAGACATCTCTATTCTGGCCCCTCCGCGACCCCCTTGAGATGGGCCGAGATCGACAGAGAGTGCATCATCGCCCCTCACTCCTCCCAGGTTGACAATTGCGATGGGCAAACCCCGATCCTTGGCCTGTTTGGCCAACCGCCATGCTGAATAAGTTGCCAGAGACGTACCCAAGACGAGCAGCCTGTCAGCACTATCAATAGCGTGTTCTGCGGCAGCTTTAACAGGTCCCCGGATGCTCTCCCCAAACATAACGACCGCGGGCTTCAAGATTCCGGCTGTGCTCGTGGGATTCCATGCGCCATCCGCGTCAATCTCCACCGTGGAACGACTGCAATCCCCAACTGTGGGTGGACTTGTGAGACAACTTGGACATGCCGGATAGCGGAACGTTGTGTAGGGCGCGTCAGGAAGGTCAACGTCACCGTCTGGATTCGTCTTCATCCCCCTGGCACGACGGTCGTCCGGGTCCTCGGTGTCTAGAGCCCCAGAGGCCAGAATCTCTTGTAGAAAGGCTGCCCAGGCTGGGTTCAGTCTTGCCAACTCGTTTTGGAAGACGTCCCGTGGCAACTCTTGGTGACAGGACGTGCAGGCACAAGATCTCAGATAGCCGTGTAACTCGATAGTTGGGAGGTCAGGATGAGCCTTTGGGTGGAAAGAATCTACATTCTGCGTAATGACACTCTGAACAAGGCCAGATTCGCCGAGCCGCTTCACGGCAAAGTGACCCGCGTTCGGCCTCGCCTTCTAGTGTATGAAAATGACCCTGGTTAGTTACCGTACCCTATGTTTCTGGAATCGCCTAGCAGAATTACTTACTGCCGAGAAGTTAGCAGAAGGTTCAAGTGTATTCCAAACCCGGGGACTTGGGGTCTGAAATAGGGATGTTTTTATACATGCCATGGAGCGTAGTCCAGCCGAGGAAACTCCTCGCCCAGTACCGCTTCCTCGCCTCGTGATTCTGCAGGAACTCATGATAGTAGATGGGGCGGTACGACTTGTTCACCCGGTACGTGCCCTTGGAGCCCCGGTAGTCGGCCAGCCCGCTCGCGACTGAGATGCCGGCGCCTGTGAGGACGGCTGTTGACGCGCGAGACGTGCTGCTGCTCCTGGCCGAGGGGCCCGGGGCTGTGAGGAACTCCTGTAGGGCTGCGACAGCGCCGCGTAGGGTGGTTGCGCTCTCCGGGAAGACGGTTGGGGCTGCTAGAGCTTCCGTGTAGGGAATGCGCATGTACGGCTTGTGCATTTGGGCGAATGGACGAGTTGCCCTTATTATAAGAGGACGGAATGATGAGATCTTTGGTGGTTGGTATTGGATTTGAATTCAGAGAAGGGGCATCAATCACTCAAAATGCCACTTGGAACGACGTTGTTGTTGGTGAAGTCATCAGTTCTAGTCTAAAAGCCCCCTATCAAAAGGTTGTCCAGCAGCCTTGGCTGAGAGTGGCATGGCCTTCTTTAGGTATGACTTGCAGCAATTTGGCTTTCAGGGCCCAGATAAATCCACCAAATCTCAGGGCGTATCTTGAGAACTTGAACTGCCCTATGATTAGTTATTCAAAGTGAAAATATATTCTATTCAAAGACAATGAATGTACATGTACTGTCAAGACAATGGGTGTTCTGTTGCAGGACAGAGCTTCCCCCACATCCCGCAAACGCTGACGCTGACGCAACCCTCGATTGGCAAAGGCTTGGCAGCTTGGGCGGACTAAAACACCTGCCAGATTCCGTTATCGCTGGCCGTGAATTGCTGAATTCAATCGCCCAGCGGCCACCCTACCCTAGGCACAGTGAGGTCGTCTTTGGATACGTGATCACATGTTTCAGCACATTCTCGAGCTCCTCCCACATTCCACCGCTCACCAGCAAGCAACAGATTGGATCAGTCTTGGGAAGATCCTCTGCCGGTCTGCTTTGGGTTATTGGGTGTCTCTGCCGTGGGCATTTGGCATTACACGCGTACAGTCCCATTGCATTGCGACGTCTTGGATGTCCTGGGCGCAAAAACTCACCCTTGATGTTTCCACAATGTAGGCCGTGCCGAGGCCGCCTACGCCAGTGTCTCGCGGCGGCTGGCCCTGAACTTTTACCGGCTTCAACACCGCCCTTGCCATTTGAAGTACTACTGCAGGCACAGCTACCACGAGCCACGACGCGCCCAGCTCCTTTTACCCGCACGCGCTCCCCTTCGATCTGTCCTCAATTCCTGCAACAACGCCGGGTGCTACAGACATCTTGCAGTCCTTCAGGTCCCCTTCAGCTCCCTTCCCTTCCTGTCATTCCTTTATCTGCCCAGTTGCTTCACAACCGACTCATTCGCGCTTTGCCCGCCATGGCGTCCATAACCCAGACACGAAATCACAGCGGCCACAAGGGGGGCCACAGCCACCACCACCACCACCACGACAATGTCTACCTCACCTCGCAGAACAAGAACGATGCCGGTGTGCGCATCACCCGTCTTGGTCTGTACTCCAACCTGGGCATGGCAATTGCCAAGGGCGTCGGAGGATACGCCTTCAATTCCAAGGCAATGATTGCAGACGCCATCCACAGCGTCACAGACCTTGCGTCTGATGTCCTGACGCTTGCTACCCTTTCCTTCAGTCTGCGACCGCCGACCGACAAGTTCCCCACAGGATTCGGGAAGATCGAGAGTCTCGGGTCGCTGGGTGTGTCGAGCATGCTTCTGTTTGGCGGTCTTTGGATGGGCTACGGCAGTCTCCTGACACTCTACGGCCACTTCTTCCTCGACCCGGCATCTGCAGCCGAGATGATGTCGCATGCCCATGGCCACAGCCACAGCCATGGCCATGACCACGCGAGTGCCGCTCCCAGCCTACATGCCGCTTGGCTTGCTGCAGGCACTGTGGCCATCAAAGAATGGCTGTACCATGCAAGTAAGTCGCTCGCCTGCCTCGGACATTGTTGGTGTGTATGCTAACCCCATTCTTCAACCAGCCATGAACGTCGCCCGAGAGCGCAAGTCATCTGTCCTCGCATCCAATGCCGTCCACCACCGAATCGACAGCCTCACGGGCATCGTGACATTGGCGGTCATCCTCGGCGCGAACCTGATGGAAAGCGCGGCGTGGTTGGACCCTGTTGGCGGACTGCTCATTTCGTTGATGGTAGTCAAGGCTGGCGCGGAGAACACAATGGCAGCTCTTTTCGAGCTTGCCGACAAGAGCATCGACGACGAAGTCAAGGCTTCGGTCCGAGAACAAGCACAGAAGGGTTTTGTCGACATCAGCGAGGGACATGATATTGAGCTCCGGGATATATCAGGTGTCAAGTCCGGTCAGAACTATCTGGTCGATCTGGAGGTGGCCGTGCCCAGCGCCTGGACCATAGAGGATGTCAGAGAGGTTGAGGAAAAGACGAGAACCCGGGTCGGAAGCAAGGTGCGAGGCGTCCGAAGAGTTCGCGTCCGCTTCGTGCCGAAGGAGGTGGCAGCTGGACCGAAATTCGACGAGTTCATTCCTGGCGACGTCAGCCCCAAATCGAGCCCAGAGCCGGAGGGCGAGGACGATAACCACAACGGCCATGGGGATCACCACAAGTCGAAATAGACGACTTACAACACCTCCACCATGTCATACACTATACCAAAGGCGTTGGGGCGTTGGGCCTGGAAAGATGACTACAGGCCAGTCAAAATCCCAGGATACCACAATCTCAGCTGGAATTGTGAAAGTCGGACTTTTGAGGACGAGCTTGGATGCACTATAGCTAAAGTGCATTAGAAGGCGTTCTACAGAGATCATAGCATCCAGCTGTGATGGACCGCATCTGCCAATCGGCACGGAGAAACAGGTGGGAAAGGAAGTGTCGCATAGGTACTTTGATACAACCAAGATTTCTGACAGGTGCATCGCAGCCCCTGAAACTGTTTTGAGATACAAGAACCTCGACTTACCAACTTGCATACCGACTGGTCTCCATCGTGTCCGGCGCAATCGGAGGAATCATGCACAGCACCCATCCTAACACCGTACCTATCACGTAACCAGGTATCAGGAATTTCTCGTCTATCTTGACCGACATACCAAGAATCAGCTGCGCCTCCAGTATGCTCATGATTGGAGCAATGACATTTAGCCTAAATGTCACGAGGCTTGATCGTGCAGCTTGCTGATGAGACGGGCGGACTGCTTGCTCCAGATGTCTGGACGCCTCACCCCGCCAAAAGATAGCCAACGGTTATGTCCAGGCGGGGATAGAGGGTGGGATGGTGGGATAGTACATACCGAGGAGGTAGGCGAGGTGGGATTGGGGCCCAGGACGTCAACCTTGCTGCATCACTGCGTCACAAGAGCTCCAATTAAATACGAATAATGTTTTGCGGACATTGTTCAGTGGAAACTTCCATCGTGACCTGACAACTCAGGTGGCTAATAAGTCTCTCTATACCCATACCGCCCAGACAGATTCGCAATGCTCAACTTTTGTTTCCGAACTCCCGACGTCTTCACAATCGCCAACGTCTCGAACACCATTTTTTTGCTGCGAATTACCACCGCGTTTGTGTCCTACAGAGAAGCAGGATGAGCTCCGGTCCGCTATATCTGGGTTTCGACCTCTCGACCCAGCAGATCAAAGGCAAGTCACGCGATGCGAGAAATCATGAGGCAATTGGCGCGGAGAGGGGTCCATTGGACATGCTGACACGCCTACCGCAGCGATTGTTATCAAGTCAGACCTGGACGTCGTGTCCGAAGCCAAGGTCGACTTCGACGCCGACTTCGGCGCCAAGTACCAGATCACCAAAGGCGTGCGCATCAACGACGATGAGGGCGAGGTCTACGCCCCCGTGGCCATGTGGGTCGAGGCCATCGAGCTCGTCCTCTCGCGGCTGAAGGAGAAGGGCTGCCCCATGGGGGACATCAAGTGCATCAGCGGCTCGGGCCAGCAGCACTCGAGCGTCTACTGGAACGAGGACGCCGAGCCCGCCCTGAACGGGCTGGACAGCGGCAAGACCCTGATCGAGCAGCTGGACCACGTCTTTGCGTACGAGTTTGCGCCCAGCTGGCAGGACCACAGCACCCAGAAGGAGTGCGATGACTTCGATGCCCACTTGAGCTCCGCCGAGAAGTTGGCCCAGGTCACGGGGAGCTCGGCTCATCATGTGAGTTGTTGGGCGACCTACCTACCCTACCTGTTGACATGGTGAAGGAAGCATATCTGACGGTATAATACGAAACAGCGCTTCACAGGCACGCAGATCCTGCGGATGCGCAGAAGACGCCCGCAAGTCTACGACGCGACGGCGCGCATCTCGCTCGCCTCGTCGTTCCTCGCCTCGGTGCTCCTCGGCACCATCGCGCCGATCGACATCAGCGACGTGACGGGCATGAACCTATGGGACATCGCAGCGCAGACGTGGAACGAGAAGCTGCTGGCCCTGACGGCCACCCCGAAGGGCGTCTCGGAATTGCGCAGGAAGCTGGGCGACGTGCCCCTCGACGGCGGCGGCAGCCTGGGCGCGATATCGCCGTACTTCGTGCGGCGCTTCGGGTTCGGGGGGGACTGCCAGATCGCGCCCTTCACGGGCGACAACCCGGCGACGATCCTGGCGCTGCCGCTGCGGCCGCTCGACGCCATCGTGTCGCTGGGCACCTCGAGCACGTTCCTCATGAACACGCCCGGCTACAAACCGCACCCGAGCTACCACTTCATGAACCACCCCACCACCGAGGGCCACTTCATGTTCATGCTGTGCTACAAGAACGGCGGGCTGGCGCGCGAGAAGGTGCGCGACAAGCTGCCCAAGCCAAAGTCTAGTGGTGACGATGGGTCAGGTAGTACCGATCCCTGGGCGACCTTCAACAAGCACGTCCTGGAGACGCCGCCGCTCAACATCAGGAGCGACGGCGACACGGCCGACCTCGGCCTCTACTTCCCGCTGCCCGAGATCGTGCCCAACGTCCGGGCGGGGACGTGGCGGTACACGTGCTCGGCCGGCGGCGACCCCAAGTCGCTCGCCGAGCACAAGGACCCCCCGTCGGACGACGCCAGGTCGGACTGGACGCCGCAGGCCGACGCGCGCATCATCGTCGAGTCGCAGGCGCTGTCGATGCGGCTGCGGTCGCAGAGCCTGATCACCCAGCCGGCGTCGTCGGAGAACCCGGACAACACGCCCTCCTCGCCGAACGGGGGGCCTAACGGGCTCAGCGGGCTCCCCGCGCAGCCGCGGCGCATCTACCTCGTGGGCGGCGGGTCGCTGAACCCGGCGATCGCGCGCGTTTTCGGGGAGGTGCTGGGCGGCGCCGACGGCGTGTACCGGCTGGACGTGGGCGGCAATGCGTGCGCGCTGGGCGGGGCGTACAAGGCGGTGTGGGCGAGGGAAAGGGGGCCCGGGGAGAGTTTTGATGAGCTGATTGGGAAGCGCTGGCGCGAGGAGGACGCCGTGCAGAAGGTTGATGAGGGATACCGGAAGGGCTTGTTTGAGCGGTATGGCGATGTGGTGCCGGCTTTTGAGGAGATGGAGAGGCGGGTTTTGGGGGTGGCTCAAAATTGAGGGGGAGGAGGGAGAAGGGGGAAGAGGGAGGGGAGGAGAAGGGATTGGGAAGGGGGAGCAAGGGGATCGGCCAGGGGACACTGATGATGGAGGTTCAAAGGACTATTCTTCCTCGGGAGATGAGTATTCCTCGGATGGTTGTATCTTCAGTGGAGAGAGCGATGACTCGTGCGTGTGAGGAATATATTCCCATCGGCATGGGGTAGAGTTGGCTGTGGAGGCTTCTGGAACCCAGTCTCTTGGTCCTCCTGTCTGATAACCTTCCTTCCTTATGGAATATACGTACCGCCAGGTGTTCCATACATGTAACTTAGAGAATCACCTCTATCTGAATAGATCCTCTGAGTTACATCTAAAGCGGAAGGGGTCAGTTTGGTAGGAATGTAGAGCAGCAAGGAGGGGTGTGAGGACGGGTGAGATTAGCCTAAACGGAAACGGCTGCTACGGTACGCGAGGAGCAACCCTATGACTCGATTGGTGTTTTTGAACAATTGGCAACTATCGTGCAGTGCGAGGAGCTAATCAGCTCTTGTGATCAAGATGAAACTGGTTATTGAAGTGAGGCTCTCACCAAGCTATCAGTCCCGTGCCCTTTGTGAAAATGGACGTCTGCCTCGTTGGTCCCATCCAGATTGCTTCTACGAGAGCTCGCACTACTTCATCCCGAACCCAGTCTTGGAGTCCTGCTACCGGCGGTACCAGGCTTATTTAAGGCAAAGCGGACGGGATGCCAAGTTCTCCTGGTTCTATGGTCGTATGTAGAAGATCAGCATTCAATAGGACATTATATATGCCGCTATTGGTGATGAATTTCTTTACAAATACCGAGTAACCGAGCATCTCGCAGCAAACATCATTGACTATCATCCCCTGCCTGGCACTTTGAGGGGAAAATCAGTGATTCCACAATGAGCTAGGCAATTACAATCTTGTAAAGTGTCAGTTATAGGTAGTTTCACACTCTGTATAGTATGTACATGACTGGCTTTGCTTTGCTGCATTCCAGTCTTGATCATCGAGCCGCATCATGGCTCGCTCTGTTCCCACTCAAATCTCCTCATTGCAGGCTTGTAGGACGTGGTTCTATGCAAGAGGGTATGAGGTCTGAGGTAGGGCTTCCAGATGCGCTCGGTGGTGCTCGTGGGCCTAATAACAGTCAGCTATCGCTCTTCTCCTAAGTCGCTCGTTGTTGATTCCGTCTTTGGCTATAACTTACAAATGGAAGTCCGCAGTAGGTGCACACTGCTATCTCTGGCTTGTCCGTGTTGATGAAGATTCTAGGATGTCCCGCAGGACCACCTCCACCATCGCATGCAACCACTCGGTCGTGGGTCCATCGCACGGGTTGCTTGTGGATGAGCTCAATAGCTGCTTTCGGTTGGGGCTGTAGTAGAAGACAGTCAGTCAGTCACCGACCAATCGATTGTGTGTCCGCAACGTCGGCAACAGGGTATCTGACCTGGAGGTCGAAATCGGTCTGCTCGAATCTCGGGCCGGTCATGGCCTGCGCCCTGGGTCTCTGGTGTCTCGACCAGATCTCTGTGCGGTTCGGCGCCTGCGACAAGCCTCTCTCCTCGTTCTCGACTAGGCCTAGGGAATCCTTCTCGCTCTTGGTGATTGGCGTCGTCTCGCCCTTGGTGATTGGGGTCTTGTCGCCGTTGGCTGCCGCGGCGTCACGGAGACGGGCTGACAGCGCGAAGGTTCGTCGCGCTGCACATGTTCGCTGGGGCGCGGGTAGCGCGGTCCGGAAGCTGACGCGCGAAAGCATCGTGTTGCGTAGTCGTCAATTGGAGACTGGCCCGCGGGAGTCTGTCTGGCGGTTGGATTGATCGGAGGTTGAATAGCACTCACGATCTGAGAGACTGCGACTAGCGTCGGGTTGCTTGGGGGGGAGCTCGGACCACTATAGGGGAGACCCGGGAGCAACAAAAAAAAATTCCGCGCCTGCAGCAGCTGCGATTGACCCGGCGCATGGCGGGGATGCGGAATTGCTCCCAAGCTCCAGAAGCTTTTCTGAGAAATCAAATCTTGAGCTGCCTCCCCAGGTCCAACACTCTCTTCACATCGGCGGACCCATCATCATCATTATTGCAGTAAGGCGCGTCAGGAGCTTGAAATAGCCTAAGAGCAGCATCACCACAAACCCGTGGACCATTCTTGGAAGTGCTTGCGCTGAGAATCATCGACCGCGACGGCACGCGACAACATGGCGTCCCAGACTCCTCAGAAAAGCATGTCTTCCAGGCTACTGACTATGAAGTTCATGCAGAGAGCCGCTGCTTCTCCCTCCTCCAACCCGACTACACCCACTTCCGACGAGCAGTCATCCAAGCGAAGGAAGGTATCGCACAATTCTACCGTGCAGCAGGATGTAGAGTCGCTCGTAAACCAGAAAGCCATCCAAGCTGCAATTGCCGAAGACGAGAGGAAACGTGAGGAGGCACTGCTGAAGCATGCGACAGAGTCTGGAGACGGCCGATGGGTGTTGAACGTTCCTGAGAATGCCACAGGTTCACGGCCTACGATTCAAGCACCGCTCAACGTTGTTCAAGTCGGCTATGCTCAGATCGACTCTGCCAATGCCTCAGGCCATGACACCGAATCAACCGATGTCTCGCAAAATAATGTGCAGGCCTTCCGACGGTACAACATGGATAAAAAGAAGGCAGGTCTTCCTCTTCCACATACTCACTTCGATTGCCCGGCTACTTTGAGTACCTAACTTACCAGAACACAGGCGCCAAAAGTCAGCAGACCCGATAGCGATGACTCCAGCTCCGATTCCGGTTCCGATTCCGATTCTGACGCATCCTCTTCCGAAGAAGCTTCAGGGCGGCAGTCGTATGGGAAGAGCCCACAGACACCGGCCGCCGCGATTCGCAACAGCACAAGTCGGAAACCCTTTTTAGACAAGAGAAGTGCTGAGCGTGCCAAAGGCCTGCAGTTCGCAGAGAAACGAAGAAAAAAGGAGGTCAAGTTGAATACTCTGTCGTCCCTATCTTCTAGAGGCGGGTCGGGGTCCATTTCCTCGGGTGGGAACTCTACTCGACCACCTGTGAGTTTCACCTGCCATAATTGCGGTAAGCCTGGACACAAGGCTATAGATTGCAAAAGCGGCGCGAAACGGCAAGGGCACTGAAGCACATGTGAACCACTTCTCTCCCTTTGATCATAGGCTGGTTGACGCATGGTGGCAAACCCACCTTATGGTGAATCCAACTCTCGATGACTTCAGCGAGAACCACAGGCTTAGGAGCTAAGCATACACAGTCGTTGTATTTGTCGCGAAATAGCAATTATGATACACTCTTGTCCTACGTAGGTTTTGGCCTCACTCTCGGGTCTTTGTACAGCCTGTCTCATCTACTCTACCAACCTGGCCCCTTTATCATGGCGTCTTCCAATCGGAACAGTGGGATGGTTCGCACGAACAGAAGCTCATTTGGACTTGTCCCTGCTCATCTGAGTTATTCCTTTGCCCATGGGAAATCTGTACCCGTTGTCATGTGTATGGTCTCGCGTCAACCTTCCAGGAGGCGTCTGAGGTCCAAATGCCCTCGGGTATGATCCTGGTGGAACTTGGGAGCAGACGGATCTGGTCGTTGTCTTGTGTGACGGGAACGGCGCTCGAGGTTTCCCATCGGTCAGGGCCACAGGCAGAGGAGGAGGAAGATTGGAAATGCATGCAGCCGCCCAATACACCCACATTCCGTCCGATACTTGGGACTGGACCATCTACGCGCCGACCACAATATGCATGAGCCTTTCTGCCTTGCAATAAATGTGCACACTTCTGTAAGGACCTGATGGACTTTATGATTACGGCAAATATTACACAGAACTGTCGCAGTGCGGACCGTACCGTCATGTGCGACTTTGGGCTGGGCTGCCTGCCTGCCTGAACTCGCACAGGTCACCATCCAATGTGCCTGCCGGCCGTTTTACGGGTTCCTCTTCAGGCTCGAGATGTGTGTTGCAGCATGGGTTTGAAGTCGGGATATATGCCCTGATTGACGCCTTGCGGTCAATGGTCAAGGGCATCGGTACTCCCTACTTTCCGATACTCAATGCCCGATCTTGCATAGTACCATCATAACGATCTGGAAAGAATTCACCATCGGATGAAAAGCAGGACACCTCTTCCTTGGACTCTCTGATTGCGTAGGTCCGTCATAAGTCATATGGCGCCGGATCTTTAGGCATCCTTCATTGCTGGTTACATTCTGAGTGTTACACTTTGTTGATGGGACGAAGTACAAGGCTTGTACGAGTGGCCACATGAAGTACATGTAGCCCGATCATGAATCGATCTACTGAGAGTAACTGGAGGAGCCCAACTAGATAGATCATGTTACAACCGCTGCGTGCCAGCACGAGCGTAATCTGACATTGAGTCTAGGGACGTCGTCATCTTTCCTGCTGGGTCGGGTCGGAACCTCATCGAGGGGTTGTATGTATGCAACGGGAATCCAGATTATATCGTACCACAGATGTAGCGGCGCTGACCAGTCCTCCTCATACCTACAGTACTGGAAAGAGATGCTCGTGCAATCTATGTATTCTGATGCTGGGTCTCGGCTCGCGGGAACATCTGGGCAGTCGGAATAGTTACCTGCGCTGAGCTTGGACTTGACTGGCCGGCATACGTGGTGTTGGATCCCTCCCTCGAATGTGTAGTACTGCACCTGAATGTAGCCATCGACAACCAGCTGGCCGGTTGGCATGGGCCGTTGTTGAAGGGTGAAGTTAAAGCATACCTACCGTACCGTCTCCACTCCAATCCAAGCTACATACACTGAACCCTCATAAGTCTCCGCACACCACCAGTCCAGCAAGCAACGATGTATCTATCGTAATTAGAATAGGCACACTGACATAAGTATTGAAAGTAGCATATAACATTAGAGATGCTTATTTCGGTGTGCCTATTCTAGTATCTAATTATTTACGGGTGATGTGGAATCTTATCAATATCAATGCGCGTACAGAGACTTATGAAGGCACCAACTTGCTTCAAGTGCCTTGTTGATCAATAATCACCTCTGACACGTGGGAGAAGGCACTCTATCTCAGACATGGCTGATCAATAGATAGAGCTACAGTAGACACACAGACACATCACAAGTGTAGATCCCTGGCCGGCATTGCCACGAACATCCATGGATTGCCACGAGGTTTCGGTGGGGCGCTTAGATCTGCGATCAGACACCCGACCAGCTGCCTCATGGAGGAGAGATCACGAGTAATAATATAGCCAGCAGTCTCTTATTAAATAAGCCGAAGACGACGTCGCGTCCAGATACCATGTGTCAGGCCTTTTCAAGGTCGTAGACTACATGACTTATTATTAACGAAAGCGTGCCTGAGTGGTGGACCGGACTTCGCCGACCGGGCGGTCCGCGGTGTCTGATGAAGCTGCCGATTTCAGTAGACGGGTTGCATCCTTGAGAGGCTGAGATGGGAAGCTGAAGAATGGATGAATGAATGATAAGTGAGAGATAAGTGAGAGATAAGTGAGAGATGAGTGAGAGCAGACTTCTTAGTTTCTCGATTTAGCTTGAGTCGGCAGATTCTTTGTCCTTCCGTGTCGAGCTTCGTTTTCTGATCGTTCCTCCAACGAGCATGCTTGTACACTGAACCCTCTCATAAGTCTCCGTACCCGACCCTTCCAGCAAACAACGGTATGTTCATCAAATCAGAATAAGTATACCGGAATAAGCAGTTAGATCTTCATGAATCATGCTTGACGCTTATTCCAGGGTTGTTATTCTACTGATAACAAACACCCCCGAATGTTCAAGATCCTGAGAACGGCCTGGGGATGTACGGAAACTTATGGGGGTTTAGTGTACCATTAAACAGCAGCAGTAGCCAGCATATCTTGAAACCCCCTGCGTTCTTATCCTGATTCCTGTCTTGGTCTCACGCCGTGACAGCCCTGTCGACCACGTGTCGTTCAACGATCAACCCCAGTCATAGTTTATATTTTCATGCGCAACCCGGTCGTTGTCAATTGAAAATTTTATAGACCCAGCCTGACTTCGAAGTTCGGTCATCTCTGACAATACTAGCAGTGATGACTTGATAAGTGAGCGATTCCACTCCCCCATACTCCTGACAGGTCGCTATCCGCCTTGGCACTTATAAGTGAATGAGATGAATCATGAGAATGCACCTTCCATGCAATTCTGCCTGTCCAGTGACACGGTATTGCTTTCCCTAAGCCCTGACGCTTCCAAGTTCTCACCACTGGACGCCTCCTCTTGCCGTCAGCGGCCCATTGGTAGAATTTACTAGTCAGAATCTACCCGGCTCGTGTCAGCGGCTCGTGTCAGCGGCCCGATCATACTGTGGCGCATCCAGCATCCATCCGGACTCCATCCAAGACCTCGCCAATCTGGACGGCGGTTGGGTCTTCGCACAGCCAGCAGCTCGCGGATGTAGATAAGCGCCCTCATTGCCTAACCGACCTCCTTCAGAAGTTAGAACAAATACGTACACCTCTGCGCCTTGACACCGCCATTTACGGTTCCGCTGCCGAATCCCTTCTGGAATAGGACTACTGCCTACCCAGTTCATCCAAAGTTCGTCCCACACGTGTCAGGTATTGACCAAACACGGCTCCAAATCCCAGAATCGCCCACCGATTCTGCCCGAGTCAAACATCTGCCGGGTCCCTTCAACGTGCCGCCGCAACTTCCACTCCGGTCCAGGGGCACCTTGATATTTCCCAGGGGTCTCGAGTTCAACGGTTTCTTCGACTTCGAACCAAACCTAATTTGCTCACGGGAAGACCATACCTAGGAGATATCTGACACATACATACGGTAACTCTTGTCGTACTTCGTCTGCGCTAGCTTAGCAAATTGCCGTTTTGGATACTTCATCAGCCTCGTTGCCAGTTGTTACCAGGCTCCTGGTAGTCTTTTTTCCGCAAGGCCAGCCACGGCCGAGAGACGGGCGAAGTGCTCGATCTCAGACAATTGTGCTCGTGCCAGCCATCTCTGTGGAAGGCCATCGACCTCCACGTAGCCAAGTGTAGCGACGCTTACTACGGCGGGACAAGCCAGTGCTACGTGAATCGCGGCGCTGCGGACCACTGCTGCGAGCCAATATTTCGCGCCTGTCAGGCTGGTCAGTAGGGACCCAACGACCTCGGGACACGACGGGGCATAGGGTATATACACACACTTAGACATACACGCAAACAGGAGTACACCGACAGACAACGTCGGAAAGGCTTTCATGATTGTCAGTCACACACGCTCGGATCCAGATCGCTGGTACGAACGTCCTGCTGGCAACCGAGCAACCCTGGTCCCTAGCCCTTGTCGTCCCCCGCGTTAGTGTCCCCACCAGGCCTACAAGGTACCCCTAGCAGCCCCAGCTGCCTAGGTGCCTAGTCTGGTAGTCCTCACAGACACCGCTTCCACCGCTCCCACCGCTTCCACCATTTCCACCGCCGTACCGTCCATCCCTGCCACCCAGTCAGCTCCGTCAACGCTGCGCTGCCAGTCAGCCGGTCAGCCCAGTCTCTTCACTGATCCGCACCGGTCCACGAGCTTTTATTGTTATCTGGGGCCCCGACCAATTTGCTCCCGCTGAGATCTCACAGCCAACCTCTTTCCGGTCTCGACCTTCAGTCCTGCCATCGTTTCTCGGCCGCCACCAGCTCTGTACCATGAGCCCCCCAATGCTGCAAGATGCGGCTAGGCCAGACATCGTCACGCGACAGAAGCATGTTCAGCAGCCTATTAAGCTATTGACCGACCAGCTCGAGATTCCATCTCTAGATGATCGGAAATACCAAGTGATCCAGCTGGCCAACGGGCTAGAGGCGCTGTTGGTGCATGACCCACAGACGGACAAGGCCAGTGCTGCTCTGGATGTCAACGTAGGTGCCTTCAGTGATGAGGACCGTATGCCGGGCATGGCCCATGCTGTTGAACATGTAAGTCTCCGGTTCTTCGGACCCAACTCTTCCTATGATGCTAATAAGCTACCAGCTTCTGTTCATGGGCACCAAGAAGTACCCGGAGGAGAACGCTTACAACGTGTACCTTTCAGCACATTCAGGCAGTTCAAATGCTTACACAGCTGCTACCTCCACAAACTATTTCTTCGACATTGCCGCCAAGCCAAGCAATGGCGAGGAGCCTTCGGCAACGAACCTGTCACCGCTCCATGGCGGTCTGGATCGCTTTGCTCAATTCTTCATTGAGCCCCTTTTTCTCCCTTCAACATTAGATCGGGAGCTCCGTGCAGTCGACTCCGAGAACAAGAAGAATCTGCAGAGTGACCAGTGGCGACTACACCAGCTCGAAAAATCATTCTCTAATCCTAATCATCCATATTGCCACTTCTCCACAGGCAACTTTGAAGTATTGAAGACGGACCCCGAATCTGAAGGCGTCGACGTGCGGCAAAAGTTCATCGACTTCCATGCAAAGCATTACTCCGCTAACCGGATGAAACTGTGTGTCCTTGGCAGGGAGCCACTGGATGTATTGCAGAGTTGGGTAGCCGATCTTTTCTCCGGCGTACCGAACAAGAACCTAGCACCGAATCGCTGGGACGACGAGGTGCCGTTCAACAAGGACAACCTATCGGTACAATGTTTTGCAAAGCCTGTCATGGACTCAAGGGAACTGAATCTCTTCTTCCCGTTCCTTGACGAAGAACATCTTTACGAAACTCAGCCAAGCCGATATATCAGCCACTTGGTCGGACACGAAGGACCGGGGAGCATTATGGCCTATATCAAATCGAAAGGTTGGGCAAATTCCCTAAGTGTTGGTGCATATAATATTTGCCCAGGGACGCCGGGTATCTTTGACGTTCAGGTCCGGCTGACGAAAGAGGCAAGTCGTTCCAACCGCGGCTGGCTTCTGCTCGCTAACACTGCATATAGGGCCTCAAAAACTACCAGGAAGTGGTCAAAGTCTTCTTCCAATACGTTTCGCTGCTCAGGCAAACCCCACCTCAGGAGTGGATCTTTGACGAGCAGAAAGGGATGGCTGATGTAGACTTCAAGTTCAAGCAGAAGACACCAGCCAGCCGGTTCACGAGCAAGATCAGCGCCGTTATGCAGAAACCCCTGCCCCGGGAATGGCTGCTTAGTGGGCAAAGTCGCCTACGGAAATTCGACCCAGCACTGATCAAGAAGGGCGTGGAACTTCTGCGTCCCGACAATTTCAGAATGACCATAGTATCTCAAGACTTCCCTGGTGGCTGGGATCAGAAGGAGAAGTGGTACGGCACGGAATATAAGTCTGAGAAGATACCGGAGGATTTCCTGACTGAGATATCGAAGGCGATGGATTGCTCCGCGGAAGATCGGCTCCCTGGCTTACACCTTCCGCACAAGAACCAGTTCATCCCGACCAAGCTCGAGGTCGAGAAGAAGGAGGTCGAGAAGCCGGCCTTGGCGCCCAGAGTAATCCGGAACGACCAAGTCGCCCGGACTTGGTACAAGAAAGACGACACCTTCTGGGTTCCGAAGGCCAACCTTATTGTGAGCTGCAAGAATCCTATCATCTTCGCTTCGGCCGAGAATTCGGTCAAAGCGAAGCTGTTCACGGATCTGGTACGCGATGCCTTGGAGGAGTACTCATATGATGCCGAGCTTGCTGGCTTGCAGTACAATGTCAGCCTTGATTCGAGAGGACTTTTTGTTGAAGTATCCGGCTACAATGACAAGTTGCCGGTTCTCCTGGAACAGGTACTCATCACAATGCGAGACCTTCAGGTCAAGGACGATCGATTTGACATCGTCAAAGAGCGTCTGCTCCGGGGTTACAAAAATTGCGAGCTGCAACAACCGTTTACGCAAATCGGAGATTACGTGTCCTGGTTAACGTCCGAACATGACTACGTCGTTGAGCAGCTCGTTGTCGAACTGCCCGCCATCACAGCCGAGGCTATGAGCCATTTCCACAAGCAAATCATGTCGCAGCTGCACATCGAGGCCTATGTGCACGGCAATCTCTACAAGGAGGATGCGCTCAAGTTGACCGACATGATTGAGTCCATCCTGAAGCCGCGAGTTCTGCCTAAGGAGGAATGGCCAGTCATTCGATCGCTGGAGTTCCCACCGGGATCAAACTACCTCTACAGGAAGACACTGAAAGATCCGGCTAATGTCAATCACTGTCTTGAATACTATCTTCATATTGGCGACAAGGGAGATCGCATGGTTCGCGCAAAGACACAATTGCTGGACCAGATCCTCCACGAGCCAGCTTTTGATCAGCTGCGAACCAAGGAGCAACTCGGATACGTTGTATTCAGTGGCCTTAGAGGGTCCGCGACTACATACGGTTTCCGTTTCATCATCCAGAGCGAGAAAACTTCAGAATATCTGGAGTCTCGTATTGATTCTTTCCTTGCTGTGTATGCCACGTCTATGGAGGACATGAGCGATGCCGACTTCGAGAGCCACAAGAGAAGCGTAATAGTCAAGCGTCTCGAAAAGCTGAAGAATCTGGATCAGGAGACTGGGAGGCATTGGTCGCAGGTATCTAATGAGTACTACGACTTTGAAGCAGGTACGCTGATTTCTCGACCGTTGCATCCAATATGTCTGTACTAACCATGTGCACAGCCCAACGGGACGCCGCCCAGCTCAAGCAACTCACCAAAGTAGAAATGGTTGAATTCTACTCAACCCGCATCAATCCTAAGTCACCGACACGGTCCAAGCTAATTGTGCAGCTGATTGCACAAGGGGCCAGCTCCGAGACCAAAGATGCAGACGCCACGAATGATGACAAGACGGTTCCAGCACCATCGAATGGGACTGAGCCAGTCGTGATCGAGAGCGTACGGGATTTCAAAGCTGGACTGGGCACAACAGCCGGGCCCTGCCCAGTCAGAGACATTGGCGAATTCGAGGATATAGATTCGAAGCTATGAAGGGACTGACAGGACAAAGGCAGAGATATCTGCTCGCCATCCGAACATAGAACGTGGTACCTGTGTGGACCTGTGTTGCTTGCTATCCGCATCGTGGTATTCCTTCAGCTGCAGGGCTGGGACTATTGTCATCACGTGGGGCAACCTGTGCATACTCATAGGCGGTTCTAGCTGCAGCCATTGCGAGAATGCGTTGTGGGTACACACTATGGGGTTTCCTTCGAAAGGGCCCGGACATGGGGTTACGATGGGTCTGAACTGACCAGAAAAAGTTTGTCCATAGAGCAGGGTGCCCAGGCTGAGATCCCGATGTTGCAAACAGAGGGGGGCGGTGAGACCGGGGCACATACTTTCTCAGATAGACGGGAATAGAGAGAATCGATAATTAGTCGGTCTGGGTATCTTAAGTGACGCTCGAGTGGTGGAGGGACCCTGTCCCGTCTGGCTACCCAGTAGATGTGACGATATGAGTAAAGAAACCAACCGAATTCCTTGGTAGACATAGACCTGGAGGCAAGCGATCCGGACAAAGCCAACTCTAACCTAAGAAAGAAGGCTGACTCAGAGAACCAGCCAAACCTCATGGATCTTGTCTTGGAGCTGAGGCAAAACGTCAGGTGTCGGCTTGTTCGTAACAAGCACACACATGAGTGGGGAGTAATGGGTGGCATGAGACATAAAGCCCTTTGAAGCGCATGCGCGCCCTCTCTCATATCATAAAGTTTTCATCTGTTCTTTCCATTGAAACTGACAATATGTTGATCTACAGTAGGTACGGGAAGTCACTTATATACGAAATCATGGCCATTCAGAGCACTGGCCTCAGAGCACTGGCTGAATGTGCCAGCCGTCCCGTGTCATGAGTGCTTATTCTAGGCACATAATCACTCCTAAAGGGTTCATTTTACCTCTTCATGGCCACTGTGATACTGCCACAGACTATTGATCTTGATTATTCATGGTCTACGGTGCCTAGAATGTATGTAGAAAAGCAGATGAAAGTCTTTAGCTGCTTTGATCAAGGTGGCAAGGCAAATGCCATTGCAACGAAAACAATGTCCGGCAAGTGGCAATCACTTACCGCCAAAGGAAATGTTATCGAACAGACCAGGTAGAAATCACTGTAAGGGATCTTGTCACATGAAATGCAACTTTGGGGGGAAGAGGGTGAGGTCTGTAAGAATTGCTTTGCTGATGTTGCCAGCTTACATACGACAAGAGTCTGAACCCCGCGACACAATTAGGCAATCATGAACGGAGGTACAGATATACGTACTCCATACAGTCTTTTCACAGTGTGGAGGGGTCCGACCCCCGCCACATAGGCCAACTTAGGCGAGCCTTAGGTGTCTACCTGCAGTGGCCGTCATTCAAGCCAGCCCTAAATGCAGAGACCGTCGCACAGTGCGGTATATACCGCTTCAACATGCCGACGTACCTACCTACCGTAAGTTATTCACTTAATATTTTCCACAAGGCTGGGTCACTCTAACGTAATGTGGTAGGTACAGTACCTAGGTAGTGTAATGCACCACCAACCGAACATCTTGAGAACACCATAGAATCAGTAAATCTTCCAACTTGAACTTGACTTTTTTCACTGCCGCGTGACCCCACCATTCACCATTCACCATTCATCATCACGACCACGGGCCTCACTGCCAGGGCAACCACATTCACTACGGTTACCTACCCCCATCACCCCATCACCCCATCACCCCAACGACCCGGAGCTGCCTGAGGCAGCTCGTCGCCAAGACGCCTTCTTCAAAGAAAAGGAAGATTGCTACCCGCAAATCAGCCAAAGACGAAAACCCACACACTCCCACTTTACACGACATCCCACTCCAATCGTGCGAGGACGACTCCGATTACAGCTTTTCCTTCACTACACAAGCGCAGCCCGACACTCCGAGCGAGCCTGCCTACATCCGTAACGACTCGCTCCCGCCCGCCTCGAGCCTCCCGCCGCGACTGCAGACGAACAACTCAAGCTCTCTCGCCTGTGCCGAGGACGCCTCGTCTACTGCGAGCTCCCCGTCTGGTGCCTACGCAGACCTGACCATCCACAGCGACCGCGGCGGTGATACTCCTGCCCCCGAACTCTCTGTCGCACTCAATAACCACCCTCCGCCTCCGGGGAGAGGCACCTCGCCTTTCGCAAAGACTACACACCACCGAGCCATTATGGGTGGGGCTGCCGACTTCCCAGAACGAGCTTCGTCTCCTCTCAAACGACGCGCCTCAAGCATGGACCCTGACGCGCCAGAACAACATGCGAACGAAGACGTGGACATGATTGCTGCCCCTCCCCCCACCACAGATACAAATACCGAACCGCCTTCCGAGCAAGCGGGCGGCACTGCTGCAATGGTACAAGACACAGAAGACAAGACGGCCATGAGCACAGCAAGCGATGGCGCAGTGCCTTCTACAATCACATCAGCAGGTATGTCTACGAACGCCAAGCTGCCTATCCGCACTCACCGACCGCTTGTAGCACTACAACCCCCGGAGTCGCTCGAGCAACATGTCAGGGCTATCCGATCGCTGCTGGAGGAATCGCAAATGCAACCTCTTGCCGAAGGTCAACAGAGATTCCTGGTTTCGAACAAGTGGTTGTCCCATGTGCCGGACGAATCTTCGTCGAAAAAGGCCAAGGTTGATCTGTCATTGATTCCGCCCGTGGATAACTCAGACATCATCGCTGAAATCATAGTCGATCCCCTTGTCGGCAATTGCAATGATGTCTTGAAAAAGAAGTTTGTCCGTTTAAAGCCAGGATACGACACAGAGCAGTTTACTGCGTTCCCGCCCGCCGCCTGGGATCTGCTTATGCAATGGCCCGGTCTGAAGGATGGTCAACTCCCTATCATCCGGACAGCCCACGACAACAGCCAGGACAAGATTGGTTTGGACGTCGTCTTTGAGTGGCATCCGCCTGTCTTATCCATACACCGGTTGTGGTCTGCCCAAAGCATGGTTCCTGTCGAGGCATCCATGAAGTCCCGCAATCCACCGCCCCCAAGACTTGTCCGCAGTCGTACATTCAACTATCAGACCTTTCTGAAGCAGGCCAAAGCTCTCGCACAGATCGACTTGAGTCACAAGATACGAGCGTGGACTGTACCTCAGAGACCTGAGGCTGTGTCCTCCGGTGCGATTGTGCCCACTCCGCCTGCCTCTCCTGGCGACAAACAGGACATCGATAATAACTCAGCAGACCCTTTCAATCATCTTCTTTTGGACGTCGCATCCTTCCTAGCATTAGAAAAGGGCCCCGAAAGAGATCTTGTCGATTTCGCTGACCTCACCGCTGACCCTCAACATACCTCAGCCAAGACGCTTGGCTACTTGGGCATCTTGGCAGATCAGTCCATTGTTCTCGATCCCCATGAAGGTGGAAATAATTGGACTTCAACATTTACAACTTCCCAAGCAAGAATCTCACTGCCCACCTCCAATAGCTCGAACAGTCTGACTGTGCAGAACCGCAATGCTCGTAGCGGACGCACCAGCCCAGCATCGCAAGGGCCCTTGACACGTGGTAGAGCCAACAGGTCAGGACGGACTACTGGCTGCGTCGGTCTGGGCAACTTGGGAAACACCTGCTACATGAATGCCGCTCTACAATGCGTGAGAAGCGTGGAGGAGTTGACCAAATACTTCCTCGCAGGCGAGTGGGAAAGGGAACTGAACAGGGACAACCCTCTTGCTTATAATGGTGACATCGCAGGCGCGTACGCCCAGCTTCTCAAGGACATCTACAAAGATTCAGCGCCAAGCTCGGTAATGCCAAGACAGTTCAAGAATGCAATTGGTCGACATTCCACTGGCTTCTCTGGTTACGGCCAGCAAGACTCACAAGAGTTCGTCGGCTTTTTGCTGGACGGTCTACAGGAAGACCTCAGCCGCATCAAGAAGAAGCCCTACATTGAGAAGCCGGACTCCACGGACGAGATGATCAACGATCCGGTTGCCATTCGACGCATGGCAGACGAAGTCTGGGGTATCACTCGAAAGCGTGACGATTCGGTGATTGCGGACCTCTTTACCGGCCTGTACAAATCAACGTTGGTTTGCCCCTGTTGTGGAAAGGTCAGCATCACATTTGATCCTTTCAACAACCTGACCCTGCAATTACCTGTTGCGAACAAGTGGTCCCACGAGGTCAAGTTCTATCCCCTAAATGACAGGCCAATCAACATCAGGGTTGAGGTAGACAAGCATGACAGTGTAAAGGCTCTGAAAGATTTCGTCTCTGCCCGCACAGGAGTTCCTGCTGAGCGACTACATGGCGCTGAGGAGTGGAAAGACAAATTCTACAAGCACTACCCCGATGCCGCCTCTGTTTCTGAGGAGATCGGCACCAAGGACGACCCGTCCATGTACGAGTTGGAGGCTAAACCCACAAACACTGGTGCGAAGCCGCAAAAGCAACAGAGGCTTGGGATGGGCGTCCGGTCCATGGTTGACGAAGATGAGGTCAACGTTACTTCATGGGACACCGAACAGTCACAGAGTCTACTTGTTCCGGTCTTCCACCGCAGGCCAGACACACATAAGTCAGGTTACTATAAAAGTCGATGGTCGGCTTGCGTTGCCCCCTACTTCATTGTGGTCACGCCTCGGGAAGCCAGAAGCGAGGATGCGATACGCCGTAAGGTCCTGGAGAAAGTGGCAACGTTCACCAAGCATCCTATGTTTGCCCGCCAAGAAGAGTCTGACAGCTCAGACAGCACAGAGGCTGAAATGATAGGTCCAAACGGCTCCGATACCAGTTCGTCGGGAGGAAGTAAGGTTATCGCCCAGTCTGTCAAAGGAGAAGATGACTTGGTTGACGTTCACATGAAAGACGCCGGTGATAGTCAGGGCACCGCTCGGAGGTAAGCATCGTCATATTCTTTTCAATTCCAGGCAGAGCAGCTAACGCGTTACAAGTCATTCGGTGAGACATCAGTTCAACCACAAGAGACCTGTCTGGGTAGATACGAACCGATTTCTCCCGGCTGAGTTGCAAAACCTTTTCGCAATGGGCTACTTTTCGGAAAACGGCACGCACTTGCCCACTGGTTTTAACACCGTCAGTGACGACAAAGAATACCCGAGTCTGTCATCTCGAGCGCAGCCGGAGTCCCCCTCGTCGGAAGACCAAGACGATAATGCTACGAACGGCACGGCATCAAACGATGATAGCAGTTCCGACGAGGTCTCACGGCCCAGCACAAACACGCCACCAACGCGCATGAACGATGAAAGCGACGACGATAGCCCCTACCAAATCACCAAGGTCACCAAGGTACACAAACGTCCCTTCAGCCCGACACCCTGGAGAACCCTCAACACCTACTCAAGAAAGCGACCATGTAACAGAAATACACTAACGTCTTGCCAGTCATTCACAATGCGCCCCAAACAATCTAGGCAGGTGAAGACTAGCAAAAAATTGTCCGGCAAGAAGGCAAAAGGCCGACAGAACATGAAAGGCAAGAAAGGTGCTAAGCGGGTTCGGCAACAGCAACACAAAATCGATAGGAAGCAAGCCTTGGAATCTGAGGATGCGTTTGATTCGAATGAGCCTCTCTCTGACGGCGGTCCATTGATACGGTATGGAGAAGCTATCGTCGTTGACTGGACGACTTCCTCCTACAACGAGATATTTGGTACCGATGATAATGGGAAGTCGCTGGATGTCTCCAACGCCACTGACACCATGGCTGATCCTGATCTGGATAAGTCGCAGGCCGCACGAGCCAAACGCAAGAAGAACGGTATCTCGTTGGAGGAGTGCTTGGACGAGTTCGAGCGAGATGAGATCTTATCCGAGCAAGACATGTGGTATTGCCCCCGTTGCAAGGAACATCGCCGCGCTAGTAAGAAGTTGGATCTCTGGAAGAGTCCGGACATCCTCATCATGCATCTCAAACGCTTCAGCTCTAGCGGCTTCCGGAGAGACAAGTTGGAGACACTCGTAGATTTCCCTATCGAGAATCTGGACATTAGCTCCCGCGTACTCGCCAAAGACGACGGCAAACAGGAGGTGTACGACCTCATTGGAGTCGACTGCCATTACGGAGGATTGGGCGGAGGCCATTACACTGCTTACGCAAAGAACTTCGTGGACGGTCAATGGTACTCGTACAACGGTGAGTTTTAAAGTTCAATGGGCTCGTGACGCTGTTACTAATAGCCTGCAGATTCGTCGGTCTCCAAGATTTCTCCTGACAGGATCATGGACTCCTCTGCATACTTGCTCTTCTATCGTCGACGATCAAACGTACCTCTGGGTGGCACTCATTTCCGCCAGCTTATGGAGCAGTTCTCAGAGGATGTCTCAGACAACGACATGCCCGATTCGGGGGAAGGTCAGCGTCTCGGCGAGGGCTTCTCCCAGAATGGGTCGTCGAGCGCGTTTCAAGGAGCAGAAGCTTCTCGCCTGCACGGAAGCCATGGTGGTAACTTCAAGAGGGATGACGATGCCCCGGTCCTTACAAACACACATTTCGTGCTCGACTCAAGTGTTCACAGAAGCATCGAGGACGACGAAGGCGTCGACCTGTCTGACGATGTTACCAGGTCAACTGGCTTCAACCCGGTCATTGGTACCAACTCCTGGAGCTTTGAGAACATCTCCGGCCGGGGAGCGGCGAACACGGGGGACAGCCCTCTATACTCTGGCGCCGCTTCTGACGAGGCTCAACATGATTTGTCAGACGACGAGCGGGTTGGTAGCCCTATCGATGCAGACCTGGAAAACTTCCCGGGCATGTCTCATTACGAATTAGCACAGTCCGAAGTTGATCCACCCTCCTACACCCAATCTTCGGCGCCAGAGTATGAGGACCAGCCGGACCGAGGTGGCATGAAAGGGCAGGTCTACGAAGTTCTACCTGATGGTGAAAACGAGCAACGTTCTGAGGACGCGACGGAGATCCATCTCGACGATGATGATAAGATCAAGCTCGCGTAGTCTGCGGGCGTCGACCATTCTCGCTTGGTTGCTTACATATCATGATCTAAGCACCAACTGTTTTGTGGGAGCCGGGTTTATGAGCCGCACCCGTCCCTTGGCCTTGCGGTGTCCCACGTTTGCTTTGACGAATACTCGAGTACTCAATGGAGTGCTTCATCTTTTGCGCTTGGTTGGTTTGGTGCATGTTCTTGTGGCCCGGCTCTGGGGAGTCACACGGTCTGACTGCGAGGTCGACACCCCATACATTCTACATAGCTTACAGAATATGAGTACAAGCAACAAGCGGCACGATGGTACAGCGTGGGGAATCCACGTTGTGCAGTACATACTTAGATGTCTGTTGATAGACTGCAATGGCAGCGCAAGCGGCCAGCAAAAAGTTGCTCGCTTTGGTTGGTGGCCGGTAGCGATGGTGGTGCATGCATCCCGTGCCACGATGGTCGTGGCTGGTAAAGGGTGTTTGTTGTTCTGTATGGAGATAGAATACTACAATTGTCATGTTATGATTCTGAAGATTTTACTTGCCTTCTTGATCCCGTGCTATCCAGATAGCTACTCGGGTTAAAACCTTCTTCAATCTTCATACAAAAATCACCAATTACACTCTCCCCCCTTTCCTGCTCTTTTCTTCTCTTGAGCGATCACACCAGTCCCCACTCCCAATCCCCGTACTCCTCGCGCTCCAGTCCCAGCGGCGCCAGCCCATCATCGCCAGCACACGAACCCCAGAGGTCCTCGCAGTCGGGCTTGCACTGCGTTACCCCTGGATCAGACTCTGATGAGCCAGAGCCTGAGTCTGTTGTGGGCACGGTCCCGAACTCGAGATACTTTTGTATGACGTCCCGCGTGCACGCGCTCGGCTCCAGGCCGGCGCAGTGCCCGACGGAGTCTTGTATCACGACGCCAGCGCGCGGGTGCGCGGCCGCCATGGCGAAGGCGTTGCGCGCGGGCGTGACGGGGTCGAGGCGGGAGGTTAGGAAGAGGAGGGGGGCTGCGGGGCGGTTGTTGGTCTCGTCTGGGTCTTCTTTTCCATTCTCCCTTCCATCATCCTCGTTTTCATCGGAATCGACTTCCTCCGCACCCTGAATGGCAGCGGTTATGGGTAGTAGCGGCTCCGGCGTCCCAAACGGCCCCGAGAACCGCCAGTTCGGCCGCGCGCGCCACCCGGAGCACGCGAACCGGATCGAGGCCCAGAAGGGGGCGAAGGTGCGCGACTGGTGCGCGATGGCCGACACGTAGGCTTCAAGCTCGGGGATGGTGAGGTTGGCGGCTGTGGGGAAGCCGTCGCTGCAGACTGTTTGTGGAAGGTATCAGAGTGGCTGGTAACGGAGTTGGCCGGGTAGAAAGGGGCAGGAGTCACATCAGAGTAAGGGATTCAACTACGTACGAATGGCCTGCTGGGCATCCCGCTTTACACGCGTTGCGAGCACCGAGCTGTTGGTCGTGGAACAGGCCTCGTCGAGAGGCGGCAGCTGGGACTATGCATGTGTGGTTGTAATATCAGCAGAGTCATCATATACGAAAACTTAAGCCCTTCTCGCTTTCATTTTTTTTTTCGATCCCTTGGGATAGACGTCTCGGGAGGAGCCTGTGCTGACTGACCTGGAGGGCGTTCTTGATCAGCAGAGTGTAGTTGCCCTGCAAGGCTTCGGCCAGCGTCACGGCTAGCTGGGGGAAGGAAGCTTGCGCCGTGTACAGCGGGCGTTGGAAAGCCGCGAGGACTTCTTGCCCCGTGATGATAATCATGTGTTTATTCCCTTCGGTCGACACGGCCACGGGCTCGGCGTCGAGGGCTGCGACTAGCGAGTCCACGCGTGACTTGAGGGCCGTCCACGCTGTGTAGCCTGGTTGTGCCAGCGGACACTTATCGTGTCCGGCCGCGAAGCAAGATGTGTAGAATAGGGTCACGAGCTCTTCCGTGTCTTGCAGGTTCTTGAGCCAGAGCTGTGATGATGGTGCCGTGTAAGCTGCGTGACATCTGATATCTCAAATCGGAGAGTCGTGATGAAATAGGGGTAAAAGGGAAGGGGGGCAGGAGCGAAGAGACGTACGTACACCGTCCATGTAATCGTCCGCATCGACAACTCCATCCAGAATCATTCGTCCCACTCGCCCGGGAAACATTGATGCGAACGTGTTGCCGAGTACAGTGCCGTAAGAGAAACCCCAGTACTGGATGCGGGCCACCTTCTTCCTCTCTGTCTTCTTTCCCTTCTCAGCCGGCTTCTGTAGCGGCTGCTGCCCGTCTAGACCGACCACCTTCGAAGCCGCCTCCTCCCGCTCCCTCTCCCTCAACTCCCCGACCTTATCCACCATCTCGACCATATCGCGCGCCACCGACGCCGTATTCAGAAACGGCAAGATCGCGCCCGCCTCCTCGCCCACGACGCCCTCGCAGAGCCTCCCAAACCCCGCCGCGACAGCGTGCTGCCGCCGCAGCGCCGTCGGCCCCCCGGGCCCCGTCAGCCGGCCCACGGCGTGGCCCTGGATCTCGGCCGCGTGCCGCGCCGTCAGGTCGCCCGCGAAGCAGTCGGCGTTCGGCGTCGTGAACGCCACGCCCCTGAGTGTACGTTAACATCCTGTCTTGAACCCCGCACAAACAATCTCTAGATAAAGAAGGGAAGGGAACAAGAAAGCCTGTTCTCGAAACCAAGGCTCAGGGTCTTGTCACTGGACGATTTCATACGTACCGCGGGTCCCAGCTCAGTACCTCGTAGCGGCGCGAGGGCGACGACACGGCCGCGCGCAGGTAGTGGCCCCGGTCGAGCATCAGGCTCACGCCGGAGCCGCCGGGCCCGCCGGGGTTCGTGAAGATGGTGCCGCCGAAGGAGGAATGGTCCGTTGCGGAGGGCGTGGTGGCGGGGAGCTTGATGATGGCGAGGGCGACGGTGCGGTTGTCTCTGTTACTCCTATGATGGTTGGGGTCAGGGTCGGCGCTGGCGCTGCTCTCGTTGGCGCGCCAGTCCAGCGGCACGAGGAGACGTGCGCAGAGGAACTCCCCCGGGGTGTAGCAGGGTTGGTACGCCAGGTCCCGGCTTGGTGTGATGCTCGACCAGTCGAAGTCGGCGTCGCCGGGCTTTGTTCTGCCGCCGGCGGCTATGCCGAGGAGTATGTCGAGGAGGGGGAGCGTGACGAGACGCATGACATGCCGTTTTCCACTGATCTGATATGTGGTGTGTGGAATTTCTACCTTGAAGTCAAATGTTTGACCACTCTATTAGGCTTTTGATGAATAGTTCAGAGCAGCAGAGTCCCAGACAAAAGTTGAGGTGAGGATTGCGGTCACATCTTGATATAGACACGGGCCACTCGTGTGGGGTAGGTAGGTGTACAATGTAGATTGGCTATTCCTACGGCTGATCTTACGAAGCAGCCCCTGGATACTACTACTATACATAGAATACAGTTTCATCCCACTGAGCGATCAATTTAGCAGAACTTCTTGAGAAATACTCAACATATACGACCCAGGGTGGTCACATAAGCTCGACGAGCAGCGACTCCGTGACAGTCAGTCTCCCAGCACATAACCAAGCGCTCTCCCGGTTGTTATTTCCTTCAGATGCTGTTCAATGCTCGCAGGCAGCCGAAGCATGGCAGAGAGGACAGCCCGTGAAATGCATCAGGTAGATAGATGGATGAATACATCAAGGTCCAGGAGACCGACCATATGCGTCGATACGACTCTGAAGCCACAAAGCCCCTGGGCTCCTTGGTGTCTGGATACGGGGGTTGCCGGTAAAAGCTGTTGAAAGTTTCGGTTCTCAGAATGATTCTGCGGTCTCCCACCATCATGTCCACCCTCACGGACTCTTCTATAGTATATAGTATACCTACCAACACAAAAGTATAAAGGAGCTAAAATAAAACAAAAACATACAACACCGGGCATTCGCTGGTCGTCACCGACCCAACTACTAATCCGGCGGTATCAGGCTTATTTAAGGCAGAGCGGACGGGATGCCAAGTTCTCCTGATCCTATGGTCGTATGTGGTTGTTTTTGTTTTAATCAAGAATTATATAGCAAGTCCGAGCAACCACGGCCCGAGTCAGCGGAGAATAGGGTACGCTACCAAATCAGTCCGGATTTACTGTCATTCTCAAGTAGAGTATCGGTACCCCACTTCAAATCGCTGGCACCTCTGACACTTTTCTAACTGGCGATAAAAGTACGTTTTCTATGGTCGCGCTTTAATACAATAGTTACAACTTTAAATAACGTATTTTTATCTTTTTATTTATTAAATTATTGAGGTAAAAAGGTTATAAAAAGGTTATAAAAAATATAACATATCTAAGAATGATAATTTATGATTAAACAAATAAAGCACCGAAAAATCAATTAAAACATGAATTTTAACTGTATTTTTTGGTATATTATAAATAAAATAAATATTAAGAGTATTACGTAGTAAAAGCTATTATGATTTTTAAAAAGTTTAATATTAAATATAAATATTAAATCATTTAATTATGATGCTTATATAATCTAACTTTTTATTTTATCAAGATCTTTATAAAGAGTAATATATTTTAAATATATTGAGTCTATTTATATCCTTTGAAATAGCTTTAATATAACTTGTTTTATCAAAAAGTATATTGGTTTATGTGATTAATTAAGTTTACCTAGTTGAGTAACTTACTAGGTTACGTGTAAATTAAATAAGACGATTGAAACTATATTTATTATAGCTTCGGCTATACATATATTTATTTCTTTTCTTTTACCTATTTTTTCTAATTGTATACTATGTCACGAAGCGTAAATAGGATGAGGACATAAAAGTCCTGATTGCACTACCTACGTGTAAGAATCTCTTGGTGGGGAGGGAAAGAAGGATCTGACCCGCCAGCCAATTTTGGTAGGATTAATGATCCTTCTATCCGCCCCACTATTACCTAGCCTAGTACAGTTGTGGCCACACGTCTTGTGCGCCAGGTCATGTGATGCTGCGCACAGGCCACCCTGATGGGTTGACAGACTTCCAGGAGGTCAGACCGTCACATACTAGTTATATTATAACGTTATAAGCATCATAATAAAAAGCCTATTTTAAAAAGTTAAAAAGTGCCAACGATTTAAAGTAAGATACCAACATTTTACTTATAAATAATAATAGCTTAATTTAAAGTTTAACTTAGCTGAATTTAATTAAGCTGACCTCTCTTTAAGACTTATAAGCTAAGCCACATTTTATAATATTCAATTTTTTTAAAATAAGCCGCGGAAATTTCTTAACACCTTATATATATAAGTGTTTTAACTATATAACTTAATTGATTAATCTAAGATAATGTGTTTTTTGAGTTTAACGCTTAGACTGCATATAATTTATCTTTTTGATTTTAATAAGCTTAATACCTTTATTATAAGCTAAACTTATTACGGTTAAATCGAATAAGTTAAATAGCCGTAGCTAAACTAGTTTAAAGTGTGATGGTTCCACCATCCATCAGGTCTAGCGATGGTCCCTATAGTCCCCGGGTCACGTAACTGAGTATGTGACTGATCGGACGATAGGTTGATCCATGCTCTAGTGGGTCTGGTGGGGGACGACTGCACACATCTAGCTGCCCACCAATTCGGGTGCATCTCCAGATCTTTCTTTTCCTTCAACCAGAGTTCATTATACATCAATATGTGACGAGCCGTCTAACCTATAAGGCTAAAGGGTTCTATAAGGCTAAAGGGTTCTATAAGGCTAAAGGGTTCTATAAGGCTAAAGGGTTCTATAAGGTTTATGTTCTGAGATAAGTCAACACAAAGGACGATAGGGGCTTCTGTCAACTAGAAGACACTCAGATACTGGGGCTTGGTCTGAACTGGGTTCACTGCGTAGTCAAGTCGTCAGGAGATTTCTCCCACCTTAGGGTTGACTACGATGCTTAGATTGATCACTGAGGTAGAGACTGTCTATCTATCTAGTTAGGAAATGTCTGTCCTTATATATCCAATCTCTTCCTCACTGATTAGGTGGCTCACCCTAGATCACCGGTGATCCAAGGTGATCCAGTGATTCAAATTCTTAGTCACGTAACCCAGGTTTTGCTGGTCATGTGATCTGTGTACCGTTGCTCCATTGCTCTGATCTCTCCACTGATCAGCACCCCACTTTCTGGTCAACCTGTTTCCTTATCTCCTCTTGGCCTACTATCAGGCCGCACTGTTTGTTGGTTCGTAACACAATAGTTAATAAGGGTCCCTGTATCCTTGCAATACATTCACAGAATCGTGATATGAAGCTTAATAAGTTTTTTGAATTAAACGGCTTATTAAATAAAAATAAATAAGAAGTATATATATTTATTAAATTAGCTCTTTTTTACGGGTAAAACCTTATTATAACTTATAAAATATTAATGCCTATTAAAGGTGTTACAGCTAGTAGCAAGCTATAAAAAAGGAGGGAAAAAATTAAAAAATTTAAAGGGTAAAAAAACAACATTTAAACGTTGTTAATAGGTTTATTGTTTAATATTAAATAAACGGGCATTAGAAGGCTTTTATAGCTATATTTAAATAGGAACATGTTTTATAATTTTATTATTAAAACACCGACTATTATTTATCTTATTTAAACCTTGATTAAACATTTAATATATATATATATATATATATATATATAATATCTTCGACTTCGATTAAATAAGAATTTAACGTTTTAAAGGTAATGAAAACCTTTTAACGAGCTTTTAAGCCTTTAATAACTTTAAACGTAAAAGCGCGCTTAGTAGCGCTATTGCGTAGCGAAAAATTGAGCTTCTAAAAAAGAAATTAAACGAATAAAGTAATAAGCAACTCTTTAAAGTAAAGCGATTATTGAAAGAATAAGATTATTACTTGTTGGAACAGGTTTGAACGATCAATCATAATACTCGAGTATGGTGTCAAGGTCATGATGTTGCTGATGGTTGGATTGAGAGGAATCTAGCTGGACTCGAAGGTCTGGCCAAGTGCCCTCTCAATCCACTATCTTATCTTATCTAATCATACATGTGGGTCCTGGTATAGATGGTTTGTAGTCTGGAATCGCATGGATCCAACACAGGATACTCTTTCTTTCATGATTGCGATTCCATCAAACCGTCTTTCCAGGTGATCTCAACGCTGAACCCAGCCTTCAACTCGAACCGTTGTCTTGTTATTAGAAACAAGACTATGAAGAGCTTTATTTGGAGACGATTTGGTCATCGAGTCAGCAGGGTTGTCTTCACCATGGATCCATCGGATTTCTGTGATCTCATGATTCTCGTATGACTGCCGGAGCGCCATGACGTCGATCATCAGGCGCTTCTCATTGGTAGTGCCGAGCTTGACAAGGCACTGGTATAGCGAGTATGAGTCCGTGCAGAGGATCAGGGGTATCGTAGGTACTTCGAGACGTTGGCAGATAGTTGCCAGTGTACGGTGGATCACGTATCCGTAGTCATAGCCAGCAACCATGCCATAGATTTCAGAAGCTAGAACGCTCCGAATGACTCTCTTGCATTTGGTAGAGGACCAATGAACAATGTTTCCGGTCAGATCGAATGCGAATGTCTCGTCATTGCCAGATAATTCATTCCCGAGGATGATGACAAATCCGATCTGTGATGATAGGTCCTTGTTATTGGCAAATGATCCGTCAACGAACACAAAGAGTTTAGCAGTAGACAGGTCAGTCGTTATGAATCGAAGTCCACGTGACTTGTTGTCTAGTTGCCACTGAATGCGTTTATTTAGCATCTCGACATCTTTGTCGGAGGGTTCTTGGGCTTGGGCTGTGATAAAATAATCGAATGCGGCTTCTGGTTAACAGATGGAGGCAATGTAAGCGCCTCTTGCTCATTGCTCAATAAATCTCTGCTTGTAGTCCTTGTTACTCATGTCAATCAGGACGAGCTTGTCAGCTTGTCCCTTTTGAGTCGCTGTCATGGTCTCAATCTAAAATTCTAGGCGGCATCCGTTAAAGTCGCCAGAAGAACCAGTATCAAACTGGGTTTGTGGCTTCGTCTTGTAGCCCGCTTTCCTCGTTTCGTCTTTTTCCTTCTCTAGGAAGCCGGTAGTGCCAATGATAAAGGTGTCGTCAGTTTGAAGGGCTGCGATAGCAAAGTCGTTGCCTTTCTTTATAATGAATAAACAAGGGTCGTAGGCGGAT